TTTTTTTGATGGTTAATACTGATGAAAAATAGGATTAGGAACGGAGAAAATCTTGAGATTTGGTTTATTTTTTGTCTTTTCGTTATGTTTTTGATATATATTTTGAAAGAATAGAGGAAAAAGTTCTAATAATTTCTATTATTTGAAATAAAAGCTTTTTTAAAGACTGGAAATCGATAAATTCTATAAATGTTGGTTCATTTTGAACCGTCTATTTCATTTGCCGTAGCTAGGAAAGCCTTGGTCGCACGTGGAATGGCTCAAAGGGTTTCTATAGAACTGCACCCGACCAGAAACGGCTTGCGCGCTTGAGCTAGCAAATGCGAAGATTGACGCTTCTCAAGTTGGAGAATTTAAAAACCCTACTCTAACCGCACCGCGACCGCGACGCATTGAGTCATTCTATCTGCGGCCAGAAGATTTTCAGTCGTTTCCAAAGAACTTTATATTTTTCCTGCAAATTATCGCAGGAGTCAAGATTTCCTCTCTCTAACTCTAATTTCATCGAATTTCCTGTTTTTGCTGGTCGCCTTCTTATATGGAAATCGGAATGAGCAGAAAAAATGGAGCAGCAAAATGAAACGTCTTCCTTTTGCGTAATTGGAGCTCAACGTGTGGCGGCGGCGGCTTTTGTTTTTTTGCATTTTTTAATTGAAATCGCATTTTACTTCCTCTCTTGATGGAATTTGTTAAAAATTCACGTGATTATTATGTCTTTTTGATTTTCCTGGAAAGATTAGCTGTGTGATATGAGGATGTACGTCTGGATTGTAGGGGATTAGTTGGCTTTTTGGCTTGACTCTGTACTTTTGGACGATTTTCTCCTGTTGAGGACATTTTTGAGCTTTTCTTGAAGCTTGATTTGGATAATTTTTGTGGAAAAAAATGCTCGATTAAGGAAATTCTGTTAAAAAGTGGTTCTGGCTTTTCAAAACTTGGTTTGAAGCTCACTGGAAATTCAAAAAATGTATGTTTTGAGGAAAAAACCCAGTTTCTGAGAATTTTGAGATGACATTAATTTTTTTCCGTTTTCGCAAGGTTCTAGTGGCTCTAAGAAGCTCAATAAAAGCATCCTTAGGGATCCTCGGAGGGGCCCCTTCTAGGGACCACTTCACCAGCTTCTATAGGAGCCCCTAAGACTTGCAAAAGTGGCCACTATAGGGGTTTCAGTAAGTAGCCTTGACTTTACCCTTTAGGGATCACTTTTCCTGCCCCTGCTTTGTCCTAACCCCTATAGAGACCACTCTGGAACTCCTAAAAATTATAAAAATTCACCTAAACAAAGTTTTTTTTGGAAATATATCAATTTTTGAGCTTCCAGTGAAGATTTCAGTGTTTTTCTTCACAGGAATCGAGTTTTCCAGAATATTTTTTCCTTATGTTTCAAGCCTCCTTTGAAAAATTACCTTCAAAAGCTGACATATTCGGAAGTTCTGAGCTTCATCCTCTCATTTCATACATCTTTCCTGTGCCTCGTGCAATATTTTATGACCAAAAATGAATATGAAAGGGGAGAGAGGGGAAAAATAAGGGCAGGAAATTGTGCCCTGCCTCGACTTTTTTGGCATCGAATCGAGCGCAATTCGTTTTTGAGCCTAATTTGGATCGACTTTCTTCTTTTTACCCATTTCTTGAATTTTTCAATAATTTTGCTATGAGAAAATTTGAAATTTGGTGGGGAGATTACGGTTTATGAGTGGAGCGAACTTGTGTTAGAAGATTTTTTGAATTTTATTTTGAAGTTTACTTTTTTGAGTCTATCATTCATAGATAATTTTTCCAAAAATTAAAATTAACGGCTGTTTTTTTCCCACCCGATTTTCCGTGAGAAAAATATGAAAAATTGTTGCAAATTTTTTTGTTTAATGGCTTTTTATTTTTTTAGTTTACTGGTTGTATTGTCGAAATAACTTACTCTTTTTCTTTTTTTGTACCTTTCTGGGAAAAATATCCATAGCTTTATCAATGGAGCGCAACTGAACCTGGTGAAAAATCCCTTTTCTACGAAATTATCCACAGGTTTATCAATGGAGCGCAACTGGACCTGGTGAAAAACCCTTTTCTGCGAATTTATCCATAGATTTATCAATGGAGCGCAACTGGACTTGGTGAAAAAACCCTTTTCTGCGAAATTATCCGTAGGTTTATCAATGGAGCGCAACTGGACTTGGTGAAAAAACCCTTTTCTGCGAAATTATCCGTAGGTTTATCAATGGAGCGCAACTAGACCTTGTGAAACAACAGAATTTTATCAGATTTCAATATTTCAAAGAGTAATTGAATTGAATCTGAGTCAATAACGTACTTTACTCTCTTCACTTTCGCTTTCCTGAAACGAAAAACACATTTATCAATAGAGCGCAATTGGACGTGAATATCCTCGGCGGTTTTTCCTCCTGTCAATCTTTCTCCTATTCAAGAAACATCTGATGTCTCAGTGACATCTCTACGTTGTGACATTCATCAGCTTCTGCTTTTTTTTTCTGAGTGCATGTCTTCAGCAAATGATGGAGATGATGACGTGCCGAGAGGCCGTTTTTTTCCAAGTTTTTTCGAGAAATATGGCTTTTGAGGCTTTTTTCCTCGTTATTGAACCTTTTTTTGGGTTTAAAGCTGATGAAATGATTTTTTGCAGTGTTCTGAATATTTTTCGACCTTCGAGAAACCGGAAAATCGATTAAAAAACCTCTTTTCTGAGGCTTAATTTTTTTTTGAGTAGTTTTTTAAGTGATGTCTGCTTGTTTTGTGATGAATTTTGTAAAAAAAGCAATTTTTCAATGTTTTCTGAAGATTATGAAAGTGCGGACGTTTCTTCCGTTTCTTTTTTTGGAACTTTTTTCCTGGAACACCTGTTTCCTAGCTTATTTTGAGTATGAATGCTTGAATTTTCAGTTTTTCAGATTGCGAAGATCTTTTTTTGGTTCCATAGAATCTTTTTCGAGATCATTTTTCGAAATTTTCAGTTTTCTGAGCCTTTTCGGAGGTTCCATCATATCACTATAACATTATTTCATTATTCATAATAATTAAAAAAAATTTTGGACTGTGGAGCAATTTCCTGTTTCAAGCGTTTTCTAGATTGGTTTTGTAGAATTTTCGGTTTTTTGAGTTTTTTTTAAAGGTCTTGTGAAACCCATGTTATCAGTTCCAACTGATTTGCAGGATCATTTTCAATTTTTGAGAGGAATTTTCAAAAAAATCGATTTTGGAGAAGTCTTCAGCTTTTCTATATAGTCTGACCTTTTTATCCAAATAAATAAATTTTGGTGAAGTTGAAAACAAGCTTCATATCCATAATTATTTTCGAAAAATCTACCAAATTGGGTTCCTTTCAAAATATTTTTCATCTCTTTCCTTACAAGGTTATCGTTTGGAAAACCGATTTTAGTCAGATTTTCCCTCAAAAAACGACTTTCGAGCCTCATCTCGCCGATTTGGAGCGAGTAATTTGAGATAACATATGAGTTTCAAGCGGCAGGAAAGTTCCAGCGGAAGCGCCCTCGGCTCCGTTTTGCATTATTCATCAGTTTCCTTTCGCTTTTATGGCTTCTTTCGGTTTTTTTTCCCCGAGTTTTTTCTCTTGTTTTTCATTGCCCAGTAATGCCGGATATATGGAGGAGCAATCATTTTTTAATCAAGTTTTTCGTTGAATAGGAAGTTGGATTTTCCTAGGATTTGTACTGAAAAATTTGAGCAAAATGATCTTTGAAATAAGAGAAGAAAAAGCCGCGAGAGAGTGAGATTACTGCGCTCCACGGCTAATTTTTTCAATTTAGAGTCTTTTCCTTTTCTGTTTCCGGCCACCTTTTTCTGTAGGAGAAGAAAAAAAAAACAGACAAGAAGGTGACTAAAAAAAGTAGCCGCAAAAAATTTCTGTTTATGTGCTCTATGGCTAAATTTTTTGCAAAATGAGGCCCTAAGCACTGGATTTTTTTTTTGGAGTTTTCAGTTTTTTTTCGAATTAAGTTAACGTTTTTCGCCAGGTTCATGAGAAAATAAGATTTATGGAAAATGCCTGAAAAAATGGCCGCAATAATCGCGCTCCATCGCTAAAATTTGGAAAACATGCTTTTCTCGATTATTCATGGCAACTAGGTCTCAATATTTTTCAAAAAACGAAAATTTCAAGCTTCAGTTGATCTTTACGCCAATAATAAAGTTGTAAAAAAACCGGAAAAAAATAAAGATTTTAGGCACAGAAATTTATGAAAAAAATTATGTTTGCTTGACTGTTCATCAAAAAAATTGACAAAAAAATCCTTTTTCGGAATGATTTATTTCTAAGAAACTTTTTTTGAACCTTCTGAACTCTTGGAAACTTCCTCCAGAACAACCCAAAAAGCGGACAAGTAATTGTAAAAAGAAATAAAAATATTCGGGGCCTTGCGTTGAGTTTTTTTCAATTCAATTATTTATGATGTATAGCGACGCTTTATTCTCGCAGTTTCTGGGTTTTCTTTCAGATTTTTCCTCATTTTTTGGAATTCTTTTTTTTATTTTGAAGCAAAAACGTCGCTTTGTTGCTCATGTTATAGACCGCCTTTTTTTCAGCTTTTTTTGAGCTTATTTAAGAAGTTTTTTTCATTGAGATTTTTTTCTCATTTTTGGAAGTTATTTTTTTCAAAACGTCTCATTGTTGCTCATTTTATAGATAGAAAAAAATTTTTTTAAAAAGTTTTTACGCTTCTCTGGAGAAATCGAACTTTTTTGTTTGCTCAAAGTGATTTTTAGCATGATTTCCAGTGAATTACAGAGAATACCTTATTGTTGCTCGTGTTACAGCTTTTTTTTTGGCCTTCTGCGTTTTTTATGTCTGGCGCAATTTATTTTGGGGAAACAATTTCTCACACAGTAGCTAATGTAAATTCCTCTGAAATAATTGCTATCAATATCTCATTATTGCTCATCTTACAAGATTTCCCACTCACTCAGCTCTCGAAAGAACGCTTACCGGCTTTTCTTGCTGACCAGAAGTTTGTATCTAGTTTGATCAACTGTAGATGCGACTCCCGACTATTTCGCTGGAGTCGGATTCTGATGGGGAAGTCATGCAGTCGCCGAGTCGCCGACCCAAATCGAAAACCAGCGAACCGGTGCGTCGCCGTCGCGAGATCGTCCTCGCGGAAGACTGCGGCACGTCGTCGCCACAGTCGCCACGGCGATCGCAGTCGCTGCGACGACCCTCGAAGTCTTCGGCGTCGCCGCCGCCGCCGACGCCAATGTCGGGCCTCTGCGACATGGGACCGCTTTTCCGGACGGCGAGCCTGCGAGTGAAGCAGCAGCTGACGGCAAGGCTCAGCGAGCCTTTGAGACTTGCCGAGAATCTGAACCGGTCGATGAACAAGCTTCTGGCGACTGGAGATGATCAGGATGATCATTTCCAACATTATAGTGTACTCCATGCCGCGTCTTCCACATCACTACAGAAGAATGGTGAGCTGGAGTGACGTCATAGAAGAGGTTGATGACGTCATTGGGAATTCTGAAGAAAGGAACTTCAGAAGGTTTTTGGAGAAAGAGTTAAATTGAGTAGCAGCCTCTACAATTGTGAAAAGCAAAGATTAAAAGGGAGTCATTTTTTAAAGTTAGAAGTAAGAAAAAGTAGTTTTTCGAGAGTAAGAAAGGTTATGAAGTCCTTTAAAAGCGGTTAAGAACATTTACGACGTCATTTTTAAAATTAAAAAAAAGTGACGTCATTTTTGAGAAACGTGATGTCATTTCGTGTAGTGCGGTATTATGACGTCACCATGAAGAAAAAAGGAATATGTCAGCTATTTATGAAGCCTTAGAGAACCAGAATCACGATTTTAATGACGTCATTTTTTTGGAAATAGTATGTTAATGACGTTATCTTTAAGAAAAAGGGATTAATGACGTTTTTTTCAAGATATTTGAGAAGAGAGAGGGCATCTAAATTTTTGTGGAAATAGAAGAGAGAAATTTCGAAAATAGTAGAAAAATGACGTCATTCTTTGAGAGGAACGATGGGAATTGTGTGACGTCATCAGGTAATTATTGGGTGATCGACTAAAAATGAAATTCGACTATTTGATTCATTTTTCAGCCGAAGACGCCGGTTCGTCGAGCGAAGATGATGATCCAGAATATCTGGAGCTCATGGAAAGGGACAATATTATCACGAGATATGAAAAGGTGATTGCAAATCAAGCTCAAAAGAAAGGAAAATGATTTTATAGGGTCCTGACAGCCAGGATGTTGATCCGTGGGAAAATCCGCAGTTTGACGTTTACGCCAAAACGGATCGATTTGGGTTCATACAGTGAGTTTCAACGGGAAAAATGAACTTCTTAGGAAGTGGCCCCTCAAGGGGTGAGGGGAGCTTTTGCGGGTCCCTCATAGGAGTAACATTGAAGTAGTCCCGGTAGGGGTTCTGAGCGATAATCCTTCTGAAGGCCTAGGGATCCCTATAAAAGTCTTTCAAATTTTTATTCAGATTTGAAAATTTAAAGGCAAACTTGATCAGTTTCTCCTCTGTTCATATTTTTTTTCGTTAAAAAAATGCTGATTTATAGACTTTTTTTCGTATAGAAATGCTTCTTCTTATAGAATTAATTACAATAATCAATTAGCATCTCCTCTATAGGGGCCACTTTTTCAATCTTTATGAGTCCCTAGAGGGGAACCTTTGAAAGCCCCTAAGTTTGCCCCGATAGGGACCACTCTAGAGTTCCTGAGTTCGAAAAAAAAAACGTACTTTTTAGCAAATCGAGCGACAAGGCCAGCGAAGAAGAACGAAAGCATCAACGACGGGTTTTCAAAGAATTGAGCCGCGAGAAAAAATGGCTCAAAATGATTGAGGTCTAGTAATGAACTAGTTGCCGGATTTTGAAACATTCTGACTTTTCTGCGTCTCTTTTCTCTCACAGATGAGGTCATAGAAACGTGAAAATAGCACATAAACACGAGAGGGAACAGTGGGTGCAGAGAAATAAGACTTTCTCAAGTTTTGTCGAATGGTCGGTAATTAATGATAATTATCATTAGCTGTTTTTTGGGAATGGTCCAATTTCGAGGTTTGAGCCTCAGGAGTCGTTTTCAACATTTTTCAAAGGCCTAGTGCGAAAGTCGTTTCAAGTCGGCCGCAAACGGTTTTTTGGCGTCAGAGCCATTCTAAGTGCGACCCTTTACTTTTAATTGAAAGCTTGTTATGTAGAGAATAACATAAATTCGCTCAGATTCAAATTTTTTAAATCAGTTTCAGTTTTTGCTTCAGAAGTTTTTGACAAAAAAATAGGTTTTTAGGGTTCTATTTTTCGTGAGACCATTTATTTTTGTTCTAAGGTCTTCTGAAAGAAAAATGGCATCGTTTGTCAAGATTTTAGAATCTCAGAACTTGTGTACCCAATTTTTCAAGTTTTGCTTAAAATAATAGAATAAAAAGATCTTCTTTTTCAACAAACTCTATGAAAAGTGCAACCTAATCAACGAATTTCCAGGACTGGAAATCCGGAAAACCATCGAAAAAGATGGAGGACCGAGTCTGGAAAGGAATCCCCGAGAAGCTTCGATTAGTGGTGAGATTTTCTAAATCTTCCTGTCTTTATTGATTTTTATCTCAGGTTTGGCCACGGTTACTTGGCGCCGAACGGATGAGAGAAGAGAAAAAAGACGTTTACATGAATCTGTTGCTCAGAGCTCGTCTAGTCTCCAAGGACATCAAACAGATCGATCTCGACATCAATCGGACCTATAGGGACCACTTGGCCTTCCGGAAGAGATATGACGTCAAGTAAGGGCTTTTTCATTGATTTGAGTGACGTCATAGGGGGGGGAGGGTTTTGAAAAAAATTTTGGAAATTTTTTTTTGAGGTCACATTTTGAAATGGCTCAATGCGCCGCAAGAAAAAGATTTTCATTTTTCCTGCCTTTTATCACTTTTTTTTTTCGCATCCGACCATAAGAAGGTTTACGCCTGACGATATTAAAAAGGGTTTGAATATTCAAGAAGTTTTTTTTGGATCTTGCTCTCTGTAAAAAAAAAACCCTTGTCGCGTTTGAAATGGTTAGATGCGTTGCGGTCGCGCTGCGGCTGAGTTTTTGACCATTCTTCTCCTCGAATTGAATATTTCTTACGTCATGCAGCCGACCATGAGAAGGTTTACGCTTGAAGACATCAGAAAAAATTTGAAAATTTGAAAAAAGTTTTATTTGAATCCAGTTCTTTGTGGAAAAAATTTTTGGCCGCGTTTGGAATGGTTAGACGCGTTGCGGCTCGGTTTTTAAACATTTTATCCTTTCCTATTTTTTGCGCCCTGTATCCGACCATTTGAAGGTTTACGCGTGACTATATTAAAAGGTGTTTGAAAATTCAAAAATTTTTTTCGCATCCAGCTATCTGTAGAAAAAGAACTTTTTTGTCGCGTTTGGAATGGTTAGATGCGTTGCGGTTGCGCTGCAACTCTTCTTCTGAACATTTTTATCTTTGTCTATTTTTTGCGCTTTTTTTTCTCGTCCTTGAATCGTTCATTTTTTGCGCTTTGCAGCCGACCATAAGAGGGTTCAGCGCGAAAACATCAGACAGCGTTTAGAAACTGCAAAACGTGTTTTAGATAGGTCCAGTTGAGATTCACGAATTTTCCCTTTCAAAATTAAAAGTTTTAATCTCGATTTCGTATTTTTGAATATTTTTGGTCATTCTTTATAAAATTAAGCTCCAATTTTTCAAAAATTTCATGGATTTTCAGACAAAAATCATTGCTCAACGTCCTCGCTGCCTATTCAATGTACAATACAGAGGTTGGCTATTGCCAGGGTTCGTTTTATTTTTTTTTTCGATTAAGAAGGAACACAAATTAGAATTTTTGACCCTACAAGAGTGATTTTCTGTTACAGGGATGAGCCAAATCGTCGCCCTATTTTTGATGTATCTGGACGAAGAAGACGCTTTCTGGTGCCTTCATGCGTTGATGGTCAGCCCCCGGCATACGATGCATGGTCCGTTTTTTTATTTTGAGAGGAAAAATGACCCATGAAAAAGCTATTTTCTGTTAAAATTAGTGGTTTTTTGGTCCTTTTGAGCCTCGCAAATTGAATTTTCATGCTTGAAATCGATCAATATTGATCAAAAATGATTCATTGGCTATGGAAAAAAAAAAATTTAGGAGAGCATTTGTAATGGCTTAATGCGTTGCGGACGCGCTGCGGCTCGATTTTCAAAACTTTGAAAATGGTTTCATTATTTTACGGTTTCGAATCTCTTATAATACATTTCTTTATTTGAATAAGAATGTTCATAGTCGTGGTGTCTCTAAAAAAAAAAGTTGTTTGCGTTTGGAAGTGCTCAAATGCGTTGCGGTCGCGCTGCGGCTCAATTTTCGAAACTTCGAAAAGTTTCATTATTTTGCGGTTTCGAATCACTTATAATGAACTCCTTCTTTAAATTACAATGTTCATCTTCCTATTTTCTATGTAAAAAAAAACTGTTTGCTTTTGGAATGGATCAGAGCGTTGCGGTCGCGCTGCGGCACGGCTTTTTGAAATTTTTTGAAACAATAGTTTTATCATTTTGCGGTTTCGAATTTCTGATAAATTTCTTTTTTTGAATAAGAATGTTTGGTCCAACGCTTTTTAAGAAAATGTTCTTGTCGCGTTTGGAATGGCTCAATGCGTTGCGGTCGCTATGCCGCTGGGCTTTTTGAAAAACAAGTATCATTATTTTGCGGTTTCGAACTTTCAATAATAGGTTTCTTGTTTTGATTTTGAATATTTTTTCTTGTTTTGTCTGAAAATGATTTTGTCGCGCTTGGAATGGCTGAAAGCGAATATAGAGAATTTCTTTAGCCATTCCACCTGCGACCAATATTTCATTTCCAAATCTCAATTGGAAAAAAAGTTGAAAAATTCAACAATAAATCTCTGACTTTTGATAAAAAAATTAAAAATTTGCAGGCTTCTTCGTGCCGGGCTTCCCGAAATTGTCGCGTTACGAGGAACATTTCAAAAAAGTGCTCAAGAAATATCGACCACGGGTTTATAAACACTTAGTGAGTTGGAAAGTCGTCAGAAATTCTAGATCGACGAAAAAAAAAGACTAACAATACAAGAAAAATTAGAAAAAAAAATTCCTGCAAAATATTATTTTACTGTTTCGAGTTCTCTTCAAAAAAAAATTTTTGCGTTCATTAAACTATTTGAGCGTCACCATTAGTGTTATAAAAAAATTTTTTTTTGATATTATTATTCGATTAAATTTTTTTTCCTAGAAATTTTGTAAAAATGAATAAATTTCCGAATTCCACGAGTTAATAGGGATGCGAAATTTTTTTGAGAGCTATGTTAGAATTTATTAGGAATATCTTTCGAATTATTCTCGAGGTCAAAAAAATTAGTCAAAGTCAAGAATTATTGCAGGAGAAACAAGATATTCCGTATATTTACCTGACCAAATGGTGGTTTGGCTGCTTTTTTTGGACCGAGTTCCGTTTTCCCTGGCCTTGAGGTTGGCTTTTAAATTCATATTCTGTGTTTTTGGATTATTTGAAATTTATTTAAAAGGAGAAAAAAAAAAATCGATTTTCACCTTTGTTTTTGGCTCTTTCTAGCTTATTTTTTGTGATTTAACACTTTTCAAAGAAGTTTTTGTAGATTATGGGACGTTTTCCTCATCGAAGGAGATCCGATACTCATCGCGATGGCCCTCAATATCATGAAAAATGCATGAAAGTTGGTTTTTTTCACTTTCAAATGAATCAAAATGGATGAAATCTATGAAAAAAATAGTTTAGATTTAAGATAAGGTCAATTTTGATCATCTGGGACAATTTTGACAGAAGAAAAATTTGAGAAAAAAACTAAGATTTAGGGGGGTAAAATTTGCACTTTCAAGGAAGTCGATTCACAGAAAAAAATTTGAGGAACTTTATTTTTAAAAAAATAATGAAATTTGTTTCCAGGATCAATAAAAAAAGCTGACGATGGAGACTTTCATGGAGTTTGTCCAAATGGAAGTCGCCAACGATTTTGGATATCCAGACGATGAAGTGATGCACTCCTTAAGGGACACCTTAAGTAAATTGAAGGTACAATTTTATTTTTTTCTCAAAGATCAATATTTGCAAGCTTCAGTTTTACCATATACTTTGACAATTCAGAGTTTTCTCGGGTTGATTCGAAAGTTTTGGACTCAAAAATGGAAAATTCAAAAAAAGCAGTAGTTTGAGAACTTGAATCAGACTTTTCTGAGTCTTCCTAGGGGCCACTATAGGGGCCTCAGTACTCTTAAGGGACCTCTAGAATTGCTCAGGAAGTGCGAAAAATTATAAATTATGTCTCCGCTTCTTTTTTCTGACCAAAAGTTTCCAATTTCATTAGTTTTTCCCGGGATAAATTTGACTTTCTATAGACTTTTTGGCTGCACTGAAGTTTGTTCATAGTACAAACTATTTCGAAAAAAGAACTCTAAAACTGATCTTGAACACTGGTTTTTCACCTCAAATAAGACCCGAAGTTGAAGGAAGACAGAAAAAAAGTTTTTATGCAGAGTAGGAAAGTCAGGGTCCACTTTACTGAAAAAAAAAAGAAAAAATAACTGTTTCAGACTGTCATAATAAAAATAGAAAAGACAGACTTGTCTTGATAAATCCCCACTTGCAGAGCGACCGACAGCACGTCCCACCCCCACCGAAGCCCGAAGACCTCTCCGAGGTACCGACGAAAGCCCTGGGACCCATCCTCCAGAAGCAGATGTCGACCATCCGCGAGGAATACCACGAGATTCAGTCGCGTCGAAGTCGCGCCAATTGTAAGTCGAGCCGCAGAAGTTCGGCCTTTTTCGATGCCGACGTCTACGACGACGCCTACAAGCGATATGTCGATCGCTACATGGAGGAGGAAGTGGAAGTGACGCGCTTGTAGAGGCGTCTTGTGTGCTCCATGGATAAATTTTCTCATTTTTGTTTTTTTCAGTGTTTTGTGCGGTTTGAATGAGTAGAGAAAGTGTGCTCCATGGATAATATAGCTTGAATTTTTGTACTTCTTATTGTGGCTTGAATGATTAGAGAAAGTTTGCTCCATGGATAAAACGGCTCAATTTTTGATTTTTTGAGTCATGTGTGGTTTAAATGGGTGCAGAAAGTGTGCCCCGTGGATAATGTAGCCTGATTTTTGTATTTTTCAGTATTGTATGTGGCTTGAAACATTGAAGGAAGTGTGCTCCATGGATAATATGACTGAATTTTTGACTTTTTGAATCATGTGTGGTTTGCGTGAAGAAAGTGTGCTTCATAGATAATATGGCTCATTTTTTTGATTTTCTCAGTGCGGTGTGCGGCGTTAACAAGTCAAGAAAGTGTGCTCCATGGAAAATTAGGCTTAACTTTTGATATTCAGGTCATTTTTGAAGAAAGTATGCTCCATGGATAATATAGCTTGAAATTTTCTCCGTATGCGGCTTGAATGAAGGGGAAAGGGCGCCCCATTGATAAAAAAAAACCTTTTTTCGTTTCGCTGGGCAACTTCGCTCCAAAGAAAAGAAGAGTAGTTTACTGATGTCTACAAAAACCAAAATGTTTAGTTACTGATAGTTTAAATCAGTTATTAGCCGTGGAGCACGTTATCCTCGACAGAAATATGCTTCTATTCATTTTTTTTAAAAAAATAAATGTTTTTTTCCTTCTTTTTTTTCTAATATTTCTTTTCTGTCTGATTGCTAAAATAACTAATAATCAATTAACGTGTTAATTTTCTTGCCTTTTTCATGATGTCCAGTATCTGATTCTTCGCATGGATTCCTATAAACTTTTTTGTCGGTTTGTCGTGATTTTTTTGTGGTTCTTGTTGTTTTCAATCGCTATTTTCAGGTTTTGAGTTGTGAGAGATGTTTTTTTTTTTTGAAAAATTCGTACGATTTTCAGCCACCGGCCGCTCGCCTCACCCGAAACGGAAAGAATCTGCGAGGAAACCGAACGGACCGCCGCCAGTTGTCCACAAGTTTGTTTCAAATTTGAAAAAAAAGGGGAAAAGAAGTCTTATTGGAATTTAATGATGATAAGTTAGTTATTTTGAGCACGTCAGCAGGAATTTTTAAATTTTTTTTTTTTGGATGATTTAAATTACCACGAACTTCTACAAGATCGGATAAAAATAGGATTTTTCTTAGTTCTCAGGGTATTTTCAGCTCGTATATTTGAAAAAAAGTCCTGTTTTGGATAGAAAAAAAGCTATAAAAAAACGAAGGTTCTTTAAAAAGTTCTACGGTTCCAAAGGAAGTATAACTTCTCTTTTCCACTTCTTATTTTATTATATTTCTATTTCTTTACTCAGGAAAAGTTCAAACAACCTTTAAGCCCTTCAAAAAGCTTCAAACAACCTAAAATTCCTCAAAAAGGCTTTAAAAGAAGAGCTGATAGCTCATTGTTGAGTTCCTAAAAACGTGCCAAAAGTTTCTTGTAATCTCCTTGTTAACGTCTTCTTTTTTTAACCCCCTTAGAAGGTCCTTTTCAGAAAAAGATCAAGAAAAAAGGCGCTTTTGAGGTTTTTTGGACTTGCCCGTTTAACTGAAAAAATCCCGTGAGCAAGTATTTGAAGCTGATTTGGAAAATCAAGGCTCACAGTTGCAAATAGAGTTAAATTTGTTTCACTTTCGAAATTTTTTGATTTTTTTTGCCAGTTTGAAGAAAAAAATGCTTGTTTTTTTATTTATGAAATATGATCCAAATGATTCGGTTTTTCGATTCTTACAATGGAGGTCACTTCACTTAGCGGTTGGGAGTTTCCCGAAAATTGGTTAAAACACTTCTTAATGTACCAGATGAAGATCCTGTAAGGTTTAAACTGCACAATTTCCTAGTTTTGGAGAAAGCACACCTTAAAGTCGAAGAAAACATTGAAAATTCGTGAAAATAGGCCATTTTGAGGCTTTAAGCGCTTATTTCTCGAAAGCTAATAATTTTTGAAGGTTGAAACTTCCAGATTCTTCTTCTGGTACTTCAAGAAGCGTTCTGACAAATTTCCAGGGGATTCCCACCCGTAAAGTAAAATGACCTACCTTGTTTTTTGATCCAAGAAGGAATCTATTGTGATGATAAAAATGAAAAATTTTAAAAAAATCCTTATACGTTCAAATTTTTTTCTTCAGATGGAACGGAACGGCTTCACAAGACTCCATCATGACAAATGGAAAGGAGGTCCCGTTTGAGGTAATTTTTTTGGTATAAAGAATATTTTGGTGACATTTTTTCTTTGTTATTTTCGCTCGAAAAAGTTAGAAATTTCATAAATTTTACACACAAGCCTATGCCTGGGCTCTAATTAAGTGCTAGCCATTCCAAATGCGACCATGAGCTGAATAATCGTTACGAGGCCAAAAAGTCTTTTTTTGGAATGGCATGAATAAATAGTTTGCTAGAGCGCACTTTGGTCTAGATGAAATGGCCGTCAATAATATTTAAAGATCATTCTTTCGTTCACATATTTCAAAAAAGCAATAAAAAAGATGTTGGAGGTGGAAACGAGAGGACGAAAGAATGAACTGTAGTCTGAAGAAAGTTCAGTTTTTAGATTTCAGTTATGAAAAATTGACGAAAGTCTATCGAAAACTTAATTTTCAGATTCCAACCCGTCGTGGCCCGGCTTCGGCGACGTCTTCTGCCCCGACGTCGCATCCGGAAGTCCAGAAGACGTCGAGCAACAACGGCAGCGTGCGCAACGGCGCAAGTAAGCATCCGTTGCCCCGGTGAGCCTTTTCCTCTGTTTCTCCCATCTTTGTTCGTGTTTTTTGGTGTCTTTTGTTCAATTTGAGAAAAATTGGTCTTTTTTGAATCCTCCCTTCTGTTCTTGCCTCTGTTATTGAGTCAGAAAATAGGTCCTAGAGTTCTGATTAGGGTTCTAAGCATCAAAGGAATGTCTTTAGGATTTTTTTGGAGCTGAAAATCTCGACTCGATACAAAGATGACACTTGAGCTTTAGACCCTAAACTCCTATAGTGACCTACTGAATTTTGACCCCTATAGGGACCAATATGACGTCTCAGGCCCCTCCTTTCGAACTATTAGTTCCCTACTTGATCACCCCTGATAGATTAATGATCGTTTTTTCTTGGCAATTGATCAGGGTCGTGCTGGCTTCACTTGAGCTTTAGGGGCTTCATGGTCAGACTCTAAACCCCTGTAGTTACCACCTCAACTTTGACCCCTATAGGGACCAGTCTGGCCTGACTTAAGTCAGCTTCTCCTTCTGGGTTATTTAATTTCTTCACTTTATTACTTCTGATAGATGACCATCATTGCCACGGCCTTGATCAGGGTTGTGCTGACGTCAGTTGAGCTTCAAACCTCTATAGTAATCACTTGAACCTTGACCCCTCTAGGGACCAGTCTAGCGTTTCTAAGTCAGCTTCTCCTTCTTGTTCTTTACTTGATCACCCCTGATAGATAAATGACCGTCTGTTCAAGAAAATACGGCATTGATCAGGGTCGTGCTGGCGTCACTAAAGTTTTAGGAGCTTCAGGGTCGTACTCTAAACCCCTATAGTGACCACTTAAACTTTGAACCCTCTAGGGACCAGTATATTGCTCCTAAGTTAGCCGCTCCTTCCTCACTTGTCTGTGCTTGATGGATAAATGGCCGTTCTTTCCAGGCAATACGGCATTGATCAGGGTCGTGCTGGCGTCTCGCCGCGACAATCGGCCGCCCATCAACCCCAGCGACTCCGCGACGAACACAACGGACAGATGGTGACGCTGTCGCGAGCCTCCGACTCAGACCCCTCGTCGCCCTCCGACGCCCACCTCTACCACCATCACTACCAGCAGCACTCCTCCTCCAGCATCGGCGCAAGAATCACCCACGCCGCCAACCACGTAACTCGAATCGAATTGGAAGACGACGGCCATGTTTCTGTGATCTAATCGTGTGTAGTTTGCTTCCTCATTTTGGATTCTGCTGAATTAATTATTCAGTTGGCTCTCAGACGAATTAATTTCATTTCATTTAGGTTTGTCTCAGGGCCGTCAAAAAAGCCAATCATATCGGAATATGAGGTCGATTTTTGCATGTAGTTAAGATAGAACTAAATATGGGGTTGGCTCTCTGAGTTTCTGAAGTATTTTTGAGGAGAATCGACCTTCGAACAGTTTTATTCGACTCGGAGCCGTCAAAAAAGAAGCCCAGAACAGCTTATCCAAGGTTTTTTGTCTGTAGTTTGCTCTCTGATTTTTTTTTTTTGATTTTTTTCAAACAATTCACCTTCCAAAAAGTTCTAGCGAAGCCTTGAAACATCAGAAAAAAACCTATCATTTTCTAAAAAAATGAAAAAAATGTTCCACTTCTACGTGGTTTAGTTTCCAATTCTGAGGGCTTGAAGTATAACTTCTTCAAAAAAATCTAGTGAAACCTCAAAACATTTAAGAATTTTTTGTATGAAATATTAGATTTGACGGATTGTGTGTAGTTTGCTCATTGGACATGAAAGTCAGTCAGAAAAATTTTTGAACTTTTCATGGAATTTTAACCGAAAGTTGAGCTCATCCTTTTGAGAATATTAGAAATAGTCACATTTTTTGGTTCCTCTAATCTTTTGAGACTTATTTTTTGAGGTGACGTGACTAATAATCCAACACTAACCGATTCTGAAGGCATAGAAAAAATTTATAAAACCCTGAAAGTTTTTTTAACCGCATTTGGAATGGTTCAACGCGTCGCGGTCGCGCTGTGGAATGCTTGAAAATTTATTTTTCCCCTGAATTGATGAAGTTTGAAATTTATCGTTTATTCTTGTACCCGAGGAATTTTTTTGAAATTCAGTAGAAAAATTGAAAAATTGGATGATTGTGAAAAAATAGCCTCAGGAAATATTTGCTCCATTGAGATCATTTTTTTGTGCTTTGATTATAATTATTATTGTAAGAAATATGTTGGAAAGTGCGCTCTAATGAGAATTGCTTCAAAAATCAGACTTTGAAGTTTTGGAAAAAAATAATTTTTTTCATTTTTTTCGCGTTGGAGCGCACTTTCACCGTACAAAAGAATTCACTAGATTTAATCCGAATTTTTTTGTTTGTCCTTCCCATTGCTACTTATATAATATACTAAATTATGGCTTTTTTTCACTTTTTTTTTCCCGCGCCCAATTTTTTTGATTTTCTTTCTGTTCTTTGTAACTTACGTGTATTTTAAAAAGTTCATACTTCTTTGATTTGATCGATGTAATATGTATGATTGTAATTTTCTGTGATTTGTAGTGACCTTTTCTGCATAATTATACGATAGAGACCGTATCCAAGAGTGAATTCAGGATTTATTAGGACTGTTTTTTTGTAGCTCCGGTTGCTCCAAAAGCCTTACAGGTGCGTCTAATGATTAACGATTTTTTCCCCGCTGAATAAAATTTTGAAAATTTTTTTTGAGCTCAAATGAGAAGAAATCAGAGAGAAAATTATTTCAGGCATTTTAGGCAAGATTATCAATGGAGCGCGAACACAAGGTCGAGCGAGGCTGTTTTTTCTCAAGGAAACTTTTTGGTTTTTTCTAACTGAGAAAGTAATTGAAAGGACTCATTTCAGGCATGATTATCATTGGAGCGCGAACTACCGACTCACCGCGGCTCTTTTTTCTCAACCGACTTTTCCGCGATTTTTCAAAGGGTTTTTTCTTTTTTCGTATAATGCGAAAATAGGAAGAAATGTGTGGTAAAAAAATCTTCACTAAGTTTTTTTAAATTTGAAAAATTAATCAATCCAAAAAGTAGCTTTTTTTAGAACAAAAGTCTTATCAATTAAAAAAATCCTTATTTTTTTCTATAAATAAACTGTGTAGTTTTATCGAAGTTCAAAAATGAGATGAAGTAGAAAAAAACAGGATCCGGCTAGGTTTTTCAATGGAGCGCAACTGTAAAGTTTACGGTGGCTATTTTTTTCAGCCTCATTTTCAAAGACTTTTCGATTTTTTTGTGAATGTTTGAGAATGAAAAAAACATTAGTAAATTTATAAAAAAAGCTTCATTTTTTTGAAAAATGGAATGGCTGAAAATGTGTGGCCGCCAAAAAAGTTATCATAGAATTGCATCCGACTTCAAAAACGACTTGCGCAAAGTAGTATTGAAGCCGGAATATGAAAATTTTCAAGTGAAAACTGAGATAATTAACCGCAGCGCGACCGCAACGCATCGAGTCATTCCAAATGCGTCCAGAAGTTTCCATAAAGCATGCATTTTCGAAAAAGATCATACATTTTCGCATGGAAAATGAAATTTCTGAGTTTAATTAATATTTTTTGGATGAGATTTTCGGAAAAATTGGCCTAATACGTCTAATTTTCCATTAAAAATCGACATTTTTGGATTTTAAAACGCGTTTTTACTTGGAAAATCCAACTTCGTAGCCTTAAAAACGCGTTTTTACCTAGGAAATTCAATTTTGTAGCCTTAAAAGCGCGTTTTCATTGGAAAATCCAACTTTGTAGCCTTATCACTTATTTTCTAGCCAAATAAATGACCCCGACCGTGTAGTTTCCATAGTTTCCATAGTTCATAGCGTGTAGTGTAGTTTTTCTAGTCGACTCTGGTCAATAATTCTCTCGTCTCTAGCCATTTTCAGTGATATTTCTCCATTTTCTCGCAGTTGTTTGCGTTCATCCGTCGGGTTCTTTTACACAGAGACTTTTGCCGAGGTTTCAAAATGGTTCAAAAAGCGGATCAGTTGCTTGGTTTCAACGTTGGCGCTTAAGAATTATTGTTTTCTTTCGATTTTTTTTAAATTTGAAGTTTTAAAAAAAGGTTCAGGGTCTAAATTTTCAACTGAAGATTATTTCCTTCTAAAATATAGGCTTTGAAATTATTTTTTTTCATCATCGATAATGGCCTCATTATTTGTTTCAGAAACAAAATTTTTCTTTTTTTAAGTTTTTACCCACTGCTTACAACACATGAACTTGTGTAGATCCCCGAAATTTTTTTTTTGAAATTTTTATGATTTTTTTTTGGATTCAGAACTTATTCATAAAATTGGAAGTATCGTCTAGGTTATGAGTCCAATTTTCAAGCTTTTACTGTCCAAAAATTAAAAAAAATCCTTTTTTTTTATTTTCGAACGCTTTGAAACACATAAAATGACCTTCAAAACGACCTTGGAACCAAATTTTTTTCAGTTTTTCCTTGCCTTAAATTTCAAGTTTTTCGATTTTTCAATTTTGTGAAACTTTTTTTGAGTTCTGAAAACCCACTGATTTCAAAGTTCTAATGATGAATAACTGATTTTTTTGGAAATTTTTTTGGACTTTTTTGACTTGAAATGATACAAGTTCCAAGCTTTTCCTATATTTCAAAAATTTATATCCAAAAAAAAAAACAAAGACGCTTTTTTATTGACAAAATGAGGTCCATTAATAATTCTCATTGTTTTCCCCACACCCGCAAGTTTGCCCCATTGATAACCAATCAGTTGTAGTCGTATCTTCCCCCACTCATACTTGTTATTGACCCAGTTGTCCAGTAATATTGTCAGTTTTCTGTTCGCACTTTAAAGAAAAATTGAGAAAAATGTTCCAGACGATGGGTCTCTTCGGGACTTTCACCTTGACAACGATTCTTCTCGCCGTTTTGGCCGCATTTTTCGTTTATAATTCTTTGGAACCTAGGGTTTGTGATTTTATATGGTAGTTTGCAGTAAAAAAGGGATAGTTTGAGCTGAAAATGGAGGATTTTATGTATAGTTCATTCATCTTGATTTTAGCGAGAGAGTGCGTGAAAAGAAGAGGTTTAGACGGTTTACTCTAGATTTTTTTAATTTTTTGTCGTTTTGGTCGAATTTTTCGTTTATAAAGCCTAGAATTTGTGATTTTATATGGTAGTTTGCAGTAAAAAAAAGGGATAGTTTGAGCTAAAAATGGACGTTTTTGTCCATAGTTCATTCATCGCTAGCTCAATTTTAAAGAGATACTGCGCAAAAAGGAGAGGTTTAGACAGTCTCACCGTATATTTTTTTCTAACTTAATAGTGTATAAAATAATTTTTTTCAGCTTCGAGGGCTTCTTTTTTTCGAGATATTTTTGAAGAATAAGCCTAATTCTGTTCATAGTTCATTCACTTATAGCTTGAAAAAAAAAATTTAACGTTTTTTTGTCTAAGATACCAGGGAAAAGAAGTTTGACTCCATGTTTGTGAATGGAATTTCAGGTTCCTGAAATACCTGATGAGTACTATGGCAGTGGGGTACAGAAAAAAGACGATGAAACCGTACGGCCGTTCAAAATTTCCGTTCCTGATGACGTCCTTGAGGTTTTTTTTTACGTTATTGAAAGGTTTTGGGGGATACTAGAAATTTTTTTGGAAAAAAATGCTGGATTCTTTTTATTATCATTTTTTTCTTAGGAGTACAATCAGAGGTGCCTTCTTCCCCCACACTTTAGGGTGAAGCTTCATGAAGACGAACTTTTATGAAAAAGAAATTAGAAGAGAGCTCCTTTACTTCCAATAATCACTTGAGAGCTCACTTGAAATATTTTTTTAAAAGAGTTTTTTTCGTCAGCAAAGTGAAAAAAACTAATCTAAATAGCTCGATTTTTCCAATTTTTCACTCAGAAGTCCCCCAAAGTGACCACTTTAGAAGAATGCTCGATGTAGAAATACTTTGAAGAGTTTTAGAGAAATTAATATTGATCACTTGAACTTTGTTGAAAAAGTTTTTTTCCAGGAAATTCGGAATTTATATCTCAAAAGGGACCTTGACCAAATTTTATTTTGAGTTTCGGATGCAGTTCTAGGAATTATTTCCGATTTTTTAAAAGTTTTTAAGATGTATGTGTTCAGGACCTCAAAACACGCCTGAAAAATGCCCGAGTTTCACACAAATTCCTCGAAGACTCGGACAATTTCTACTACGGCTTCAATTCCAGAGAATTGCTCGTAAGAAATTTCCATAGAATTATCGAAAAAATGATGATTTCCAGGAGTTTCGCGACTATTGGCTCAACAAGTACGATTGGAAAAAGTACGAGGCGATTTTGAACGAGTTTCCCAGTTTCCAGACCGAGATCGAGGGCTTGAAGGTGAATATTATTTTTTTAAACCTTGAAAATGAGGTGAAAAAATTTTTTAGGTTCAAAAAAAGGAACTGTTGATTGGAAAATCCCTCGATTTTTGAAAAAAACATTTTTTTCAAGGAGGTTCATTTTATTATCACTCTGGAATTTTTATTAAAGTTGGCTGAATCATTTTTTTAGACTGATTAGGTGATGATCCTGAAAATCTCAGCCTGTAAAAGTGACTATTTTTCAAAAAAAAAAAAATCGGTAGAGTCAAAGAAAATCAATAAAATCCGGCTAAACTTACTATTTTCGAGACCTAAGCACTCTTTTCTCAAAAACTAGGTGATTAGGTGAATTAGGGACGTTTAAAGTATATATTTAGTACTTTGAGGATTTCTAGGACCAATTTTTAGAAAGTTCCAGTGTGTAAAGTTGAATCCCAACCCTAGACGGGGGGGGTAATTTTTAAGGATTTTTTTAGTCATCTTTGAAGGTTCCTTTCAAAATTAGGGCTTTTTCTAAAAAAATCTTATGAATCTTTATTGAGCTTGGAGCTTCGAAAAATCGTGTTCAGGCTCAAAAATCTTCTCGGAAAAAAAATTAAAGGTTTTCTGCTTTTGAGCGGCTTTTTTTGGCTTTACTCGTTCCAAACACTCTCTGGTACTATTAAAAATTCCACTACAGCTCTAATTATAAACTTTAGAATGAAAAACTCCATCAAAAATTTTGAGAGGGACTCGATAATCCGAAAATCACCAAAAATCAAGGGCGTCTAGACTTAAAGCTTTTTTTTGATCTGGGTAACAGTTTTACAGTGAAGCAATCAATGGTACGACGAGCTCAAAGTTTAAGTGAAATATGAAAAAGTGTTCAATAACTGTTTCCTATCGTGAATCAACCAAAAACAATTTTTGAAATGTTTTTCGTTTTGGAGATTTCGTTGATTCCAGGTTTCAGGCTGTAACTTACCACAACAATTAGCTACCCAGCTGATTTTCTTTTGTTAACATACTGGATCTGCAAGTAACAACTGTAGAAAGTTTGACAGAAACCGGACAACTTCTGCAAAAATTATGACGAAAAAAGTGAAATTGTATATCTTACTGCACGGTACTGTTATCTACCAAAAATGAGCTCAATCGAATACTCTGGAATTTTCAACTTTTAAGGGCCCTTAACTTTTTTCACATGCCTCGATGGTATATTTTGAGGACAGATTCAGAATCAGCGTGAAAAAATACATCTAGTGGACCATGTCTCATGTAAAAGTTCCACTGAGAGTTGGTTGGAAGAATCCAAAAATATCCGCACTTTCCAGGTCCATTTCATCCGGGCAACGCCTCCCAAAACCTACAAAACTGTCAAGCCAATTTTGATTTCCCATGGCTGGCCAGGCAACGTCTTCGAGTTCTACAAGTTCATTCCGATTCTCACCGACCCCAAGAAGCATGGAATCGATGTTGATGTGGGTTTATTAAAAAAAAAAAAGCAAGATATTTACCTTTTTGGGACTAGAAAGTATGGATTTTTTTATAATATTTATTCAAAAAAAGATTTGGGTCTTCGAAAAAAAAATCATATAGCAACAGTTTCAAAGAGAATATTCTTTTAGAAAGAAATTTCATGACATTTTCTTGAAAGTTTGAAAAAAAAGATGAATTGTTTCATTCGTGCTCCATGGCTAAAAATAGCTCTCTCACCGGACCCCTTTAGTGAACCCTTTAGCGACGTCAGTTTTCTTAAGTGACCACTTTTCAGCTAAAAATACAATACTTATCGATGCTTCGTAACTTGACACGCGTCTAGTGATCCCTTTAGGGACCACTTGAGCGGCGTAGGCCCTCTTAAGTGGTCACCTGAGGGTTTAAAATGCGATATTGATCGATTCTCAGTAACCAGACTCGCCTAGCGACCCCTTTAGTGAACCCTTAAGCGGTTTCGGTCCTCTTAAGTGGTCATTTCCAAGAGAATGGCCATTTTTGACTAACCAAAACTGAACCAAAAAAAAAGTCGATAATACTTTCTCTACTTTAGTTCGCCTTTGAAGTCATCGCTCCATCGATTCCTGGATACGGATGGTCGGAGGCGCCCAAAAAGACTGGTTTTTAGAAACTTCCCGGTTTTAGATGATATTTGTGGACCTCAGGCTTCTCCCAACTGGCTTGTGCTCGAGTTTTCCGGAAACTGATGCTCAGATTGGGCTTCCGGAATTTCTACCTTCAAGGCGGCGACTGGGGATCCCTGATCACTCGTCACATCGCTGTGGTTTATCCCAAGAAGTGAGAAATGAGGAAAATACGCTCCACGGATAATATCAAGGATTATTTTTATCATTTTAGAGTTCTAGATAGGCTCTTTCATTGGAACAATTTCATTAGAAAAAAATTATTTTTTTCTAGTTTATTCAAAATTTAGCCTTTGACTACAAAAATAAAAATCCCCCCGCCCCCCAAATTTTTTCAGTGTCCTAGGCCTTCACCTCAACTCGATGTTCATTACGCCAGGACTCGATTTCGCAACCTTTTTGGACGTTTTCGGCTCTTTCTTCCCATCCCTGGTTATTCAGAAAGCGGAAATTGCGCTCTATTGAGAAAGTTTTCCAGGTTTTCTCTTCTCCGAACTTGAGAAACCACAACTTCTTCGAAAAACACAAGACTCTATTGGCCGAGACAGGGTACATGCACATCCAAGCGACGAAACCAGATACTGTTGGTGAGGAGTTTTTCTTGGAAGTAATGTGAGATTTTCTTTGAAAACTGTGCGAACTTACTCAAAAAAGTGCACTTTTTCCGTAAAATGGTGCACCCTCACTTAGAAAAGCGCACCTTCCTCGTAAATTCGTGCACCCTCACTTAGAGAAGCGTACTTTGATCGTGAAAGGGTGCGCCCTCACTCACAAAAATCCGCTTTCTTCGTAAAATGGTACGCCCTCACTCAAAAAAGCGCGCTTTGCTCATGAAATGGTGCGCCCTCTTTCCGTTTGAGCTTCGTAAACAGTATGTATGAATACACTTCGTGTTAATCCAAAGCACATATTTTCTCAATTAGAAGCTTCACCTCGTAAAATGGTGCACCCTCCTGTTGTAAAGCGCACCCTCGACCACTTCTTTAACCGTTTTTTTCTCAGGAAAAGCTTGTATTTTTGGAACAGAAGGGTGGTATTGCGGGTAAAATGGTACATATTCGCTCAAAACCGCGCTCTTTCCCTCAAAAATCGTGCACCTTCTCTTAAATTCCGACATGTTTATCCACTTTTTTCGCCGTTTGTTGATGGAAATCTTCCTTTTTAGGGTCGGCTCTCAACGATTCTCCACTCGGTCTTGCCGCCTACATCATTGAGAAGTTTGGAACTTGGACCAACTCTGAATATCGTGCCCTGAAAGATGGAGGCCTTTCGAAGTTTGAAATTTATTTTTGCAAGGAAAACCATTTTTGAAGGAAATTCACACGTGATGAACTTCTGACGATTGTCATGATTTATTGGGTCAATGGGAATATTGTTTCTTCGCAGAGATTCTACCGGGAGTACTTCCTCGACCGGCGGAATGATGTTCTGGGAAGGTGGGTTTATAAAGATTTTAAATTTCTAGAAGGGAATTTTTTTTAATAGGCCTCTATGCGTGTATAGGCTTCCCAAGGAATTTGTTTCTGTATTTTTTTAAAAATCAGAGCTAGTTAGAATAGTTTTTCATGTTCCAGTTGGACACTCCGAAAACCGAAAATTGGAGAAAATGAAATTCTCGACTTTTGAGAGCCCATAACTTTTTTGACAGTCCTTGGGGCAATTTTCGAATGCAGATTCGGAATCAGCATGAAGAATCATATCTAGGATACATAGTCCCATTTGGAAGTCCCACTGTGAGCTGAGACAATTCCCTAGTGATGCTACTACAACTTCAAAGAAATCCGAAATACCTCCCCTGGTGTTCTAGTCCCTCGCGTCCGAACAAGCCTCCCCCTCTCCTTTTCTTTTTGACTGGGGGGGGCTGAATCAAATGTCGAATGTGCTGTTTTTCCTTTTGGAATCCCCCCGTAGTACTAGGGCCCTGAACTGAAATTTAAAAATCGAATAATAAACGGGGCCTATCTCCAAATCGTTTCGAGACCGATTAACGATCGATTCTACCTACTTGGAAGGGGGGGGCTTATTCGAACGGGTCGGGGGGGTTTGAACGGGCCGTGAGGGAGGTGGGGTTTCGAACGGGTCGTAAAAAAAGGGGGGGATTTTTTTCGAACGGGCCGTGATGGGGGCTTTTTCGAACCGAACGGGTCGTTAAGGGGGAGGGGTTTTCAAACGGTACCCCCTCTTGAGCTCCTCAATGAATGAGACAAAAATTTCCTTCAATGCAGGATCTACGTGAAAGTCCCGACAGCCCACGCGAGTGGACTCGAAGAAATCTACGACCGGACTCCCAGGGAAATCTCGGAACGTTTCGTCAACCTGACCCACCATGGAGAACACCAATTCGGACATTTCGCCGCCTTTGAGCAACCCAAAATCTTGGCCGAATCTGTTTTTGATTTTGTCAAGGATTTGCAGTAACCGGGACCTGTAGATGTCGAAAATTATAGCAGATTCGAACGATTTTTTTCGGGTTTTCTTGTATTATTTCATGTTTCACCTGTAATTTTTTGAATATTTGAACAGAGAAGGTTTACAAAAACGATGATCCGGGCTTGAAATCGCGTGAAAAAACAGAAAAAAGAAGGAAGGAAGATCAAAAATAAGTCATACGTCAAATTTTAATTTTGGCGCCTAATCGCTTCGACCGGCGAATTTAAACGATTTCCTGATTTTTTTATGGTTTTTCGATTTTTGAACCGTCTCAGGTTACATCTAGTCGGGTATTTTTTTATAATTCCACTGATTTTCAAATATTTTTTTGTTTCAAAAAAAGAAGAAATAATTTTTCAATATTTTATCGAAAAAATTTTTCACCTTTATCCAACATCAAAACGATCATTTGGTTGATTCTGTAAGAAGTTTTGATTTTTGATTTCTTCATTCATTTTTTTGGTTACGGTAGTTTATTTTAGCAATTTTATCACTATAAAAAAACCGAAAAAATCGTTTTCGTCTGTCCAGATTTGGAATATCAGCGTTTAACTCCACTCATGGGATTACTGTACCTTTCGTGTCGATGTTTTAGCGCTCGTGACGTTGATCCTTTAATAGGGCTAATTTTTTCGTGCCTACAGTATCGTGTCGATTTTTTATCATGCTAATCGATGATCTTTCAAAAGGGCTCCGTTTTTTTGGGGATACGGTATCTTTCGTTTCGATGTTTTTTAGTGCATGACGATGATCCTTTAATAGGGCTACATTTTTGTGAATACGGTATTTTTCGTGTCGATGTTTTTTGACGATGATCCTTTAATAACGCACTTTTCGACTTTTTCTGGATATTGGATAGATCAAAAAGAGACAATAAAATGCAGCCTTATTAAAGGAGCAGCGGTAGTATTGATGGAGAAACATCGACGCGAAAGATACTGTAGACTCGAGGGTAAAATTAGCTGCTTGACATTCAAAATTTGAACAGACTTTAGACTAGATCAAAAAAAAATCTTGTGGGTCAAAAATTTCAATTTTTGCGCCAAATCTACTCCTGGCAGTCTTTCAACTCGAAATTTTTCATTTTTGAGGTTTTTTTCAATCTTCTGTCCTGCAAACGTCTACTCGTCACGTTTGACCAGGTATTTATATTATTCATTTGATTTTTTTAACGCTTTAAAAAAATTCTGTACCTTCCCTTTCCGTGCCACTTTTCCAAGGCCCTTTTGAAGTTTAGTCAGTAATTTTTTCCCGATGTTTTGTTCATTTGATTTTTTAATCTCAGACAAATCATGTTTATTTTTCGATTACTGGTCTCTTAAATCAATGATGCTCCAATGAGCTTCTAAATAAACTAATTAATAACAAGTTTTTACTGATTTTCAGTTCCTACACTCAAAATAATCATTAATCTCTTAAGAAATAAATAATTAGTTTTTATTTACAAATTTGATGAAGAAACCTTTTTTTGAGCGGCTAAACAAATACAAAAACACATTTTTTTATAAACTTCCTAATGATGCCAGAGTGGTCCCTAGAGGGTCTAGGGGAAATTACTAGAGTTGCCACTTTTTCCCTCCCCATAGGGGGAGATAAAGTGGTACCTATAGGGAATTTTTAAACGCCCTCAAGGTTGCCCTTCTAGGGACCACACTGGCGTTCCTAAGTTGAGAAATTGATGAAGTTGGGAACTTGAAAGGACTACTGTGACCAAACTGAGAAAATTTTTGTGGCCACTATAGGGTTTTGACGTTTTAAAGGCCTCTTTAGTAGTCAAATTAGTGGCCACTTGAGGGATTAAAAATAAGTGGCCACTATAGAGGTATAAGGGTTACTACTAGACCACTAAAAATTTTAGTGGCCACTTTAGGGGTCAATGGGTCAACATAACTGGTCCAATCTGTTTGTTTTAAAATTATTTGAGTTACTGGAAGGAATACTGGATGAAAAACTACTGGAGTGGCCACTAAATAGTTAACTTCTATAGTGGCCCCTAAAACGGAAGATAGTGCCACTATAGAGATGGTTTTAGTCGCCACTTCAGTGTCCTCTCCATGTAGTCCTTGGCGAACCCCTATAGTGGCCACTGAAAATTTTCCCAGGAACTTTAAAATTAAATTTAAGGAAGCATCTTAATTTTTATCTCAGAGAAAATTCTTAGTTTTGAAAGAAGGTCCTGAAAAGTTTGAAAAAGCCCTACTTACAAGGGAAAAGGTGGATTTTTGAAAAATTCACAAGATCTTTTTTTTTTTGACATTTTAGTGATTTAAAAGTCATCACAAAGCTATTCAACCCCATTTTTCTTCAATTTTTCTGTAAAATGAATTTTCAACCGAGTACTTTCACTTTTTTTCCACACGTATCCTTTCAAAATCGGCCAATGTTTATTCCCGTGAACAGTTCAAAATGAATAAATGAATAAAAATCAAAAATGAGTATATTTATTATTGTAGAAGGTGGTCCACATGACGTTGAGCTCCTTCATTCTGGACCCGGTCGTTTCTCGAGCCGTTGTCAGGTCTTTTATTATGTTACTTCTCTGACTTTTCACATATTGGAAGGCGTAGAGAATCGTTCCGGGGGTGGCTGCGGCCGCGTAGGGAAATGTCTGAAAGTGGGATTTTTAAACGATTTTTGAAAAGGAAAATGCGCAAAAAAGGTTTGAGAATGGTTCGAAAAGATAAGGTCAACTGTAAAAGATAACTTTAAAAAAATAATAAATTTTGAAATTTGACTGCTGAAAAAAATAGCTTCAGATCGAAAAAAATGAGCCGATTTTGAGAATATTTTAGGGTTTTTTTAATAAGAAAAAAATGGGGACAGGTAAGGCTTAAGAAAAACAGAAACCATCAAAAATTTCCTCAAAAATGACTTAAAAATAGCAAAAAATAAAATAAGCCCCTCAGAATTTCAGCTTTGAAGGTATTCATGAAAAAGACGAAAATAAGCTCAAAATAAGTCGAAAAGGGCTCAATAAAGGCTGAAAAACAGCTCAAAAATAGGAGTTTATAGGGTTAATTAATCACTACAAGAAAGTTGAGCCGCAAAAATAGCTTAGAAAAAAAAATATCGGACAGATACGAAGGCTCCAACACTTGTGATCTTTCGAACCAAAGACTGTAAAAAAAAAACGACTCCCAAAACTATTTTCGAGCTGTTTTTCAGCCTTTTCTGAGCCCGTTTCGACTTATTTTCAGCCTTTTTTTCGATTTTTTAAGCATTGTTTTTTCTGCCTTTTCAGAACCAAAATTGAAACTTTCATCACTAAAAAAAATGAAAAATTGTCCTGGGAATTTTTTTTTTTTTGATGTTTCAAAATTTTTTTGTCACTAGACGCATCTTCATTAATAAACTAGAATAAACTACCAAAAACCATTTCTAATCTTTTTTTGTGCGTGAATTCACATGTTTAGTCCGCAAATTTGCGTCAGAGGGAGTACGGAAATTGATCTTATTCGGCGCCATTTAAAAATTTTTTGAAAAAACCTTCTTCAATTCTAAATAGATCATCAAAAACCACAAATCAAAATGTTCTCGTTTTTTTAAAAAAATTGTCATTATCTTTATTTTTTTTTCCTGGTTTTCCAAGTTCTCTTGGTAATCCCTCTGATCCCTTGGGTTTTCGAGCTTTTTCTGAGCTTCATCTGAGCCTTTTCCTGAGCTCTCTCCCATGTTCTTTTGGTCTCTCTAATTGAAGAAAAAAACGCTCACGTATAAAGCCCGGCCGAGTAGGTAGACCCACAAGGTTGACGAGTCCAATTTGAGGGTCCGAAAGACGACTCGGCTTCCGATGTAGAGAGAGAAGCCGAAGACTAGGACTAGGGTTATCCAACAGACGACCTGGGAAGTTAGGAGGGCTTCTCGTTGTCGGTACCGGATCTTGATGTCGAAACGGATTCTGGAAAATTGATTTTTAGGGTTTTTTGAAAACTCTGGTAGATTCCTGAGGACTTTTTGTATGACAAATCAATAGGTTCATGTAGATTCTCGTAATTTTTCATAATTTTTGAAGAAATTTCATTTTGTTCCGGACAAATTTTAGGACTGAAGATCACAGTTAGCTTTCTAAATATTAATTCATAAAGGTCCTTAGGGTTTAGAGGTCATTTTAGTAGTTTTCGCGAGGTTCTGTGGACTTTTTGATGGTCTTAGGAGCTCCAGAGTGGTCCCTCTAGGGGCCCTTGAAGGCTCCCCTCTAGGGACCACTTTACCTGCCCCTAAAGGGGCCACTCTATCGTTTTTAAGTTCTGAAGGATTCTGGAACATTTTAATCTTGCAAAGAGCTCTAGATACAACACGGAGAACCTTAGAAAATGTAAATTTTTTTTTCCAGAAGCTTCACATTTTTCTTCGAGCTCGTTAAGAAGCTTTTCGTAGCCTTTAGACTTTTATTTTTATTTTCTGGAGACTTTTACAAGTTTTGACACGGTTCGAGAGTACTAATGAATCCTAGTGATTTTAATAGGACTCTAAATTTCTCTAGATAATCAGAGAACTTCGAAAGTTCTGAGGATCTATCAGTGTTTTTTAATAGCTTTTGAAATGCTCCAACCTGTTTTCCCTCCGGCGATTGATCATAATCACGAAAATGGTGATAAAGACACAGGAAATCAACACCATAGCGTTATAATTAATAAAAGTGGCTAATGGGGCCATCCGATAACTGGCCACGTCAGTACATCGGAGATAAATCTCGGATGGAGCGTTTGGATCAGCGAGATAGTAGGTCGTGAAGGCACTGTAGAAGATCTGAATTCGGACCTTTAAACAGGAAAAAAGAAGAAGAAAAAGGGGTATAATCCATTCGTGGCGACCTTCAGAAGTCTGACTTTCTCTGCGCTCTCTTTTCTATGACCTCTCCGGTGAGAAAGAAGAGACGCAGACAGGTCAGACTGTTTCAAATCATGGTGAATGAACTATAGAATTTTCATGAACTTTAAATGGCAGGAAAACGGTTTTTCGCCCCAGGACCCTTTTAGAATGAGCCTATGCTCCTTTAAAACTTAAAATTTTCATCAGGATTTTGAAAAAGCCTCCAAAGGACGCTTTAAAAGGTTTTTTCCATCCGGACCTTGTTTTAGAATCGTCTATGCGCCTTTAAAGTTGATAAACTTCAAAGAGATTAAAATGGCAAGAAAACAGATTTTCGCCGCGGGACCCGTTTTTTGAAAAAAGCCTATGCGCCTTTAAAATTGAGATTGTTTGAAAAAAGGACTTTTTTACTTCGTGACCTTTTTTAAACCGTCTTTGAGCCATTAAAGTTGAATATTTTCATCATAATTTCGAAAAAACCTCGAAATGACACTTTTTTCAATCCGGTTCCTTATTTTGAAATCGTCTATGCGCCTTTAAAGTTCAAATCAAAATCAAAATGTTTTATTTCTCACACACAAGTACTAAATTTCACGAAATAGATGAAGGGAGAATTTGGGAAAGTTGATACATTTTAACTAAATTCAAAATGGAAAAACGGCTTTTCGGGACCCGTTTTGAATAAAGCCTCTGCACCTTTAAAATCGAGATTTTTTGAAAAAAAGGACTTCTTTACTTCGCGACCTTTTTTAAATTGTCTTTGCGCCTTTAAAATCAAATATTTTCATCGGGATTTAAAAAAACCTCCAAATGACGCTTTCAAAAGGTGTTTTTCACCCCATGACCTTTTTTTGAACTAGTCTATGCGCCTTTAAAATCGACAAATGTCCTTAAAATCGAAAAAATTATCCGATTGACTTTAAACATCACTTAAAAATGCTGAAAAAGTCTCTCAACTTCGTGACCTTTTTTTGAATTTCTCTATGCGCCTTTAAATTTCAAGACCCGAAAAAGGTTTTTTACGACAAAAATAAAAGAAACTCACCGTTATAAAGCACAAAATCGCACAGACGCCCATTCCAAACCGATCGTAGAACTTTGGAAACAACGTTGAAATAACTCTAAATTTGAACTTTAGTCCATTCATCGATAATTTAACGAACCTATCAACACTCAAAGCATAGGGAATAACAATTAGGCCCGAGCAACTGAAAATGGCGAAAAGGCTGTGATAAAAACAATCGGTTGTTTTGATCGTGATTTCGCAGGGCTTTTCGCTGAACATGTAGCTTCGGAACACGGCGCCGGTCTGGAGAATAGAACTAGTTGGGTTTCGAGAAAATGACGAAAAGGTTATTGGGAATGGGTTAATTATTCTTTCGGTTATTGGGAATGGATTAATTAGTTTTTTTTTTTCAAAAATAGAATAAGCTTCATTTTCATAACTGTCTAGCCTGTCTGCGCCCTCTTTTCCCTCACCAGAAAATCGAGATAGCATATGGAAATTAGAGGGCGAAGGGAGGTTAGACCGTCCAAAACTTATTTGTAGAAAGTTTAAAAGTGAGGAAATTTCTTTTATTTTTTGAACTAATACCCGAATTTCTCTGATCTGTAAGCATGTGACCGCATTTGGAATGGCTCTCAGGTGCGCCCGACTAGAAGCGACTTCCGCATTTCGAAACTTGGAACAGCCGCAACGCGACCGCGACGCTTCAAGCCTTTCCAAGTACGGCCAGGTCAATTTTTGAAGACAAAAAATATTTTTAACAGTTTTTTTGAAACCATTTTTCATTAAAAGCCCTTTTTGGAGTACAATAAACATTTTTGAATGACCCTCGATCCAGCAAAAAGTGAATTTTCAAGGTTCCAAGAAATCTTAAAAGCTTCCAAGTAGCTTCAAAAATATTTTGAGCCCTTCTTGAATTTTTTTCAACCCTTACCTCCATGACAAACGTGACGCCAGCCAAGGTGTTTGCGAAAAACACAGCTATGACCAAAAGTAGCCGGGTCGCACTTTGGAATGGACATTTGTAGTGAAGAAGGTAGATGGCGGGAACGGTCAGGATTACGGTGAGAATCGCGGCGATTTGTTGTAGGTGACTTATCGATCGATAGACAATTGAAGTGACGGCGGTTATCCCGTTCTGGTCGGCACAGCCGTCCGGCCCGATGAACATGCTCCTTTAATAAGAGAATCGGTTTTGAAACATTTCAAAAAGCGAGAAAATTCTGAGATTATTCGTGGTTTTGATGATCTATTAAGAAATGAAGAAAGATTTTCCAAAAATTTTTGAATTGGCGCCAGAAAATATCATTCACCGTACTCTCCTTGACGCAAATCTGCGGACCAAACATATAATTATACGAAAAAGAAAAATTCAAAACGGCGCCAAAAAAATATCAATTACCGTACTCCCTCTGACGCAAATTCGCGGACCAAACATATAATTATACAAAAAAAGAAAAATTCGAAATAGCGCCAAAAAAAGATCTTTCACCGTAGACGCAAATTTGCGGACTTGACATGTAAATTTACGCACAAATTTTTTTAAATTCCTTTGATAGATTTTTTTCTAGTTTATTAATGAAGATGCTTAAAGTAACAAAAAGAGATTTTTTTACTCATCATGAAATTCCATGGAAATTTATTTTTTTCCCATTTTTCACCAGTAATAGAAGTTTTCAAGATATAGAATTTTAAGAGGAAAAAAATTTGGATTCAAGTCAAAAAGTTGAAAAAAAAATAATTTTTTAGAAATCCCAGTAAAAAGTTCTATGAGATCTCATTTTATCTCAATAATTTGATGATCCTATTTTCAACCATTTTAAAAAAGTCTAGCCGGTCTGCGCTCTCTTTTCCCTCACCGATGGGGTCATAAAAAATAGCAAATAGTACGGTTAAGAAGAAAGCGCAGAGAAATGAGCTATTTTCAAGCTTGAAGGTCCAATTTTGAGCTAGAACTATTCGGAAAGTACAGATTTTCGGGTAATTTTGAAAAGAACGTGAAGACCCTACTGATAAATTTCAAAAGAAGTGATTTTTTTCGGAAGCATTTTTTCCAAGAACCTTGGGGCATAATGAAATGAGAAATGACAAGTTATTAGATGGGAAGAATAATAAACGACTCCTTTTGCAGCCCGAATAAGCATGTTATGATGATGAAGCTAATTGGATACTTTCTTTCTTTTTTTTTCCTCCCATTCTTCCTTTTTCGCCACAAAGTACATACCCAAGAGAGCTCCCGAATCAGAGAGGCGTGAGTAATTCGAAGACAGAAAAGAAATTGTTAATAAAATCAAATTGAAGCCTGTTGCGTAGAGAAACCCTAATGAAAAATGGAGAGACGGAACTAGAATGTTTTGGGTCTTTTTTTATTGAATTTTTGATTTTTTTTTGGGATAGAACAAGTTTATAAATGTGCTTTTATATAGGGACTTCAAGGAAAAAAATTGAATTTTTTTTATTTTTGCTAACTCCCCACGTAGCTCGATTTTTTTAAAGGAAAAAAATGATTTACTCCGTTTTTTTGTTTCAAATTTGGGACATAAAAAAACCATAAGAGAATTTTTCATGTCTTTTATTGAATTTTTGATTTTTGAAGATCATCAAAACTAGTTTATAAATATAATTTAAGAAAGAAATTTACAAAATATATCCAATTATTTTTTTGCTAACTCCCCATGTAGCTCTTTTTTTGTAGGAAAAAAATAATTTAGTCCGCTTTTTTTAGATTTCAAATTTGGGAACATAAAAAAATAACCATAGGAGAATTTTTTTCAGGTCTTTTTATTGAATTTTTTTGATTTTTTTTTGGGATATAACAAGTTTACAAATGAGCTTTTAAGAGAGAAATCTTCAAAAAAATTCATCAAAAAAATTTTTGTTTTTTTGCTAACTCCCCATGTAGCTCGGTTTTTTTGAAGGAAAAATAATTAAGTCCGTTTCTTTGTTTTAAATTTGGCGGAAGATATAACTGATAAAGCCGAAGTTTGAAATATTTGTTAAAAAAATCAAGTTTTTTTATCGATTCGTGAAAAAAATCAAGAGGTTTTTTTGACAAAAATTTTTCATAAAAATAACCAGTGGGAAAAATTGTTTAGGTCTTTTTTTGAATTTTTGATTTTTTTGGATATAAGGAGTTTATGAATGTGCTTTACAGAGGGAATTCACGGAAATTAGAATTTTTTTATTTTTTTGCTATCTCACCATGTAGCTTTATTTTTTTGAAGGAAAAAAATAATTAAGTCCGTTATTTTTTTGTTTTTAATTTTGGAAAGTTGCTTTTAACCGAGGTGTGAAAAAAATGTTCTATTATTTGAAGATTCAGGGGTTTTTGAAAAAAAGTCTAGAGGAATAGATTTTTGATCATGGGGAGGGGGTTCTTTAATTATGTCGCAAAAAAATCGAAAAAAATTTTTTTCGAATTGCTTCAGTTGCTTCAATTTGAGACTTAAATCAATGAAAAAGAACCTTTTTCAACTTTTTGATACATAAAGTTGCTGCGAAAATCGAATTTTGGACTAAACAAATGTTTCTGGGACCTTTTCTCGGGACTAACAAAAGGTTTTCTGGGATTTTTCGGGACTTACAAAATGTTTCTGGGATCTGAAATGTAAGCCTCGAACTGAATGAATTGAAACTAGATACACGGCCAAATTTCGAAGCAAGTTTTGGAGTTGAAATTCAATTTGTGAAGATTTTCCCAGCGCAAAAACCTTGAAAATCCAGAAATTGCGCTCTATTTTTATCAAAATTTGAAGTTTAGTTCGCAAATTTATTATTTGAAAGCGAGGAAAAAAATGAGAAGAATCAAATGAAAATCATGATTTGAAGAGCTGAAATTGGACACTCGGCCGAAAATTCAATTAAATGAGCAAAGTACGGAAAGATTCCTTGCGAATTTGAACTTCATGGCCTCAAAAAGTTGGTAGTTTTTGGAATTTTTGCCTGGTTATCCTCAAATTTTCAGCAAGAGTCACATAGGAAATTTGGTGGAAAGCTCTAAATTTGAGTTTTGAATGAACAAAATTAGTAACCAGTCTTGAAAATGCCTAATTTCAGAAAGGAACCAACAAAACCGGTCACCAAAATAAGAAAAAAATAGAATTTTTCAAAAAAATTTGATAAAAAAATTTGCAAACGACGTCAGGTGACATTATATACCACACAAATTCCAAACCTAATTTTTTCCTCGTGTTTCAAAAATGTAATTTCTCCGATTTTATTCGATAAAAAAAGGTTTCTTTGCATCGTAAGTTAATTTTGGAGGCGTATACTCAAGGAAAATGATTTGATAATAATAATTCGGACTGAAAGTCTGGAAAAAAGGCGTTACGTAGGGAAACTAAATGTATTTTGGAATTAGTCGTAAACGTTTCGTGGGAAACTAGAATCTCGATTGGATTGTAGTCTCGAAATCCGGGAAATTTTGATTGATATGATAATTGGATGAGACACGGAGGGTTTGCGCCCGACCAGAGACTACTTACGCCCGTCTTGTAAAGAAGTCACTTAAGGTCGGGCGCATTTTCAATCTCAAATAATTACATTTTTTACCCCGGAAACGCATCGCCGCATTGAGAATTCACGAAAATTGCGCCCGACCTGAAACGACTTGCGCTGGAAAAGCTGAATACGCCCGACTAGAGACTACTGGCGCCTGACGGCATATTGAAGCTTGAAAATGAGAAGTCGCTTGAGGTCGGGCGCATTTTCGACCACAATTGATTTTATTTATAACCCGAAAACGCAACGAACGGCTTATTCCCGATTTTTGCGCCCGACCTAAAACGACTTGCGCGCTTTTTTCTGGAAAAAGCCGAATGCGCTCGACTAGAGACTAGACACTGTAGCTTGAAAATGAAAAAATTTCCACCTCAATTAATTTAATTTATAACCACGAAAACGCAGCACCGTGTAGAAAATGGCTTTTTCACGAAGTTTGCGCCCGACCTGTAACGACTTGCGCGTTTTGGAGTCCTAAAAAGTTGAAGAGTGTGCCCTTATTACTGCTAACTCAAAGCGATTGAGAGAGCATTGAAAATGTTCCATATTTGTTTATAAAAAGACAACATCGCGAAATTTGCGCCCGACCTGAAACGACTTGCGCGCTTTGGCACTTAAAAAATGTTGAAAGCGCAATTTATCCAACCGTGGTTTTTCGGGTTGAAGAGAGTTGATTATCATCGGAAAGGGATCAAGTTCACTCATCCCACGGTGAATTTTACCTGAAAAATTTATTTTCAATGGTTCTCGAATAAAGCATTATATGAAAAAAGGAAGTCTTCATCGTCAAAAAACCCAAAAATGGTAGATTTTCGGTAAATTTTAAATTTTTCCCGACTTTTTGAGATGAGAGTCAAATATAGGAGCTCGTATGGAAACTTTTTGAACTTTAAAAAAACTTTTTAAAAATTGGAAATTCAGCGGAGAAATCGATTTTTGATCGAAATTTTGAACTTGAAGGAGCTTTTTCCTTGATTTTTTTCAGCTGTAAATTTAAATTTCAAATATTTTTTTGACTTTTTTTGAAATGCAAGTCAGATATAGGAGCTCATTTGGAAACTTTGTGAACTTTAAAAAAATTTTTTTAAAAAAATTGGAAATTCATCTGAGAAATCGATTTTGATCGAAAATTTGAACTTGAAGGAGCTTCTTAATTTTTTTGACCTATAAATTTAATTTTTTTCGGTCTTCAAATAACATTTGCTGAAAAAAATAAATAACCTTTCATTTTTTTCTAGTAAGAACTCTTGAATTTCTAAAATTTTTTTAGAAAGTTTAAAAAAGAAGGTTAGAAACCAAGCCAGGAATAAAACTTGCAGTGTCAAGAACAAGTTGAGAAGAATAAATCTCAAGTTTTGTTTATCAACCAATTTTTTTTTTGTTCAAAGTGCACTGATCAAAGTAACACGTTTTTTGTTTAATTTTGGAAGAGTACATTGACCAAATTAACAAGTTTACGTTTCAAAAAAAAATTTTCTTTTTCCCACAGACTGAGATATTAATGATCATTTATCACATTTTTTCGAAGACTTGAACTTTTCATCAACAAATTATATTAATCAGAGCATGATTAATTCATGTTTTCAATGATTCTCACGCTTTTGACGTAACATTTTCTGAGTAGACGCAAGTTTTCAGGAAGTGATCTTGTTGGTAATACAATAATATTTGCAGAATAGGAATCTGGAAGCAAAATAGTTGGTTCCTTGGGGTCAGGGAGGGTTTTGAAGCATTGAAATCGCAAAAAAATTCAGGTTTTGAAGCGATAAATTTAAAAAAATTTTTGAGAAGTTAAAATCATAAATTTGACATTAAAATTTTTGATTTGAAGTTATCAAGCATTTTTCCCTTTAGTGAGCCCTTCCGCCAAGTCCTCTTTGGAATTCCAAATGTTGAGTGACTACTTTAGGGGTCTCAGAAAAAAAAACGGAAATCGTTTTTTCTCTATGCGTTTGTTCTACAACAGAACGTTAAAAATTTTACAATATTTTTTGATCTCAAAAAGTTGCATTTAGAATGGATCAGCGCGTTGCGGTCGCGATGCGGTTCCCTGATGGATCCCTAGAGGGTGAAAATGGTTCTGAGTGGTCACTAAAGGGCTTAAAATGCCTTTTTTGTACTGAATTATCCTATAAAGGCTATTCTAAGTGTGGGTTGATATAGATTGAAGCAATTTGAAAAATTATTGTTTTTTTTTGAAAATTCAAGCTCAGTGTGGAAGCGGCTCTAAAGGTTCACTTTAGAAAATCCCTCAAAAGGCCACTCACCTCCCGGAAAATGGATTTATTTCAAAGGGACTATTTTAGTGAATTTATAAAAAAAATTAACTTTTTCATATGCTCAAACTTTTAGGAGGTGGCTGAAAAAAATTCTGAAAATGGCCGCATTTGGAATGGTTCATAACTTTGACGATTGACAGGTTTTCTGAGTGATATTTTAAGGGCGGACAGTTTTTTTTTTCTAGATGTAGAAGAGAAAACAATGAATCACACCGAAGTTCTTTTTCATTCTTGTTCAACCTGGTCGCATTTGGAATGGCTTAAAAGGTCTCGGTTTCCTGAAGGGCCACTTGAGGGTTTGATAATATTATTTATTTTTTTCTCAATATAAGAAGACAATAAAAAATAGAGAAAGTTTCAAGATTGACAAGCTTTTTTCTTAAACGACGCTTCCCACTGAAGGGTCAGTTCATTCATCCGACTTCCAGTCGTTTCTTGGGCCGTCGTCAGATCTTTTATGATATTTTTCCTTCTCCATTTGACATAACTCAGACCGAATAAGATCAAGGCTGGTGTTGCCGTGGCCGCGTACGGTAGGGTCTGAAAATTCAAAAAAAATTCAGAAATTTCATAGGAAAATCTTACATAAAGAACCCTGTAGATTAGAGATACAGTGACTGGACAGTAATTCTTGCCGAAAATCCGGAATATCAGGCCCCCACAAATGTAGATGAAGATTCCGAAGAAAAGGACTAGGGTTATCCAACAGACGACCTGGGAAGTTAGTAGGGCTTCTCGTTGACGGTACCGGATCGTGACGTCGAAACGGATTCTGAAGATTGGTTTTGGACAGTTTTTCAGAGTTTAGAGGCTGAATGACAGTTTTTTCAAGGGCTCTAGACGTCTCTACAGGCTTTTTAAAAGTATTTTGAGTATAAATTTTGACTTTTCAGGTTTTTAGGGTCTGATTTTCCGTTTTCAAGGGTTATAAGAGTCTCTACAGGCCTTTTTTTCAACTTTAAAAAGTTTCAAAATATGTCAGAATTTTTTTGATGGTTTTCTGGGCCTCTTGGGGTTACACTAGCTTCTGAAACGCTCAAAAAGTTCCCTGAAAAACTCGAAAAAGACGATTTTCAGGCTTCTGGGGGCTTGTAGGGGACTTTTTAGGGAGCTACTAGAAGCTTTGAAAAAAACATTACCAGACATAAAAAAAGTTTTTATATAACAGTTTATAGAAAAATTATAGGCTTTTGAGTAATTTCATAGGCTCTAAAGTGTTCTGTCTATCTTTTAAAGAGTTGTTTTCAATTTTTTTAAGGTTTCAAATTTTTTTCGAAGTGATCCATTTACCTTATCAGGGTTTTGATAAGTGAAATTTCAACTAGAAGATCAAAAAGAGATTCAAAATCTTTAAAGTGCGGATTTTTTCAGTTTTTCAAACTATCAAGCGTTTGAATAAGTTTAAAAATCCTTTCGTAAGTTTTCAGGGGAAAAAAGACCTTTTTGAAAGGCTGAAGCTATCAAGAACCCGAAAAAAAAGGATTTACACGAAAAAAACGCTCCAAGACGTGGATAAGTTATGTTATCAGATTTTTGCTTTGTTTTCATTTAAAAAAATTCCCACCTCTTCTCAAGCCTCTTGTTGAGAAACATGATGAAAATAGTGATGAATACACAGATGATAAGTACGAAGGCGTTCAGGCTGATGACAGAAAAAAGCCCTTTGGACATGTAACTCGGGACGTCGGCACAGCGAATGAAAGTTTCCGTTTCGGCGTTGGGATTCACCAGAGAATTGGTACAGATTGCTGAGTAGGATACCTGAAAATGGATATGAAGTTTTCGGAATTTGAAAACAAATTTTCTTGGAAGAGATGTTCAGAACACTTTTCAGCGTCGAAAATCGAAACATTGAATTATTGCTGAGCCGCATCGCGACCGCGACGCGTTAGGCCAGTCCAAATTTGTCCAATTTTAACAGTAATGGTTATAAATGTTTCTTCATGCTCATTTGCTTCAAAATAAAAACTTTGTGGTCGCATAGGGAATGGCTAAATGACGACGAGCGGAAATTGAATGATTGCTGAGCCGCAACGCGACCGCGACGCATTAAGCCATTCCAAATGCGTCCAATTTTAACAGTATAGGTTTAAAATGTTATTTTAAGCCTGTCTTCGCTGAACGTTAAACTTCGTGGCCGCATGGGGAATGGCTAAACAGTCGGGAGCAAAAATTGAACTATTGCGCTGAGCCGCAGCGCGAGCGCAACGCATCGAGCCATTCAAAATGCGTGTAAGTTTCAGTAAAGGTTTAAAATGTTATTTTAAGCATGTCTTCGCTGAACGTTAAACTTTTTGGCCGCATGGGGAAGGGCTAAGCGACGGGGAGCAGTTCACGATCAGTGCGCCCGACTCAAAACGAGTTTCGCTCAATTGCATCAAAAAGCTTCAGAAAACTCGCCTGACCGTTTTTCGGATATTCAAGTAGTCTCTAACTTGATTTTTAAGAATTCTGGCCGAAATTTCCAAGTCTTGAAAAATCTTACCGTTCCCAATAGCAGAACAGCGCAAAAGGAAACGCCATAGGCTTGATAAAATAAAGGGAATAGTGTGGAAATTACTCTGTAATTTTTTTTATCCTTCAAAAAAGGCTCTGAAAAAATCTACCTGTCCACACTTAAAGCATAGGTGGTTAGAATTAACCCGGCACAACTGAAAACTAATAAATACGTGTGAGGAATGCATTGAGTCGAGGTGAACATGATATCGCATGGGCTGTCGGAAAAGGCGTAGCTGTGGTAGACTGCCTCGGTCTGAAAAGTTGATTTTCATGATTTCAAAGTTTATATCTGTGCGTTAGGGCAGTCTTTCCGCTTTCAGAATCATTTTTAAATTTTCAAAAATGTTACGATTGAGCCAAGTTATGATTTTTTGAAGTTGAAGGCTTTTTTTGTCACTTTTCTCGACTGAACTCGGGGGTTTTCGAACTTTTTTTCATTTCTGTATAAAAGACATCTGATATTTCCAGAAAACTACCGTAATCCTACCGTACCTCGATGACAAACGTAACGAACGCCAGGCAATTGGCGAAGAATATAGCGAGTAAAAGAAGTATCCGTGTCGAGTTTTGGAATGGCGATTTTCGTAACAAAAGGTATACTGTAGGTACTGTCAGGATTACTGTAGCTATTGCGGAGATTTGCTGTGAGTGGCTGACGGTACGGTAGAGCGTCGAGGTGACCAGCTGCATGCCTTGAGCCGTGGCACACCCGTCGATGTTCATCGAGGCCGGCGAGTTCTGAGGTTCTTATTTTTGTAATTTTCAACAAAATATTAAAAAGCTTAGGTAACATAGAAAAAAGACAGAAAGAAAACAGAAAAAAAAATAGCCAAGATGGAGAGAAAAAATAGCCGCGAAAAATAGCTCATGAATGATTTTTTGCGCTCTACGGCTAATTTTTCGTTTTTTATTAATTAATATGTCTTACAAAACTCAAAGTTTCGAAATATTAAGTTATTTTATTTTCTTCGGTCTCTACTTATCATCCGAGCGCACTTGTTTTATTTTCATTGCTTTTTGAGAAATGAAAAAATAGCCGCCGAAGTCGGAATTTTGGCACTCCACGGACAAAATCCATAATTTCAGTTTTTTGAAGCCGTTTAAGTTTTTTTTCAAGTCTTTTTTTGACTTTTTTCCGTGGAGCGCACTTTCCCCTGGCTAACGCGGCTATTTTTTCAAAGTATGTAAGACCAAATGAAGATTATAAACTGATGTGACGACACATTTGCAGAGAGGATGAATAAAAAAATGGTACATAGGCTAAAAAAAAAATAGCCGCCAAAATTAGAAGCTTTTGTGCTCCACGGCTAACTCTCTATAATCCTAGCCGGAACCCATAATTTATTAATTGTCCGTGAAGCGCTCTTTTTCCTGATTAACGCGGCTATTTTTTCAAAGTATGTAGGACCAAATAAAAGTTATAAACTGATGTGAAGACATCTTTGCAGAGGGGATTTATAAAAAATAGCACAGGGGCTGAAAAAAAATAGCCGCGAAAATTAGAAGCTTTTGTGCTCCACGGCTAACTCTCTATAATCCTAGCCGGAACCCATAATTTATTAATTGTCCGTGAAGCGCTCTTTTTCCTGATTAACGCGGCTATTTTTTCAAAGTATGTAGGACCAAATAAAAGTTATAAACTGATGTGAAGACATCTTTGCAGAGGGGATTTATAAAAAATAGCACAGGGGCTGAAAAAAAATAGCCGCGAAAATTAGCTCATGAATGCGCACTTCTTCCACCTTGACATAGCTTGTCGAGATTTGAAATAATAGCCGCCAAAATTAGAAGCTTTTGTGCTCCACGGCTAACTCTCTATAAGCCTAGCCGGATTTCATATTCTAATAATTGTCCGTGGAGCGCGCTTTCTCCTGGCTAACGCGGCTATTTTTTCAAAGTATGTAGGACCAAATAAAAGTTATAAAGTGATGTAAAGACACGTTGGCAGGAGGAATTAATAAAAACGGAAGAACTAGTCTTTGTCCTTTCGCCATAGATAATTGCTTTATCAATTATGAATCGTATAGAAGAGAACTTTGCACTCTGAAAAGTGCCTTTCTCGAATAATTTCCTGCAGATTCATGAAGTTAATTCATTAGATGGGTTACTGTAGCTTTGAGTTGTACTATATCGGGTTGGAAAAAGTCGACAAAAAGGGCATAAATGTGGCTAGACAACTACGTCGAATAATTTGAAGCGTGAAATTCACCTGTTTCGAAATCATTTTTGACCGAATTTCGGGAGATTCCAGGTCAAATAAGTCGTTCTTTGAGTTTGGGAAAAGAAAAAATTGATCTCTGAGGCTTCACGGTAATGATAGGTCTTTGGAGATCAACTAGAACAATAAATATTTTTAATGGAAAATTTTGAAACTTGAAGAGTTCATATAGATTCTTCATTGTGAAAAAAATGGTAATGGTACGACAAAATGGCCGCATTTGGAATGGCTCAACGTGTCGAAGATCTCATTTATGCTCTCCTATACCGAAGCGCGTAAGTCGTTCATGGTCGGGCGCAGTATCAACTCATCCAGCCCTTTTAATTCCTGGGAAGAAGATGAGTTTTTCGAGCTCATATAGGAGCTTTATTGTAAGAAAGTGGTATTGGGTTGATGAAATGACCGCATTTGGAATGGCTCAACGTGTCGAGAACCTCATTCATGCTTTTCTATACCGCAGCGCGTAAGTCGTTCATGGTCGGGCGCAATATCAACTCATCCAGCCCTTTTAATTCCTGGGAAGAAGATGAGTTTCCAAGTTTATATAGGTTCTTTATTGTGAAAAAAATGGTAATGGTACGACAAAATGGCCGCATTTGGAATGGCTCAAGGTGTCGAAGTACTCTCTTATGCTCTCCTATACCGCAGCGCGTGAGTCGTTTATGGTCGGGTGCAGCCTCAACGCTTCGAGCCATTCTCAGTTGTCTACCGTAAGCTCTGATTCATTTTTAAAGTCAATAATGTGATCTACAGTACCCTTAACTCATGTTCAAGACCAAGAAATTTGCCATTTCCAGGTTCAAAATTAGATTCGAAACAAATTTCACCTGTTGAGCGCGGAAATTGGGTAGACTCCGAGTTCCATGGCTACACTTTTTTTTTGGAACAATGTGGTCGTATTTATAATGGCTCAAGGTGTCGAAGTACTCTCTTATGCTCTTCTATCCCGCAGCGCGAAAGCCGTTTATGGTCGGGCGCCGCAGCTTTAACGCTTCAAGCAATTCTCAGTCGTCTACCGTAAGCCTTGATTCATTTTCAGAATCAAAAAATGTGACCTACAGTACCCCTAACCCTTGTACAAAAGATAGAAATTCGCAACTTCCAGGCTCAAATTTAGATTCGGGACGATTTTCACCTGTCCAATGCGGAAATTAGGTAGACGCCGTGAAAAAAGTTACATGGCTACACTTTATTGAAACTAAGTGGTCGCATTTGGAATGGCTCGCTGGGTTTTCTCAAGGTGCAGCCGACAGGAAACGACTTGCGCGGGGTGGTATTGAGGGGCTTTTTGAGCCATTCCAAGTGCGACCATGGCTTGAGAATTTATGTAAATTTGAAAAAAGTAATTTTTGAATCGATTAGAAGGAAAAAAAGAAAATTTTTTTTTTTAATTTTCTCGTTCTAATCAAGTTAAGCCTATGGTAACGCATTTTTCATTTGCACATTAGAAATTGAAACATTTGGGCTTATAAAAAAGAGCTAAAAAGAAAAATAAGCAAAAACTTGAATAAAGAAAGTGAGAAAAAAGTCTTCGGGTTGGAAAACAATTTGCTTGAAACCCGAAATTATGGGGTCGAACTGGAGGAAACCTGCTTACGGCGATGGACCTAAACTATCAATTAGACTCTTTTTTTTTCTCGATAAAATGACTCGAAATGTGCGGAAAAAAGAGATATTGGATCACTTTTGGGATGAGGAAAATGATCGGAATGACCGGATATAGTCCATTCACCGCGACTTGAATGTTTTTGCATGTCTGCGTCTCTTTTCCCTCACCGGCGAGGTCAGAGGAACATGGAAATATCACGTCGAGTGGAGAGGGTCGCCGAGAGATGAGGAGGGCGCAGAGAAGTCTGAAGCCCCCAAAATGGGGTCATATTGAAAAAAATAAGGTACTCGGAAATTTAGAGAGCACTTTATGGCGGGAAATGTGGCCTAATTTTCCAAATGAGCCCTGATTTGGAAAGTTAGGCCTTTTCTAACGCTCTTCTGGTGATTTTCTCTATTTTCAGGTTAATTAATTATTGATTGATTGATTTTTTGAAAAATGAAAGAAGGACTTTTTTTCAAAAACCTTCTCCCGTCTAGTAGGGTATAACGAGAAATTTAAGAAAAATTTTTTTTCAATTTGAGATTTTTTTATCATTTTAATCATAGATTGGACAAGTATTTTACTGGAAAAAAATTTGAATTTTATATATTTTTTTGATGAAATTCTTTCATTATAACAATTTCAAGTCATTCCAAGGGAATTTGAGATCAAAAATAGTCATTTTTACCGTTTCGTGGAATTCTTATTTTTTGTACTTTTCAGTGTTTTCCAATCTCACTTTTGACCTTTACGGCAAAATTGCAACAGCTTTGTTAATTTTGTAATTTCACCTTCAATAATTGCTTCATTTCTCTCAAACAAATGAAACAGCAAAGTGATTTCCCCATGGAAACAGACGAGAATACTTCGAGGTATCAATTAAATGTCAATCTGGGCAAACGCATCAAGAATCTCATTCATTTATGGAAAAGAGAGCACAAATAGAAATTTTCGAGAAATAATGACCAATAATCGGCAAAAATAACGAGAAAAAAACAGAAAAATGTAAGGGAAAAGGTCATTATGTGTAGGTGGTTAGTATGAAAGTTGTAAATGTTGAAAAAGTGTTTTTTCGAACGAGAAATAGGAAAAGAAACATCGAAAATGTGGTTGTTAAGTTTAGAAAATAAGGTAGGACAATTTGGAAACGCATGGTCGCGATTGGAATGGCTTGAAGATTATGCGACCGACCCAAAACGGCTTGCGCATTTTGGCATCGAAAAATTTTAGTGTTTAAGCCATTCTACATGCGGCCATTGAGGATATCAAAGGGTGATTGCTTAGATAAAACGTGGATTGGCTCAAAATTCTGCGCCGGGATCAAAACGGCTTGCGCACTTTGACATTAAAAAGTTAGCTCCAGCGCTTTGAGCCATTCTACATGCGGCCATTGAAAAAATCCAGTATAGTTCTCTCGATCGAACATGAATTGACTCCAAATTTCTGCGCAATTTCTGCGCCCGACCCCAAAACGACTTGCGCACTTTAACATGGAATAAGTCGACCCCTACGCTTTGAACCATTCCCAATGCGACCATCGGAAAAATCAAGAAGCTCTTCCTGTAAGCGCACGTGAAATGGCTCAAGGCCTCTGCGCCCGACCCCGAACGACTTGCGCCTTTTGAAATCTAAGAAGTCAGCCCCGACGCTTTGAGCCATTCCACATGCGACCACCAGAAGAAATAAGTCGACCCTGCGACTTTGAACCATTCTACATGCGGTCATTAAGAAAGTCCCTCCTTTGATCAAATGTGGACTGGCTCGGGATTTCTGCGCCCGACCCCAAAACGACTTGCGCATTCTGACATCTAAGAAGTCAGCCCCGACGCTTTGAGCCATTCCAAATGCGGCCATTAATAAAATCAAGGGGTAGTTCCTTGGATAGAACGTGAAACGGCTCAAGACTTCTGCGCCCGACCCAATACGGCTTGCGCCGAGCCATTCCAAATGCGACCATGAGAGTAAATTTAAGGTTGCGAATATTTCTGTTCATAAGTAGAGTCCCAAAGGATGCTGAGGTCCTTCATCCTTGATCTCATCGTTTCCTGGGCTTCCGTCAATTCCTTGATCATCCTTCGTCGTTTCCTCTTGATGTACCGTAATCCATACAGTAGGAGGCCTGGTGTAGCCATGGCGGCGTACGGTAGCGTCTGAAATCGGGCCACTAGAACATTTTTTGAATATTTTTACTTGTGTCGTTGAGAAAAGGAGCGTTTTCAAGAGAAAAAAAAATAAGTTTGGAAAATTTTGAATGAAAGATGGACCACTAAGAAAAAGGTCGCTCAGAGATTTTTGGACAATTTTTTCTGAAAAAATAAAAAAAAAAGCTCACATAAAACCCTTTGATAGTGTAGTTGGCAGCGGTGAGGCTGAAAAGGTCGGGATTGAACGAGACGAAAAGTTGGGTCATCGTATGGATCCCAAAGCCGAAAAATAGGACGATAGAAATCGTACAGGTGACTTGGGAAGTCAGCAAGGCTTCTCGTTGACGGAACTGGGTTTTCAGGTCGAATTGGATACTGAAAATGATTTTTTTCGGTTTTTCCTTGAAAGGGCTTTCAGTAGTTATTTTTTTATCCTTGCCTATTTCAATCATAGAAATCCAAAAATCCTGAGAAATCAGAAAAATTCAAGAAAAACTATATAAAAATACTATAACTGCATGTCAGACGGTCTACTTGAAGTTGATCAAAAACTATTTTTTTGAGATTAATGAGAAAATGAAAAAAAAAAGTTGGAATTCCAGCCGAAAACACAAAGGCAAAGTTGCTCTGTGGACAAAGGCTTTAATTTTTTTTGCTCCTGTCTTCATTTTATCCAGATTAAAAATTTTTTTTACATCATTTTATTAAATTTCCCGTAATGAAAGCTTTCTATGGAGAAAAAAAGTTTGAAATAATGATCAGGAATTTTTCAAAGAATAATATTAAGCCAACGAAAAATGGGTCCTGACACGATTTAAATAAACGAGATAGTGTTTGGTTGGTGGAGAGCGCAGACAGGCCACGCCCCCTTCATGTCTCAATATGGCCGATACATTTATTCAATAGGCGAGAAGTTAAAAAAATAAATTTAGAAAAAAATTTTTTTCTCGAAAAAAACGGACTTTTGGGCGATTTTTGAGCTCATATTTTGAACATCGATGAAAAATTTCCCTAAAGGGCTAACTCATACTTCCCTGGCCATTTCGATTTTTGAAGAACTAAAGTTTTCACGCCAGAATAAGGTCAAGCTTCCAGGACTATATAAAATCCATGAAATCTTTCAAAAACCACTTACTCCTTCTCCGTCCGTCGATTATACATGAGGATCATGATATTGATGAAAATGCACAAGATCATGGCGACGGTTTTGATTGTAGCGATGAAGTTCAGGGTCTTCATCATGGGCGTCGGCGGGACCGCGCAACTCGCCACGAATTCGACCGGAACCCTGGGACTCATCACGAAGTGCGTCAGCAGCCACACGTACAGCACCTGTGACAGGTATTTTTTGTTTTTTTTTTATTGCGCGAGAAAAAAATTTGAAAATGTACAGTAGGCCGCACTTTTCGGGGGTAAACCGCTTTTTGGGGGGGGTAGGCCGCACCCCGGGGTGAGATCCAGCCGATTTACGATTTTGAGACATCGGTAACGCTCCGGACGTTTCTGGACGATTCTAGAGATCACTTAAGAGTGCTGAGGCTACTGAAGTGGTCACTAGTAATGCCCCGACACGTCCGGAGCACGCCCGTTTCGCGTTACCAATGTTCCATGATTTTTCGATTCTTGTTAGGAACGCCAGAGTGGTTCCTATAGGGATTAGGCGGAAAACAGTCCCTATAGGGGGGCTTTCTAACTGAGGTTAAATTAAGGTGGTCCCTGTAGGAGTTTAGGGTCCGACCCCTAGGCCTCTGAAGCTTTAGTGGCCATTCTAGGGTCCTTAAAACTTTCTGTTAGGATTTGAAATTTCAGAGTAGGCCCTATATTGGGGGTAAGGCTATGGGGGGGAGGGGGGGCGAAGAAATCAGAGAGGAAGGGAGATTTCAGAGCGTACTCTATAGGGGGGGTAGATTTCAGAGCGGGCTTTATGAGTGGGGATTTCAGAGCGTGCCTTAGAAAAAATATCCCAAAAAGGGACGAAAAAACGCCCCCATTGGAGTAAAGTTTAGGTGGCCCTATAGGGATTCAGGATCTAACCCCCATGCCCCTAAAGCTCAAGTGGTCTCTGAAGGGATTTTTTAAGTTTTTGCCCAGATTTGTAAATTAAAAAAATGTTTTCAATAGATCTCGATCGGTTCACCGTCTGTGGAGATTTTTTTTATTCAAAAAGGGCCATTTGTGGAATTTTCATGAAAGTTTTTCTTCTTACAGAGTTCATAACAGTAATCGACTGGTATGGGGCGACAACTAAAACCCCTAAAGGGGTCACTTTAGCAATGGAGAGGTCAAGTGGTCCCTAGAGAGGACCTTATATGGTATTTATCACCTGCGCTTTAAAATTTTTTATCGGGTAAAATGAATTTATAATTTTTACCGTAAAAGTTGTCAAAAAAGTTGACGGCCAGGCGCCATTTTGTTCGTAGAACTTCGGAGCGATCGTTGATAAAAGCCTGGAAAAAGACATTTTTTGAAATTTTATTCGTTTTTTGAAAACACCTTTCCAGACTCATCGCGATAGGCGTTGTCAGAAGCCCATAGCTGCTGAAAACCAAGAAGAAGACTTGAAAATGGCATTCTTCGGTATCAAAAAGAAGGCTGCAAGGTTCGGCGCCGTATTTGTAGGCACGATAACTGGCGGTGGTCTGAAAAAAGGGAAAATTTGGAATTTGGGCAGTTTTCAAGATTTTTCATAGCCTAAATCTGCTCAACTACAGGATGGGGTCTGAAAAAGTTGAAAATTCCACATTTTTTGGGAGTTTCGAGTTTTTTTTTTGCATGAATGTGCTCGATAACTGGCTGTTGTTTGTTAAAAAAACGGAAATATTTTTTTCAGGAGGGGGTGGGTATTTTTTTCGGGAGAGGGGCTTTTTGGGAAGGGGGGCTATTTTTTTCTTTGGAAGGGGGCGTATTTTTTTCGGGAGGGGGGAGCTCAAACAACTTATTATTAGATACCGGAATTCCTCTTTTTTTGTCATCATTTTGTCAAATATGGCACAATTTCAAGGACTTTCTCATTTCGGGAGAAAAAGAGGACTCACTGGGGAATTTTTTTCAGGGCCACTTTAGTGTTCTGAATTTCTAGTGGCCTCTGTAGTAGTTGAATTAGTGTCCACTAAAGCAATTTAGTTGGTGGCCTCTTCAGAAGTGGTCCTACTATAGAAATGAAATTATTATTCGTTTATGGGGAATTTAACTATCTCGTTTTATGAACAGAAAAGGCATTCCTCATTTCTGGAAAAAGGCAGGATTCGTTACGAAAGTTTTTAGGGGCCACTCAAGAGTTTGGAAGTTTTTTTGCACCAAAACGGCTTTAAATTGGTTTAATTTTCAATTTACTAGATTTTAATAGTAATTTTAATAACTTGATATTTTTCAACTTTTCAACTTGGAAATTCATATCCTTAGATCGATTATAGGAGTTTTTCTGTCTATGGGTAACTTTTTTTAGATGAAAAGTTGAAGTTAGAAGAACTTTTTGACCCTAGTATCATGTTGAAATCAACAGGATTTATTTTTTTTAAATTTGTTTTCCAAATGGAATTTCCAACCTGAATCGAAAAAAGGACCAAAGAGAACGAGTTGGCGAAAAATATCGAGAGAAAAAGGAGAATCTTCGTCGAGTAGTGAAAAGGCGATTTTCGGAGCAATAAATAAATGGCCGGACCAGTCAGGACCAAAGTTCCCAATGACGTCATTTGCTGTAGGTAGCTCAGGGCCAGGTAGATTGGTGACGTCAGCAGCTCGACGATCTCCTGGTTCGCGCAGGACGACATCTTTCAGCAATAGTGACTTCAATTTGAGTTTTCAACTTGTTTTCAAAAAGTCTGATCATGAGTTTCGCCAGGTATCATCAACTAATTGCTTAATTGTTGTGGTAACCAAGGATTAAAATTACCGACTTTTCAATGGATGATCTCTTATTTTTGCTTTTTTTATTTTTTAATTAGCTCAAAGATGAAAAAGAAAAAGATGCTTTTTCAAGTTTTGGGCATTGAAAAATGAAAAAATACGATTTTTGCACAAAGCTTGTTAAAATGATGCACTGAGAGGACAGATGTTTGTAGAATTCTGATTAAATAATCAAAAAAACTTTTGAGAAAGAGACTTTCTGCACGGACTTTGAACTTTGGAAAATAAATATGAAGCTGGAAATCGAAGTTTGAAGTTGGATTGTTCGAAAAAAATGAATGAAACTGAGTTATTCTTGCTGGATAACGACTGGTGAACTGCAGTAAAAAAAATTTTCGATTCAAATTTTTATTTATTATCTAAAGATACCTATTAAAAAAATTTTTTTTTAGATGATTTGTTGGCAAAAAAATCAGTGTAAATATATAAATAATTCATCCGATAGTTTTAGAATATTATTTGAAAAATATATACGTTGGAATAAAATACAAAAAAACGAAAAACGTATGCAGTCCTACGTGGGAGTGCATGCGGAAAGAACAATTTTGCGCGTCGCAACGATTTTCGAAATCATTTCAATGACCATTTTAATGTTTTTTTGTTATTTATACACGTTGAACTGTTTGAATCAGTTTTACTTTAATGATATATTAGGGACATTTTTTTTTTCATTTATTGCTCCACTCATGCAACCCGGTCTTAACAAGTTTCAAGTCAAAAATATTCCTCAAAAATGCTCTTTTTTATTATTTTTCTCATATTTTTTGATTGAATTTTTCGGAACTTTTTGTTTTTTGTTGAATGTCATTGTCTTAATCTATATGTTACATTCTCTCGTTTCTTTCATTTTTCGAAAAAAATAATTGACGATTCCTAACTTTGACTCAAGGAAGATCTTCCAAATAATATCATCCAATCCGGAGTGTTTTTTTAGTTGATGTCGAATTTTACAAATCGTTTTTTTGACAAAATGAAATTGAAAGGGTGTTCTAAAACTTCAAAACTCTATAAAATGTTTAGTAGAGTTCGAAAAATCCCAACTTTTCCTCCTGGCTACTTTGAGCCCACCTTCAAGGAAGGCCATGTTATTTTTTGTTTTAAAAATTTCAGAAAATCGGCAAAAATGCTCCAGGATGTGGAAGAAGGTCCTGAAGATCAAAATTCATACAACTCCCTAGTTTCCAAGAAATAAGGGATCGAAATAGGCTTTTCAACGGAGTTTCGGCGTTTTTTTCGACGAGGCGTCCTTTCTCGAAAAGTAGGACTTTGTGTGAAATGAGACTTTCGGAATCTTCTTTTGGGAGATCAGGAGTACTTTTGCCAATTTTTAGTGAAATAAAAAAGTAAAATGACCTTTCTAGTTGGGCAATTCCAGCAGCCATGACGTTTTTACAGGCTAGACTGCTATTAATTTGAGTCTGATCTTTTTAAAATGTACTTTAATTATTTGATAATTGATCAGTTGCTAATTAACACCTGAGTTATATATAGAAACATGTATTTTAATTGATGATAGAAAAAAAGTTTATTCAAAATTATGTACAAATTTAACAATTTATAGTTTCTTTACAACATCTTAACGTAGAAAAAAAAATGAAAGACATGGGATTTTTTGAATTTTCTCTTAGAAAGTTTATTTGAAAGATTTTTGGAAGAAAAGGTCATTTTCTTGGCTTGAAATAGCATTGCGAAGCGGTCGCGATTCGGTTTTTTTGCGCCAATTTTAAATTTTTTTCAACGAATTTATTTTTTTATTTTTTTGAATAATATCATTTTAGGAACCTTCTAAGGTTACTTTATTAAGAAAAAAACTTAAAAAAAGAAAAAAACAAAAAAATTTGGGTCTTTTTTTACCGCCCTGCAACATCAACATACCATCACGATGTTGCGAAAAATGAAAATTTGGATTTTTGAATTGGCGCCAAAACGCTTCGCGACCGCGTCGCGTGAAATTTTAGCTGCCGTTTCGAGCCAAAAAAAAAAAATGAATTTCCATACAAATTTCCAAAAAAGTGAACAATAATATACAATAGGTGTCACCAAATTTGCTTCAAGCCTTGAAAATACAAATCGGAATGTTGTCTGAGATCGATTTGCGAGGCGGCCGGTGGCTTGACCTTCGGCCCTTTGTCGGAAAGGCCGATCAATTTCAGACCCATGTCCAAGCAAGTTCGACGCCATTTTGGTGTCACGTGGATAACGACAGGCACACAGTAGACTGGGTTCCTGGAATAATGATATGGATAGAAAAAAAGATGAAATTTGAATAGATCTAGAGATTTTTCCATTAATTTTTGGCTTTTTAAAAAAGATAGTTTAATATTGACGTTCTAGTGGATAAAAATAATAAATTTTCTCGATAAATAAACGGAATTTTTTTATCAATAGTTTTACAGAATCCGGAAGCGAGGGATCAATAGCGGCCTGAAGAGACGCCAGAGACGTGAGAACTCCCTCGTTTCTCTGGCGTCTCTTCAGACCCCTTTATCTCTAATACTTTGGCGAAGAGTCGGCTAACAGGGGTGTTTAAGGTGTTTAATAAAGTTTCCCTCAAAAAAAGGCTCAAAAAAAAAGGGATTTTTCGCTCTATTGATAAAGTCGTCAAGAGCGTTCATAGTTTGTTAAGTCAAAAATTGAAGAAAAAAAACTCACGAGAAAAAAGAAAGTTGGAATAAAATTTGGAAAATGACATCCACACATGTACCCAATAGTTCAGTGGCGGAAAGGTAGAACATAAAAACTACAATGACAAAACCGGCGCCAACCAGAAAAACGCACATTTTTAGAGCCTGAAATGTCATGCAATTATATTTTTATTCAAATATGATCTCTAGGGAATAGATCGGTTACGTTGCGGTTCGAAAAAACAGTGCGCCCGACCAGAAACGACTCACGCCCGCTCATAATAAACGCATCAGAGTAAGCAAGGCGTCTTTTTCGATTTTTAAGACTCGAACCGCAACGCGTCGAGCCATTCCAAATGCGGCCAGATTTTAAAAAAACTATCGGAAATGAATATTTTATTTTTTGGACTTTAAAAACAGGATGTTTCTCCTCTTTTTGACCGAATTCATGTTCAAAAAAAATGGCAAAAACAAAAATTCCTTGGCGGGGGTTGAACCTAGAACCCTATTGAGACGCATTCAACTACTTTGAACCAAATTTCTGAGAAAAAAGTCATACTTACATCCAAAACTCGGAGATTTTCCTCAAGTTGGTACTTTTTAGCAATACTGTAGTTGATGACTTCCCGTTGGAAGTTGACGTGGGTTATTAGGCGACGATTTCGAATTATTAAAAAGGCCAGGAGCTGAAAAATTTGACATTTACTATCATGTTTTACACGGCTTGGAACGCTCAAGATAATTTTTTCATTCTGCGCCCGACCAGAAACGGCTTGCGCACTAGAGAACCTTTTAAGATGAAGAAGATGATTTTTACTATGTAACGCCCAAAAATTTTTTTTTTTGCGCCCGATCAGAAACTACTTACGCACTAGAACACCCTTCAAGAAGGAGAAGTTGATTTTTACTTTGTAACGCCCAAAAGTTATTTTTGTTTGCACCCGACCAGAAACTACTTGCGCATTAGAACTCGCTTTGAGATGAAGAAGTTTATTTTTACTATCTAACGCCCAGAAAATTATTTTTTTGCGCCCGACCAGGAGCTACTTGCGCTTTTAAGCATCTTGTAGGATAAAGAAAATATTAATATTACTATCATATTTTACACGGCTTGGAAGGCCAAAAAATGGTCTTTTTGCTTTGCGCCCGACCAGAAGCTACTTACTCGCGTTGGTATTATTTACAACCTCAAGACTCTAAGCCATTTTTATACGGTTTAAGCTTCAGAAAATTCAGGATACTTACCGCAAAAGTCGCCAAATTGAGAATAGTTAAAGCTAGAACTGGAACCAAGATGTCTATTATATTGAAAACTGTCGTAAAAGCCATGGCAATGGAGCAGATTTGAGCCAATATACAACCGATAACGGATATGTACTTTCTTGGAACGTTCTCATAGTTGCTGACGAACTCAGTGGCGAAAAATCGTTCAGCCACGATCATTGGCAGCATAAAAGGGACCAGACAAGTATAGTGAGTCATTAGGAATCCGCCAATCAGTAGGGGAGTGTATTTGGGGTCGTTCAGGTAGAAGGATGGGGTGTTGGAATTTTGGTCGATGATGGTTTCGAGGTCTGGAAATCGGAATATGATTTTTGGTGGAAAAATGGATCTTGAAAAAAATTTGGGTTTTTATAGGATTTTTGAAAGGTCAAGGAATCGAAAAATAGTTGAGAAATTGGTTGAAAAATGGGTCTTAAAGCTTAAAAATGAAAAAATTAAACATTTCGAAGTAGTTTCAAAATGCTCAATAAAGTTTCCCTTAGAAGAAACTTTGAAAAAAAAAACTGATTTTTCGCTCTATTGATAAAGTCGTCAAGACCCAAGCTTGACATGAAATTTAGTAAAAAAATGGCCGGAAATTTCTTGAAAAAAATTGAAATCTCAGACTTTCTCCCACATAGTTTCAACGTTAAAGAAATTTCAAAAAAATAGCCGCGAAAAACTGAGGAAAATGTTTGCAAATGTGCTCCACGGATAAAAATTTTTCTTAGCAATTTTTGATAAAAAAATATTTGATTTTTTTGAATTTCACAGATCCTTAAAGGTACCAATTCGTGTCCAATCAAGATTCAGTTTGAAAAAAAGCCACTTTCGCTCAAAAACTGAGCATCATTTTCGCTCCAACGCTAAATTTTTTTTTTTGAGAAGTTGAGCCATACCTGCAATGGAAATCCATCCGTCCTGATAAGGCATGGTCAAGAATCTGGCCAGGAACATTTCGAACCACTGACCACAGAATAAAGCATAGAATATTATCATGTTATAATGGTAGACCTTGTATCTCAACGCGAGAACTATTCCAATTACCTGAATTTTTCGATTTTTTACAGTTTCAATAAATTATTCCTCACCGTAACAATCAAGGCGAGGAAGAGAGCAGCTATTTCTAGACCTCGGAAAAAATAAAAGCCACAATTTGCTTCCCCAAATAGGAAAATTGAGATCGGAAGCCATATTTCTCGTGTATCCGCCATTGAAAATCGAGCTCCTAAAGTTATTTTTTCGATGATAAATTATGAAAAATCAAACAAACCAGTGGGAAATATGTGAAAAGCACCCATAGAATGACGAGGATACAAACTGAAAAAAAAATCTTGAAGGAAATGTCAAGCCGGACAGGTGAAGTTCACTATAATAAACTCGGTAAACTTCCTCAAAAACAAAATGCAAAAAATAAAGATCTTTTAGGGATCACTAGGGGTTGAAAAAACGGAGAAAAGTTCAATTTTTTCACTCTGAAACTTGAAAAAAGGTCATTTTACGACTACTAAGCACTAATTTTTCTGCGTAGAAGCTTGAGAAAAAGGTTTTTTCTGCAGAGTGGTCCCTTTAGGGGTTACGGGAACAGACAGTCCCTATAGGGGCCTCTTTAGAAAAAAAAAACGGAAAAAGGTTTCGTGTTTTGGCTCTGAAACGAAAAAACGTCATTTTAGGATTTCTAAGCACTAAATATTCTGCGTAGAAGGTGGAAAATATAACTTTTTTTCCAGAGTGGTCCCTCTAGGGTTTTAGGGGAACAGACAGTCCCTATAGGGGTCTCTTCAGAAGATAAAAAATGGAGAAAGGTTCAGTTTTTTCACTCTGAAACTTGAAAAAAGGTCATTTTACGACTACTAAGCACTAATTTTTCTGCGTAGAAGCTTGAGAAGATGGTTTTTTCTCCAGAGTGGTCACTCTAGGGATTAGAAGAAAAGACAGTCCCTATATGGGCCTCTTTAGAAGAAAAAAAACGGAGAAAAGTTCAGTTTTTGTATCTGAAACTTGAAAAAACGTCCTTTCACGACTTCTAAGCACTAACCTTAGCTTGAAAAGATGCTTTTTTTGTCAGAGTGGTCCCTCTAGTGGTCAGGGGGGAAGTAGTCCCTATAGGGGCCGCTTTAGAAGTAACATTTATTGAGTTTTTCGCATGGAAATGTCTTATCTCTTACTAGCATGACCACTAAAGGGGCTACTAACTAAAACCCCTTTAGGCACCACTTTTGCAAACTTTAGTGACCCCTAAAGGGTTGGCAAAGTGGTATCTAGCGAGTACCCTCCAGAAGGCTCTAAGGGGCCACTAACTAAATCCCTAAGAGCACCACTTTTGCAAGCTTTAGTGACCCTATAGGGGTTCGTAAAGTGGACCCTTAAGGAGCCCCTATAGAGACCCCTCTGGAGCTCCTCAGAGCAAGAAAAAGGTTTGAAAAAATGACCGCCTGGAATATTGCACGACTATTTCGAATAATCGTTTTTTCTGTCTTGGAATCGGATATTTGATCATTTTTGAGGTTCTTTACATCGATTGCTATTGAAAAAAAGTTATTTTCAAGCAGAAATTGGGATAATGACGGCATTCTGTAGAGAAACAAACTTAATTTGGCCTCTCAGATCTCATATTTATATATGGAAACTCGGAAAAAAAAACTCTTGAACCTTCAAAGAGTCCAAACGAGACGAATATAACCCTTTTGAATGGAAAAAGGTGAATGGGATTATTTCTTACGTTTTTGTGGTTGAAGGAAAACAAATTATTTGAAGAATATGGCAAAAATGACGTCTTTTTAGCTGAAATAGAACAATTCTGACCTATCAGAATTCAATATGATTCCTAGAAACTTAAAAAAAATCCTGAAAGAAAAAATATGCTAAAGAGTTTTCCCAGCCTTGAAAAAGTGGACCAAAAATCAGCCATAAATATAATTTTTTTCATTCCTGAAAGCTTGATTAAAACTAAATTTTGTGAGTATTTTGAAAAATGTACAAAGTATGAAGAGTTTTAGAATGGAAAAATTGTTTTGCCCGACTTTTCAGAACCTATATTTATCTTGGAAAACACGGAGAACCTCCCTGAAAAGCTTAATTAAAGTGTAGGCCTTTGAAAGGTCTTTCAAGGTCCATTAGAGAGAGAAAAATTCCTATTTTATAGTCAATGTTTCCCGACTTGAAAGGTGATATGGGCTGGTTGGCAAGGGCGAGGTGTTGCGTGTGCGACGCGGCTATTTGGCGGCGAGCCAAAATTCAAATGTGGGAGACAATTTGGAGAGTTCGGTCACCGCTTTTTTATTTCCTTTTTACTTTTTCTTATTCAGTTCTAATGGAGTTTTTCGATTTTATTTATTTTCTCAATGTAATATTGTAAGCGAACACCTTTTCTGTGTTTTGCATAGAAAGTTTCTCGAAAGTGCAGCGAATCGTGAAGCGTTTTCGGAAAACTTTTCACTGGTTTTTGTTTCTTTCGTATTTGCTAAACTTCTCAGTTTTCTTCTCAACTCAAACCTCTAAAAATCTTTTATAATTTTTTTCTATTATGATTGATTGCAGATCGTAAGAAGAGAAAAAAATTCGTGAGAAGCTATGGTGTTTGAAAGAAAAACACTTCGTTGATGGCAAACAGGTTTGTTTCAATTTTTTTGAAATTTCTCATTGTCATTTTTTTCAGCAATTTTTGTTTTAGTTTTTTTAAGTCCAATAAACTCTAAAGCTCATCGCTGGCCTCGTCGGGCGAGAAATTCCATTGGAAAAAGGCCTCGTCAGAAGAAGGAGACACGTTGATGAACATCGGTCGCCGTTAGAAAGACGCCGCTATTTAGTAACCAGGGACTTTGCCTCAACTACAGTACACCTGTGCGGTTGAGCACTTTTGCCCTCATATTCCACGTTTTTTTACACCCAATTTTTTTCTCCTTTGTGTTTTTAATTTTTTTAATGTTAAATATATTAATTAATATATTTAACAATTCACTGATAGTTTTTGCAATATTCATGTTTTTTAGTAGGAACTAAAAATGCTCTCGGAAATCTTCGGGCAAGTTCAAATTTTTTTCCCGACTTTTTTTCTCGATAAACTCTTCGTTTTCAATCTTCCTATATAAAGTAGGCAAGTTGTTCATGATTAAAACACAAATAAATAGGAAAAAAAATTTAAATAGATGTCTTATAAACCGAAAAATATAAGGAAAAAAAGTCGGAAAAGGATTCGGCGGAAAGGTGGCCGTCGGAAAGTTCCCTAGCGATACGAAAAAATCGGAAAAGTCGCCTTTTGAAATTTCGCTGGCTCATACCATGGTACCATCAAAAAAACACAAAGGAGAAAAAATTGGGTGTAAAAAATGTGGAATATGAGGCAAAAGTGCTCAACCGCACAGGTGTACTGTAGTTGAGGCAAAGTCCCTGGTTACTAAATAGCGGCGTCTCCGTTAGAAGAAAATTTTTTTATTCAATCTATTTTTGGTTAGGCTATTTTATTGACGTATCATATTATCCGTGTAGATTCGTTGTTCATCCAACACTGGGTTCAACCATTGTCCACTTCAGCGGCATCAAAACGCTGTTTCCGGGATTTCATTCATTCTTAATTACTCTTCGTTGCCGGCGACTAACTCTTCGATTATACCATGGTTCAGCAGAGATTTTCTTCATCTTACTCTGAAGACTGAATAAATTGAATTGAAATTGAACTCTCCGTTTCCGTCTATTTATTCTCGTTAGAACAATTTCAAGAACGTTTTAAACAAGTTTATTGGAAGGAAAAACGAAAGAACAGGTTAGCAAAACTTTGGGTGGTTGCTGATGCAGACAGTACAAAAGAGAGAATTCATGATGTTACCTGAAAAATTAATATTTATTACATGAAGAAAAAAATTAGTGCTTGGTTTTTTTAACCCGAAAAAAAGTGCATGTCCGTTAATGTAAAAATTTTTTTGGCGAACAATATATTCACGAACTTTTTTTCAAGAAAAATCTAAGTATTCATTGAAAGAATAGTTAAACCAAGGAACAGAAAGAGAACAGAAACAAGAACTCACAAACCTTGGTAATCGTTCGTAACTCGTTATTTTCTTTCTCATTTCCGTAAAATCTCTGCAGAAATCCTGAATAAAAACCTTTTTAAAAATTGTTATTGATTCGATAAAATACTTCGCAACACTCCGCGAATGGTTACTTCTAAAGGTTTTCACTGCATGCAAGAAAAAAATATGAATGAATTTGAGAAAAAAAAACCATGACCTTTATTGAAAATCGACTCTTCGTGAAACTCGGTGTGAAACCCTCGACTTCTGAGTTTTTTTGAAATTCTTCAATCGTATTTTTGCTTGGTCTGAAAAAGCATCATCAATGAATAAATACAGTAAATTTTTTTCACAGCACAGAATGCACAAGTAAAAAAATCATATTCCGCGACAAATCAATGAGCAACGATCAACTTGAATAAACATTTGTTTGTGCGAAAAAAATATTATTATAGGTTCAAATAAAGTTCCAATAAAAATCCACTGAAGCAAATAATTAGCGAAAAACATTATAAAAACAGAATAAGAAAAAGAAAAAAGGAAATAAAAAAGCGGTGGCCGAACTCTCCAAATTGTCTCCCACATTTGAATTTTGGCTCGCCGCCAAATAGCCGCGTCGCACACGCAACACCTCGCCCTTGCCAACCAGCCCATATCACCTTTCAAGTCGGGAAACATTGACTATATCATCTTTTAGAAAAAAAAATTAGCAAAACTACTTTTGGAAAAATAGATATTCTGGGAAAATTCTTAGTGTTTCCTATAGTGATGACATTTTAGTGACCAGTGTAGTAGTCAAATTAGTGGCCACTTAAGGGGTTAAAAACTAGTGGTCACTATAGAGGTCTAGATGCTTCTAATAGACTACTTAACTTTTTAGTGGCCCCTTTAGGGGTCAATGGATCAACATAACTGGTCAAATCTGTTTTTTTTTTACAATTATTACTGTAAGGACTACTGGAAGAAAAACTACTCAAGTGGCCACTATAGAGGTGGTTTTAGTGGCCACTTTAGTGTCCTCTCCAAGTAGTCCTTGGCGAGCCTCTATAGTGGCCACTAAAAATTTTCCCAGTATCTTTAAAAAAAGTAATAAATTTTTTTAACGGTTAAATTAGCGCAATTACTCGAAAAAAATTTGTCAAACAGCAAGTTTTGGTGAAAATTATGGCTAAATTCAGCTTCTGCTGCCTAAAAAAATGTCTTTTTTTCTACTAGACAGTCCATGGTCGCACTTGGAATGACTCTAGACGCAACCGACCTGAAGTGACTTGCGCGCCGAGGCTTCAAAAAGTCATTTTCGCTGAAGAACCATTCCACGTGCGGCCAGGAAAATTTTTAAATATGGTTTGGTTTCGGGAAACATGATCTTATTAGTCCGGAGCTATAAAAAAAGAAAAAATAAGGTTTTCCTGAGTCATATTTCCCCTGAAGGGGGCTTATTTTTCAAGATGAAAAAAAATCTTTTCATGTCCATTCAAGTGAAAGGCTACTCACTAAGCCACTAGGAACCTTTTAATGGGCTTGAAAGGTTAATCTAGATTCATAGGAATACTTTTTTTGCGATTTTTAGGAAATGACGTAGTGATTAGAAAAGGAAATGAATGAACCTGAGAAACTCTAGAGGTTCCCCCAGGGCTACTTCAAGAGAACACTAAAGTGGCCTCTACCTCTATAGAAGGCACTAATGGCCACTATAGTAGTTTTGGCGGTGTAGAAGTACCACGTAGACTTCTCAAGAGGTCACTAATTTTTAGCCCTTCAAGTGACCACTAATTTGCTACTATAGTGGCCACTAAAACGTCAAAACTCTGAAATGGCCACTAAAAATTTTCACATTGAAGAGTGAGCGGGAATTTCCAGTGGTCTCTTTAGGGTTTTGACGTTTTAGTGGCCACTATAGTAGTCAAATTAGTGGCCACTTAAGTGGCTTATTTAAAATTTTAGGGGGTACTATGAGGCCACAAAAAACTACTATAGTGGCCACTTAGCTTTTAAAGAGGTGGTTTTAGTGGCCACTTTCGTGTTTTTGAGGGACCTCTTCAGTGTTTTTTCCCCGAAATGGCGAGGAATAAGAAAAGAGTTCAAGCTTTTTTGGATCCGTTTTAAGGATTTTGAACAAAAAAAATTTTTAAAATGTTTCTTAGTACTTGAAGACCGGTTTGTCACGTTTTCTCAGGCCTTCTCTTAGATTTTTTGTCCTTTTTCAAGCTTTATAGTCAAAAAAAACAAGGTTAGGAACTGTTTCTGAAAAGTTCCAGTGATTTTATAGAGCTTATTCACAAGTTATTGATCATTTATTTCGACTTTCTCATGCAGTACAAGTTCCTTACCATAAAGGGTCCTATAAGCTGATTTCTTTGAGTTTATTTTCCCGGAAATCTTTGTACCCAAGGCCAAAGATCTTTTACCTGAAAGAACAGCTGCACGATTGCCAAATTATCCAATTACGTAAATGACGAAATAAAAAGAAAAAGATCGTTTATTGCAGGTGAAAGGTATATGAACAGAGAAAAGTTAGATATACATGCAAAATTTTAGAGATTTCTGTCGTTTTGGGATCTTAGGAACGTCACAGTGGTCCCTATAGGGGTTATGGGGAAAAGTGCTCCCTATAGAGGAGAAGTTTAGGTGGTCCCTATAGGGGTTAGGAGAAGGGAAGGGGGTAAAAAGGGCTTCCTATACTTTCTCGTGGAGTTCATTAAAATAAACGGCTAGCCTGTTTCCCTATAGGGACCACTTTTGCAAGCTATAGTGCCCTTTTAAAGGATGTTATAGTGGTCCCTAGAGGGGAACCTTCAAGGGCTCCTCAGGTTGGCCCTGTAGGGACCACTGTGGCATTCCTATTAACGCGCAAAAGTCTGTATTTTTTGAGAAAACTGCAATTTTGCGCCAAGGTAGCCACTGATCGGTGTACAGAATTTTGCTTACCGTAATCTATTTTTCGAGGAAAATGACATTTCGAGGCAAATTTTCTTTATTTTCACCTTGGTTAGAAGATTACGAGACGGAGAACAGGAATATTTGATCGGAGAGAAAAAAAGTAGCTCAAATTCAAGAAAAAATTCACTTTTGGCGGGAATTCAAACTTTTTTTTCCTCTAAAGTTGAACCGCATTTTTTCAAAAAATAGGTGCTTTTATTCGATTTCATGTAAACCGTTCGACAGACAATGAAAAGCTCTACAAAATGACAATAATATCTCATATTTCATTTCGGATGAGTAGGATGTACTATAACTTCACTTGGACGTCGTTTGGAATAGATTTGTCAAAAAATAATAGTCATTCCGTATCAAGAAAAATGGTTTCCGTTGAAAGGTGCGTTTCGAAAAGAAGAATTATCAATGGAGCGCACTTGATAAAGTCTCAAAAGGCTGTTTTTTTTTCGAGGCATGTTCCAGTTTTTTAGAAAAAAAAATCGGTTTACTAAATTGAATAAAATCATTCGACACCAAGAGTAGATGAAAAAAACACGTTTAGAATAAAGATTCATATTTAAAGGCGCATCAACCAAACTATAAAAATGCGCCTGGAACTACCACATTCTGTCCAAAGTTTCGAAATAGATTTTAGTTTGCTGAGCGGCGGAGAAAGAAGTGACGCTGAGACGGGCGCCGACGTTGTTGTAACGTCTCCCGAGACATAGAAGACGTCGGAAGACGTTGGAATAGACGAGACGCCATTTCGGGGTGACCCGGAACACCAGCACCGTTATGATTGGACTGCCTCTGCAAGGGTTCATAGAATCATAGTTAGTTTGAAGTTTTTGACTGTTGTTGGAATTGAAGTTTTAAAAAAACTCGGATTTTCTGTGAAAATGTCAAGAATTAGGTCCATTTTTTACTGTATTTTCAGTCTTCTTCATCTTAAAAGTTGGATTGAGGGGCTTCCTGTCGAAAATTTCCAAAAATTAGCCTTCAAAACATAGAGAAATTCCAAAACGAGGCTCAAAACTGTGAAGAAAAACGGATTAAAAAAATGGACTGGAAAAAAAATTGAACAAAATCAGGAAGCAAGTCTGAAAAATCAACTGAAAGTACTTCAAAAGCTTTGTATAAATGGAATTTTCGGTCAGGGATTCATATTTTTCGGATCTAAAAGGAGATGTTTTCGAAAAAAGACGCAAAGAAATTTACTTTCGGATGATTAGCGAATTTCTCTCTCCATCTAGTGGGATCTGTAGTTTTTTGGAAATAGTCCTTTTTTTCAATTGAAGAGATCTCTGAGGTCACTCCGTAAAGAAAATCGGACACGTCCCGAAGTTTCTGAGCATTGATCACTTAAGTGGGCTGATGCCGCTAAAGTGGTCCCTCAAAATGCTCAGGAGCATCCACGACGTTGTTCTCTCGGTAACACAAATTGGACGCGTTCCGGACTTTTTAAAGCACTCTAGTGATCCCTTTGGCGGTGTCAGGACTCTTAAGTGACCACTAGAATTTCTCAGGAACATCCGCGACGCGTCTGCGTCACCGAGGTCCGAGTGATTCGACTTGGAAGCTGAAACCACTGAAGTGGTCACTAGTAATTCTTAAAAAGGTCCGCGAAGTTGTTCTTTTTCAGGGTTCATAAAAATATTGAACCCCAAGTAGGCCTTGGAACTCGGTAGCGCACTGAACACTTCCCAGACGTCTCTGAGCAATCTAGGGATCACTTTAGCGGCGTCAGAACTCTGAAGTGACCACTAGAAGTTCTCCGGAGCATCCGCGACGTGTCTGATTTGCGTCACCGAGGTCCGAGTGATTCGAATTAAAAATGTGCTGACACCACTATAGTGACCACTAGAAATGCTCAGTAATGTCCGGGAGAAATTCAAAAAAAAAAACGTACGAGTAGAGAAAAAATTCCAACAAGAAATGAGAGGCGACTGAAGCCTCCCAACCCAAACAACCAATGACGGAAAGCCAAATCGCGACACAAGACCCGAAAATCACGGCCCCAGCCGCGATCACTGCGTATTTTATTGCCTAAAAATAGTCATTCAGGTTTTTTTTCCATAACCAACCCCGAGAACTCTCAAATTTTCGGCCAGTTGAAATTTCAAAGATAAGGTGTAGTCTTCAAGTTTGTCGAAAACCGATGTAACCCGTCCGTTGACTTTATAAAGTGACTGGTTTCGGAGGTAAATGTAGATGAAAAGCTGAAAATCTTGGCTTTTGTCGATGGAGCGCACTTGGCGAGGAAAAATGAGCCTTTTTATGATTTTTGTTTCTCGACACACAGTGTCGTAGTTAAGCGGAGATTAAGTTAAAATTTGAATGAACTTGTAAAAAGATCCTAGTGTTCCCTCTAGGGTTTTAGGTTTTCCAAGTGGTCATTATAGGGTTATAGAGTGACCACGTTAGACTTTTAATTCGATTTCTTTTCAAAAATAATGGCCTTTTTGAAAATAGTGGTCCTTTTAGGGATCTTTCTGTACTGCTTGAATGATAAAAATTTGAAAGGAAGTTTGAAAAAAATTTCACTTAAGTGACCATGAAACAGGGGACCCTAGAGTGACCACTAGGGAAGGAGAAAAATGACGTTTGTCTGGCAAAAATCTGAAGCGAGAAGGTTAAGAGATCACTTTAGGGAATTTCATAATTTTTCAAATATGACCACTTTAGTGAAAAAAAAAATGGAAGTGTTCCCTTGAGGGTTTTTTAATAAGAAATTTCTAAATCAATCACTTCAGGGATAAAGAAACCGAAGAGGTCCCTTAAGGGTTTTTATCGATATTAAATTTCTAAATCAATCACTTTAGTGTGAAAAAATCGAAATGGCCCCTTGAGGGTTTTTTTATCGCTATTCAAACCGCCCATCTTATAAACGTTGCAAGAACCCAAAAACTGCTTCTATCCCGGTTTTTTCGCTGAATTTTTAATTCTCCAAACCAAAACCTTACCAATCCACCCAGGAAGTTGATGACGAAGCCGATGGCTATAACAGTTATCAGGGAAAATAGCCTGGAGCAGCTGGCCAACGTCAAAAAAGTCGTTAGAGAAAAGTCAATTAAGATAATTACAGTTGAAACGTAGGACTTCGGGACGAATTCGTAGTTTCTGAAGTAGATTTTTCACAGAAAATGTTTTTTTTTCATTGAATATCTTGACTTTATTATCCATTTTTGAATTGAAAGCTCATTTTTTTTTAATTACCTCACGAAAAAAGTCGCGAAAGTCCTTTCCACAATCATACTCGGCATCGCAATCGCCGCGAAAGACATATAATTAGCTCTCAAAAATCCGCTCAAAATCAGGGGTCCGTATTTCCAATCCTTGATTTCATAGGCCAAAACTTGGGAATCAACCAAAGTCGTTGAATTCAAATCTGAAAAAAAAAAATTGTTCAGTCGAGGATTTTTCGAACAAAAGGCTTTTTAGTTTATTTTGAAGTTGAATCATTTCTGCAAAAAGAACGAAAAAATTTGGTTATAGTTCATTCACAGCTCGCTTTGGCGAATTTTCGCGTCAGGAGTCATTTTTAGAGCAGGCCGATGCGCCTTTAAATTTTAAAGCTTTCACTTGATTTTTTTGTTGAATAATTTTTAGGATTTGATTTGAGCCAGTATCCATTTGAGACAGAAATAAGTGAACTTTGAGTAAAAAAATAAAAAAATTTTTTTAAAAACGATTTGCAAGTTTTGAGGCGCGTCAATAACTTAATGAGATAATTTTGAACGTTTTGAAGGTTTCGAAAGTTGATTCCTGATTGAAAAATGGCTTAAAACCCCAAAAATGAAGTTTTTTGGAAAATAGTCTATTCACCGCTGATTTAGAGTCAGGTGCTTTTTTATAACGCGGTTGATGCGCCTTTAAATTTTTTTTGCAATTTTCATTTTGATAGTGTTTTTTCATCTCTGGGACCATCTAATAATCCGACTTTTCGGCTGAAAAATCGGGATCTGAAACATTCTTTGCCTCAAAAAAAAGAGCTTTTCGAGACCCTATCAAATGCGCTCCATTGATAACTCTTCTTTTCGGAACCCACCTCTCAATGGAAACCATCCTTCTTGATACGGAGTTATCAATATTTTTGACAAAACTACTCCAAACGGCATCCAAGTGAAGAAAACGTACATCCGGATCATATTTATGTGATAAACTTTGTATTTCAGAATGATTATTGTATTCGGTATCACGGAAATTGTTATGAAAATGACGGCTGCCCATTCTAAACACCGAAATAATTGGTAATAAGAGGAAGGTTGGCCGATTTGGTAGATAAATATGGGAAACCAGACGTTTCCCAGATGAGGTACTTGAAGGTGGGTTCCTGGAAAGTTTTTTGAATTTTGCGGAATTAATGAAAAGCCGCCTTGCAAGGAGATAACGCGCTCTATGGATAATTTTCCGATTTTTTGACGAAAAAAATTTTTGGGGTTAGATATGGAAGGTATTAGATCTTACGAGGTTGTTTAAGCGTTTATTTGAAACTTGAAAATAATTTTTTTGATTTTGAATTTTCAGTATAATTGGCCTTGATGTTCAGCTTGTGCTCTATGGCGAAAAAAATCGATTTTTTTGTAAAAAATTTTGAAAATTAGAATTTTTTTGTACATTTCCAATCATTCCGAAATCTCTTGTGTCACTTTTTTTCAATTTTTTTGATAATTTTTTCAAAAAAAATGTCTGATTTTTTTCCTATTTTACTCCTAGGAAAAAAAGGCCGTTATGATAAGAGCTTGGTCGCTCCATGGCTAGTTTTTTTGAATTCTTGGAAAAAAACGTATTTTTTTGAAAAAAAGTTCAGTTGAATCTAGTTTTTTTCTCGATCTTACTAGACAATCTTTCACTTCAAAGAGAAAAAAAGTTCTCAATTTTTTTGAGCCGCCTTGAAATTTGGCTTTTTGTGCCCCATGGATAAATTTTTTTATTTTTTTGAAAAAAATGAATTAGATTATTAGGAATCATTTTGTGTAGTTTTTTTCAATAATTTTCAGTTTTTTTGGGACCGGTTTTTTTGAATTTTAAACTAGTTTTCTAATTTTTCTAACTTCTAGGAAAAAAATGGGTCACTTTTAATAGGGGCTTGGTCGCTCTATGGCTAAATTTTGAATTTTTGGAAAAACGCACTTTTTTTTCTTACAGAAAACTAGTATTTTTGACGATTTATTATTTTTATTTATTTTCAACTTTTTGAGCTGTCTTGAAAATAGGCTCGTGCGCCCCAAGGAGAAATTTTGGTTTTTTGTGACAAAAATATCAGAAAATTAGGAATTCTGTTTGGGGTAGTTTATATTCAAATTCAGTCTTCAGAGTAAGATGAAGAAAATCTCTGCTGAATCATGGTATAATCGAAGAGTTAGTCGTCGGCGCGGGTTACGGTCCACAATCGTTGTCCAATACGTCCCGGAGGGACAGCTAGCGTTGGGAAATAATGTTGGCCCGTTGGTAATACCATCGAATAAACTGCTTCACCATGTTGGAACAGTACAGCGCCCAGCTTGTCCAGGGCTGACGGGCGTCGGAATATTATCCCATGAGAGAGCGGCAATGAGACAGACCAGTCGACGTGATGAAATGAGATAGTTTATATATAATTTTTAGTTCTTGGGACTGGTTTTTTCTAATTTTTAAAACTAATTTTCTTTGAATGAAGTTTCTGATATTTTTTTTTTTGATGTCAAGAAAAAATTGAGTTACTTTTGATAAGGGCTTGGTCGCTCTATGGCTAATTTTGAATTTTTTGGATAAAGCAGCTTTTTTTGAACAGATAACACAACAAAACCAGTACTTCTAATGATTATTCAGCTGTTGGGAAATGTTGAAAACTCCAAAAAACAATTTCGATTCTAGTCTTTTCCAATTTTCGTTAGACAATCCTTCACTTCACCAAATTCAATAATCCCCCACAATTTCTCAGAACCAATTTTCAATTTTGAGCAAGTTCCCACAAAACAAAATCATACGAATGAAATGAAACTGACAAACAAATGTTAATTGTCAAGTCGTCGCAGACTAATTACAGGGTCTCTTTTTCCCCTATGAATCATTTCTGAGACATTTTTTTGCAGCAATTGCCATTTTTTTGCGTTACTTGCAAGAAACTGGGGATAATTCCGAAAAAAATGGTTTTTGAACTTTTCTTTAAAAATCTTCGAGTTCAAATTAGATGAGAAACTTTTTAGAAAGGACATAGTGGAAGAAAAAAAAATTAGCCTTTGAGCGCAAAAGTTTGTTTTTCGTGCGGCTATTTTTTCCTTGACGACTTGTCAATGTTTAGAAATATTTTCATAACCGTTGAGTGTCTCAAGGATAGGAGGAAAATTTTCTTGAGAAACACAAATATTATCCATGGAGCGCACAAGCTCTTTTCCGTGCGGCTATTTTTTTCTTGAGGATTTTTCAATATTGAGAAATTTTTTTATAACGATAGATTGTCTTAAGAATAGGAGGAAAATTTTTTATGAGAAAAATATAAATTTAACCTTGGAGCGCACATGCTCTTTTCCATGCGGCTATTTTTTTCCTTTAGGACTTTTAAATATTTAGAAACTTTTTTTATAACGGTAGAATGTCTCCGAATTTTTTTCTAGAAAAGGAATAAGTTTTTTTCATTTTTTTCTTTCATTTGCATTAATATACGGAAAAATTGGCTTTGAGATTATTTCCAATGGGTTCCTTTTTTTCTGAAAAAAATTTTTTGACAAATTCAATCTTTTTTTATTTTTTTAGAAAAAAATTGTTTGAAAAATTTAAACTATGGTCAAAAAAAGTGAAGGATCCAATTTTGAAAAAAATTTTTAGAATTTTTTAGATGATTATCTGAAATAATTTTTTTGACGTTTTTCAGAAAAAAACTGATTTTTGAACCAGTTTTTTTCTTCGATCAAAATCTCTAGAATCTTAAAAAAATTTGTGAATTTTGATATAAACGTGACAGAAGCTAAAGAAACGGTCAATTATAAAAAAATTTTTTTCCTTCATTTTTTTATTTTAAAAAAATTTAAAGCTTTGGAATTTTTTTGGTTCAAGCTCCTTACAAAAAAACTAAAAAAACCTGTTCTTTTTGTTTCTCGAAAAATTAGAACAGACCTGTTGACAGAATCTGAAGCTCGCTCATATAAACTAATGAAAAAAATTCTAAATTTTATAGGATAAAAGGGAAGTTTTTCGAATATCAAAGGGAGAACCTTATTCGGCAGTGTAGAAAATGTTAGGCAGCCCAGAGGGATTTGTGCTCTTTCTCCTCGAGAAAAAAACGCCCCAATCACCTGCGAAATCTCGAAAAGGAAAAGTTCTCCTCTTGCGTCGTTCCCAACAAATATAATAATGATGAAAAAAATATAATTTCAGGCCGTAAAGTTCAGTTTTTTTGATGCTTTGACAATTGGATTTTGGCCTTTTATGTCTGCTCAAAAAGACACATTTGTTCCAATATTTATCTTCTTGAATTTTTGCGTACTTTGAACCAGATTTTTTTGGTTCCTTCGAGCAGGAACTTTGAAAAACGAAACTTGAAATGTGAAAAAAAGGGAGATTTTTTTAAAAACTGAAAAAAATAGAACCAACAACTAGTTTTACACAGAGACCCGGAAAAAAAGATTATTTTTTTGATTATTTTTTTAATTTTTTTATATATTCTTTTTGAAGCTTTATGCTTCGGCACACTATCAGAACTCTGAAGAAAAAAACTTGAAAAATTTGAAAAAAATTCATTTTTGTGAAATCCAATGTTTATTGCAACATATGTGACTCTATATTTTTAAAAAACACATTTAATGAAAAAAATTTCAATAAATTTTAGTTTTTTTCAATTTTTGTCGGTAAACATTAAGCAGGTTACTGGAAAAATTTTGGGTGGCCACTATAGGGATCACTTGAGGAAACCTAAACGTCACTAAAACCAACGTTCTTTCAGCTCCTTAAGGGGCCACTAAAACGTACAAACCCTTAAGTTATCACTAAAAACTTTCCTATAGGATTTGAGCCGTTTTGGTCAGATCATAGGAGCTTGTTCGCTCCAAGGACAATTTTGAAAATTTCCCGGAAACTTGCAGTTAATTTAACTACTATAGTGGCCACTAGAACGTCCAAACCCTAAAGTCAACCCTCAAGTGAACCCTAAGAACTTTCCCAGTAGAACTTTTGGAGCTTATTCGCTCCAAGGACAATTTTGAAAATTTCGAGAGAACAGCATTTTCTTCAAGTCTTTTCAAGGCCCAAAGAAATAGAAAATATTTATATATACATACAAAACCGATCACCAGGCTTGTTTCAATTGCGAAAAGTACATGTCGGAATCGGTCCTGGTGGCCGTGATTGAAGGTCCCGTCTTTACTCGTTTCGGCAGTTTATCCCGACGGATCACCCGATAGAAGGCTTTTTTCCATGGTTTCGTTGAGATCATGAAGGCTGGAGTTAATATGATAGGGTTCCTGAAAATATTTATTTCTTTATTTTTGAAGTGAAGAGTTCTTGGGAACTTCAGAGTGGTCCCTATAGGGGTTAGGATAAAAAAAACCTTATAGGGGACCAAAAAAAGTGCTCACTATAGGGGTAACATTCAAGTGGTCCCTATAGATGCTTAGGGCCTGACTCCAAAGCCGCTAAAGCTTGAGGGGTCCCTATAGAGGTTCGAGGAAAAAAGAGCCTCTGTAGAGAACCAAAAGTGCTCACTATAGGGGTAACATTCAAGTGGTCCCTATAGATGCTTAGGGCCTGACTCCAAAGCCGCTAAAGCTTGAGGGGTCCCTATAGAGGTTCGAGGAAAAAAGAGCCTCTGTAGAGAACAAAAAGTGCTCACTATAGGGGTAACATTCAAGTGGTCCCTATAGATGCTTAGGGCCTGACTCCAAAGCCGCTAAAGCTTGAGGGGTCCCTATAGAGGTTCGAGGAAAAAAAGAGCCTCTGTAGAGAACCAAAAAGTGCTCACTATAGGGGTAACATTCAAGTGGTCCCTATAGATGCTTAGGGCCTGACTCCAAAGCCGCTAAAGCTTGAGGGGTCCCTATAGAGGTTCGAGGAAAAAAAGAGCCTCTGTAGAGAACCAAAAAGTGCTCACTATAGGGGTAACATTCAAGTGGTCCCTATAGATGCTTAGGGCCTGACTCCAAAGCCGCTAAAGCTTGAGGGGTCCCTATAGAGGTTCGAGGAAAAAAAGAGCCTCTGTAGAGAACCAAAAGTGCTCACTATAGGGGTAACATTCAAGTGGTCCCTATAGATGCTTAGGGCCTGACTCCAAAGCCGCTAAAGCTTGAGGGGTCCCTATAGAGGTTCGAGGAAAAAAAGAGCCTCTGTAGAGAACCAAAAAGTGCTCACTATAGGGGGTAACATTCAAGTGGTCCCTATAGATGCTTAGGGCCTGACTCCAAAGCCGCTAAAGCTTGAGGGGTCCCTATAGAGGTTCGAGGAAAAAAGAGCCTCTGTAGAGAACAAAAAGTGCTCACTATAGGGGTAACATTCAAGTGGTCCCTATAGATGCTGAGGGCCTGAATCCAAAGCCCTGAAGCTTGAGGGGTCACTATAGGGGTTCGGGAAAAAACAGCCCCTGTAGAGGACAAAAAGTGCTCACTATAGGGGTAACATTAAAGTGGTCCCTATAGGGGTTTAGGGTCAAAATCCAAAGCCGCTTAAGCTTGAATGGTCCCTATAGGGGTTTGGGGGAAAAAGAGCCACTGTAGAGAACAGAAAGTGCTCACTATAGGAGGAACATTAGGGTTTAGAGTCTAACATTGAAGCCCCTGAAGTTTAAGTGGTCCCTATAGGAGTTCGGAATAAAACGATCAAAAAAGTGCTCCCTCTGGGGATAAAATTTAGGTGGTCACTATAGGGCTTACAGTCAGACTTCAAAGCCGTGAAGCTTGAGGGGTTCCTATAGGGCGGTCTAAACTCAAAGCCGCTAAAGTGGTCCCTATAGGGATCTTCTAATTTTTTTGTTCCCATTTTATAATCAAAAAAATTTTTTTTTCATAAAAACTTAGGAGTCCTTGTTGATATTTTTTTATTCAAAAAAAGCGCCGATTTGTTAAGTTTTTTGCCTGGAAATGACATTATAGATACAATAATCGATTACCATGTCCCCTATAGGGGCCACTTTTCCAAGCTTTAGTTCCCCTAGAAAGAAACCCTGAACGGCCTCTAAAGTTGCCCCTTTAGTGACCAACCTGGCCTTTCCAAGAAACTGAGATTTTCCCGATTTTATCACCAAAAAATGCCCAGTTTTTTTGAGATACTTCAATTTTTACAGGAGAACTCACAAATTGAAGCCAGTTTCGAAGAGATTCAGCCAGATTTCCTCGATTTTCAATGGGAAAAAATGATAAGCGGCTATAAATAGGGCCAAAAGTATGGTCATGGCGATTGGAACTGTGAAGGCGATCAACCGGAACAGCAACTGAAACTTTGGGATCTTTTAATTGAAAAAGAGAATTTTTGATTTTGCGCCTTTATATTTTGCTTCAGAAAATGCTCTTTATCTTTGTGGAGAAATCAATTTTTGAGTTGACGGTGATAACTATAACTTCATCGGAGCGAATTTCATTTTGTCACATTATTTAAAAGTTTTGAAACGTATCCAATTGAGGTTTGGTTTTAGTATTGAGTTTTGAGTTCCTGGTTTTTCTAAAACTTCCAATGAAATTAATTATTGATTTATTTTTTTCTGGGGCCTTGCCGCAACCTAGAAAGGTAAATTTAGAGACCGCAGAGCCACGCCCCTTTTTGCGATGGTGAAATGCACTGGTTTTTTAGATTTCGTGTTTGATGTTTTCGTAAAAGCGCAATACTGAATCAAACACAGAGAAATTTGGTGGAAACATAGAGAAAACCTTTCTCTTTAATCTCATATAATTTTCACCCAATTTTCGAAGCGTTTTAGCGGAGTGTCGTACAAAAAACCAAAACTACTTTTTTTCTTCGAGTTTTTAACCTAGTTCCATGTCGTTGGCGCCTTTTTTTTATTTTTCGAATTCGATTCTTAAGTGAAAAAAACAAATCTTTTAAGACAAAAAAATTAAAAATTTTTTTACGGTGCCTAATCTTCGTGAGGCCGCGCAAAGTTGAAAAATGTTGTACTCGCTTTCGAGAGCGTGTAAGTAAAAAAATTTTTCATTTTAACTTGTGGATTAAATTGTAACTAAAAACTTTATTAATATAAAACTTATTCCGAAAAACTTTGTTTTCTGAGAAAAAAAGACAGGGAAAAATTTCGAAATTTATTTTAACATGGTTAGATGTCGTTGGCGCCTGTTTTTTTATTTCTTAAATATTAGCGTATCTCAATTTTCAATCACTTAAAAAAATAAAATAAAAAAATTTTAGCGGTGCCTAAAAAGTTTAATTATTGTTAACTTGAAGCCAACGTTTAAAATAACAAAAAACACCGAAAACGGAAGCATTTTGAACTGAATCTCTATGAATAAATTATTTTCAGGTGCTCCGAACACACGTGACTAATAATTGTTCAACTATCATAACTTTTTTTTTGAACAAGACTATCGGTAAATGCTGTACTTTGAGGGGAAGTGGTGTATAGCGCGAACGCCTCCCATCTCAGAGGGATGGACGTGGAGCAGCGCAAGTGCCCTTGCATACAGTTTTGATATCGCGAGTTCAATCCTCGCAGCGGCCATTTTTTTTATTTTTCAAGAAAAAATAGCTTTTCTTTTCAAACTTGTGGTTCTATACTGTTTTAATGACACGACTTTGAAAACCAAACTAAACTGCTAAAAAATTTAAATCCGATATGAAAACAAAATGAACGACCAAAAGTGTAAAATCTAAACTTTCAGTACTAAATTTCGCGACTTTTTTCGCTACTGTTTTGACCATAACTTTTTTTTTCTCAACCTTTTTCGAAAAACTAAACTGTTTTGAATAGTAAATTAGAGCAGCTATCCAACCATAGTAATATTGAAGTTCGAAAAATTTTTTGAAAATTCGTCTGCGGTCCCTAGGTAAATTCATTGAGAAAATAAATGTTAATTGAAAAAAAAAGGTAGAAAATTCTAAAAAGATTGCTTAGCCGGTTATGAATGTACTTTAACTAAATTTTGAAGTTTAATAACTCATAAATTAATTATTTTCCAACTTGTTTTCAAAGTCTATTTAGTCATAAATGAAATATTTCACTTCAAACTCAATTTCCAAGTGTTAGTAGTGAATAACTTTTTTTTTCTCTCTCTGGGAAAACTTTTAGTGGCCACTATAGGGTTTTGACGTTTTAGTGGCCCCTGTAGTAGTAAAATTAGTGACCACTTAAGGGGTTAAAAATTAGTGGCCACTACAGAGGTCTAAGTGCTACTACTAGACCACTGAAAGTTTTAGTGGCCACTTTAGGGGTCAATGGATCAACATAACTGGTCCAATCTGTTTGTTTTAAAATTATCAGAGTTACTGGAAGGAATACCGGATGAAAAACTACTGCAGTGGCCACTAAAACGGCAAATAGTGGCCACTATAGAGGTGCGTTTAGTGGCCACTTTAGTGTCCTCTCCAAGTAGCGAGCCTCTACAGTGGCCACTGAACATTTTCTCATTTGATCGAAAAACGAAAGGAAGATCATCAAACGGACCCCGTAGGACCTCGCATTCTCCTTGACTTGAAACCGATAACTCAGGGTGTATTTCGTCGAAACGGCCTTGTCTTGCAGTACACGCATCGCCCGAGTGTTGTAGTACCATAAAACGGCAAAAAGCTGAAGAACTTTTATTTTTTCCAAGTACTGGACCGCATTTTGAATGGCTGCCCGATTTTTCACTGATTCTTATGCTTAAAAATCCTTCAGGCGCAAGTAGTTTCTAGTCGGAAGCATTGAGCTTTTTCCTAAGCTTTTTCCAATGCGCGCACTTGGAATGGCTCGTTTTGCCAGATTTTTCCCGAATTCTTATGCTTGAAGATGCTTTCAGGCGCAAGTAGTTTCTAGTCGGGCGCGTTGAGCTTTTTCATTTGGAATGGCTCGTTTTGCCCCACCTTTCACGGGCACTTTTAATGCTTAAAATGCTTTCAGGCGCAAGTAGTCTCTGGTCGGGCACATTGAGCTTCTTCCTAAGCCGTTTTCTATGACCGCACTTGGAATGGCTCGTTTTGCCCGACCTTACAGGAGCTCATTCGAGCGCAAGTCGTTTCTAGTCGGGCGCGTTGAGCTTTTCCTTACCGCTGTAGAAATCATAACGGTTAGCGTCGCCCAAATAATTCCGTAGCTGTAAGTGAACTTGTCGAAAATTCCGTATATGGCAAGAGTGATAGAAATGAAGTGAGCGGTTAATAAGATTGTGGCAGATATGTAGATTCTGGACTTCTCTTCGTAGTCTCTGGAAAAAGGTCGTTGGGAGGTTTTTTCGAGAATTTTCAGGAGCGTTGCGGTCGCGTCGCGGTCCATTTGGAGCTTTTTCAAATGGGTAAGAGTAAACGAAGAATTGTTCTTGATTCTTTCTTTCGATTTTTTTTTCCTTTTCAAAAAATCTTTTTTTTTTCCTTTTTCTTCATGCTTCGCCTGTAGCTCCAGAATGATCCCTATACGGCCCTTTGAAGTTTACCCCTCTAGGGACCACTGAATCTTGCAAAAGTGGTCCCTAGAGGGGTCAGGATAGTCGTTTATTGTTATAAACTCTATGTGAAGAAGCATATCCATGCGAAAAACTCAATAAAATAGCGTTTTTGAGTGGAAAAAAAAAATCAACAAAGGAATAATCGATTAATTTTTATTAAGTACGTCTTTTGAGTCAAAAAATTAAAAAAATAAATAAACTTGAGAAAAAATTTCAAACCTAAATTCTTAAAAAATCGGACTTTTATTGGCATTTAGAATAACTTCCTCATCAAAAACTGTCTACTCAGGAACCTCAGAGTGGTCCCTATAGGGTCCCCTTTGGACCTCCTGGATTTTACCCCTATAGGGAACAATTTTTCGTCGCCTATAAGAGCTGTTTTCTCCCCTAGCCCCTATAGGGACCACTCTGGCGTTTTTTATTTTTAACTGACCTGACTAGAATCGTCGCCATACATCGTTCCATAATAACTGAAGGAAAAGCCATATTCAATGAGAATAAATAATGAAGCCTCAAAGTTCCACCCAAAATGAATGGAAAATCGAACCAAGGATCAACCGGTGGTGATTTTAAATTCGTATTGAATCGAAACGATGTGTTTCCTGCAAGAGAAATTGTTTCAAAATTGAAAAATGGAACAAAGTTTAAAAAAATTCATTCAGTGAGATTATTAAAGGCGCAACACATGATTCGAAAAGCTTATTTTTAAAATCCACTACTCAAAAAAAGACGAAATGACTGCGTTTTGAACCATTCCAAGTGCGACCACAGCATTTCGGATTTTTGTTTCATCGAAACTTTTATTAAATAACTATCCTTTTTCATCGATCTTTTTTCAGTTTCCAGTAAAAGTTTTTGTTAGTTTGGAGTATTTTGAAACTTGAACCCAAAAAAGTGGCCCCTCATGATTTTTTCACTTTAATAATTTTCGGTGATAACGGTTAAAATCCATGGTCGCACTTGGAATGTCTCGCACTGTGGAATAGTTTGAATTTGAATAGATACTAAACGCAAGTCGTTTTTGGTCGGGTGCAAGCAGCTTTTGAACATTTCGGCTTGGTACTCAGCTGCAGGATACTTTTGATTATATGAATTGGTCCTAAGCGCAAGTCGTTTTGGGTCGGGTGCAAGCAAAATTTGGACGTTCTAACTCGGAACTCAGCGCAAAACGTTTTGGGTCGGGTGCAACGGAATTTTGATAGTATGACTTGCTACTCAGCGCAAGTAATTTCTGGTCGGATGTAAACCACTTTATATTTTCTGACTCGGAACTCAAGGAACTTTTGGTAGGGACCGCAAAGCCACGCCCCTTTTCGCGATAGAAAAAGTGGCTTTTTTTTGGTTTTCAACTTTCATTTTGATGTAGTTGTAAAATATGTGGAACTGGCAAATAAAATTTGACACACTTGTACAGAAAAGCTTCCTCTTTCGTTTAAAAAATATTTCACGCTTTTTTGATGCGTTCGCGCGGAATGTCGTACAAAAACGTGAATGGAACTAAAAAAACTTTGTCGTTTTTTTGCTTTTTCATGTGTTTTTCAGGTCGAACGCACTCTTTCTTTTTTTAAATAATGATTTTTGATTCAAGTAACGGTAATTTTAAAACAATAAAATAAAAAAATTCGTCTTTTGCCAAAAAAATTTTTAGGGAGTGCCGAAAGTCGTAATTCAAAAATATCGTTAATATGCGAATATAATCGAGTTTTTTTCTTTTTTTCAAAATTTAGATCACGGGCTTACTTAAATATTTCTCCACAGAATATGTGCTTGAAAAAAGTTGTTTAATACGCAAAAAAATGCTCTTGAAACTAGAGGATAAAATTAGCGGCGTTTATCACACAGAAAGCGGTCGAACGCAGGTTTTTTTAAAACGATTATATACATTTATTAGTAAAAAAATCTTTCAATTAAAAAGAATAAAAATAAAAAAATTCGTCTTTTGCCAAAAAAATTTACGGGGCCGTTTTAATGCAGCGATCGTTAAACGAGGCAAAAAAAGCACTAAAAAAACAGTTTTTTTCGAAGTGAATTTCCACGAACCGTTTGAGTAAAGATTTGCAAACATATTCTGATAAAAAAATAGCTAAATTACTTCAAGTTTTTTTCTTTTTGAAATAGACAATCTGTGCTATTCAAACGGCTCAAAGGGTATGGCGGATGGAAGCTCCCGCGTTGGACCTAACAGCTTGGCGCAACGCGTGCGCTCCGATTTTACATTTTGAGGTAGCGAGTTCGATGCCCGCAAGCGGCAGTTTTTTTGTTTTCTGGAAAAATACCGACTTTTTTTCGACAAACTAGCTGATTAGCATCATTTTAGCACTCTAGTATGATTTGTTACATCATAATAGACCAGTATCAAAATTTGTTCTAGAAGAAAAATCGAAAAAAATGTCAAAAATGGATAATACCAAAATTTCAGTACTAAAAAAATGGTGCGCGGCGCGCCACCTTTTCCGTCATAACTTTTTTCATCCTCAATCTTTTTTGAAAAACTAAACGGTTCTGAGTTTTGAATCGAAACAGCTATCGAACCATACAAAGCTCAATGCTGAAAAAAATTTTTTGAAAATTCGTCTGCGGTCCCTAACTTTTGGACATTATGACTTGTTACTCATTACAAATCGTTTCTGGACGGGTGCCAAGAACTTTTATTTTCTACTTGATACTCAGCGCAATTCGTTTTGGGTCGGGTGCACTTTTATCATTCTGACTCTAAACTCAGCACAAGTCGTTTTGGGTCGGGTGCAAGCAAGACTAACCGGAAATATCGATCCAACCCTGTTGATAGGGCAACAGTAATAACCTGGCGATGAATAATTCAAACCATTGACCCGAAAAAGCGATGATAATTATAGTCATATTGATATGGAAAGCTCGATTTTTCAGCATGATTCTGGAGGTGACGACGACGAGAAATAAAGCGGGAAAATAGAGGAGCAACTCGGCTGTCCGCATGATTGGCCAAGTGCCAAGGTCCATCGTGAAAATCGGCAGCAGCAGGTAGGATCCATCCACGAGATTTACGTTCATTTTTAATGTAACTGTAAAATAATCTTTTTTTAAATTATGACAAAGTGAAATAAGTTGCGAACACGGTCATGTAGAACCAGAAACAGTGATTCGAAAGTTATTTTTTTAATATTGGCCAGATTATGAACCAAACTATTATTGACAGACTTGAAATGAATTGAAAAAGCCTGAAAAACTTTTTTTTAACTTTGAAATTGCAGCCGTTTCGAGCAAAGATTAATCATAAAACTTTAAAAAAGCTTGGAAAAGTCAGAAAATACTGGAAAATACGGACTTTTTTGGAATTTTGAAAAAGTCTTTAAAATTTTCTGGATGTCCTGCCTTTCAAGTCCGGAGGCCGAAAAGGAGTTATGAAATTGTTTTTTTTTAATTTTTTAAGGTTAAGGTTAAGTTTAAGGTTAAGGTAAAGGTTAAGGTTACGGTTAAGATTAGGGTTAAGGTTAAGTTTAAGGTTAAGGTTAAAGTAAAGATAAACGTAAAGGCTAAAGTAAAAGTTAAGGTCAAGGTTAAGGTAAAGGTTAAGGTAAAGATTAAGGTTAAAGTTAAGGTCAAGGTTGAGGTTAAGGTTAAGGTTAAGATTAAGGTTAAAGTTAAGGTCAAGGTTAAGGTTAAGGTTAAGGTTAAGGTTAAGGTTAAAGTAAAGGTTAAGGTTAAGGTTAAGGTTAAGGTAAAGGTAAAAGTTAAGAGAAAGGTTAAGGTACAGGCTAAGGTAAAGATTAAGATTAAAGTTGAGGTTAAGGTTAAGGTAAAATACATGATTAAATTTTTTGCTGATTTCAAAAATAGCTCTTTTGTATAGCTCATTCGTATCGTTTCGACCTTAAAAAGTCGGTTTAAAAATTCAATCCTTTAAATTTAACGTCCCAAGGTGAAAAAATGCATTTCAATAAAACTTTCTAAACACTTGCGATTTAAAAATATACTAGTATGAAAAAAAAGATCTTCGCATCACAAAAACGGGAAAAAGATGAAAAAGAAGATCAGAAAAGGGCAAAAATTGGCGCTTTGAACATTGAAGATGCAAAAATAGAAAGTTGAAACTACATAACTTTCAAAAAAAGCCTTCATTATGGTTTTTTTCTAGGTTGAGGAGAGCGCGAAACATGGTGTTTGATATATATGATGCTTCAAGCCGCATTTGGAATGGCTTTTTTGCAAGAAAATTTCGAAAATGCGGTCATTGAAAAAAAAATACGGAAAATGGGACGCTTCTAGATCGAACTCCGCAGGTAAAAATTGAAAAAAAAAATGAATATGAGGAAAATTCCTGAAATATTAAAGTTTTGGCTGCATTTGGAATGGCTTCCTCATCAAAAACTGTAGGAATCTTGAAACAACTCAGGAACGCCAGAGTGGTCCCTATAGGGTCAATCTGAGGTACAATAAATTAGCGTTTTTTCAACGAGAAACATCCTGAATATAAAGGAACGCCAGAGTTGTCCCTACAGGTTCCTCTTTTGACCGCCTATTGGGAGCCCTTTTTGTCCCCTGTAGGGGCTCTTCTCTCCTTTAACCCTATAGGGATCACTCTGAATTTCTGAAGAACAGTCGATTTCAGTTTCAATAAAATGATAAAAACCAAAAAAATTCAAAATTTTGTTCATTTCGTATTCATCTAGTACCCAGGTTTAAGGAACCATTTCAACAATGATCGGGAGATAATTTCTGATAATATCAAAATCCAAGTCGCAGCAAGAGCTTTTTTTTTTGAGGGGGGATTAAAAACGAGGTTTTTCCTAGCCCATTTAAGGAAAAACGACCAGGTCTTTAGATGCAGACAGGTAAAAAGTGACCTCTATAGGGTTTAGACGTTTTAGTGGCCACTACAGTAGTCAAATTAGTGGCAAGTTTAGAGGGAAAAAATTAGTGGGCACTATAGAGTCCTAAGTGGTACTACTAGATGACTAAATCTACTATAGTTGCCACTAATGACCAAATAGTGGCCTCTAAAGAGGTGGTCTTAGTGACCACTTTAGTCTCCTCTTCAAGTAGTCCTTGGGGAGCCTCTATAGTGGGCACTGAATGTTTTCCCAGAAAATTGGACTTTCCAAAAATTTGCATTCCACAGTCGATCATAGTAGTAAATAAAGCCATACCAAATGCGGCCAAAAACTTTTTTACATTCATTTTTTTATCCGACAAACAAGCAAATCTTAACCGAAACGAGGGTATAGTCGAGAAATCACGCGAGCAAATTTAATAAATGAAAAAAATAATATTTTTCTCTCTTTGATTCGATTTTGCCCACTTATTTGAACTTTATTCTCGGAAAAATCTCACGAATCAAACCTATTTTCTGATAAACTATATTGTAGAAAAGCCGAAAAATAAAGGCTCTTTTGCCGATTTTCAGACTAACTAAGCGTTATTCACCCCCCTCCAAAAAAATGGATTGGAAAAACTAGTATTAGATTTTTGGTCGGTTCAGTGGGGCGGAACATTCTTCGTACTATCGGCTTTTCAGAGCAGAAAATATTTATTTTTTGGAAAAAAGGAGATTTGATGAAAATATTTTCATCACTCTACAAAGTCTGTTGACCTTGTGATTTTAGTATTAGAAGTTGTACTTTTTAAATGTCATCCGAAAAAAAATTGGACAAATATTTGAAATTTGAAATTTTGAAAAATTTGTTCTGGGTTTCACTCAAAATTAAACACACTTTAGAAACGCCAGAGTGGCCCCTGTAGGGGTTATAAAACACAAAAACCCCTCTAAGGGACAAAATAGTGCTTCTTATAGGGATGAAATTCAGATGGTCTCTATAGGGTCTTAGGATCTGATCCGTGAGCCCCTATAGCTCAAGTAGTCCATATAGGGCTTTAGGTTCTGACCCCTTATCCCCCTAAAGCTTAAGTGGCCTCTGTAGGGGGAGGGGTTTTTTTTTAATAGATACCCTTTAAAAGAATTTTTTCGATTTTCGTCTATTAACGGAAAATATCTAGAATAGAATAGATCAAAGTTTATTTCGAGAGGAAATCATAGAAAAAGCTGGTTTTTTTTTCAGCTTTTTCAACAATTTCTATGGTTCCTTTCATAGACTTTGAACCGATTGAACCTTAATTTCAATTTCACTGAAGAGACCCCTTCAGCAAAAGTTTGACTAGTTATTTTAAGATTATAGGTCATTCCGCGCCAGCATGTCACGATTTTAAATTTCCTCAAAGCTAGAGAGCCCATTTCGGCGCTTCGCTTCGATGCTCTCGGTGTGCCCTCTTACGCGCGCCTTTAATAAAACTCATTATTTCCGAATTTTGGAATTTTCTTATTTTACAAAAACAGTTGTAACATCAAATTTTATATCAAACTAACCCAAAAAAAGTAAGTGCAAGAAAAGCTCGAACAGTCGGTTTCCTAAATAACAATTAAAAAAGAATAAATCAATCTTTTTGATTTTCTTTTCTTTTTACAAATCCAGCACAGAATCTGAGTGTGTATAGTTAAAGCGAAAAATGAAATCAATCCATTAAAAACAACCTCGTAAATTAATAAAAGAGACAGAAGAAATTGAAGCAATATCTTAATCAGAAATAATGTTTTATTAAAGGCGCAGGGGGAACATCGAGAACAATGAAGCAAAGTGCTGAAAGGGGTTCTGTAGCTCCGAGGAAACTGAAAATCGTGGCAAGCTGGCGCGGAATGACCTATACCAAAATTCTCACGAAGTACGTTTTTTTTTAAAAATAAAATGTATGTCAGTTCGAATCTGAAAATCATAAAAACTTTTTTAGGTTGTTTTTGTCGGAAAAAATTCCCTGAGTTAGCGGAATATTATAAAAAAATGTGTACTTTTTTTCGAAATTCGTAAGAATGAGTCAAAATGATTAATTTCCTTGATTTTGTCTTCATTGGACCATAAAAAAGCAAAAAAACAATCGAGGAATTGATAAAAATTTTCTGATTCGAAAAGGAAAGCGGAAAAAAAAGTTCAAAAAAGGAAAAATTCTAAAATCTTTCGACAAAAACATTGTGCTTTCCAGGAATTACGTGTTGAAATTTAATAATACATTAGAAATTAAATATGCCTTTCTAAAAAGATGTAATTTTTTTGATAAGAAGGAAAAAAAGAACGGGAAGTTAATTCCATGAAGTAAACACAGTGTTTTGAAATCGGCAAATCGGAAAAATTTTTTTATAGAAAAAAGAAAAAAATTATTTTTCATATGTTGCCATATGATAAAGGTTTCATGGACCAGGTTCTCACGAAAAGAATTTTGGTCGTTTTTTTGAAAGATTTTCTTTTTATTTTTTTGGTCACTGAGATCCAAAATACACTTTAGCCTGCAAAAATGGACAATTCTTCAATAAAAAGTGATTTTTTGGAAAATTTCTGAGCTTCATCTAATGAGGAAAAAGTGATTAAACTAGAGAGACTTTGATGAAAAAAATGAGTAAAATCCGAAAAAAAAATATTTTTTTATAGAGACAGTCATCATCTATGGAGCAGGTTCCCACAGAAAAAAATATTTTTAGATTTTTTTAAATATATTTTTTTCCAATTTGATAACAAAACTGAGTCTAAAGACACTGTGCCCTTCTAAAAAAATCGACATATTCAGAAAAAAAATTGATGGAACGCAAAAAAAAAAGGAGACATTTTGGAGAAAAATAATTTATTTGCATGCAAGCAAGACCACATGAAAATGGCCAATAATCTCAAAAAAATTATTTATTTTTTTCTTATTAGCTTTAAATTCAATTTTTATGAGAACAGTTATTCAAGGGAGAAAGTTCCCAAGAAAAAAATTTTTAAAAGGATTTTTTTCACATTTATTGACAAAATAAAGGTCAAAAATACACTGAATCCTACAAAAAAATGGATTTTTTTCGAAAAAAACAATCAGAACGCGAAAAAAAGTGATGAATTTCTGATTAAAAAAAGATAATTTTTTTAAAAAAAAGGCGCGAAATTGATAGAAAATAATTAATTTCCAAAGGGTATGATTCATTTTTTTGAGATATTAAGTAACAAAAAAAGCTTAAAATTTACGAACTTTTCAAGAAAAACGGAAAGTTGGGACGATTTCTGAGCCCCATTCATTGAGAAAAAACTAATAAAACTTGAGAAAAGCCGAAAATTTGTCGGCGAAACAGCAGGTGGCGCGAAATGCCGAAATTCTGGTCGGCGTTCTTTGAATCACGCCTTCTCGAAAATAGTATTTATATCACGTAAAGAAGTCGTTGTTTTTTTTTCGATTGAAGGTATCAAAGTATTTTCTCCGTTCTTTGGATATTTCAAAGTTTTTTCAGTTCTTTTTCAAAATTGCAATGGAAAGAATGACGCAAGGTATCATTATAAAAAAGATGAAATTGAGTTCTAAGAGAGTACAGAAAAAATGGAGATAGTCAGACAGTAAGAGAGGGCAAATATGTCTGGAGCTCTCCACCTTTTTTGTTATCTTTGGATTTTAGAGAGTGTGCAAAAGTTGGAGGCAGTTAGACCGCGAAAATATTGATTTTGTCTAGCACTCTCTCCATTTTCTATAGTCTCTAACCTCTAGAGAATGTGCAAAAGTTGGAGATAGTTAGACGGTGAGAATAATGATTTTGTCTAACACTCTCTTCATTTTCCTTAGTCTCTAACCTCTAGAGATTGTGCAAAAGTTGGAGACAGTTAGACCGGGAAAATATTAATTTTGTCTAACACTCTCTTCATTTTCCATGGTCTCCGACCTCTAGAGATTGTGCAAAAGTTGGAGACAGTTAGATATCTCTGATCCACATACTTTTTCTCTACTAAGATGCGCCAGAGTGGTCCCTAGAGGGATTAGGGGACAAAATAAAACTTCCTAAAAAGGTACAATTTAGATGGCCCCTTTAGGGACTTCTCAAGCTCACTAGGTGGATATTTATTTTTATCTTTTCGTGTTAAAATTACTTAGGGGCGACCACCATGCTTCCCTAAAATGGCCACTAGCTGAAATCCCTAGAGTGGCCACTTTTTGCAAGCTTATAGGACTCATTATCTCCAAGAACTGAAGGAAGAGAGAGAGAAATGGAAGAGAGTTAGACAGTGAAAGAAAAAATCACCTTTCCATGATCTAGCCAAAAAAGTTCTATAACAGCTTTATTCGTTATGCAAAGTGAAATTGAGAATATTTAGCATTGGTTAGAGGTATGAGGACTGGCGAGAACCCGGCGGTGGTCGGTACACATGGTGACGTCACGTCGAAGGACGGTCGTTTCTTTCTGAAAAGGGTGGTGGTTAGTATGTGAGAAAAACAATGAAATTTGAGTTCAAGACATTTCCAAAGGTACTGTAAGTCTTTCTCAATCGTGCCAGGACCTTTTTCTTGGGACAATCCTTGATTTTATAATAAAACCTTTCCTATTGAAAACAGATTTTTGAGCATTCGTACAAATTCATTCGAGTTATGACGCGCAGGTGAAATCGACGCAAGATACTTGGTTCTCAAAAATGTTCAGAAAAACATTCCGGACCCAAAAATAAACGGAAAAGGTTGCGTTGCGAAATCCTTCATCATATTTTTGTTATAAGAATAGAGATAATGCTAATAGAGGAGTGTCATTTTTCTCTCTTTCTCTAACTTTCTCCAACTTTTCTACACTGTCTTGAAGGAACCCCTCTAGGGACCACTTTTCCTCCTCCTAGCACGGAAGCTTGCAAAAGTGGCCACTCTAGGGGAGCTTGCTAGCAGTCTTCCTAATTTTCGAAGCAGGAGAAAAAAAAATTCTTAACGACTTACTGAGCTTTAGGGGCTTGAATCTAGACCCCTACAGGGACCACCCAAATTTTGGCCCTCTAGGGAGCTCTTTTTCTTCTTACCCTATAGGGACCACTTTGGAAATTCTAAGTAGTCTCCAACTTTTGCACACTCTCTAGAGGTCAGAGATTATGGAAAATAATGAGAGTGTTAGAAAAAATCATTATTCTCACTGTCTAACAGTCTCTAACTTTTCTACACTCTCTAGAAGTGAAAGATTATAGGAAAAGTGGAGAGCTCCAGACATGCACTCTCTCACTGTCTAGCTCTCTCCAATTTTTCCACACTCTCTAGAAGTCAGAGACTATGGAAAATGAAGAAGGTGTTAGACAAGATCATTATTATTATCGTCTAACTCTCTCCGACTTTTCAGTACTCTCTAAGATCTAAATTTTTGACCTCCTTTTTTTTTATACAGTATCTAACCTTTAAAAAATTTTATTCGATTTTGAGTTTTTGTTTTATTCTTCAAATCCTGGCGAGGAGGGAAACGGCAAAAAAGGGGCGTGGCCAAAAAACCGAAACTCCTTTTTTTGAAGCAAATTTTAAATATACTCCGAAAACTCACAAAAAGTGGAATTTGATAAGCGACAAGAAAATCGCAAAGATCATGAATTTCATCGAAGATTTTCTCCTTCCAAGTGAAGAAGCCGTCATTGTCCGCAGCATGAAAGGCAGCTTTCACCTGTAATTCGATCAATAATCAAATTTAAGTATTGATCCTCGTCACCCCGTCATTGGTTTTCACGTAGACCACTGCGAAAAAGCGCCTTTTATCGTTATGAATCACGAAATCGCCCGGGCGAGCGCCTCGCAAGTAGCTGGAAATCAATAAAATCGTGACCAAACTATATAAAAATATAAAAATATGAGGAAATAGCTTCATTTATCAGTTGAAAGATCACAGAAACTCTGTGGAAAAAAAGGTTAAAAAAATAGCCGGAAAGTGTACAAAAAAACAAGTGATTCATCGATTTAATTTCGTCTTTTTTTCAAAGATAATTAGATTTTATCATAATAAATAATTAATTTCATTGAAAGCCCTTGAAAAATCCAACCTGACAATGCAATCTAGTAGAGCCACCATCACACAGATACAATACGAGACAAGAAAAAGAAAAAGTGAAGGAATCGAGTCGGACGCGCGAGGAAAAAAACAAGACGAAAATGAGCAAAGTTTACGGTTTTGTGCGTCTAATTTTTTTTTTCCTCCTGTCGCCTTTCCATTCATTCCCCCCATCCCACGCACTTTCCTAGCAATCAGTTCGGAAATGTCACGACTCACCAGAACTGAAATGGCAGGAAAATCATCGAGACGGAAACGATGAGATTTTGAATTATCTTCGTTTGGAAGCAAAATTTGTTTTCCACCGGCATGTTTCATCGGTTTTGGAGATTATTTCGAGCTTTGATATTCGCTGAAAGTAATAAAGAGAAATCAAAGAACAGATCCAGGTTAGAAATAATCGAAAAATACCCTTTTAAAATCAAACATGGACCTAAAAACCCATGCAAAAAATGAAAATGCCTCAAACGATATGAAAATAAATGAAAAATTTACTGCTTCTCAGAAATTTTGAAGAGCCGATAGAAATCTGTATCATTTGTTTCATTTCTGGGCAAGTCAAATCATGAGAATGAATTTAAAACTTTACAAAAGTTAAAGAAAAGATGGGTTGAAGCAGGAAAATTTTCGATTTCCGATTACTGTAGATTAAAAAGCTCACCACTACGATTACACAGAAACATTAAACCTTACGACAAAAAATAATTGTTTGTTTTGTGTTTTTTCTTCAGCTCTTTTTTGAATTTTTTTTTCCTCGTTCTGAACTTTTTAAAGATGTAAATTTTTTCATTAATTGAATCAGTACTTAAAACAGCTTCAAGCTTTGATATTTCTCGATATCAAGTCCGTATTTCTATAAAAAAAAACTCCACCAAACTTTTTGAGCTGAAATTTGATTACCCGAAGAATTAGCTTGAAATATTTGATTTTTCACGAGTTCCTTGGTTGATTTTTGTACTTGAAATGTGGTTTTCAGTTTTGCACCCGGAAAAAAGAAATAAAACTGATTTAATTTCGAAGATTATTGCTTTTAGTTCAATTTTCACGTCGTTAACAAAGTTTTCTGCAGAGCCTATTTAATTTGACAATATAGCATATAAGGAACCAAAAAAATCATTTTAGCGGTCGTGCAAAACTCGGGAAAGTGAGGGGATTTTCGAGAAATATTTGTTTTAATTGGATTTTTCAGAGGTGGGCCAGAATGTTCGAACATTCGGATCCACAGCCGTTGAATCCAGAGAACTTTGTCCGAAATGCATGCGGATTCAATGAGTACGTTCTGCCGAGTAATGTTCGTCCGAAATATGGGATAAAATTCCGACTACATACACAGAGAGCAGGGACCAAAACGCCAAGGACACATATTTGGAGGTTTTTTTGAACTTTTTTTTTCGAAAATGATGCAATCAAGTTTTGAAATAACGTGTGAATATATCAAAGTCTGAGGAATTTTTTTCAAATTTTTTTAACTTTTTCGTTCAAATTGGCACTTTTTGGATAAGTGGATTAGTTCTAAATTCGTAGCTTTTTTTCGGTTTGAACTTAAAAAAATTAATTATTTTGGAGTTTTTTTATAGGACCAGCGATCATTTTAGACACGAAATATGAAAAAAAGCTTCAAAAATTTCAACTTTTGATCTGACTTTTTGAAAAATTTTTTTGCTTTTTTTATTGAAGTTAGCTTACTATTTGGTATTTTTTTGAAAAAAATTTTTAAATTGATTTTACTACTCTTTTTTTCATTTTCTGTGTAATCTGTGTTAAGGTGAATGAATATTTTGAATTTTTTTCCAAAAAAAGGAGAGAAATTCAACTTTGCGCCTTGAAATCTATTAAGAAGCTCACTGGATAGGAAAAATTTTTCTAATTTTAATTTTTTTCAAACTTTTTTTAAAAAAATCCATTTATGGATAAGTACTGAACGAGTTGAGAAAAAGCTATAAAAAAATAAGTTTTTTTCCCAAAAAAATCAAATTTTTCGTGCTTGAACTAGCTTTAGAAGGAGGGATAACGTTAAAATTATATTTTTTTCACTTTTTTTAAAAAAATATTTTTTTCGAATATCGCCTTTTTTTCAAAATTAGTTCTGAAACACAACCAAGTAAAAGCTACCGTATGACAGGTGCTCGGACTGCGTAGTCTACGAGACAGTCTACCGTAAGAAGGAAAGTGATTGCGGGCCCACAATCGGCCACTGGGCAAAGGAGCGCGACGGATTCTGGCAGACGGATCCCGACGGCGGCTTCCACGTCTGCGGATGGCCGTCTCAGGACCATTTGTTGAAGGTTTTCCGTGGATCTTGGCCTAGTGAAAAAGGCGAGATAATGGGTAGATTGGCAAGGGTGGCGCGTTGCGTGCGCGACGCGGCTTTTGGCTGGGAACTCGAGATCAAACCGGAAAAAAAAACCCTAAAAAAATTTTCAGAGTGCGCGCTGGACAGCGCTAGTCTGACTGACTTGGCTGTCGCGCGTCATGCTCATCTCATGTATCTTTTCTCATTTTTTCGACAGTTCCAAAAAACCCTTAACTTGAAACAGATATCCGGTTATTCTCACAATATGCGAGTCTAATGAGACGTCCGCAGAATCGCGTGCACGGCTACTGTAAACATTTGTCCGTATAGGTCAATCCGCGCCAGCTTGTCACGATTTTTAATTTTTTCGGAGCTACCGACGCCCTTTCGGCGCTTCGCTTCGATGCTCTTGGTGTGCCCTCCTGCGTGCGCCTTTAATAAAACTCATTATTTCCGAACTTTGGAATTTTCTTTTCCTACAAAAAAAAGTTGTAACATGAAATTTTAGCCAAAATATATATGCAAAAAAGAGGCGCGCCGTAGCGCAACAGGTTGTGTGCCTGTCTACGGTCCACAGGGTCACAAGTTCGATCCCCGCCCCGACCCAACCAAGGGGTTTAAGAAATGTTGGTAGTGGGAGACCACGACTTCATAATCCCCAGCCGTCACACACAAGGACGGATATGTCACTGGAGCCAGTCCACTGATATCAGGATAGGACCTCGCCTAATCGACTTGGGGCGCCGACGCCGCTCAAGCGGTACAAAGGCGTAAGAAGAAGAAGAAGAAGATATATGCAAAAAAGAGCTCGAACAGTCGGTTTCATTACCAAAAATTAAAAAGTAGAAATTTAATATTTTTGATCTTTTTTCCTAAAAATCCAGCATGGAATCTGACTTTGTTTAGTTACAGCAAAAAATGGAATCAAACCATTGAAAACAAACTCATAAATTAACAAAAGAGAGCAAATTAAAGCGACATATTAATCAGAAATAATGTTTTATTAAAGGCGCAGGGGGAACATCGAGAACAATGAAGCAAAGAGCTGAAAGGGGTTCTGTAGCTCCGAGGAAACTGAAAATCGTGACAAACTGTTGCGGACCTGTACACCGATCAAAAGCATATTTCAAAAATTAAAAGAGGGAAAATGAAATCGTGTTTTTCTCTAAAACCAGTCATATCTGTGAATTTATGAGTACTCTGTTCGATTCGCAATGAAAAGTTCTACAAAGTACCGCTTTTTAATGTCCCTATACCTTGAATGGTTCTGAAAAGGTTCAGCTTCTTCTTTTTCTTACGCCTTTGTACCGCTTGAGCGGCTCCCCATGCCGATCAGGTGAGATCCTATACAGAGAAGGAACCATAATGGGTCCACGAAGGTACCTCTCAAGATGGATCGTAAAGGCCCCATAATGTGTCCATCTTGAGACCTCCGATACCTTTTAACTATATCTGAGCCACCTCGGAGGTTCTTTAGAGTCTCCCTGAAGTCTATCTTATTTTTCTCAAAGCCATCAGAGCTATACTCGAGGTACCATCGTGAGACTTTAGAGCCTGTGACATACCTCAGAGGATCTCGCGGTACCCTTTCTCGATTCGCCTATGTACTCGTATACCAGGGATAATCAGTGGAGTGGCTTAAGTTACATATCCGTCCTTGATGGATGATCAAGAAGCAGTGGTTTTCTGACTATAGTCAATTTTTCCCGACTTGAAAGGCGAAGCGCGTTCGCAGTTTTTGGCACGAGCTCAGTTCAACCGCTAGCGGCTATTCTGAAAGCTCTTCTTATACGGATGAGGGTTGCTTAGCCTCCCGTGGTGAACCCGTATAAGCGCAGCTGGTAGAACTTTCGAAAAAACTTTTCATCCCAGCTGAGGCACCGTTTTAGCACAGCTGGGTCACAGATTTTCGAAATAGACACAGCTGGGAGGCCTTTTTTCTTGCACCCGGTTGTTCCCCCGTTTTATCCCAACCAGGGCTGCACGATACACGATCTCGTCTCGAGATTTTTCGAGATATTTCGAGACAAGATCTCGCCAAAAATCAGTCAAATTTTTTAATCCCCGCCGCGACCCCTGGCTTGGAACTCGGGACCCTGTGGACCGGAGACAGGCACACAACCTGTTGCGCTACGGCGCGCCGCAATCAGTTGAACGGATAAAGGCATGGAAATAAATTTTTCATGTTTCCCATGATTTCGTTGAAGGAAAAACCGCGTCGCGTACGCAACGCATCACGCTTACATTTCCAGGCGGAAAAAAAAATGGAAAAGCACTGAAAAATTTTTAGGGCTCATTATAAGATTAAAAATTAGGGATGAAAGGAATACTGGATTAAAAACTCCTGAAGTGGCCGCTAAATAGAAAACCTTTACAGTGGCCACTCAAACGAAAAATAGTGGCCACTTCAGTGTCCTCTCCAAGTAGTCCAATAAAGGTTTTCACAGCAATGAAAAAAAAAACATATATCATGCTATTTCGGTTAGTGCTTCATGCTAGAAGAGAAAAATTGCTAAATTGTTGTTAAATAAATATTTTTTTCTTAAAATAATCATTGAGGATCGACTTATTGAATTCAAGTGTTTTGAAATACAATTTTAGCTGTTTAGTGCAAATTTTCAAACATCTTTTAAGAGAGTCGAGTGTTTTTTAAACTTTTTGAGTACATGAAAGTCCACTTGGAAAACCAGACCAAGCTTCCTTTTGGTACCTTTCTTTAAGGGAAGAATCTAGGTTTTTTCTACTTGAAAACCCAGGAAAAGTTCTAATGATATCAAAACCATTTTTAAAGAAGCATAGGAAGGTTCCATGAAGTTCGGAAAGAATAGTCTTTTTTCAACTTTTTGGGTTTTTTATTGAACAAATTGAATCGAAATAGTGGGCAAAAAGAGAGAGTGAGAATCATGATTAATTTTTTACGTTAAACGTAACGTATTTGTCGTTTTTCTCGCTCATTTTTATTTGATAAAATCTAAAATAATGGGAAAAAATCATTTGTTCCAGGCGTTGCAAACGAAAAAAATGTCATTCAGAGCTCCGTTGATCAGAATAGGTAAAGAAATAATTTTTTTTTTTTTGAAGATTGAACAATTTCTTTTCTAGTGAAGTCTCAGTAACACCGGCGCCAGAGCAGCAAACTTCGATTTATACGGTTTTTTAATGATTTTCCCAAGAAAGAGCCTCTTTTTGTTTGAATTTCCAGGGCCTCATCCCCTTGAGGATTTTCAACGGAGAAATGCACGAATGTGTGATTTGTCGGCGATTTTTGCACCAGAGCAAAATGGTCAGGTATTCGAAGCAATCCATCGCCTGCCGCGCCTGGATCCCATTTCTGGGTGATTTTTGGGACTTTGAAGGGAGAAAACGCGGTTTTTTAGTGTTAGTAATCTGTTGGAACTGTAGATTTTAGGGTTCTAAACTTTTAAATTTGAAACGAAACCATTTTTTTAAGCTGAAAATTTACAGATTTTCATTGAAAAATGGGCTTTTATAAAATGAAAGGAAGATTTTAGATTGAATTTTTCTATTAAACTTTTTTTTTTACAGATTTAACCCTAAACTTTGCAAATTTTATTTAGAATAGAACTTTTTCATTTTTCTTTTCGATTTTCCAAAAACGCCTTTATGGAAAAAAAGAAGTATGTTTTCACATGAAAAAAAGTGCATTGAAAACCTAAAATTTGATGTTTTTTTGGCTTTAATTTGAAGCTTTCAGAGTGAAATGTCAAACTTTTCTAACGGTGTTTGAAAAAAATCAAATTTTTTTATTTCGAAAAAAATAAAAACCTTTGAAAAAAAGTTTCAAAATATAGGGGAAAAATTAACATTTCTGTACCTTTTTGTGATAAAAAAATTAGACTGATTATGAAAAAAATATAGGAAAAACAGTAGAAATTTAAAAAAATGAGCGTTTATTGAGCAGAAAAATAGTTTCTGAAAAATAGAAAAAAATTAGTGAAAAACTATGTCAACTTTCAATCAAAAATTGAAACTCTAAATAAAATTTTATTCATCAAAAAAATTTTTTTCAAAATCATTTAAAAAAAATATTCAGGAGGCCCAGCTTTCATACGAAAAAAATGGAGAGACTGAAGATTTCCGAGCGTGTGATTTGCCGTTCGCATTTTCCAACCGTCGGTAACGACGGCTTTTTCCGTTCCACTGATTTCCCACTCATCATGGGAAATAGAGTGATTTTCCGACCATTTTTGATAAATTATTGAACATTTTTCAGGCCCCTCGGTTGCTTCCGTACCATATCCGAAAAGAACACGACTATTTATTCGTGAGATCGGTGAAAAACTATTCGTTTCGTGGGATTTTGTAGCTTCTAATGGCTCTTAAAAAATTATAGACTTTGTAAAAAATATTTTAGTAGAAAGTTGATTATAAAAAAAGTGGAGAAGGTTGAAAATTATCGTTTTCTTCAAAGCTGAAAATAATTTTTTTTTTTAGGAATTTTAGAACTTTCTGGTAATTTTGATGATCAATAAGGGTCTAATTTAAGTTCCTTTGAAGCTTGGATGAACTTAAAAATACTCAAAAATGCATTTGTTAGCTGCAGAAAAGTTGAGGGACCTCTTAAGTGTTTGGAATTAACTTTCATAATGATTTTTTATTTAACAAACGATTTTTGGTGATTTTGATGGTTGAAAAGGGTCAAATTTAAGTTCCAGTAGATTTTTAAGCTTGAATGGAATTGAACTACGCAAAAATATATATATTAGCTCCAGAAAATTTTAGGGACCTCTCAAGTGTTCGGAATTGACTTTCATAATAGTTTTTTTTTATTTTACAGGCTATTTTTGGTAATTTTGGTGGTCAAAAAGTGTCAAATTCAAGTTCCTTTGAAGCTTAGATTAACTCAAAAATACTCAGAAATACAGGGTGGCCAATAAATATTGAAACGCGTTTGAAACGTTATAACTTTCTCAAAAGTCAACCAAACATCACCAAACTTGGAACAAATTTTATTCATACAATATAGAAACAAAATTCAAGAATAGTTTTCAAAACGTCCTCCTTTAGCTTTGATAACGGCCTTCAGTCTCTTCGGATACGCATCGATCACGGCACGAAGGTCGTCGTCGTCGATTTCGTCCCATTTCTTGATGAGCACGGTCTTCAGAGCTTTGATACTTGGGTAGTTCTTAGAAGAGACCTTCTCGGTCAGATATATCCACACGGCATAGTCCATCGGGTTGAGGTCGGACGAGGAAGCAGGCCAATCAGCAGCCGAGATGAACTCGGAAAATTGGCGCGATACCACTCTTGAGTCCCTTTGGCACGATGAGCGAGGGCGCCGTCTTGTTGGAAGGTCCATGGTCGGTTTCCGTAGTGAGAATTGGCTCAGGGCAACACCCTCAACTTCAAAATCTATTCCCTGTAGTATACTTGGTTCACTTTGACTCCAGGATTCACAAAAATCAGCGGAGTTTTGTCGTCAGCGGTAATTCCGGCAAAAACCATCACGGAAGCCGGATGCGAAGTTTTATTCAGAATTTTTCCTTTTTCACAGGCACTCTGATAGTCAGTAGCGATGATCCGATGATTTTGGCCGTTCTTGTTCGCCTCCACAGTGAAGATTTTCTCGTCGGTAAATAGTGTCGTCAGATGCGAGCCATCTTTCGTGCCAGCGAGCAGCTTTCAAGCCTTTTTCATCCACAATGTCTTGTTTTTTTGATTGAGGAAGGCTCCTTTCTGCATACGGTAGGGAATCATCTTCAGCTTGTTCTTGACAATAGTTCTCATCGATTCTCGACTCATTTTGTATTCTTTTGCCATCTTTCTCATGCTTCTTTCCGGAGTGCGTCTGATTTTCTCTCGAACGGCTTTGACGGCTTCTGGAGTCGTGACGGTGACTGGACGTCCCCTTCTTTGCATGTCATCTGAAGTACCCAGATGCCGATATCGTTGTGCAGTTCGAAAAAAATTCAATGGCCAGTCCTTTGTGCAAAAAGCAGCGATCGAACAAAAAACGGTTTCAATATTTATTGGCCACCCTGTAGATAATATAGCCCCGAAAAATTTTAAGGGTCCTCTCGAGTGTTTGGAATTGTCTTTCATAATGATTTATTTAACAAACGATTTTTGGTGATTTTTATGGTTGAAAATGGTCAAATTCAAGTTTCTTTGAAACTTGAATGAACTTAAAAATAATCAGAAACGGATATATTAACTTCAGAAAAGTGAAGGGGCCTCTTAAGTGTCCGAAATAAACTTTTAAAGTAGTTCCACATTTTTCTACTTTACAAACTATTTTTGGTGATTTTGATGATCAAAAAGGGTCAAATTCAAGTTTCAGTAGACTTTTAAGCTTGAACGGACTTGATATACTCAGAAATATTCAGAAAAGTTGAAGGGGCCTCTTTAGGGTTCGAAACAAACTTTCAAACTAATTTTCACGTTTTGAACCTTTTTTTTTGGGATTTCGAAGGTCAAAAAAAGTACCAAATTTCAGTTTCAGTAGACTTTTTAAGCTTGAATGATTCTAAAAAAATATTCATTATAAGATGTATTAGATCCTGAAAAGCTTAGGGACCTCTTAAGTGTTCAAAATTTTTTTTAGAAATAGTTTTTTGATGGTTTTGGTGGTCGAAAAGTGACAAATTTAAGATCCAGTAGTTTTTTGGAACTTATGAGCCCCTAATAACTTCGAAATTATATTTTTATTTAGTAAAGCTTTTTCCAGAAAACACAAATGATGCAACAGCTGGCAGAAGACAGGAATCACCTTTTCTTCCCTGTGAAAAATTCGCCCAAAAAAGAGGAAAATGATGAGATCGAGAAAACGTCCAATGAAAGACGGATGGTGGAGGAAGGTTTGAAAAATATGATAGGAAAAAAATAATTAAAAATCGAAAAACAGTGAAAAATGCTCGTTTTTTGTTTAAAAACTGTCACGTCCAATAAAAGTCACATAAAAAGAAGTTGAGAAAAAATAGCCACCTAAAAACGGAGATTATCCCTGGAGCGCACAAGGTAGAAGCACATAATTTTAATTATTATAAATACCTCTTTTTTTAGTTAGAGGATCGCTGGGACCCCTAGAGCTTAAGGGGCCTAGGGATCGGAAGCTAAACCCCTATAGGGAGCACCTGAATTTCGGCCCTAAAGTGATCCCCTGACCCCTATAGGGACCACTCTGGCGTTCCTCAGCGTGCAGAAGCTCCAGAAAGTCCCTGTTAATAAAGTTTTAAGCTAAAAAAAAGCTGTGGAAAAACTTGAAAAATTGAGAAAACCACTAAAAAACGAAAAAAATGACATGGGATTCCTAGAAGACGTAATTGTGCTCGAAGACATCGTCGAGGTCGAGCCGCAGTTTGAAAACTCTGGTTGGGAGTTTATTTCTGGAATAACTAAAATATCATTTCCCCAGAGACACCTGTGGAAAACGTTATCAACGAGGATCCGCCTATCGAGGAGACCCAGTATTTTGAGATTTTTTGCGGTGAGTTTTGGGGGAAATGACTTGGGATGAGAAAATTGGAAGTAAGAAACTTTTACGTTTGTAATACGAGTCTAAAATACAAGTTAAAAGTCTAAATACCATAAAATCCCGAATAAAACATGGTTTTTCTGAAAAATGCTTCCGTTTTAGACCTCCGATGTGAACTTATATCAAGTAGAATATTAATAATAATCAGATTTGAAAAATACCGAATTTTCTCTGAGTTTGAAAGGGCTCGAAATTTTGGAGAAACAAGGAAAAATTCAAGAAAATCTCTGCCTTTTCATTTCGATAATTCTTGGAAGAAAATGGACGACGTGCGTAGAGAATGAACTTTGTGGGGTTTTTTGAGAAAAGCTTTATTTTTGGAATTTTACCAACTTTCAGGCTTCAAAAAACAAGTCAGTCTAAAAAGGTAATTTTTGAGAGATTATAAAAGTTTATATTATTTTTCTAACAAACGGAATTTTCCATAGAAACCATAAGAATCAATCGAGTTTCACCGCGATGGGCAGTCAGGCTCTTGAAGTCACATTGCTCATGTTACAGCCAATTCCGAGCTGAACCAGGATCCGTCGGCGAACGCGACGCAACACGCGACGCGTCCCACTTGCCTCCTATGCGGCGCTTGTTGTACCGTCACTTGGAACAGGACTTTGAAGTTTTCTGTCAGTTTTTCGTTGATTTCCTAGTGAGAAGAACACTCAAGGGGTCGCTTAGATAGTGCGGTCAAAAAAGTTTAGGAAAGTTAACCGGAGAGGTCATTTTATAGTTGAAAGCATGTTGATAGAAAACCACATTTCCTCCTCCTTCAGTGACCACTTGAGCATCTTCTTAATTCGATCTTTTAAAATCCAAGTGGCGACTTAATAAAATCTGCCTTTGATGTGTCCTTGCAAAAAGATCTTATAAGATCACTTGGAACATGAATTTGAAGTTTTTTGTCAGTATTTGCTCTTGTAAGAATAACACTTAAGGGGTCGCTTGAGCTGGAAACAAAGATAGTTATCAAATTTTGGGAAGTTCAACCCTAAAAAATGGAGTTGAGAGGTCATCCAAGTTGAGAAATACTTGAGTGGCCACTTGGAGTATTTGTACTTTGAGAGAACCTAAGTGCCCACTTGAGAACTTTTTTCGATATGAAAATGAGGGCTAGCGATAACTTTCGCCGCTTCTTTCAATAAATATCATTTAAGGGACCACTAGCCTATAGAATCACCCTAAAGAGAAACCTGAGCGGCCACTTTAGGAATGAAATTTCTGATTTAAATAATTTTGACAGTTTTTAGAACTTTTTCTCGAATAATTTAAAGTAGTCTGACATCTTCAACGAAATTTTGCTTTCTGAAAGTTCAAGTGGTCACTCAAGAGATTTCAGCTTGAAGTGGTCTCTTAAGAAGGCAGCTGAGTACTCAAGCCCTTTTTTTCTCCTTTAGTGATCATTTTTTTAACTCCTTTCAAAATCAATTTTTTTGAAGCTTAGGTGACCATTTGAATTATTTAAATTCGAGTTATTACCTCGAAAAAGAGTTAACGAATTACTCAAGAGCTTTTTTTTCCTCCTACAGTGACCACTTGAACTTCTTCCAAAATCCATTTTTAAAAGTCCAAGTAGCCACTCAAGAGATTTCATATTGAAGTGGTACCTCGGAGAGACAGATAATTAATCACTTAAGGGATTTCTCCTAAATGACTACTAGAAGGTTTTTTAAATCCCTGACGTCCTCTCAAAGCCTCAAATTCTTCAATTTTTCTCAAAAATCAAATTTTTTTTAGGAGATTCGTTGCCCCAACGAACACATGTACAGCCGCCGCGCTCGCCATTGTCCTGTCACTGGGAAAATTGTTTTTGACTTTTTCTAAAAGCCCATTTTTGTTCTGTTGTTGTTATTTTTAAAGAATTAATGCACATAAAACTTTTTTTTTCGATTTTATTATATTTTGTGATTTTCCAAAGGTTTCGAGCCTTTTTCATCCCTTTTTCTGTTGAAATTCTTCAACAACTCTTTTTTTTTCGATAGCTTTATTCAACTGGAACGAATCAAGAACGGATGGAGGCCTGGCTCGGTCTTCTACGGGAGGTTGGTCAATCCCAAGTTTTCCACCACATAAATGTAGTCCTCGTTCTGGAAAAGGAAAATATTAAAAGTTTTTAAATTGGATGGAAAGAATTTCAATGGAAAATATATTAGAGAAAATGCTTTTTTTTCATTTAAAAAAATCACAGCGGAGTGGGCTGGGGAAAAACTCTAGCGGTGCCTTAAGAGGTTCCTCAAGGAGAAGACCCTAAAGGGGCCACTCAAATCAGCTCTATAGAAGCCACTAAGGTCACTACAGCAGTTTTCAATGCTCCACTAGTATTACCTTTACTAGACTTCTAAAGAAACCACTAAACACTTTGGTAGCCACTACTTAGACTACTATAGTGGCCACTAGAACGATAAAACCCTAAAGTGGCCTCTTCAGTAGTTTTGAATGGTCTAGTAGTACTACATCTAATGAACTTCTAAAGAGACCACTGAATATTGGTCACTTGAGTAGCCGCTTCTTCGACTACTATAGTGGTCACTAAAACGTAAAATACTAAAGTGGCAACTTAAGTAGTTTTTAATGGTCTAGTAGTACCACTTCTAATAGCTTCCTAAAGAGACGACTAAATATTAGTCACTTAAGCAGCCACTCTTCAAAAGTGAAAACCCTATAGTGACCACTAAAAATTTTCCTAGGGTATCAAGAGTCCATTTTTTTTTTGTCGACTCGGCAGATTTTACGATAGATTGAAATGGACCTATTTTGCTTCATTTCGAAACGAAAAAAACCTGTAAAAGCCCGAAAATGAGATTTTAAAAAACCCACGAGAACAAGTTTGATAGAAAATTCGAGATGAAGAGTATTCTCTTCTGGATTCGCCACCATTTTCACAGATCCATTGGCGTCAACCTCCGACAATCTTGTAACTAATCTCACGTCGCTGAACTTGAAAAAAAATGCAGGATTTCACAAATTAATCGAAAAATCAATCACCACAACATCGGTGATCCTATCCTCGTAGATCAATTTCCTATACCAGGCGTGGATTTGGGCTGAAATTTGAGGTTGACGTTTCACTTTTTTGCGCCCGACCTTTGTGACTTTGGCTTGAGCTAGAGAGGATAAAAAGAAGGGAGAGATTAGAGAATTAGAGACTTTAGATAGGCCCAGAATCTTTCTCATCATGTAAGGAAGTCTTGGATCTTTTTATTTCCAGAAAATGAATATTTTCACTTTTATTATTTATAATGGTTCAAAGGACTACGTGGGAGAGCTTCGAGAATCTTTTCTTCAAAAAATGACCCAGAAAGTAGAATTCCTATATTTTGTTCATTATTGCTCATGTTATAGGTGTTTTCTTTTGATAAATTTGAAGAAAAGGCTCTTTCTATTAAACCACGCTTGAATTAGACGAATTTTCAACCTGATTCAAACTTTTTTGAACAGAATTTAGTTCACCCAATCCTTTGTAGATAGTGCCGCGATAGTTGATCTGAGAATACCACTTGAAAACTTCATCCAATCTATCTTCGTCCTGATGTTTGACAATTTCGGCGATCGCCAAGAGCGTCTCCGACAGGGCAAGGTCTCCTTTCGGATCGATAGTCTGAACTTTTTTCATTTTGATCAAGTTGAAATTTTTCATTTCTCCCGACATTCTACGAATCCTAAGTTGCTTAGAACGGTTTTTAAGAAGCTTGATGATAATTTCAATAATGAACGCCATGATAGCGCGATCTTTAGGGATCCTCAAAAGTTTTCTAACAATTTCCTCAAAATCTTATATATTTTTCAAAACATTCTTGCTTTTCCTATCATCCTATATTGACTCTTTTTGCCGCCTTTTCCCCTTTCTGGAGCCTTTGAACTTCTAGAAAAATGATAGGCTTGATATAGGTCTCGAAACGAAATCTTCTTGGCGGCACTTTTTGACATTTCCAATGTTTCCTGTATATTTAGCAGCCTTGAGACAGTTTTTAGCGAGGAATGGGAACTTCGAAGTACCCGCGAAAGAAATTCAATTAAGTTTTAGAATTTCCAACCGTTCTCAATTTTACAGAGCTACTGTCATTGTAGAGAGCTACTGTACCGTTTTTGAACTATTTTTTCGAATAAATTTCCCTTAAGAACTCACTTCAACGCCGGCCGCTGGCTGTGCCAGGATCAAAAGAAAAAAGGCGATAATCAGCTCGTGATGCATGTTTCTTGAATGGAATGACGAGGAGTTTCGAGATTTACACGTTTTCCTGTCACGTTCTTATTTTTGGATTCTCATTTATTGGATATTCCACTTTTATAGTTCTTTCATATAGCTGATTCACGACTGGCTTGAGCCATCGAGAAAAGGGTCCTGCCACGAAAAGAGACGAGACAGTGCCCTGGTTGGTGGAGAGTGCAGACACGGCTTTTTGCGTCCCAAGCTAGCCGTGAATCGTCTATAAGACGTAATCAGCGAAAGAGTGGGCCTAAACTAGAGGTTCAGACGTCAGATCTCTGTTTTCTGGATCTGTACTAACACAGGTAGGGCCAAAGGTCTAATTATTAGAATCCGAAGAATTTTTGTAGAGAGGTACTCTAGGGCCTCCTGAATACAAATAACTAAAAAAGGGCCCATTTTGTGTTCTAGCCATACATGGGTAAGGACCGCAAGCCATTTTTTTTTTCAGAATGATCCAAAAAATGTTTTTTAGACAGTTCGATAGAAGATACTGTAGATTTTCATAATCCGTTCAGTTTCTCTAATTGATTTCTAGCCAAGTTTTGACACCTCGAAATTTTCACACTATTAGTTGAAATACATTTTTCGAGGTCTTTCAACTCTAAACGTCGTTTTTATCGCAGAAGATCACTTTTTTTTTCCATTGTTCGCCTCCGTATGGCCTTTTTTGTCCGACTTCGAAAATAACAAAATATTTAATTCAATGAAGAAGGGGATGGGGACCGAGAAAGGGAAGCTCTTTCTTCGGCTGAATGTCGGTCATGTACCAGCCTTCCGCGAAAAAGTTCAAGTCCTCGTCCTGAAAATAGGAATTTCTTCTCGGATTTTCCATAAAAAACGAGTAAATGACAAAAAAAAGCTACGAAAAAGTTCTTCAGCTCTTCTTGTCAAAAAAAAATGTTGAGAAAAGCTTTTTTGTACATTTTTTTTTGTCTTCTACTTAAAAATTTCCTTTTTCCATTCAAAAAGAACTCACGAGAACGATTCGGATAGTAGTGTCGAGAAAAATGTCGCCTTTGACCGAAGAAACCTTGAAAATGGCTTGGGCAAGGATTGAGGAAAGTCCATGGGACCAGTCGATGGCTTTTACAAACTGAAAAGATTGGAATTATCGATAAGGACCCCAAAAATCAATCACCCCAATGTCCGTGACCCTGTCCTCGAAGATGAGTTTACAGTACCAGACGTGGATTTGGGCTGAAATTTAAAGTCAGTAGCCTAGGAGAAATCAAAGTAATCTTCAATATGGGTTTCGTTTCAATCCACGCGAAATTCACCAAAACTTCCCATTTTTCGAGAAAATCGCATTCAAAAATATCTCAAAGATCACGTTTTCATGTAAGTTATGTGTTGAAATTTTTCCCAACTTCAGATTTATTTTTCCACGAAAACCGACACATTCTCTTCTTTTTTTTTGGAATATACGTCAATAGGTGTCCCATGTTTCGAACTTTATCTCAATTTTCTCGAAAGGTAGGATAATTTTTTCGAAAAAAAAAGTTTTTGGAATTTCAAGCACGTTTTTAAAACCCCTACACACAGATCTGATCGATAATTTTGTCCAAAAACAAGATATTTCTAAAAATTTTATCGCCTTAGGCTTTTTAATAGGATTTCAGTTTTTTTTGCAAAGTTTGGATTTTTCTAAAAGTTAGTAGAAAATTTCCCTAGGGTCTTGAGCCCCTCAAAATTTTATTCTTTAAGATATGGATTTTCAAAATTTGCATTTAAGGCAGGATCAGCTTGATTTCTTTAATTAATGTACAAAGTGGAATATTTGAAAAAATATATTTAAGCGACCGTCAGTGATACGAATTAATAGTCTTTCCGAGGCTTTTGAGCAAGTTTTTAGAAAATTTTAAACTTCAGAATAAAAATTCCATATGTTTCCAAGGAAGGTAAATGTAGTCTTTTTCCTTTGTGCTCATTTTTCTTTTGGAGCTTTGTATTATATCAAAATTACCTACCAGTTCCTCGGTAGAGCTTATTTCGGTAGTTGAGCACAGTTCTCCAGTTGAAAACTTCGTAGAGCCTTTTCTCTTGCCTGTACAGGAAAGCTTCGTGGACTGTGTTCAAAATTCTCTGCAGGACGTGGATTCGCATCGTATCGAACAGCTGAAATGATTCGTTTCGATTATTTAGAAAAAAAAATCTTCATCCCAGCTGAACAAGTTTCGAAAAGTAGGCTTAAAAAAATACCTAAATTCTGCGATCTGAAAGTTGAAAGGTTGCTTTTTTTTTAGACCAGTCTTACGAATTTTAATATTTAATAAGTCTGTCTTAAAAGCAATTTTTAAAATTATTATCTCTAAAAAAACTGAAATCTAGCGTCTGCAAAAGATTGTTCATCTACACCTCTGAGATCCATTTGGCTGGTTTTTGAAAACTCCAAACTTCGCCCTTAAATGATCTCCATACTTAGACAAATCTTTTTAGAAGCTGACCCCCAAATAAAAAAATTCCTATATGGAAGTCAAAGATACATCCCTGAAGTTAAGGTTTCAACTTGTCTAATTTTTTTGACAATTTCTGTAAGTCAATCTCATTTTTGGACTATGGGAGCCCCCCCCGCTTCTCCCAGCTGGGTAGATTTGATCATAGATCAGTAATAATTGAATTTTTAACATCTGAAGAAACTTTGCCTCAAAAGGTCTGCGCGACGGCAAAGTGAAGCCCAGAGTAGAGTTTTCGGCAGTAGCAGAAGTAACGGCAGTACTCTCCGCTGACAGGTTGCAGATCAGGAGGAAAAACGAAACGAAGAAGAGCATCGGTCGCATTTTTCGATTAGAATGACTAGGATTTAGAGATTTTTACGTTCGTCTTCCACGTTTCCATTCCGATTTTTCATATCATTGTTAGAAGACTTCCTAAAATGCTGCTTCTTCATGGAGAAGCAGCTGATCTTCGGAACGCTCAACTTCCGAATCCGTGAAAGGACAAGATGATCTACGAGCCATTCTGTGAAGACTGAATGCATTTGTGAAGTCTGTTCAGATTTTAAATTTTAAGTCATTGCTCAAGCTCCGCCCCTTATACGTAGATCAAACCAATCAAAGAGCGATCCGTCCACAGAGCGTTTCTGGGGCGGAGTTTCCTACTTGACATCCAAAATCGGAACAGACTATATTGCTGGCTTGAGACGCAATCAGCAAAATGATATTCTAAGTAGATTTCAGACTTTTCATGTTCTAAGGTTCCAACAAAACTTAAAGAAAAGTCCATTCTAGACTGTTTTGAAACAGAATAAGCGGAATAGTATGTCGAGATGAGAGGTTTAATGGCCCCCGACGACTTTCAAAAGTTCCATAGAATAGTCCATTCAGCGGTAGCTTGAGAGACGGTTAACGAAATAGTACACTTAAATAAATGATATAGACGTTCCTAAAATCTTGTTGAATTTAAAAAAGTGTCAGAGAGAACGAGGCTGATCAAGAAGGGCTATGCGCATGGAAAAATGTACGCAGAATATCCGTTTTACTTTTTTTTTTTATTAATCAGTTAGGTCCAGTGTGATAGTCTGTCATCAGAAATGCCGACGCAAGTTTTCAGACCGATTCCTTCTACCGTAGCTAGGTTACGGTAGGCAGGTTCGTACTTGCGTATCTAAGAAAATAGGTGTTTTTTTGTAGGCATACTGTATATCAATCGATAGGGAATGCAATTTTAAGAACTTCTTCAGTACATACCATCGTGGGTTACTGTAGATTTTTTATGAGTTACGGGGGTTTTGTGTCTGCAATTTCTGTTTTTCTCGTCACTCTGTGTTAGGGGAAAGAACACGGCTGGTAACTTGAATTCAATTTGAAGCAGATTTTGGCCTAGGAACCGCGATTTTCAGATTTTACGAGGCGCCATAACCCGACCAGAACCAAAAAGGCGCACTCTTTTTCAACTTTTTTGGATTCAGGATGTCCGAAAGTACCTGCATACTAAGTTTCATTAAATTCCAATACCTCAACCTTATGCACTTCCCGTGTTAGTATTTTTTTTTCCTGAGCTCCTACTGAGGCTGGGCTCTAAAGTGTCTTTCATTACTTTTACAAGTCGCATGAAATGTTCGGTCTTACCCGTTAAGCTCAAATATCAGTTTGAAGGCAATGTTGACCTTTTCCTTTCTTGTTTGAATTCCTGATGAACAAACTCACAAAAAAGCTGTTTAGCGCCTTGATTCTGAGAGGTATTCCAATTTTTGTGAAGGATATTTTCCGAGAGCTGAAAAGTTCGTGAGAATATTTATTTTCTCGTGAAAATCTTTAAGGTTGAAAATTGCTTGAAAAACAGTTCAACATGTTTTTGTCGTTTTAGTAATTATTGTTATCATTTCTAAAGTCTTTGTTTGTAAAAATATACACTTTCTGAAATTTAGAAGACCATTTATTTCTTTAGGAAATCATTGATTTATGTAATGCAATGAGTCACTTTTAAAGCCACCGAGACAGTCGAGAAATTTTCTCTTCCGTTTGATAAAGGCGAAAATTTCATTCACTCCAGTCCACCTCTGAGTCCGGTGGCAATAAATCCTAAAATTCAAACATTGTTTGCATGAAATTATGAGTTAATAGTACCTGAATGTGTGCCAAAATATCACGGATCGCGACAAGACAACAGCCACCTCCGGATTCAGGAGATGCTGGTTTTTCATCCTTCGTGTGCTGTACTTTATCTACCTCTACTTGCATTCCTATTAAACTACCGCTTTCGCTCCAACAGCTGCCTCCGCTGTCCCCTTCAACAATAGTTTTTAATTGTAATTTTTTTACACGTTTGAAAAAAATTTTGATAAAATAGAAAAAAATATGAGGGAAAACAAATCCGAGTTGTTTCGTCAAGGTACCTTTAAAAAGAGCCGCTTGATCCCATGTAGCGCAACCGCCGTGTCCTACCACTCGCGATAATTCCAGTAGACAGCGACTGATGATTCGTCTGGTTATGAAAAAAACGGAAAAATCCCACCTGAAAAAAATTTTGAAAAAAATTTCTAAAGAAAATATTTTTATTAGATAAAAAAATTACCATAAGGTAGTGCATTCCCTTTCTTGGTGATACTGCATCAGAAATGAGATCTTTAATGCACAGGTCGCCTCCTTCTGATTGTAAGATGATCGTGTCGAGTTCTTCGATGATTTTGACGACACGTGTCGATACTTCCAATTTCGAATCGAACCAAGAACGGATAACAATCAGATCACCTATATGCACATACTACATTATATACAATACATAATCTGATCACCTTTATTCAACGATTTGTTCTCGCCATGTCGGTAAGTTGCTGCGAGTCTTGTAGTAAGCGGTATTGCACATCTTTTAAAGTTGTCCTTCTTCAAATAGAATAAAGTATAGGGCGCGACTGAAGCTGCTAGATCTCCGTCAACAGGCCGTTCTTCATATTCCATATCGATTCTCTGTCTCTTCAGCTTTGTAGGGCCTAGAATTGATAAATTATGAAAAATGTAAAAAAAAAATTCATGAAAGGCGTTAAAATATTTAGAAAATACCAATTATTGTCGCTGCGCGGGATCTCTCTGATTCTTTCCAAACCATATCGAATTCGTTGCCGACCCAGTCGGGTTGCAGTTCAAAAACGAACTCATCGGTTTTACGCCGACGTCTGAAAGTTTACATTAAGAATTCTCCCAGAATTTTATTTGTAATTGCCAACAAAACAAAAATTGTCGTATTTTAATTAAACCTTTAAGAACCTACTCTAATGCTACTTCATGCTTAAAAAGCCCAAGTGGCACATCGTTTTCAAGTTGAAAAGCTCCGCGAAGCGTGTCTTCGGAGACAGTACCATCAGCTCGTGCTGTGACCCTAATAGTTCGGCCGTTTCCTTTGACAATGATGAACTGAAAATCAGGTTATTAACTAGTAAGATAGAATATCAACAAAACATACTGATGCCATCGAAATAGGAGTTTAAGGCTTTAGGGCGGTTGAGGGCAATCTGAAAAATCCATAGTTATTGAATTTTTTCAAACATTAAAAACAAGACTTTTTAATAATGAATTTAAGCACAACTCTTCATATCCCAAGTAATGTTATGTCTTCCAAGGTTTACTACGCAGACACACATTGACAACAACTATACAATAAATAATGAGATTAAATTAAAAATTAATATAAATGACAATTTTCGCCCAACTTTTGCAACGTGGTAATACACGCCATCGACACGCAATGACGCGGCTCATTTCATTTCAGGGGCCTGATGGCTAAGGCGGGCATGTTGCGCCCAGGAGGGCCCCTCAATTCTTCCACCTCTGAGCGAAATAAACATTTCATTTCATTTCATTTCAACTACAGAAGAAAAGGAAGTCCGTTTTCTATTCACAAAGTTGATGAAAGAATGCGATATTGGCAACGTCCAGTGTTTCTCTGCGTCTCTTCTCACGCGTCACTCTCATCACCCTTTCACTCTTGCCAACGCGTCGCGAGAAACGCGCCCCTTAAGTGGCCACTAATTTTTAGCCCCTCAAGTGGCCACTAATTTAACTACTATAGTAGCCACTAAAACGTCCACACCCCAAAATGATCATTAAAAACTTTCCCAGTAGGAACTCCTCCTTTTGAGCAAACCAATCAGAGAGCGAGTCATCCACAGATCGTTTTCGGATGACGTCATTGACCTTCAAAATTGGACCAGACTATATTTAAAATTTCACAAATTCTTGGCTTGAAACGTAATCAAAAAAACTTGGTGAGAGTTTCAGGCTTTTCATGTTCTAAGGTTCCAACAAAACTTTAAGAAAAGTCCATTCTAGACTGTTTTGAAACAGAATAAGCGAAATAGTATGCCAAGATGAGAGGTTCAATGGCCACCGACGACTTTTAAGAAGTTCCATTGAATAGTCCAGTGGTACCTTGAGAGACGGTTAACGAAATAGTACGCTTAAATAAGAGATTTAGACGTTCTTAGTGTCTTGTCACGTGGCGCTGAACGGACTACAATTTTTTTAAAATTAGGCCTCGAAATTGATCAGTTGCTTTCTTTTCTTCTAGTGTTCACGAAATTTCTCGCGAAGTTTTATTCAAAGGGGGGAGAAGACTCTCTATCAATCAAAGTCGAGCATATCAAACTTCTCGATCCAAAGATTGTAGAACTCGTCCTGAAAATTTTTCATGTTAGGGAGAAGTATCAGAAGTAACTTTTAACCGTCACAAACAATTTTTCAAGTACAAAAATTGTTGACCCCGTTCTGCGAATTTTGAAAAAAGCTTTAAAGCCACTGAAGTGATTACTAAATAGCTCAAAAACGTGAATTTCACCGTACAGACACGTCCAGTCTTTTTTGGACATTTTTCATTAAATTCTGGCCTGAGCCATCAAAAAAAGGGTCCTGGCATGATAAGAAAAGAGACATTGCTTGGTCGGCGGAGAGTGCAGACAGGCCACACCCCTTAGCGGCTCAACTCTCGTGTAGGTCAGCAGCACCCCCGGATGCTACCGCCGAGCACCCGAAACGAAGTTTTTAGCCGCACATAGACCCCTTTCGAGTCCAGCGGGTCTACGCCTACGCCCAGTTCGCGCGCCGAGCTTTTAGGTCCAGGGAATCATCCGAAACGTTCTAAGAAAAGTTAAGGAGGCCCCGATAGAGAGACAAATGTGGTCCCTTGTAGGTCCTTAACTCAATACCTATCCCCAAAAATCTGGTTCAGGGCCCCTATATGGGTTGAATAAATGGAGCCCCTATAGGGGTAGGATCAAATTTTCACTGGAATTCATTTCCTGATATTTGTCCCTTACCCTTTCAAGTAACGTCCCTTGAAAAAATGAAAAAAAAAAATTTGCACCTTCTAGGGGCCCCGAATCGTTCAGGAGGTTCGAGATAAGCTCCAAATTTTCCCCCTTTGGGGGCCTCTATTTTACCCCTCTCGGGGCCCCGAAATGGCCGAATCCCTATAGAGGCCCCCTAAACTTTTCTTAATTAAAAAACACCGTGTGATCGGCAGTAGCACCTGTTTTGCATAAGCATGCCGTATTAGCCCAAGGAAGCTACTGTCCAGCATTAGAGAAGTTTGCCGCGCCTTTTTCATCATGAAAATCTCACCAGAACAACAGTAAAATTGTAGGCTAGCAGAAGGCTGTGCAGCTCGATGACGCCATACGCACGGGCTTCCGAAAGCTGTTCCGGAATACCCAATTGAGCCTTGTTCATGAATTGAAACTGGAAAAAAAATTTCAAATTTCAATAAGTCTATCAGAAATCGACCACCTTAAGATTGAAGACCCTCATTTCTAAAGCGATTTTGTTGTACCATTTGTAGACATCGTCTGAAAATCAGTTTCTATCAATCACTATGGTGGCGACATTGAATAAAGCCGTGATAAATCAGAATAATTGGTCCATTTTTTTGGGGGGAATCCAGTACAGTATTTGAAAAACGAAAAAAAGTGGGCGTCATAGAATATTTCGAAACCTTTTTCCCGCTTGTTACTCTTCATTTTTTTGAGCTACTTCTCCACTGCCCCCTCTGGTCGGAGCGAGAGACTGCGGGAAACGGAGAGATCGAAATTTTTTCGCACCTCCTTTGTAGATGTTGCCTCGGAAGTTGATCACAGTTCTCTCGTTGAAAACTTGGCTCGATAAGTCTGGGTCCCTGTTTTTGATAATATCCTTGAGAATCTTGACCGCGGTTTCCAAGGCTGCGTCTGTCGTGGGATTTTCCAACTCAATCGATTGAGTTTAATCAATTTATCATTTTTAGGCCACATACTAGGGAACTTTTTTTTATCCCCCCCTCCCTTCCGGTTGAATTTTTGATGAAACTTCGCTGAAAGGTACTTTAGGACCTCCTGATTACAGAACAAAGGGGGGTAAAAACGTTCCCTAGTTAGGGCTTATCGTATACGATGTCATAGAAAAATGATGAAAAACGATTAAAAAAATTCCCATTCGGTTCAAAATCAAACTTTGTCCGATTCTTTCATCATCTAGGGGATGGTAATTAATTTCCGACCTTTGGACTTTTAAAAATATCCAAAACTCACTTTGAAACTATCTGTGGGCAGGGTCAGGCTTAGGAGAAAAAATGCGATGAGAAGCAATTTTCGCATTTTTTGGATAGAATGACATGAACTTTTTGAGATTTTCACGCTTTTTTTCACGTTTCAAATTTTAATTTGAGTAACTAATTTATAACATGTCCAAGGAACAGAAAAAAATTCAAAGATAGGTTGACTTGAAGTTCTTGGAACTTATTTTAATCCCATTTTGAGGTTTTTTTAATTTTTTTCACAATATTTTCTGAGGGTTCGGGAGCTTTCCCCATTCACTGCCTTTTTTTTTAGAAGTCACAGAATTTACAATATTTTATTCAAATGAGAAACAAAAACGAAGGGAAGAAGCTTCTAACTCGGTTGGATATCCGTCATTTGCATGTTCTCCACCATAAAGTAATGGTTTTCGTTCTGAAAAATTATCATTGAAGGAATTTTGGTTGATAGATATAGCCCATCCCATGCCAGTTTTTCGAGATTTCGAGCTCTGAGCTACAGAACTCTTACAAGAATTTTCGCTTCAATGCGCGCGGCTTTTCTCTGCGTATGCGCCTTTAATATAACGGAGATTTTGGGCTGAATTGAGCTTGTTTTACATTTGGCAGTGCGTAGTTTCACTCAAATATTACAGCGCCCATTTACTAATTTTTTGTTTGGCGATATTTTTAAGTATGCTCAGGTAGCAGTTGCAGAATCGCCATCGGAACTTTCCTAGAATATTTTCAATTTTCAAACTTGGAAAACTGAAAAGACCTCCATTTTTAGCGGATTTTTCGAAAGACTTTTTCATTATTGAATCGAAAATATTTTTTTAAAGATTCTTTTTGTCCCAAAAAGCTTTGAATCCATCACGATCCAATGTAGTTTTTCTTTGCCTTTGAAAAGATGATCCATTTCCTTGAAAAAACTCACGAGAACAACACGAAGCGTAATTTTGAGCTGGAGGAGGTTCAAATTGACGAAGCCATCGGCATTAGCTTCCGACAGTTCCGTTGACATCGTCATGTACTGTTGGTACTGAAAAATAAATCGAAAATTCAATAAATCGGTCAGAAAGACTTTACCTCAACTTCGGTGACATTTTCCTCAAAGATGAGCTTCCTGTACCAGTGATGGATTTGGTCTGAAATTTGAGGTTTCTTTTTGTTATACTTCTTCTCGAAGAGCTGTGATAACGAAAAAGCATCGATTTTTAAATAAATAAACTATAAATCGATTCGAAACCTACCCATCCCTGTGTAGAGTGTGCCTCGGTAGTTGATTACCGACCTCTCGTCAAAAATTTCTCCCAATTTTTCCTCGTTCCTATCCTTGATGATTATTTGGATTGTTGAGAGCGCATTATTCAAGGCGTCTATTCCTTTCGCATTGGTATGCTGAAATAATTTGCTTTGATTGTTATTAGATCCATAGTTATCAAGGGAGGTAATTTTACTTTTAGTCTGAGAATTTCCCGAAAATTCGCCAGACTATTCATTGATATACCAGAAGAAGATTTTGAAAGTCCCAGCTTCCAAAATTCTTTAATTTTCCCAGAAAAATGACCCTAATGTTGGAAAAATCCCACTTTGAGGTCCCATTTCTCTAGAAAATTTTCGAAAGTCTCCAAGTTTTCAAGTAAGATTACCTTTCTTGTTAGTTAAGTATGAGAACCCCGCTCCATATTAATGAAACGAATGGTGATTTTTATTATGAAATAACCTACTCCCAAACTGCTTGCTGCCAGGTTCAAGAGAAAAAACGCGATGATGAGCTTGTAGGGCATTTTTTCGTTGGAATGACTGAAGATCGCAGAACTTCACGTTTCCATCATTTTATTTTATTTTAAAGGTTCCAACTATTCAATTTTATTGAAAGCCTGTGCAAGGGGAAATTGGTACAGCTGTAACTTCGAGGGATTGATTTTGAGCCGATTGAAAAATTCGAAGAAAAATTTTGACGAAACTTGATTGAAACGGCTTCAAACTGTTATAATAGTACTCTGTGCATGTGGAGATACTTTTTTGAAGATTTTTTGGCCTCAGACTTCTTTGCTCACACACGTAGATATTCACAATAACTTTATTCAATGAAAGCTCAAAAACGATTGAAATGAGGTTCCTTCTTCTTTTTTCTTCTTCAGTCGCTGATTACCAAGCTTTCGACAATGTTTTGGAAGCTTTCGTCCTGAAAAATGATCTTTTTCGAGCAAAAATTGATCCAATGGATTCTTTCTATAGGGTCTCGGACTTCGGTAACGAAAATCGAACTTGCTCTAGATGTTTCTGAGCATTCCTAGGGATCACTCAAGAGTTCTGACGCTACTAAAGTGGCCACTAGAAAATGCCCCGACGGGTCCGATTCACGTTACCGATGTCCGAGGTAGAAAAAATCAATATTTTCTCAACGGATGCTATGATTTTTACAAGCTTCTTATATGATTCGATGACTTTGTAGGTGAGAAATTAGAGCGCGCAGAAAGGTTATATTTTTTCAAGATCAGATAGAATTTTTCTTTAACAGAACATTTTTCAAAAGAATTTCGGACTATTCATGTACATAATACATCCTACAAAATAATTCAAAAAACGCACGAAAACAATGCGAATCGAAAATTGCTTGTCATTGCCGTTAAGTTGGACGACGCCATTGGCGCGCACTTCCGACAGGTCCGTAGCCATGTCCCATTTGGTTTGGAACTGCAGAAAAAAACCATAAATTCCCAATAATCAGTCGAAAATCCAATCACCATGACGTAACTGAACTGCTCCTCGTGAATCATTTTTCTGAACCATTCGCGGATTTTTTCTGAAATTTTTTTGATGGGTTCGGCGCGAAGAGAGTTCTTTTATGAATTTGCTCAAGTCAAACTTTTTGAGGTAGAAGTTGTGCAAAGAAATTTTTGTAATACGGAAACTTTAGAAACAAGATTTTTAATTGAAACAGCTTACCAAAGCCCTTGTAGCGCATCCCATGGTACTCGACCTCGGACCTGTCGTTGAACAAGAAGCGCAAACGTTCCTCGTGCTTGTAGGCGAAGATGCTGTTGAGCTTCGTAAGCACGGCGTCCAGAGCTTTGACTCCCTCCGGATCGAGATACTGAATTGATTCGCTTTGACCGATATTAGCTTGAAAAAAGCACCGAAATAGTAATTTCGGGTTAACCTGTGATAAAAACAAGTTTAGATTTAAAAAAAAAAGGATGAAATTAGTTTTGAGAAAAAGCGGAAGATGTACTGTAAGGGGATCCAGATTTTCTGAATTATTTCGGTTTTGTCGGCGCCATAACTCAGCTCGAGGACAAATTTCTGATTTTCCCAAATAATAGGGTTCCAAAGTTTCAGAATGAGCTTCACAAGGCTCTTGGGTACAGAAAGAAAAGTCGAGAAATCAAAGAAAATAGGCTCAAAAAATGTCTTTTTCGGTTTTTTGATTTTAAAAAATTTTTCATTTCGGTCATAATAGGATCTTTCAGGCTGAAGCTTGATAAAAATCGAAAGAAAGTCAATTTTTGAGCTTTTCCTGCACTTTTCGGAAAGATTTTGCTCAACACTTGATTTTTTGGTTCAAGTATTCATCCTCAGGAATTTTTTTTTTCGAATTTTCGGACCAAAAACCAATGTATAAATGTCTCAGAATATCCTTGGGTTGGGATCAGGGTGACATTTGTACACCTCACGAAGGAAGGTCGAGTTATGAAGCTTTAAAGTTTGCAAAATACGCAAATTATGACCGAAAAGCGCTATTTCAAGCTCTTGAAGCGTCTCATTTTCTATTGAGAGAATTTATTTTTTTGCGATCGAGGTACTAAAGTATACTTCAGCAAACTTCTATCAGAAATTCAACCAGGTGATAAAAAACGTTCCCTATTAAGCTAGTTATCGAAACGTTTACCCTATCAGTGCCTTTTTAAGTAGATTTCTAATAAATCAAGTTAAAAACTCACTAGCAAATCATCAACGGCACCCGATAGCTGAGCCAAGCTCAGCAAGCAGAGGGCAATGATGAACATCTTGGCCATATTTTTTCTGATGGAATGACCTAAGACTCCGATACTTTCACGCGACTTTTATATTTTTCTTTTTTTCATTTTTTTCTTTTTTTCAAAGTTGTGGTTATTATAGCCTGTGTATCACGACTTGGAATTTCACCGAACGACACTCCGCTGTGCCGCTGCGCGCCTTTGCGAACCTTGGCGCTGTTAATTTTTTTTTTTGTTATGGTACTCTATTTTCATATGCTCCCACAGCAATAACAATCAATTGAAAACGTGATCTAGATTTGAAAGACGCTTCGCGAACTCACGCAGCGGAACAGCGGAATGTCGTCCCGTGAAATTTCAAGTCGTGGCACAACGACTATATGATGAGGGGTCTTTGGAGACATACGTTTCATTAAGTGTTTCTAAGCTATATTTCAAGTTAATCTTTGCTCAAGGTTCTTAATTTCCATTTCAATTGTTCTTATTTAAATATTTCCTGACCCTCTTTTCACTAGAACCTTTTTCAGGACCTTCTCAAAAAAGGTCTTCAGCCACACCTAGTGGACATTTTTCCGCCATTTCCAAGCAGCCTCTCAAGTGCTCTGAAGTCGCCGAATCCAGGCCATGACACCTCTTAACACGCTGTCTCCGTTATTCTCAAAAATTTGTAAAAGCAACGGGTACAATAAAAAAAATATTTTTTGATTCCGACGAAACTTTATCCAGTGGGATAACCCATCATCAGAAATGCGGACCCAACTTTTTGAGCCATTTCCTCTTACTGTAGCCGGGTTACGGTAGGCAGGTAGGCACCTGCGTATCTCAGTATTGAAGAGTTTTTAGTAGACAAATGATATATCAATCGATAGGTAATCCAATTTTGAAAACTTTTACAGTACATACCATCTTGGGTTACTGTGTGAAAATTTTGAGTTACGGCACTTTTTGCGTCTGTCGAGTTAGTTTTTCGACCACCACGAGCTTGAGCCGGGAGATCCATTCTTCCTAACTTCTCAAAAGATACCTTATGAGAAGCTGTACAAGTTGGTACTAGTTCGAAGAAATCCTAGGTGGACCATCATTTCGAAAAATCTCCCCGAAGGCGCGCAATCGTGGTCTTGCGGCGGCCAAATGGGGGAAGTCCATGACGCCTGACGGCTCATTCTTCACAGATCCATTCTAAACTTTGTTTCCATTTCACTTATAGATATCTATTAATGGTTTTTATTACCACTTGAGATGATTTCAGGTTGACCATCATCTCGAAATCTCATTTTGAACCCAAATTTGGCCTAAAATGGCCGACTCGGCTTTTTTCACGGGATCCCTGACCCCGTATGTGACCGTTCTCAACTTTTTTCTTCCTTAAAAATGAACAAGAGTGTCTGAACAATAGTTTTATAACGATCGGAAACTATTTTGATAGGACCATTATCTCGAAATATCGATTTGAACCCAAAAATCGGCTTAGTTTCCCCATTTGAAGTTTTTATCATTTACATCGAAGTTTGTTCTGCCAATTTTTTTCAAAAACAAGAAATCAAAAAAATGAGAAATGTGAAATACCAAGAAATTTTTTTCTCATAAAAAGAAAAAAACCCGACACTCTGACCACCGGTGAGGTTGAAACTTAACTTTCAAGCTGATGTTTTTATAAATGTTTTTTTATTATAACCTAAATAGTAGTTCTGGATCTTCAGACTTTTTCATACCTAAAAAACAAGACATTCGTCTTGTGACTATTTTTGTGAAAAGAAACCAAAAAAAAATATTTCGATTTTCAAGCGAAATTTTATTTAAAAGTGGGTTTCCCAGGTAAACAGTCATTTTAAAATTGATCCAAAAATAGAATTTATTTTTCAGTTCTCAGGTTTATATTCTCTTTAAAAAGTGAAAAGGGCCAAGATCTGTATTGATGGAACCAATAATCTTATTAGAAGGGTAAACCAAAAGTTTTCAAGCCAAATTTGGGTTCAAATCGATATTTCGAGATAATGGTCCTATCAAAATAGTTTCCGATCGTTATAAAACTATTGTTCAGACACTCTTGTTCATTTTTAGGGAAGAAAAAAGTTGAGAACGGTCACATACGGGGTCAGGGATCCCGTGAAAAAAGCCGAGTCGGCCATTTTAGGCCAAATTTGGGTTCAAAATGAGATTTCGAGATGATGGTCAACCTGAAATCATCTCAAGTGGTAATAAAAACCATTAATAGATATCTATAAGTGAAATGGAAACAAAGTTTAGAATGGATCTGTGAAGAATGAGCCGTCAGGCGTCATGGACTTCCCCCATTTGGCCGCCGCAAGACCACGATTGCGCGCCTTCGGGGAGATTTTTCGAAATGATGGTCCACCTAGGATTTCTTCGAACTAGTACCAGCTTGTACAGCTTCTCATAAGGTATCTTTTGAGAAGTTAGGAAGAATGGATCTCCCGGCTCAAGCTCGTGGTGGTCGAAAAACTAACTCGACAGACGCAAAAAGTGCCGTAACTCAAAATTTTCACACAGTAACCCAAGATGGTATGTACTGTAAAAGTTTTCAAAATTGGATTACCTATCGATTGAAATATCATTTGTCTACTAAAAACTCTTCAATACTGAGATACGCAGGTGCCTACCTGCCTACCGTAACCCGGCTACAGTAAGAGGAAATGGCTCAAAAAGTTGGGTCCGCATTTCTGATGATGGGTTATCCCACTGGATAAAGTTTCGTCGGAATCAAAAAATATTTTTTTTTATTGTACCCGTTGTTTTTGAGAATAACGGAGACAGCGTGTTAAGTGACATCTTGTCTTTCTTTTTTTTTTTGGGTTTCTCGGTAACGCTAACTGGAAGCGCCGCGGACGTTTCTGAGCGTTGGTAGTGATCACTTAAGAGTTCTGAAGCCGCTTTAGGTATCACTAAAAAGGCTCAGAAACGTGGCGAGGTCCGAACAGGGCTTCCAATTTTTCATTAGTCCGCACTTTCCAAGCAGCCTCCCAAGTGCTCTGAAGTCGCCGAACCCAGGCCATGACACCTCTAAAGTGACACCTTGTCTTTCTTTTTTTGAGTTTAATGTTATCACTCGGCTCTCTGTATCACAAACCGCACTTGCTCTGAAAGCTTCTGAACATTGATAGTGATCACTTAAGAGTACTGAAGCCGCTATAGATATCACTAAAAATGCTCAGAAAGGTACCGATGTTCGAAAAAGGTTCCCAATTTCCATGAAGCGCAAAATTTCAAGAGATAGTTGATTTTATTAGAATATTTCCTGAAAGTCTTTTCACTAGAGCTTTCTCAAAAAAGGTCTTGAGCCACACCTAGCGGCCAAGCAGCCTCTCAAGTGCTCTGAACTCGCCGAACCCAGGCCATGACACCTCTAAAGTGACACCCTGTCGTTCTCTTCTGCGCTTTTTTTTCGCGTTCTGTCCTCCCCCTGAGCCTTGTCCGCAGAACCTCTCGAGCACAAAAGCCCAAGTGTTTGTGGACACTGGGCCGTCAGTTTTTCCGAGCCGCCGAGACTTTTCTGGAATGACAGCTGTTCGTTGGAGCGAGGGGAAAAAAACAAACGGAAAAGGGATCGGAGCACGATTGTTTCATTTTTTTTTCATCAATCGGTTCATCCAATTCTTCTCAATGAAGATTCCAAACAAAATAGTGAGCAAAAATAAGAGATTTAGACGTTTTTCAGTATTTTTGTCTGAAATAGCGAAAGTGTGCTAGCCAAGTAGAAGGTTTTTTTTTACAAACAGTTTTTAAAAATCTAAAAATGGTCATAATTAGCCAATTAGAATTTTGGGCTTGATTTAACGAATTTTAGAAGCTTGGTAAGTAGGACTTGATGATTTAGTAGAAAATAAAAATTCAGTTGCACTTTGAAGGTTTTGGCGTCACTTTAAGGGACATTTTGAATTTATTTGACGAATTTTCGAGATAAAAATTCCAAAATTTATGAATTTCTAGATCTTGAGAATTATTGAGATGATCGTACAGGTTCTCAGAATCCAGTGGTGATTGAAAAAAAAAAAAAAATGATGAAATTTTTCTTTTTTTTGATTATTTTATCACTTTTTAGGGTGACTTTGGACGGAATTTCCGCAAAAAACAACTGGCTTAATCTACTGATTTTTCGTTTTTTTATGATATTTTTTTTGAGCTTGGAACCACCTCGATTTCATCGGCGTCATAAAAACTAGCGGCGTTTTTAGGTTATTCCTTCATTTATTCTTTTTTTTTTTGAATCATTTTTTCAAAGGCAGCAAATTTTATTAATTATCTTTCTGTACCAAAAGCTTTAGATTTATCAAAACTAGTGTTAAAGGCTTCCAATTATTGATTTTCTCCAGCTACCGGTTCATTATTTAACTTGACTCAGCCGTGTTCTCATGCCAAGAAGGCGGCCGCAAACAGAAATGGGCGTGGCTTGTTTGGCGCCGAAAAACGCCCCGAGGCGATCACTTTTGAGCCGCCTTCCAATCGTTCTTGTCCATTAGAAATTGAGATTTTCGATTTTTTGGAGTTTTTCTTATTTTTCTGGAAGTACTATCACTGGAATAACCATTGTTCATGTGGACTATTATCGATAGAGCGAATAAACTCTGATTTTAGCTACTTTTTTTGAGAAATTTCGATACTTTGAAAGGGACTAAATCGAGTTTTGAGCACGTTTTTTTTGCGTTCCAAAGTTTATTTGAGTCGGAAAAAACCAACCCTATATTATAAATAAAGCTAACAAGTGGAGATTTGACGCGGCTATTTTTTTTCTCGGCCGGTTTTTTTATTACTTTGTGTTGCTCTCAATATCTTTCAAGACCCCTTCATTGCGTGTTATAATTTTTTAAAACAAAAAAAGGTTCCAAAATAGCCTTTTAGGTTAGATTCTCCATGGAGCGTAGAAGCCGCGATGATGACGCGGCTCTTTTTTCTCAGTCGATTGTCATGAATTTCTGTTAATTTCGGCATGTTGCAAAGCATTTTCATTACGTCTTATGAATTTTCGAAGCAAAATGAGGTTCTAAAAAGTCTTGTAGGTTGGATTCTCCATGGAGCGTACAAGTTGAGATTTTGACGCGGCTATTTTTTCTCGGTCGGCTTTTTGGCTTTCAGTAGTTCTCAATACGTTTCATATCATTTTATCGCGTTTCAAAGCACGTTTAGAGACGAAATAAATTTTGAAGGATGATCTACAAGCTAGGCTCTCCATGGAGCGTACAAGTTGAAATTTTGACGCGGCTATTTTTTCTCGGCCGATTTTTTGGCCCTTTGTAACTTCCATCTAGTTTCAAGGCATTCTAATTGCGTTATATCAATTTTTAAAGCAAAACTAGACTTCAAAATGAGTCTTATAGGTTAAATTCTGCATGGAGCGTAGGTTGAGATTCGGACGCGGCTATTTTTTCTCGGACGATTTTTTGGCTTTATGTAGGTTCCAATTAGCTTCATGCGTTTTACGCGTTTCAAAGCACATTTGGAGCCGAAATATATTTCGAATGAAAGTCTATAAGCTGGATTCTCCATGAAGCGTACATACTGAGAAATTCGAGGCGCTTTCTTTCACCGATTTTCTCCAGCTCCCAGTGTATTTTATGTACCTTTTATTGAATCGAAATTCTGCCCGGAGCCAAGAGCTGGGTGAAGTGAAGTTTCATGCGCAAAATCTTCACATCGTTTCGCAACGGAACGGTCGGCGCGAGGGGTCAGTCGCGGTATTACGCAAATAATCGCCACCGGGCGCCCTCCTCCCCTCCTCCGATTGCTCTCCGTACAAACTCATACGGAAAGTCGACTTGTTCACACCAGCTTTTCCCCTTTTTCTTTGTTTTCCCTACTTAGAGTCGAGTTTGTTCTGTTTAAAGTGGTGGTAGAGGATTTTTTGGGCCTTTTTCCTTGTTTCTTCGCACCTTTTCTGAAATTTGCGGCCTTTTTGAACGGAAAATTGAGCTTTCAAGACCCATGAAAAGTCAAAAAAGATAATTTTTATTTGATATTAAGATGGGGTTTGAAATTTAAGCTATTTTTGCTTGAAATCTAGGTTTTTCCTGCAAAATTCAGCTCATTTTGAACAATTGACTTTTTTCAATGAAGAAACGGCATACGGTTGGAGTTTTCAAGTTTATTTTCAATTTTTCTCATTCATTTTTTTGATTTCTATCTTGAAAAACTGAGCCAATTTGCAAGTTAGCATTTTTTTTTAAAGTGAATTTTTGAGCTTTTCATGGCAATTTTTAATTTTCAAATTTTTCAGTTATTTTTTGAATTGTGAGGTTTAATTTTAAATTTCCTTGAACATGAGAAACCATAAAAAAGAATAAGGTAGGTCAAACTGGAGAGAAAAAAGTGTAGGTATCGGTTTACATTGAAATTCGATACCAAATTGTGTTAAAAATTTTTTTTCGTATTTTTTTCAATTTTTCGGTTTTTTTGGTCCAATTTGAAGGTTTTTATCGAAATTTCCATTTTAAAAAAAGTAGAAATGTCTATTTTATAAGAAAAAAAGCAGAAAATCTAGCCTTTCTTTTTTTTTTAGACCTTTTGATCAGGCGCCAAGCTTAGTCATTACTTTTTCCGTTCTTAATTTTTTTTTTAATGTTTTTCTTGATACTTTTGTGTTAGAAACTGTATGCCTTGTTCACTAAAAAATTCAAGTTTTTTTTCGCTGCTCGTTTTTCTTGTGATTTACAGTTTCAAAATTTTCCAGATATCCAAAAAGGATGATGTACGTTTCCATCAGCGTTTTTTTGAACTTTAATATAGAAGGCGTAGTCGTTTTGTTGTTTTCTAGTATAATATGTTCAATATTCCTTATTTTTTAAACTGTAATTTTTATGGCCATTCAGGTTCAGATTTTTCATTGAAGGTCTAGAGAATTTTCAAATTTCGCGCCAACTTTTTTTTTGTGGTTCGCTTTGGAATGTGGTGAGAAGTTGTGGCTACCGTTAGGGAAATAACACAGAAAATGAGAGATTTCGACGCTCTAGCATACATGGGAGGAGCATGACTGGCGACAGTCGAGTTGTTTAGCGAATTACAGGTTGACGTCGGAATATGGGAAAGCTCTTTTTATTCAATCACATTTAATTAACCCCCCATTCTCTTTTTGCCAAGTACGATCGAAGTTTGATTCCCAGGGGGGACAATAAGCAAATATAAATCGGAGCCAATTTCAAATTCGGCCGGTTTTTTGTCTTCCTGTCTCCCTCTCCCTCGCTCCCTCCGTCTATCATCCCATCATGAACATTTGAAGAAGGAGAAGCTTAGAATAGGGGGGGGGAAGGAAAAGCTTGTCGGCGGGGCCGCCAAAAACACGAGTCATTACGGTCCGCCGAAGAGCGAACAGCGGTTCTCTTTATTCTTCTCTTTTCTGGTAGAAAACGAACACTTATCGGCGCCGCTCCATGAAACGATTGCGATTGTACTTTTGAGTTAAGGGGCTTCATGACGTCACTTTTGTCATTTTTTGGTGTCATAAGCTACCTAAAAGGGAATAATGATTTTGAGCTTCTTCCTCACCTTATGACGTCCTTTTTTCTCTCAAAAAGCATTGATAACGTCAGAAAAACGTCTAATTCGGGCAAGTAGTTGTTCCTGGAATTTCGATACCGAAAGTAATCGTTTTTAGTAGAGTATATGATATAAATTTCCTTATTTTCGAAGTTTATGGCTTGATGAGGTCATAGAAGGCTTTAGTGATATAAAAAAAAGTTTTTTTTTGAAATTAGACGGCTTTTTCAATATTAACTGAGCTTCTACTGGCGTCAAGGAAAGTAGTGGTTTGAAAAAAAGTCATCAAGCGGGAAAATTGAGCTTCTCCTTGCTTTTTGGCGTTTTTTCCAGATAAAAGCCTATTTGAAGAATTAAAAAAACGTGTATTCTGGACACCTGCTGTGAGAACTTCCACTTCACAAAAAAAGATTTTTTTAATCAAGAAAAAAAAGGAAAATAGCCTTGCAAACCATTTTTTTGACCTCTTTTTTGACCTGGCGCCGAACTCCGTCATTTTTGTTTTTCTCAAAGTTTATGACGTTTCGAATCTTCCAAGAATAATTTTTTTTGCGTGTTTTCTTAGTTTTTATGATGATTTTTGATAGCTTTCCAAAGTTATACTTCGAATTTTTTTTTTCGACTTCAGAACTACTGTATTTTGAGATTTTCTAGATAATAACAAGGCTCTTCAAGGGGCACCTTGTCATGTATTTTTTGAGAAATCAGTAATTTTCTAATGCTTAAAAAAAATTTTGAAAAATAAAATTTTTCCAACTTTTAACGCCTTTTTGTGCATCTTGTCACTTAGTCTTCCGCTCACAAGGTTCCGGGTTCAATCCCCAACCTCTATTTTTGCCCAATATTTCCATTCATTAGACACTGATGTATTTATTTTAAAAAAATAATATTTACGGGGGTTTATTCGTTTTTTTATTCGGAACCATATTTGGCTTTTCTGTCGCCTATTTTTTGTATCTCTTTTTTTTTCTGTCCGATATTTTTATACGTTAGACTCTGATGACTTGAACTGTTTCAGAAAATAACATGCAATTTTTAATTCCCCAGTTTTTGTTTTTTTTTTCTTCGTTTGATAACTTCATTCCACGCTTTTATGACCATATCTGGCTTCAGATGAGCCGCCGCCTTCTCGCCGTCGGATTTCTGTTGGCTTTTGCCCAAGCGTCTCCAGATGAGCACACGGAAGCGTGTACGAAGGCGTTACAAGAGTGCGAAAACGACTTGGAATGTCAGAATCGATTGGCTCCTCTCATGTCGGCTTGGTAGCTTTTTTTTCATTTTGAGAAAAATTTGTAGATGTTGAGAAGCTCTATTGATTCATGTAAAATAGAAGGTTTTAGGCTGAAAAATGAAAATGAAAGAAGCAAGTTTTTCTAATGAAGATGGTGAAGATAGATCATTAAAAAAAAACGACTAGCATGCTCCCCTAGAGGGGAACCTTCAAAAACCCCTAAAGGGACCACTGTACCTCTCCTAAGTGTCTGAATCCAATTCCTACTGAAACATTCTCATCTGAAGTAAGCTCCTTGTTTCCTAGAAATATGCAAAAAGAACCTTGAAAAACGATTTTCCAGTTTTGCGCGGCTGGGATTTGAAAGAAAGACGCCCCAAAATACCATATAAGTCGGTGCAAATTGCGGCCTTGAGGGACTATTTTTGCGAGTTTTCTAAGGTTTTTGTTATGAATTCTTTAGAATGGAGCAAATTTTTGTAGGTTTTGAGGCTTATGGTTTGGAGGGTCAAGGGTTCAACTCCTACCGAGGGGGTTTCGTTTTTTGCCATTTTGAATTTTTGTGACCAGCTATTGGTTTTGAAGGCCTAAGACGTTCAAAATGTTGAAAAAGTTTTTTGAACGGTTTAAAAATGAAATGTTCTTCAAATTTGATTTTTCAAGTTTTGAACTATGGTCTGGAAGTTCGTGGGTTCGATTCCTTTCGGAAAACCTTTTTTCGCCATTTTTAGGTGGGTTATTTTGAAAGTTTGAGGCATTTTAGAAGCAGCTTCATCAAGGGTCTTAAAACAATATGTATTCCATAGTCAAGTGGTAGATCCGCAAAACATTGCTCAAAAGGTCGCTGGTTCGACTCCTCTTAAAGAAATTTTTTCAATATTTTTTTTTCAAAACATTCTTTTCAATTTTTGATGAACCCCTGTCAAATAAATACAATATGATCAAGTCGTAGTTGCTCAAACTTTGACTCAAAATAACACTATTTCAATTTTTTTTTTTCTCATGCTATTTCTCAACACCTGTCTTGCCAGACGAGCTCAAGAAAAAAAAAAGAGTCGAACACTTTGTTTTCCAATTTTTCCCATTCACTTTCCGCCCGTGTTCAGCAGCTTTTGTTTCGACGAAAATGCCCAAAAATAGCGTCGAAACCAAATAAAAATGGCGGCCAGCAGCAGCCGCGCAAACATTTCCTGTCCGCTTGAGCCGAGGAACGGTTTTGGCGTTTCGAAATATTTCAAAACAGGCAAAAATTGGAGGGTTTGGACGAACTTGTCACCTTGGCCGAATGGTAGTGTACTAAATTGATGTCCAAAGAGTCACAGGTTCGAGTCCTCTCCGTGGAAATATTTTTCGCCATTTTTTTCTCGAGTTATTCTAGTATATATATTATCTGAAAAATGACGATTTTTCCTAATTTTTTTTCAAAGCTTAAAAAGAGCTGTGCTGTGCTGTCGCTCCAGAGGTCGCAGGTTCGAGTCCTGCTCGTGCAAACCTTTTTTTTGCCATTATTCCTCAAGATATTCTTGTATATATTCTCTTAAGAGTGACGATTTTTTCATAAATCGTTTACATTTAAATTATTGAAAAAGGTGTGCTGATTTATCGCTCCAGAGGTCACAGGTTCGAGTCCTACTCAAGCAATTTTTATTTTTGCTACTTTCGATAATCCACTTTTTCCATCCGAAAGTAATGAATTTTCATAAGTCAGTTGAACTCGAAGTTTCGAAAAGTTGTGAAATAGGTGCTCGCTCCAGAGGTCACAGGTTCGAGACCTGTCCGTCCCAACTTTTTTGCAATTTTTTTTCAACTCATTTTTCACTTTTTCTTTCCAAAAGTGACCATTTTTCATAAATCTTTGCAATTGAAAGTTGAAAAAGAGCGCTGAAGTGCCCTCTCGACGGACGGAACGTCGTGAGAAACGCCGTTAAGAGGCGCCGTACTTGAAAATGTCGTTATCACGTCGGCGAGAGGGAAAGCTTCGAGCTTGACCTTATTATCAATTGGTCACGTTTTGATGGAAATTTTGAGCTGCAAGGAATTTTTAGCTGAAAGGATAGGTAGGAGATTGAACCGGGGACCTTTTGAGCGAGAAAATAATTTCTACCGATGAGCTAGTATTCTGATAAAAGCTGCCCATGAATTTAAAAAAAAAGGATTTTTTTTGGCTTCCACGATGAAAGAGAAAATTGGCAAAAATTTGGATCCTTTGTTGGGATCCGAACCTGTAACCTTTTGAGCGGGAGAATAATTCTTACCAATGAGCTAGTATTTAGTTAAAAGCTGCCCATGAATTTAAAAAAAAAGGATTTTTTTGGCTTCCACGATGAAAGAGAAAATTGGCAAAAATTTGGATCCTTTGTTGGGATCCGAACCTGTAACCTTTTGAGCGGGAGAATAATTCTTACCAATGAGCTAGTATTTAGTTAAAAGCTGCGCTTGAATTTTAAAAAAAAGGACTTTTTTGGCTTCCACGATGAAAGAGAAAATTGGCAAAAATTTGGATCCTTTGTTGGGATCCGAACCTGTGACCTTTCGAGCCAAGGGCAAGCATTCTACCACTGAGCCAGCATTTTGATAATTATCTTTCTGCGTTCAAAAATTCTTCGTCCGCAAGTTTATCAGTTTTATAGCCCATAAACTGTATCTCTCATGGAATTTCTGGATTTAGCGCCCCTTGTGGAGGGAATAAATCAACTTTTATGGACTTTTCCTTTCTTGGTCAGATCTTTCTCTATCTTTGGGATGGATCTGGGCGAGAATCAAGTTTGATCTTGTGGGGAAAACGGCGAGAATCACTTCTAGAACTGAATTTTTAATCATTATTTGAATTTCAGTACAACGGGAACATGCCAAATGCAGTGCCGAAGCGCCGTCTTGAACGTCTACCAGAATAAACTCGGCAGGGCTCTTTTAAGGTAACTTCTTGATGATTTAATGACGTCATAGTTTGCTAATTATTACGTCATAGTTTGCTAATAAGGACGTCAAAGCTTGAGATAAACCAAAAGATTGTAATTTCAAAATCTTGTGTTTACTTATTTTCGGGATTTCAAAGAAGTCGTGACGTCAAAATTTCACAGTTATGACGTCATAAAAAGAGTCATAAATCATTTAAAATGACGTCACGAAAATTTTTCCATTTTTTTTTTTGGACTTTTTGAGAACAAAAATTTTCTTTTTTTTTGTTTGAACTCAAAGCTTTAATGATTTCATAACTCAGAAATTATGACGTCATCGAATTTTTTTTACGCTCAAAAACACTCAGTCTAGAACTGAAGCACCAGACTTCCTTAACGGGTGCGATGACGTCATTTTCTTGATCGGCAACCGGACCACCGTGTTTTTTTTTTTTTTGCGTTAGAGCAAATTTGAGCTACTATGACTCAGTGGGGTCCTGGAAAATTAAGTAAACAAATAGGGAACAGGAGCTTTTTTCGGACCTTAAGCTGGAGTGTAAGCATTTGGCGGTGTGAGAGAACTTCTTGAGCTTTTTTTTCCTAGAGAATGGCTCGACGCGTTGCGGTCGCGCTGCGGTTTGAACTTCTTCATGACGTCATTTTCAGATCCGACGCTACCTGTATTCCGGGCCGAGAAGAGCTTCGCACCTGTAATTTCCTGCCAGCCGAACCGACAGTCCACTGCAGCCTGGCCAAGCTTGCCTGTGAGGCTGACCTTCAGGTTGGTCCAGCTCTTGATGACGTCACTTAGAAGGTAGTGAAGCTTGATAACGTCACTTAAGAGGTGGTGAAGCTTGATGACGTCACTTAGGAGGTGGTGAAGCTTGATGACGTCACTTAGGAGGTGGTGAAGCTTGATGACGTCACTTAGGAGGTGGTGAAGCTTGATGACGTCACTTAGGAGGTGGTGAAGCTTGATTACGTCACTTAAAGGGTGGTGAAACTTGATGACGTCGCTTAGGAGGTAGTGAAGCTTGATGACGTCACTTAGGAGGTAGTGAAGCTTGATGACGTCACTTAGGAGGTAGTGAAGCTTGATGACGTCTTAATATAGCTCCCACCTGATGACGACACACTAAAGTAGAGAAGCTTGATGACGTCGTTTACTAGTTATCTTAAAAAGCTGATTCAGGACTGTCTTGAGTGGAAAAGGTCTTGATACGATTTTTAAAAAAGGTAGTGCCTGGTTAATGATTAGGCCCCGCCCCCTAGGATCCCAAGCTCTCACCAAAATTGAGTCGTTTCTTAGATCATTTTGTGAATGTTGAATTCCTTGACCATTCTAAAGTAAGACAAGCCGATTTCTGCACCGGAAAGTAACCTGATACGGCGACAGGAAACAAAAGACGTTCCGACCTGATCTCAACCCAAATAAGGACCTTCATGCCATCCGATATGCGTGACTCTTGCTCAGGAGAGGACAATCAGAGATTTTTAGGTTCAGATAGGGCAGATTAACGCATAAAATCATTAATTTACCTTGAAGTCCGAGAGTCAAAGATCTTCTGAGTATACTGTAATAAATGAAAATTTCCAGTGCAACGCCAAGTGGGGCGTGTTCATCTCCGAATGCGAGTCGGAGGCGTCCAAGGGCGAGTGCTCGGAGAAATGCCGCGGACTCTTGCGGCAGACGACGGCGACCTCGTTCGGCTCGCCGTTCAGCAACTGCACGTGCACGGAACGCGACGACGAGCTCTGCCAGAGCCTCAGAGACAACATGCTCGGCGCCTGTCTCAAGGTAAGCGCGAAGTCGCTTCTGGTCGGGCGCAGAATTTTGGATCTTGATTCACAAAGCTCATGTGTAAACTTTGCTGATAAGAAGCTTTTGAAGTTCGCTCCTTTGAGAAAATTTTTTGAATGGCTGGCCACGCCCCTTTTTATCATTTTTCATATGTACTAAGGAAGCGATACTTTAGAAGAAATCTCTGGGGAATTATGAATTATCTTTTTTCAACACGTTTACCTGTAAAAAACTCGGAAATAAATATGACGTCATTCCAGGAATCATCTGGCAGCGTGCCAGCCCCTGGCGACAACTCTGTGACGGAATCCCCCATCGACGACCAGGAACCCTCGAAATCCGCTCTGCAAACCTTCCCTCTCCTCCTTTTGTGCACTCTTTTCGTCATCCGATTGTTCTTTGTCTAATTCTCTCAAAAATCATCGCATCTCAAAAAAAAAATAGTGCGGATAGAGGAGTCCTTCTCATGACGTCATAATTCCCCCCAAAAACTTTATTTATCTGTAAATCGAGCCTTTTTGAACTAACAAAACTAAACTAATTATTGATTTTCACAACTTTTTCGCCATCACGGTTCTCATGGTCCCTTTAGGGACCACTTTAATTGTAAATAAGATATCTAATGATTCGCACGTTGCTCAAATCTTTGTTCGAAACTGATAAAAGAATGAATAAAGCGTTGAAAGATAGCGGAACGCACTGAAAACGAGTAATTACAGTGTGATAACATGATAAAAGTTCCACTTCCATGTGATAAAGGCCTTTTTCTTTTTTGTGTTGTCCTTTTCTTTGTTCCTGAATGTTTTGAAATACCTCCCAATCTTTGATATGACTCAGCGTAGTTTTGTTATCGGACTGTTTTATTTTTTTTTAGTCCTTTTGGCTTTATTTAAAAATTAAGTTTATAAAAACCAGAACAGCGTGAGCGAGAGACCAACAGCGTCCCGAAGAGACGGCAGAGAAAGAGAGTAATTCATCTTATCTGGCGTCTCCACAGGTTGATGTTGATCTCACCGCTTTCTCTATATTGCCGATTGATAAAAAAGCATAAGGCAAGCATCTTCAAGAGATCGAAAGCATCCTGGAGGCCAGAGAACGAGAGATTTTTGCTTCTCTGGTGTCTCTTCAGACTGATGTTGATCTCTCGTCGAAAATTTTTCAGCCTATTTCCTATATATATATAATAATATATTTTTTTTATTCTGAAAAATATGTGGTTATCCGGTTTTTCGCCAATGTATTTCTTAATTCAGAAATGAGCGAACACTTCCGCCAAGAAGCTTGCTTAGCATTTCGCGCTGAACCCAGCAACGTCACGGCCTACAAGGGGCTCAAAGAGGTTCATTACTCATTTTTGGTCTCAAAAAAACCGCTGAATTTTCATAAATTCTTTTTTTAAGAATCAATAGTTGAGCTATTAATAAATCAATTTCTAAGTCCTAGTGTAATGACTGAAAAAAATAGACCTCGAAAGGCAGATTTGGAACTACTTTACGATGAAAATTATTTTAAATTTTTATTTTTAAATAATTCCATCAAGACTGAAAAGTGAACTTTGAAAAACAATTCAAGGTAAAATCTATAATTTTTCTCAATAAACTTCGAATTTTCACGACCTCCATAACGTAATGAGTTTACAGAATGTTTGCAAGATAGATTGATTCTGAGATCGTTCAGCAAAGTTGAAATTTTTTTGTTGAGCGGTAGGAAGACAAATAATGTTGAAATTATTAAAATAATGACTTATACAAAATTGAAAATTCAGCAAAAACGCTTCAAAAAAAACCACCTGCCCGGCGAGATAGGTCTCTACGCAGTGGAACTCACAGGAAAGGCGTTCCAATTGTTCCGCACCTACTACGAAATCGCCCAGTTCCTCAAGAACGAGTTCGACAGAAAGTACGGAGGAAAGTGGCATTGTATCGTCGGCGATAGATTTGAGTCTCTCGTCGATCCCACGTATCCCAGCGAGCACTACGTCTGCTACATCCACAACGGCGTCGAAATAGAACTCTTCAGAACACTTTGATCCTTTTTTGTTATTTTTGAAGTTTGATGCTGAAATTGATTAGACAATGGATGATAAATTTCTTGCCGAGATAAGAGGAAATTTCTATCAAGTGAAAGTTTAAATGCAAGGTTTGAATGCCGCGAAACACATAAAAACACGAACTTTGTGGAATTAAAGCGGTAAAATTTTGAAAAAAAAAAGCGTTTTCATTTCAAATAGGGTTGAAAAGAAACGCGCAGCTCAATTATATTTCATATATTTCAAAAAAATAGAAATAAAAATTTTTTTATTGAAAAATTACTATTCATTCTGAAAAACAATTAAAATTACGTTCTTCTATCGAATGGTCGACTTCCGGGAAACTTTTCGACCATAATTTCTGTTTTCAGTCTTATATATTCTAAAAAAACTACATAAAAATCCATAGATAAGCTTTTTTTAGAATAGCGAAAATCTGAAGAAAGGAAAAATCGACGAACAAAAAAATTAAAAACGACTCCTGCTCTTCCCTTTGAGACTACTCTTCATAACTTGCAATGCTCCTTTAAAAATTTGAAACTTAAAATTATTTATTTTCTTTTTTACACATTATTCTTTTTTTCCGTCCTTATTTTAGTTCTAATTTATATTCAGATTGTCTTCGTAGTTTTCTAAACTTTCGGATATCATGCTTTGAACGAAAATCGGAATTGTAAACTCAAAAATGACAAGTCTGAACTAGATCAAAAGTTTTTGACCCCGCGTCGACGCGGGGTCAAAGCTTTTGTCATTAGGTCAACCGACCAAAACGTTCCAGAAAGGCGCCAAACCTCGGGAGAAAAACAACACTCGTCATTCTTCTCTTTTTCCTCCGTGCTGGGCGGCATGTTGCTCGTCGTTCTTTTAATTTTTGAAATGTTTACTCTTATTTTTTGTTTATTCAACCTTTCTCTATAGAATAGTTGAATTATTTTTAGATTCCAAACATGATAATGTAAATTTTTGACGGATAGGTTACAAATTTTTATGGCGTGTTCATCGGAGAAACGGAACATGCTTCAAAACGAAAAATTGTGTTTATCGGCGCGCCGAAGTTGCTCCAAAACAGTACTAATTTTTGTTTTGGATCAATTTTCTTACGTTTAGAAGCAATTTTCGTTTTGTCCGATGAACATGAAAGTTTTTTTTTCGCCACAAACTTTTTGACAGGCGTTTTGGTACAAAACTTCCTTTTGAGTTTAAACAATGGTTCATTTTTGTAGCCCATAAGTTTTAATTAGACTTTACTTCTCCGCGGGGAGTTTCGTTTATTTGTGTTGGTTGTTTTTCGCGATCAAATCTTCGATAAATTTTAAAATGAAAATTGCTCTTTTTCAGGCGAATCTTGGCGGTTCGAATAGGTCTTAGAGGATGGTGGCAGCGCGATGACCTCACCTTATTGAGAAAAAGAAATTTGAGTTTTTTTTCACTTGTTCACAAAATCATTTGTGACTTTTATCAATTCCAAAATTTCCAGAGACTTCCTGACGTGAAGAAGATGTGATGACAGAACTCGACAAATACAAGCAAGGGCAAGAAGGAAAAACGAAGGATAAGTTTGAGGTTCGTTTTTTTTTTGCTTGACTCTGAGTCGTTCATAACTGAGCGACTGGGCTTCTTCTCAACCAGACAAAATTCTCGATGCCAAGCAATTTCAGAGTCAAAAATATCAACTGTGTTTCATTTTGCGCCAGGAAACTGGGGTTCTACATTTACTTCAACACATTTTTCAAAAGCAAAGTTCAATACAGATTTCCTGGTGCATAGTGAAATAATCTTCTTTTTTTTTCAGATTTTGTTGAACATCCGAAATTTTTCCAAAACGTTTCGTGGGAATCACATAGAAACGGCGATCAATTTGGGATCTACTTTTTCAAAAATATTCTCTTTTCGATAGCTACAAGATTTCACCAAATTGAACGTCGTTTTCATGTTATTAACATCATTTATATTCATTCGAATTATATTGCTTGGTTTCGAGATTTTGGCTGGAAAAGATGGCCCAGGGTCGACTTTTTGTTTTTTGCGCGGCGCTTGTGTCGGTGGCTGACCGTGGCTACGAATTTTTCGTCGATTGATCATATTTTATTGGTTCTTCACGACTTCAAAAAAAAAATTAGAGTTTTGCACCTTCCTCATTTTCGCTAGTAGTGTTTTGAGCTTCACTTTTTTTTCAGTTTTTATATGATGATGTTGGTATACACAGATTTAGTGTACAGAGTATAAGCACTTACGTAAATACGGCGCCACTTGAAAAAAAAACTTGATCAAAATTTTTATTTTCAAAAATTCCGCAGATTCGTATTTTTGATAACTTTCCGAGTGGTCTCTTTTGAATTCAAGTAAAGCTATACAGTTGCCGCAAGTTTGTTGAGCCAAACATTTTGAAAATTGTTTTTTTTTCTCCCGAGTTCATTTTCTTAATTTTCAAGAAGCTTCCCATATTTGTGACTAGCTTGAGGTTTTATCAGTAATAACTTAGGTTGAAACTTTCATAAGATTTTGTACCACAGCGGATCTAAGTTGATCATTTCAAGGCTTTCAAACTCTACAATAGTTCGAAAATAATTCATCAACTTCTCAAACTCGATTTCAAAAAAAAAATGTAATGATCAGCTTGAATTCGCTTTTTTTATTGAGAGCTTAGTGAGTTGTTAGCAAACTGTACACTAAAAATTTAGATAATTTATTCCATAGTTTTCAAGGTTTAATATAATGTGATCGTTTGGCGAGGAATTTGTAGTCTTGTGACTGGGGGCCTTCGAAAAAAAAATGGTTTTTTGCGAAGCCTCACTCAAAGTTAATGAAAAGGTCTTGGCAAAATGACAATGTCAGCTTAAGGCCACTTCAAGAGTTGAACTTTTCAATTGACTTGTGGGCTCAAAGGAAGAGACTTTGTGGCAGTCATGATAAAAGCCTGTTTTTCCCTTTCTTCTCTGAATTTTTGGTTGGCTCTTTTGATTACAAGGCTCTGATGAATCTATTAGAATAGCAGACTTGTTTCTTTTTGAAACTTTGCAAAAGTGTATTCGCAACTTCTCGATACAATGATTGAAACTTTTAACTTGATAAATATTTCAAAAAGAGCTCTAATTTCTGCAAAATTTATTAAATTTAGAAATTTTTTTCGATAAAAAAATTGTAACAGTTTCGTTAAGTTGCGAGTTCATCTTTTATGACTTTAAGACTATTTTCGAAAAAGTTTGGAATTGATGAAAGATTGAACTTGCGCTTCTACAGTTAAAAAGACTTCTTCTGAACTTGAATTTTTTAAATCTTTCGCTTCGACTTGTAAAAGTTGATTTTTGTTTTTTTTGGGAATGGTTCGTTTTAGAAGCTTTAAAAATATAGCACAGTTCAATCTTTTTGTTGGTGACAGACAATTTTACTTTAACTTGAAACTTCACTTCACTTTAACCTGACTTCACTTTGACTTCAATTCTTTTGAAGCTTCGCTTTATCTAGCTTCATTTCACTTCATTATTAAAACACTTCAAAACTTAAAAGAACTTTGACTGTTTATTCATCAGAAACTTGCAAACAAAAAAAAAATTAACAAGACTTCATTGACCAGAGGGACTTGAGCTTTTGCCTGGACTTTTCCAAAAGACCTGTGTCTTTCTCAAAGCCTTCAAGTCACTTGGAGAGTTCAACTCTTGACTGGCTTTTTCACTTTTTCAAAAGACCTTTTCATTGGCTTTGTGTGAAGCTTTGAAAAGAATGATTTTTTTTTTTTCGAAGACCTCCTGCCTAAGTCGGCCATCGGCTCAAGAGTCGGCAAAAAACTAAGGTCGACCTTGGGTCATTCAGAGGAGACGCCCGAAGGCAAAGTTATGGACGGTTCAGGACTAATGGGGTGAGGGTTTCAGGTCGAGCGATGTGACGGGATGGACGCCGGACGACGTCGTACTCCGAGGGCGGCATCGAACCGGACACTCTGAACCGTGAAATTGAATAAAGTGTTCTCCTCCCCCTTTTGTACTTGGTTTTGTCCGGCAGGGTCAGGGCCGCTGCCGGAATTCTCTCTCGCGGTCACTGTCGCCGGTAGGGGTCTCCGAACTCGTACTCCCCAGCCACCTCTGGAGTCTGAAGCAGAGTACCCAGCTCAGGCCTTAGGGGCCCAAGCCAGATTCCTCTGCCCCAAACTCCACAGACCTATGAAGCCTGAAGCAGAGTCTCCAGCCCAGGCCTTGAGTGCCCGAGCCAGAGACCTCTGCTTCAGACCCCACAGGCTGGCTGTGGAGCCCGAGTCGGAGGCCTCGACCTCAGGCTCCAGAGTGCATTGGAGCCTGAGATCGAGTCTTTGGTAGGTGGCTATTGGCTCGGAGAAGGTCCTGTTTGGCGAGGCTCTCTTCTCCCTCTGAGCTCGTCATTTGACAGTGTCTCGCAAGTCCTTCATGCCTCTTTTGCCCCAACTCCAAAGCTTCATCCTGAGCCAAGCGAGCTCCAACTCCCGCAGCTTGACCTTCAGGCTTTGAACATGCTTGACTTGTGCTTTGTTGAAAGGTTTCTCTTTGAGTTGAAGATTTTTTTTTAGTTTTCAAAGACTTTTGAGGCTTCAAACTTCTGCTGAACACTTGTAGCGTCTCCTACAGTTCACTTAAGTCAATATGTGATTAAAAATTTCCAAAAGAACGCGGTGAACTGAAGTAGAAAAGCATTACAAGTATTTTTTTGATCAAGTTTTGAAAATTACACAATTTTTTTCATTTTAATTGAAAAGATCTTGAACTGCAACAAGCGCTCGTGAAGCATGAAGTTCAAGAGACTTGCAAAAAATCGGAAAATTTTGAAGTACTAAGAAATCTTCAATTTAATCCAAACGTTATCTGCCGAGCTTCCTTTTCAAAATTTTCGAACGTCAACCAAAGTAAATAATAATAACCGCATGAACTTCGAAAGTCTTTAAGAGTAATTACGGTATTGAGTTCAAAAAAATAAAAAAAGGTCCTAATCTTTCTTTAAATTTTCTCTAAATAATGACTAGGGGAAAGTAAAAAAAAATTTGAAAAATTACTCTGAAGCTCAAAAATTTTGAAACTTTTTTAAATCTTCATCAGTTCACCGCAGTCAAAAATCTATGATCAAAGCCTACAATTTTGTAGAAAATCTTTTTTCGCGAAAACGTTGGATTGTTCAAAAGTATAATATCAATTTTCAAGTGGTTAAGTCTTCTCCTTCATAGACTGCGACCAACTGACGAAGACTTTGAATTTCTACAGTTAATCCCGAAATATCTTGATAATAGAAAAAGTAAAGTCTTGCAGATAAATCTTGGATTAAAAAGCTTCGATTCAAAGAGCGTTTTTTCAACAAAACACATGTTGAACATGTTCGTTTCAAGTGATCTGGTGATCAAGTTGAAGTAGTTTGAACTCATTGGCTGAGGATAAAGCCCAGAAACTGTGAAAGAACAAAAGAGACATGAATGACCTCGCAAGACACTGCCAGGTGGCGCCCCAACTCATGCAAAGAAATATTGAATTCGTTCGTTGATCAATTTTTTGAACTGTTAAGATTGAGCAGGAAAATAAGCGATAAGTTGAATTTTTTTTTCAAATGTGAAAAAAGGCCTGAAAATCAATTGAAAAAGGTTCGAATGAGATTATTTACGAAACTACGAAAAAGATCCAGGAAATAAAGTAAAGTGAATAGTCTCAATTAACTCAGCGCTCAAAATTGAGTTGAATACGTTTTTTTATAGTTACTTTTTCTAGAAAAAAAAAAATTGTTATTTTTGGAAGAAAAAGTATTCCAAAAAAAGGGTACTCCGTAAAAGAGAAAGGCCTGAGCTAAGTGAGGTAATTCATTCATTTTCGGTTATGAAAAAAACTGATGAATTTAAGACCGGAAATAAAATGACTTTTTTTAAATCAATTTTTTTCGAAAAATACTCTCTTGAATCATTTACCTGGAGCCCTACTTGCTAAAAAAACAGTATTGAGTAAAGATTCGAACCTTCGTCTTATGATCCCCAGGCGCCCTTTTAAACCTCTAGACCAACTAACAAGTTTATTTTCTTCGCATGAGAAGGATATCAGGTTGTGTACGAATAAGTTTGGTTTAATAGAATCATCTGGGAGAGAAAAAGCAAAAAGAAAAACGCTTTGATCGAAAATCTAAAGTAAAAGTTTTATTTTTTATGTTCCTTCAGCTAATCTAAAAAAACCTATCTCTTTCAGAATAAAAAAACGAATTTTTTTTTTTGGCTTTCTAGACTCGAAACTGACCCATCTATTTCTACATATTAACACATAATCATGAAATTCTCTAACTTCTGACCAAAACCAATACATAATGAACCAGTTATGATCTGCCTCTAATTTTCTTGCCACACTAAACAGGTCGGCAAATAATTTAGATGAAAAAAATTCGGGAGCTTGAAAAAAAAGGATAGATTCTTGCGAAGTTTGAAAATTTGAAGATTTGGTGAAATGTGTCATTTTTGAATAGAAATTGCTAGGAATGCAAAAAACGCCGCACAGTTTCAATGTGACAAGAAGAAGTTAAAATGAAAAATTTGGAGAAAAAAATCAATTTTTTTTAATATTTTTATTGATCATCAAAAATCAAGTTCTGATTGAAGCTGTTTGAAGAGTATCCACTACAAATTGAAAAAGTCTAGACACTAAAAAAATCAAACTTTCTTCACTTGAAGGTCTTAACAAAAAAAGTTACACTTTCAAAAGTAAGTATAAAAAATGCAATTTTTCTTCTCGAAAAGCAGAAGAGTTTTTCGCGACACTTTCTTACAACTAGAAAAAAAACGGCTTCAATCAAAACTTTGTTAACAGTAAAGCACAACCAGCACTGACACGTAAAATCCTCCTTTTAAGAACCCGAGGAAATCTGAAAAAGACAAAAAATATAACTTTATTCGCACACAACCCAACAACAAAACGCCACCATCGAATTGACGAGCCCGGAAGGAAAAAATCGCCTCGCCCCACAGTACCCTCTCCTGACAGAGAAAAGGGCGCATGTATGCTTGGCTGGAACCGGCGAGAGAGCATGGAAGACGTGGAGACGCCAGAGTACAGCTCTCCACTTTTTGGGCGCTCTTTCGGACCAGAAAGAGCCGAGAAATACAGGCGTCTTTTTCTCTGCAGCCGCCACCGACCAAAGCCCCAATCCGGCAACATAAACCGCGAGAGGACGGACAAGACATCACAAACATGGACGGAAAAAAATGAATTCTTCTCGAAAATTGCTTCTTTTATTTTTGTATGAAGGGTATCATTGCATGAAATTCACTATTCATGTCAAAAAAAAATAGGATCCTTATCTAAAAAATCAAAGAGAGAAAAATTGAAACTGCTTCAGGTCTCAACTCTATGGAACTGAGGGAAATTCGTTCAAACTTTTAGGAAACCGGAAGAAAAAAAAACGAACACATGTGCGACGCGGTCGCGTTGCACTAGTAATTTTCGATCTATATTATTAAACTTTTTTTTCAAACTTACGACCAACTTTCCAAACCAGAAAAAAAACTGACAGTTCCTATAAACTGATTTTTTTAACTCTGCAAAAAAATCTCAACTAGCCTTTAAAAAAATTTCAAATTTTGAATAAAAAAACTTTCAAAAATTTGCTTAGAACCAGTCTTTTTTTTCTAAACTTTCAAAAATTTCGAGCGATATGACTAGCAATTTTTCCAACGATGATTCAAAAAAAGCTTAGTAAAAAAATGCCTACAAAAAAATAAAAAAATAATTTTTGACAATGCCTGAAATTTGATCTACATAAAATAAAAAGAAACGATAGGGGGAACCGCGACGCAACCGCTTGCAAGTCAAATTTGAATTTTTCACGTTCAACTATTCAGGAAAAAAACGTAGTCGAGCTTCATGCAATGATACCCGGGTAAAAAAATCTGAATCTAAAAATTAAGAAAGAAAAACTTCGAGTTTCTAATCAATTTTCGAGAAGAAAAAAACTCTAAAATATTTTTTTTGAATTTTGAAACATGTACTTTTTTTACGCTGAGAAACGCAATCCTTTACGAAATTCATGAAGAATTAACGAAAAAAATCTGAAACTTTATCGTAAAATAAAACAGCCTTCATGCGTTTCTCAGCGTAAAAAAAACAAAATACAAAGAAATTATACCTTAAGAAAATTCCCAACGCCATCCGAGCCGCCCGTTTTTTTCACATCCGTGTATCTCGAAAAGAGTTTCTATGAAAATAAAGAACTCAATTCAAGAATAAAAATAAATCTTTCTTATCTTTGAAAAAAGTTGCTTCTTCCCACGTCTGCCCCAAGATCCGCGAGCCGTCGACCAAAACGCCGAAGCCGCCTGGCCTGGAAAAATACTTTAAGAAAAATTACAACAAACGAAGTAAAAAACGAGAAAAAAAAAACAGTTGGAAAGAGATTCGTACATCAAAATTAAATTTCCTAAAGCCTCGCGTATTTCTAAAACTATCTTACAGAGAAAAAAAAAGGAAAAGTTTGAGAACTTCGGAAAAAACGAAAAAACAATAAAATTCAGCAGAACCTAGTTTTAAAACTATTTTTGACAACAAAACAACAATTATCATGAAATTCAAAAAAAATCGAGCAGCACGGAGGAAAAAGAGAAGAATGACCCGTGTTGTTTTTCTCCCGAGGTTTGGCGCCCTTCTGGAACCTTTTTGGCGGTTGACCTCATGACGTGGGGTCAAAACTTTTGATCCAGTTCAGACTTGCCAATTTTTATTTTTTTCTAAGCAGATTTTTTGTTCAAAAATATGTTTTTGAATGGTTCGAAAAACTCGCAAAAACCACCTATTATGGGAAGTAAAACTGAAACTCAAATGAAAAATACAAAAAGACATTTAAAAAAAAATGATAATTACACTAAGAATAACTGCCGAGATAAACGCGAGACACTGGCGGTACATTGACGAGCTCGCAAACATCTCGCTTTTTTTCTCGCGCCGGTCTCGCATTTTTCTGGGCGCGAGCTCGCATTTTTCTAGGCGCGAGCTCGCATTTCTCTCGCAATTTGAAAATTTCCGAAATGCCAGATAAATGCGATATGGCGCCAAGAAAAATACGAATTCGCGCCGAGATAAATGCGAGATTGCGCCTAGAAAAAAGCGACATTTTTGCGAGTTAGTCAATGTACCGCCACCGAGCTCGCGTTTATCTCGTCAGTTATTCTTAGTGTATTAGTCGTTCTATACTTACACTAAGAATAACTGACAAGATAAATGCGAGCTCGGTGGCGGTACATTGACTGACTTGCAAAAATGTCGCTTTTTTCTAGGCGCGATCCCGCATTTCTCTCGGCGCGACCTCGCATTTTTCTCGGCGCCATCTCGCATTTATCTTGCGTTTCGGAAATTTTCAAATTGCGAGAGAAATGCGAGCTCGCGCCTAGAAAAATGCGAGCTCGCGCCCAAACAAATGCGAAACCGGCGCGAGAAAAAATACGAGATTTTTGCCAGCTCGTCAATGTACCGTCAGTGTCTCGCGTTTATCTCGGCAGTTATTCTTAGTGTAAAGGGACATCGACAGCGCTGAAAATTTTTATTGAACCGAAGTGCCAAAATTTTTGCAGCAGCCATTTTAATTTTCTTTTTTTCATCTTTTTTTTGTTTTTTTAGAACTTTACACAGTAGATTTTATTTTTATTTTTGGAAAACTACTACGAAAAAATCAACTCGCTAGAAAAAATTAATAAGATTTAACCGAAACGTCTTGAATGTTAATAAATGCGAAAAAAAAACATTTTGGACTTCAATAATAAAATGTTTTCCTTCTTTTCTCTTTTTTTTCTACCAATTATATAACAATATCTTCTGGCTGATTATTCCAGAGTTCAATAATATATAAAAATTCTCGCTTTTTACGATTTTCTTTCACGCGTTCAAATTCCAAAGAAGTGTAGGATTACAAGTTTTATACAGCAAGTCAATCAGATAGTGATAAAATATAACATGATCTCTTTTTCTCGGATCAAAATAAAAATCAAGGAGGTTCACAAAATAGAGATCGATATAAAATCAGAGATCGTGGGGACTTTCAAAACTTGCTCTGAAATAAATATTTGTTTTCAAACTCTTTCGATGGAAAATCGATGAAATAAGATTAGAAATAATAATTTGAATGTTAGATCTCTTATAAAACAGAAACTTGTCACAAACGAATGTCAGATTCACAAAGGAATGTGAGTATTTTCAAACTGAACGAAAATTTGTAGGGATAACACGTTTTGGTCATCGATTTGGTCGGATAGGAACGGTATTAGCAGGAAGAGGGGAACAAAAAAAATAATTTAAAAACGGCGGAGAATAATTGGATAGATTACTTCTTCTTGGCCTTCATGAATTTCTCGAGTTGGTTTTTGAAGATTTCCGTGACTTTGGCATTGAAATCGCCGTAGCGTTCTTCGTTCTCGTGCTCCTTCAGCATACGCAGAGAGAAACTGTAAATTTTATTCTTTTTTTATTTCTTGCATGTGCGATTTTTTCAAGTTAGATAAATATTCGAGGTCAGAGAATTCCTGTTTTTCCTGCTTTTAACTTAAAAGGAATTTTTTTAAGTTCACTTTAGGATTTTCAAAATACAATTACAGCCGGTTCACAACTAGCTTGAAACGCAAAGGGGCGTGGCCTGTCTGCGCTCTCCATAAACCAGTCACTGTCTCTTATCATTTCGTGTCAGGACCCTTTTTTTTCGATGGCTCAAGCCAGCCGTGAATCAGCTATATCAGAGAGGAGTTCGTATAAATCTCGAAAATCAAAAATAGATTTTTGAAAAATAAGCAACTTCAAATGAAGAATAACGAAAAACTAGCTTTGAATTATAAAACCTAAATTTGGAAAGATCCTATTTTCACGTCATATTATTCTTTTATAACAATGAATCTATGCGTTTTAAATCCCAATGAGAAGAAAACAAATTCGATATTTTCATAAATATATGCTTTCTGAAGAAGTGATTGGCATGCATAAATCGTGATTTTTTTGAGAAATATCGAGTTTCAAACAGACGGAAAACTTCAAAACGCACATCAAGGCCTCGTCCTTCTCGTCCTCTTCGCAGGCGAAAATCTTGTTCGACAGGGCGAACTTGTCGCTGATCCCGCTGTCGGTACTGTCGGCCGAGGTCAGGGTGTGATGGAGACGGTAGTTAATGCACGGTCGGTAGAATTCCATGTCTCTGCAAGGAGAAAAAGTTATTTTTCAACTGGAAGAGTTGGAACGAACTCGGTGAAGAGCCACTTAGATGTGCAGGTGCCGGCACGAGTGGCACTGATGTAGTAGTCCTTCTTGTTCTTCCAGATCTGTTTGAGGCGTTGCAGTGGGTACTGCTCGTTTTGGAGAGCTCCTTGGATCCGAGACCAGGCTCGGCGAGTGTACTTGATCTGGAGGTGGCACTTCAAGCGCTGGTCCCAAATCACTGCAAGAAAAAAGTTCCTTGTCATTTTTCCTGGGGAACTGGAGCTTTTTGTCGTGTTTTTAAAAGTCTTGGTAGTTCAGCACGACGTTCAGTATTTTTGAAGGAACATAAGCCGGAAGTTAAGAGGAAAAAATACTTCGAGAACCAAAGAAAAAAAAGTGGGGTAAGTTTCTCGTTCAAAATACACCGTTAGAATTGCAAATTTCAAAGCTTTACATATATTTTGAGACTTTTCTTACTGCCAGACCTTCAATTTCTAAAAATAATCAATAATATTCAAATTTAACCACAGTAGCATAATTTCATGAATGGTACTCCATGGGGACAATTGAGCAAATTTTAAAAAATGAGCCTTTTTCATCGGATTCAGTGCTGAGGTTCAAATCAACCCTCGAAACTTTTTTCCAATTTCAATAAAAAAAGGCTTTCTTTCATGCAAGTCAAAGTACATAAAAAGGTAGCCGAGTATGCCCTTGAGGGGAAATTTTGTTCAAATCCATTTTCAACTTTTTTTTTGACAAACCAACCTGGATACTGTTGAACGTGCTGAATGATCTGGCGAACGATGGCCTTATCGGCATGATCTTCCTTGGTTTTCGGGCAAACCCGGGTGAATTTGAAGTCGTTGGCGCTGTTGACTCGAACAACAGCGTCTCTAGAAAATCAAACTTTGAACTGTACCATTTTCGTATGTTTTTTCACGCTATCAAGACGTATAAGAACTCTACAAAAACAAAAAATGTAAAAGGACGCCTTTTTTAAAATTATTTGAAATGAGGATATCTTAAAGGCACATGGGCAGTAGAAAATGGAGTTTGAAACTAAATCGAAAAAAAAATGAGTAGATCAAAAAATTTCTCAGCGGCAAATCTACTTGAAGAAGCACAAAAATGCGATCTTTTTCTCTTGCACTTTTTTTGAATCTTGCTTTGGATCATTCTAATTATCCTACACGTGATAAAGTTCTTCATAAAATGGGAAATTTGTCTAGAACCCTATTTTTACTGACCATATGCCATTAAAATACCTCGCCAAGGAGGAAAAATGCCTTTTTTAGTACCACCAAGAGATTTTCTACATTAAAGGTAAGTGAGAAATGAAAAACGGGGGAAAAAATCAGGGATAAAAATCTTGCAGAGATATCAATTTTTTAGCAGAAAGTCTACACGAAGAAGCTCAAAAATGCCTAATTTTGGAGTCTTGCTTTGGATCATTCTAATTATCCTACACGTGATGAAGTTCTTCATGAAGTGGAAAATTTGTCTAGAACCCTATTTTTACTGCCTATATACCTTTGAAATACCTCGTCAAGGAGGAAAAGTCATTATCCTGTTCAATTCGCCGACTTTTTTTTTCAATTTAAGGTTCAAACAGCATCGGATAAGAAACTATGGAAGTTTGAAAAAATGAAAAAAAACACGTTATTTTTGTTATCATACGTTATCATGCGCAGCGACTTTACAGTTTTGTTGAATCAGTAAGAAAAAATGACTAACGTTCCATTTCCTTCGATCATGTCAGCGTCGATAGCTGGCAGATAAATACTGTTATTGGTTCTTTTGTAGGCCGCCGTTTCCGGGAGTTCTCCTTTGGCCACTCGTTCGAGCATGTCCTTCTCGTCGTACTGAAATCAAATTCATAACTTTGGCCTTCAGTATTCGAGACGAGATTCTTTTTTGAAACAAAAACGCCGTTTTCTCAAACCTTTTCATACAAATTTTGATGAGAAACGGACCGGAAAATTCAGAAATTTCAGCATTTTTTTCTGCTCAAAATTTCTTATAAAAATTTGGGTTGAAAAAAATGAAAAAATGCCTGCAAACTTAAAATAACTGCTGCAAAAATGAGCTCCTTTTTGAGTAATTTCAGGCTTTTTTCCTGGAAGTTTTGAGGACTACTTCATGAATTACTATGAGTGTACTCCTGAATAATTAATAGTTGTTCGATTCCAAGAAGTAATAGCCCTGAATTTGATATACCTCAGGACCGTAGAAAGACGCGGTAGTGGTGCCATAGGCGTAGAACTCGCTCTTGACCTCCGCCTTGATCTCCTGTTTCACTTTGAGATTGCCGAGCGATTTCCGGGGCTCGCAGCTTTTCTTGACGTTCGGCCGGGGTTCGCTCTTCACGCCGAAAAGTCTGCTTCTCGGGCCGAATTTCTTCTTTTTCGGCGTTGGGCAGTACTCTTCCTGCAGACGAGTATGTAGTTTGAAAGCTATTCGGGAGGTTGATGTAGGCGAAAAATGTCAAAAACGATGTTTTATAGCCAAAAATTTGGAACTTCAATTCCAAAAAAAACCAGTTTCAAGAGTTGAATTTCAACCTCAAATATCCAGAACCAAGTTTTCAAATATTGAAATATTCCAAAAATATTGAAAAAATCGTACTTCTGAGACAATAAAGATACATCTTCTACAAATATAATAATAATAAGCCGAAATTCAAACCCCTATAGAAAACCCTTGAAATTTGGAGCCGGTAAGAATACATCTCCTTTTAAAAACTTTATAATAAATAGTTTGAAACCTCCTCAAAAATCCTACAAAAAAATTAAGTCTATATAAAGACATCTACTACAAGAATAACACCGATTTAAAAAAATTACTTTTTTTATTACTTCAAAAAAAGGAGAAAAATTCAGAACCCTAGGAAAATTCCTTGGACTTTTGAGTCAATAAAGATCATTCTCAACAAAAAAATAATACCAAAAAAACCGATTTTTTTCAATATTTTATTTATTTTTTTATTGTAAAAAAATCCGAAAAATTCGAAACCCTTTGGATTTAGAAAAACAATTGAAATTCTCCCGTACAAAAAAATAATACTGAAGGAGGCAAATTTTCACCTTACTCTACCGTTAAAAAAAAATGAAAAAACCTCATCATCATCGTCGATTTCCGACTCGGAGCTGGTCTCTTCCTCCTCGTACTCCTCCTCCTCATCGCTTTCTTCGATTTCCGGGTCCGATTCGACCGTTTCCCGTTTAACCTTCATATTTTTCGCCTTGCCAACTGGGGTATTTTTCGCTTTCGGCTCAGCGTCTCTAAGAGTCAGGTCCTTGGCGACCTGAATTTTTCTCTATAACTTATTTTCTTGATTTGAAGTCGGACCAGCTTGCGTCCTCGCTTCTTGGTCTGGCTCATCACTGGAGACAGCTCTTTTTCGGGCGATTCTTCTGGCGATTCCGGCTCCGTTTTGACCCTGGACAAGTCCGGCGAGAAATGGACTTTCGGGCGACGACCTCGGTTACTCCGGCGGATGTTCTTGTCGGCTGTAATTTCAATTTTTATGCTGAAAAATGAAGAAAAAAATTGCTGATTTTCTTTTTAAGTTAGTAGGAAATTTATAATAAAGTATAATCAAACTCAATTTCGACACACTCACAAGGTATTTCCTTTCACGTTCATGTCAAGAATTCTCTGAAAACTGCCCAAAAGTCGGTTTTTTAAGAAACATTTCCTGGCGACACGATTTTCATTGCTTTTTCACTCTCAACTTTTGGAAAACGCAGCAATTCTTTCCTGGAAGTTTTTTAAAATCCTTTAGTGATCACTTTTCCCTAGGCTCGAAAAAGCAGAAGCAAACTTGCGCATTCGGTTAGAAAAAACAACCCAACGACGAACTTTGAGAAAAAAGAGAATGAGAAAAAAATTCTGAAAATTTTGCTTCTCAAAATTTGCGTTACGGAAATTATGCGATATCGCCACAGTGTCGCGAGACCATTTTCGCAATCTAGCGTCAATCTTTTTTTTATACCGTGGATTATCTTGCATGTTGAAATATTGCGATATCGCCGCCATGTCGCTCTGTGTACTGCGGATTATTTTGCGTTTTGAAATATTGCGATATCGCCGCCATGTCGCGCCCGAGGCTTGCTAAAGCTCTGCGAGAACACTTTTCGCGGTTTAGCGTCAATCTTGCTGTTATACCGCGGATTATCTTGCATGCGGAAATAAGGCGATATCGCTGCCTTTTCGCTCTCTGTACTGCGGATTATTTTGCGTTCTCAAATATTGCGATGACGCTCTGTGTACCGCGGATTATCTAGAATGCTGAAATAACGCGACATCGCCGCCATGTACTATGTGTACCGCGGTTTATCTTACGGTGTGAAATACTGCGATATCGCCGCCATGTCGCTCTAAAGTCGCGCCAGAGCTTGCTGCGAAATTTCTTGTCGGGATCTAGCATCAATTTCGTTGTCATATCTATTTTGCATGGTGATTCTAAAAAACCGACCCTCATCCGAATCCATCGACTCATCGAGAACATCCCGTTTCTTGCGAGGAGATCTCCTCGAAGCGACTCCCACAGACCCGTCCAACAACTCTTCATAGAGAGCCGATCTTTTGGTCTTTTTCGGCTCCGGGGTGTCTTCATCGTCAGACACGACCTCCTGCTTCGGTTCCTCCTCCAGATGTGGCATGTCTTCCTTGTCCGCGTCTTTTTTCTCTTGTTGGCCCCTTTTCCTGCTCAAAGTCGGCGTCTCTTCCGGAGGCAAAAGCTTGGGTTTTCTGGCTCGGATGGACCGTTTTGGCGTGGGGCTCGGCTCTTTTTCCTTTTCGTCATCAGACTCGATTTCTTCGATTGAGACGATCTGTTGCGATGGGCCTGAAAATGGAGGTTTTTATAATTTTCGAGCTGATTTTAAAAGTTATATGATAAAGGTCTTGAAACGACTTTGAGAATAGTAAAAACAAAAATACCGTTTTAGGCTAACGGTGAAATGAGCGAAGATTGATTCTAATAAACATTTGTGAAAGGTTTCTATAAACCCTTAACTTATTCCTGATTCAAAAAAAATTCTTTTTTGAAGCTAAAATGGACACGCTAAAAACGCGAAAAAAAAATGGAAAGCCGGAAATTTTTTCATCTTTTCCTCACAATTTCCAGTTTTCAAACCTTGATTTTCAGTCGCTCCTTGCTTTTTCCAATCCTGGTGCAACACCGCGTAATTTATCATATATTCGGAAAAGTCCTTGGAGAAGCCCTGAAAAAAATAGATCGATGAAACTGACTTTTAAAAACTTTTCAAGCTGCTCAAAAAAAGGAACAATCTGAAAAACTATGTGCTTTACCTGTTGCGTCAAAAACCGCGCGAACGCATCTTTTGGAGATTCTTTCTGTTCTGGAGACGTCGAATTGGAACGAGAGCCGGATTCCGTGGAATCGGCGCCGAAAGAGACATTTGACGGCTGCTCGTTCGGCGGCTGCTCGTTCGACGTCGAAGTAGACATACTTCTTGAAAAAATATCGTATTGTAAATTTCAAAAAAGGATATAAACACAAGAAACGAAACAAAAATTATATTTTAAAGCTCAAAAACTCTCTTTTCATCTAAACTTTGACGCTATGAAATGGCAAGCCGGTTCGAAAGATTTTAGTTGAAAAAAATTATAAAAATAAACATATTACTCTAATTCGCAGTGAAAATGATAATAAATTGATTAAACCTTAAAAATCAAAAAAACATCTCAAAGCTTAGAAGCGAAAGAATTTCAGCAATTAGAAAAAAGAAAAACAAAATTTTATTCGAAAAATTCGCTTAACCTCTTTCAAAAACCGTGAAGAAATAGCAATTTACCTTTGATGTGATAATAATCAGGGTCAAAAAGTACTCTGAACTTGAAAAAAAGAAAAAAAAGGGCAATTTCCTGAAACAAACTAAAAAAAAATCTGCATTTCTACGTCGAAGGCCCTACACCGACCTAATTTCGCACCGTAACCAGAATTATAAAAAACAAAATCTAAATAAAAAACGCGAGATTTTCGCGTAGAATACACAGAATAAGTAAAAAGGAGCAGGAAGGAAGTGAAAGGTCAAATGAATGATCTTTTTGGAGATACACCGTGGGGTGGCGCCTGCCACAGGCACCGTTGACCTAGGGCGTGTCTTTCTTTCTGTTTTTTTTTTTGATCCGCCGCTTCTCGCACTTTTTGATGGACTCGCAAATGTGCGATTTTCTCAGCATCTCATTGATGTGGCGCTAGTTAGGTGTTGACAATCCGTTTAGCACTTTTTTTTCTTCTCATCCATTCAAAAATGTCTACGTCTGTATGGCTATTATCTCACAAGGAGAGTGGGAAAGGAGTCCTGTGAGAATCTTGAATAAGAAGTACTTCACGGCGCCCTGATTTTTACAATTAAAAAAAAATGCGCTTTTTGGCTTATGGTAGAGCTATAACGCTGCAAAAAAACCCTAAAATTTCCCGTTTTTTTCTATTGAAATTTCAACAAAAAAATCAAAGGGTTTCGCACTTCTGAATAACTTTTTGAACCATCCGAAAACCAGAATCAATCAATTTCACTCACAAAAAAATAGTAAAAAAATAATATAGTTAATATAAATTATACAACTGAACGGGGAAAGGATGAAAGTAGGTCTGACTAATCTTTGAAACTGTACAAGTGACATAGGATGTATTTCACCTGAGAAGAGCTGGAAAAAGTGATAATCTAATCATGATAGTACTAATAAGGCAAGGAAAGCATTCGGGAAAAGAAAAATGTTAGTAGGAACAAGCATGCAAAGAAAAACCCATAGAAAGCGATTCACATAGTGACATAATTAAAGAGAAAAATGGCCTTGCATGGAGTTTTTTAATTTTTACAGTAGGAGAGGTGAGTTTAAAGGAGAAATATGATACATCGGAATGAAAAAGGTACAACGAAGGACGGGTCCGAAAAATTTGGATTAGTTCAACTTGAAGCTTCGGATGAAGCTATAGAATTATCAAAAACATCAAAAATCATATGGTTCAAAGGTTTGAAGCTTCAGAAATCTCCAAAAAAAAAGTCCTGAAGCTAAAAAAAAGGTTCGGGAGGACTTCTTTTGACCAAAAATACAATAAAACCTGAACAAAAATCACATTTCAGAGAAAAAAAAACTCAGGTCTGAGGAGACGGCGGGGAGTACTCAAACTTGGGCGGATTCGAGGTTTCGTTTTCATTGGTCGTGCTGAAGGGATGAAGGATGAGGTCGCTCCAGACGAAGCCGACCACACAAGTGCACAGTTCCTTCACGGCCTTTGTCCATCGCTGTTTTCTGGAATTGAAATTTTTTCTAATTTTCTCTAGAAAGCTCCGATGAAGCTTGTGAGTTAGGCTGTGCGACTTTAGGCCTCATTATTCTAGGAAGAAGCCCGGGCGGGCTTGGGCCAGGTTCATACATGGGCAGCGGTTGAATTTAATATTGACGTCATGTCGCACCTTCCTCAAATGGCAGCGCACAGCTCCGTGAGTGATTTTTGACGTCACATGACGTCATTTTCGCTCAATAGTGACGTCACTGTTGCTTCCAAAATTAGCTGTTTTTTTCGCTATGACGTCACGCTTTGAAACCGTGCGACAGAGGAAGAATTGGTCCCCCAGGCTTCAAATAGAATTTTGAAACTCCGAGAAAATCTTTTTACTTGAGTTAAAAGATGGTTTCTGTTGAATTTCAAGTTGAAAAATCAACTAAAATATGATTTTGGTCTTAAAAAAGGTCTGATTTTTGATTCGACGAAAATTTGCACTCTTTAGATCAGGCCGGCTGTTTTTGCTAGAGGCCTCGGAAAAGCTCATAACGAACTCTCAAAGCTCCGAAAACTCTAAAATCTTGAAAAAAGCCTACTGAAATTCAGTCATCGGCATCGCCTCGCCAGCTTCGGGATCTTCTTTGAAAGCGGCCCACAAAGTTGGGGCCTCGGCTCCGTCGGCGTAAAGGAAGAAGACCAAGTTCGGATCCTCGTCGTTGATCACCATCATGTACTGGAATGACAGGTCAAGTTTTTGGAAAAGGCCTTTTTACGAGAATGGCTCGACGCGTCGCGGTTGCTTCGCGGTTACCTTTTTCCCATAGGTTTCCCATAATTTTCACTTTTACTCCACCTATGCTTCAAAATGCCACATTGCATAAAACTAAGGTGCTGCCTTCAGCGCCGCCGACTAAGAACTACTCTCGCTCAGGGGCATCCTAATACACATAAAAGAAGTCGCTCAAGGTCGGACGCAGCTTCGAACTATTTATCCTTATATTTGAAAGCACCGAGGCCGACACACAAACTACTCTCGCTCAGGGGCATCCTAAAACACAGGAGAGAAGTCGCTCAAGGTCGGGCGCAACTTTAAAATATTCATCCTCACTTTTGAAAGCACCGAGGCCGACACACAAACTGCTCTCGCTCAGGGGCATCCTAAAACACATGAGGAAAACCGCCCAATGTCGGGCGCAACAGCGACGCTGCGAGCCATTCCGAAGTTGCATATCTTGCTTTTTACCTTTCTCGCGACCTTCGGAAAATCGAAGAAGCGACATCGCGACGCGCCGAATCTCAAGAGCAAGAAGCGGCAAAGTCTAGCCGATCCCATCTTTTCCAAAACCTTATCCGCTCTGAATATTTTCCTCTAAAATTCGGAAGACGTCAAGATTATCAGAACCTATCGGCGTAATCTTTCAACGGCTTCAGTCGGACCATCATCAGCAACGCCGTCATTTCTTGGGCAGTCAGGGAGAAGTTCTGAACGCAGCGGACGTCTTCATAAGGATCCGTTGTCTTCTGTCTGAAAAAATAGCTGGCATATACATATTTTTTCAAAATCCTTTAGTTTTTTTTTTCTGAGCGATTCTAGGGATCATTTAAGAGTACTAACGCTACTAAAGGGGTCCCTAGAAATGCCCTGACTCGTCCGGTTCACGTTATCAAGGTCCAAAAATTTTTTAGAACACATTAAAAGTTTTTGGAATTCCCAGAGCCTCCAAAAAATTTCTGTATTTCTTTAGTCTTCCGTAGCTTTCTACTTTTAGTTTTTCTAAAACTTCTAATGGTAATTTTAACTTTTAAAAGTTCCGTCAAAACTCAACACTTATTTTAAACTTTTAGAGGTCTTTTTGAAATATATCAGTAGCCTTCAAAAATTTCTAAGGCCCTGAAAAATTTTCCAAAGGTGGTCTAAGAATTTCTAAGCTTCTAGCCTTTTTGTGAGTTTCCTACACCAATTACATCTCAGGTAGTTTCAAAGCGAAAATGCATACTCTAAAAAGTACAGTAATCCAGGATACGGTACCTAAAAGCGCTGAAAATCCTTGCGAGGGTCGATTCCGGCTTGATCTCTCTTGGTGTCGGCATCTCCTTGGCCTGGAATTGTTTTGAATTCAGTACCCTTTTTAAAATTATATTCGATCCATTGATGCTTTCTAGTTGATGCTTGGAAAGAATTCGAATAAATATCCTACAAAAATTTCGCGTTAAGACCTCATCTGCGCCTTTAAACTCTGCAGGGATCTTCATTTTTTTCATTGACTTCAGTGAATCCTTATCAAGAGTCCAGAAAAAGCTGTACTTTGTTCCAAAGCTGGTCCGTCCTGCACTGAACCTGTCCATCGGCAATGATTCGCTTCAGATGATGTCGATATTGAGTCGTGACGTCTTCCAGCTCCTAAAAAGTTTTTGAACATCTCCAGGTGGCAGATCCGTCAGACTCTTTGAACAGAACGCTGCCGGGAGCTCTGGTATTGTATGTAGGTGATGGATTCATCCGGAATGGCTTCTTCGGACGTCGTCGCGGGTGTCGTCGTCGTCGTCGGAGGGGGCGGTGGCGGAGGGGGCTTCCGATGACGTCGCAAAGAGCTGATCGAGTCTTGTGCCGCTCCTCTTTGGAAAGGGAAGGGTTCGTTCTCGTCCAGCGTGTCCAGAGCTTCTTCGGCGTTCAGGATTTCTTCGGCATCTGCAAATTTGATGAAAATGATGTCATTTTTGGAACTTTCTGATAACTTTGTTGAAAAAAAAGTAATGACCCAATTTTTTCTTTCGAACCTGTCACAGAATCGCTTTCAGAGAACCTATAGAAAATCTTTACCTTTTCTAAAATTGTTATGAAGCTACTAAAGATCCTATCGACGCTGATTAGATAATCCTTTTTCTCAAAAGCCTACCAAAACTAGTCTGAGCAGGCGGTTTCGGCGGCTGCTGCAGCTCCTGCCACGTCTTGCCACTCGCATAACGTCTTCTCATCCTGAATTCTTCCCTTTTCAAGTTCAGTCCCTCTCCAAACTAACGATGCGGACGAGGACGAGCACTCGGGGAAGTCTTTCGGATTGATATGTTCTGCGATCGGCATTGGAATCGGCATGGAGACTTCCCGAGGAGTCGGGCTAACGTAGTCAGGTCCGACGGGCAGGTCCCAGTCTTCGAGGGGCAATGGGATCGGGAAGGGGAACTCGTTAGGGGGAGGTGGTGAGGCCTGTGAAGGTGTCGATTCATCTGGGAAGCGGACTTTGTAAAGTGCGGCCGGAATGGCAGTGATGGGAGTTGAAGCGGTTGGCGAAGTTGAAAGTTCATCATCGTCCAGAGGCCTTCTCGGGGGAATCGGGAGCGGTGGTAGGTTCCTTGAGGCTCTGGTCCGAAGACGGAGGAAAGGCGGCGCTGGTGGAGCTTGTCCTCGGAGGAGGCTGTCGCTAGACCTCTTCCTCACGGATGAAGCAGACATGGACGAGGTCGTTGGAACGTCAAAGTTGGTTGTATCGACCTCAACGTTCTGGTATCCGAACAAGTTCGTCGCTACTGTCAAGCCAGTTTCCGGGTCGACGCCTTTGCCTCCGCTCAGTCTATAAAATTTGGGGTTCTTTCAAACTTTTCGGAGATAAGTTCACTGTAAAACTTCTGATTGAACTTACCGAATCATGCTCATCAGCCGACTCCTCTCCTCCTCGTCGTCCACAAAAAGGACGGTGGTCATGCTTCCTTCGGAGCCGGCGTCGTCGAAGCTCTCGGACTCGACCTCCCTGGTCGGCGTCGATTCAGACACGTCTTCCGGGCTCAGACTCTCGTCGTCCGATTCGTTGACATGACGGAACGCGCCACCGACCAGGTGCATGATCCGACGGCGGCCTCTTTTGCGTTTTTTGCCGGTCGGGATCCAATCTTCGATGAGTGGAAGGACTGAAGGACAGTTTTTGAAGCTTGAATAAAGTAGAAATTTAAAAGAGAAAACTCTTCATAAAGTCTGTGAATTGGTAAAAAATTTAGAAGAGAAAACTCTTCATAAAGGGATCTTTTTTGGAACCTTGAAGTTTTATCATTCCCTTATATGGAGGCGGACACGCTGAAAAGTTCAGAACAGTCGTTTTTACCCGATTTTGAGCATTTTGATTCGGATCATGAATTTTTGTGGATCAACTTTGAATTTTTTTTTCCGTTACACCTTTACAAAAACGTTCTTTTCAAAAACCTGTCTTTTTTTGAACTTCCGTACCTATTTTTTTCATAAAATCACTCTCTTACCATTGCTATTATCGACAAACATCGTGAAGAACAAGAGCTTGATTTGCGGCTCCGGCTGATTCAAAACTCGGTCCGTTTTTTCATAGAGAACCACTCGGAGAATGTCACGGCGCTGAAGAAATATACCTTTTTCCTCTTTTTTTAAAAATCATATTTTCAAAACACCCACAAGAATCGACACACAAAAAAGCTGTTAAGGGTAAGCTAAAAAAATAATTTTTTTCAATTTTCTGAATAAATTTCTAGAACATCACCAAAAAATTAATTAAAAAACACGCTCGCGGCTGAAAAAAAGCAGACAAAGCGACATATTGAACGGTGAAAAGGGACCAAAACATGACTGAGGGAAGTTTTAAGTGGCTACTTTAGGGTTTTGACGTTTCAGTGGTCACTATGGGGATCGGATTAATTGCCGCTTAAGTGGCTAAGATGTACTGGCCTCTTTAGAAGTCTGAGTAGTACACTTGACCACTAAAACTACTGAAGTGATCCCTAAGACGCAAAATAAGTACTGGGGAAAGTTTGAGTGGCCACATTGGGGTTTTAAAGTATAAGTGGCCACTATAGTAGTCGGATTAGCAACCACTCAAGTGGCTGAATAATAGTGGTTTTTTTTAAAGTCTAATTGGTACTACTTGACCACTAAAGTGGCCACTAATGCGGGGAATGTAGAACAGTTTAAGTGACGACTTTAGTGTCTTTTCCAAGTACTCTTGAGGAACCACCTAAGTGACCACTAGGGTTTCTCCCAGTTAAATGTTAAAATTGATGAGTTCCAAGCAAACGACGGTCACAGTGAGAGAAGAAAAAAAGAACGAAATCCGGCAAACTTGGCTTTTTTGCGTGTAAGCCACAAGCATGTACTCGAACGGTTCTTTGGGCTTTTTGATAGTTTCGATTTTCTGTAAGTTTTGATGGATTCGTACGAAAAAGTTAATTTTTTGACGGCTTCGGTCAACTTTTTGGTCGCGTTCTGGAACATAATTTGAGCACCTTCAGCTTGAAAACGCCGGTAAAGTTCAGCTCGGGATGGCGATGTAAAAGGTGCGTCCAGAGGTCGTCACCGGTCACCGATTGGTCCAGGGGCTGTTCGACTCGTTCTGGAAAAATTGGGTCAACTTCTGGAATATTTGTAACTGTTCCAACGTTCATCAAGAACAACTAGCTGGGACAAATTGCGTTTGGAAAAAATTATTTTGATTCTCAAACTGTCCTGTATTGTATTTTAAATCATTACCTCCGTAACAATTTTCTTTTTCTAACCTCAAATAAATATACATTGTACAAAATTTATACTCAGTTCAAAGCCACCTAGAGACGCAAAGGGGCGTGGCCTGTCTGCGCTCTCCTCCAACCAAAAACTATCTCTTTTTCCCCCAAGTCCTGGGAAAATTTGTTAGAGGCTACTATAGGGTTTTGATGTTTAAGTGGCCAATATAGTAGTAAAATTAGTGGCCACTTCAGGGGTTGAAAATTAGTGACCACTTTAGGGTTTTGATGTTTAAGTGGTCACTATAGTAGTCAAATTATTGGCCACTTTAGGTGTGGTTTTAGTGGCCACTTTAGTGTCCTCTCCATGTAGTCCTTGGTGAGCCTCTACAGTGACTTCAAAAATTTTCCCAGCTCGAAGAACCATTTTTTTTTTTCGGTGGCCTTGAATCAGCTATAAGCTTTTTCCTGAGTCCGATCTAATAAAACCGTATTTTACTTCTGTGAAACTATGGCCACATCATCACTTCTAAAATTTCTAAAAGCCTTCTTTTATTATTATTTTCACCTTCATAAACACAGTTCCTGGTGTTGAGCGGCCGGCATCCGTAGTACTCAATGAAGTCGCCCAAAAAGGCGATCGTATTGAAATGCGGCGAGAAAAGGGGCTGAAAATGGACAATTTTCCAAATAAATTCATTCAGAAGCAGCAGTTATTTTTCAAATCAATCCATTTCGAAAAGCTCATGACACTAAGGTTTTATGAAAAATGAGAAAAACAGCTTCACAAGGAAGGTCATCTGTCTTCAAGAAAATGTGAAAAAGGACAAATCTAAGTCGAAAAGCGCCCTCAAGGTTCATTAAAATAGGCCATTTTTGGGCTTTGAGCCCTCGAAAACTAAAAATTTGTATAGATCAAGATTTTCAGAGCCATTTTCTGGTACATCAAGAGATATTCTGACAAATTTTCAGAAGCTTCCTAACTCCAAAAGCAAATGACCTTGCTTTATAGGAATATATCCCAAATTACCTCCTCGGTACTCTTGCCGACCAAATGCTTGCTGAGGACTCTCAGATGGAAGTCGTAGGCGAAGGAATGAGCATGACAGGATAGCTGGAAAAAATATAATCACAGCTGAAAAAAAGGTACAGTATACCTTAAACTGCTGTACGAGTTCGCCAAGTTCTTCTCTTTGGTTCAAGTTGGCCAGCATTTTGTCTTGCTGAAAAAGTTTCAAGATTGGGTTACTGGGAAAATGTTTAGTGGCCACTATAGGGTTATGACACTTTAGTGGCCACTTAAGTAGTCAAATTAGTGGCCATTTAAGGGGTTAAAAATTAGGGGCCACTATAGAGGTCTAAGTGCTACTACTAGACCAGTAAAATTTTTAGTGGCCACTTAAGGGGTCAATGGATCAACATAACTGGTCCAATGTGTTTGTTTTAAAATTATCAGAGTTACTGGAAAGAATACTGGATGAAAAATAAAAAACTACTGAAGTGGCCACTATAACGGAAAATAGTGGCCACTTTAGCGTCCTCTCCAAGAAGTCCTTGGCGAGCCTCTATAGTGGCCAATAAAAATTTTTCCAGATAGAGCAGTTTGGAGAGACGCAGAAACATGAAGAAAAATGTCTGAGTGGGTTTTTTTTCTCGAACAGCTGCCATATTATTATACAATATAATATTTACTAAATTTAAAAAACATTTGAAACAGTAATGACTTTTTAAAAAGATTCAGAAAAAAACAAGTTTTTTTTCATGTCCAATTCTGTGGTCATAAAACGGAGATTTATCAAAAGTTACCAAAAAATAATCAGCCGTCGCGAAACGGGAACGATCCAGCTCATACAAACGGATCGAAAAATACGGGGCCGAAAAAGTCAACGTCACAAAGAGAAGACCTCCTGAAAGATCGATTTTTCTTTTTTCAATTCCAAGTTTGGAAATCGAAAAATGAACCTGGCGAGGCTTTGAAAAGCACAATCCATGGTGAGTAGGTGCAGCCGGGCTTCATCGTCAATTTGAACCAATTTCGGTGATCAGTGCTAAAAAAAAAAATCAATGGAAAAAATCAAGGGTTCTTGAATATTTTTTCATTAAATTCTTTTAAATACCAACAGTTTGGATCTTTTCGTGACCTCCAGCACTTTGAACCCTTCCGTTTCCATGTATTTCGCGTAGTCGTTGACCAGAATGTACAAGGTTTTGATCTGCAAAAAGTAACTTTTCGCTATTTAGACATATTTTGGAAGCTTCAATCTTTCAAAAAACATTTTTAGAAGACCTTCCGAGACAGGAAATTATCTGAAGGAATTCTAAATGATCATGTGTTCACGTGGAGATTGATAACGGGGAACAGACGTGCTCCAGACGTTTCTGGGCAATTCTAGGGATCTCTTAAGAGTGCTGAAGCTACTAAAGTGGTCACTAGAAATGCCCCAACAAATCCGATTCGCACTAGGTGATTTTTTTGAGCTGATTCCGAATCTGTGATCATAAACGGCCAAGGTAACTTATGAAAAAAGGTGGAACCGCTAAAAAAGGAGAAAAAGTCGAAACTTTTTGTAAAGTCTTCACTCGAAAGGGTCTCTCTTAATACGAGGCTTCCACCTAGAACACGGTCTCTGGGCTCAGCAAGAATATCCGCTACATTCCGAGCTCGTCAAGGTCTAACTGAATGGACTACGCGCGGAAGAACGAGCCGAACTTCGGAGTTAAAAAGTGGTCCCTATAGGGTTTAGTGGGAAAAACAGCCTCTTGAGTGCCGAAAAAGTGGGCGCTTTAGAGGTAAAATCAAGGCGGTCTCTATAGGGGTTTAGGGTCTGACCCCACTGCCCCTAAGCTCAAGTGGTCCCTATAGAAGTTAGGAAAACTTCTCGTTTAGGTGCTGCCAATTTTTTAGCGCAAAATCTTCTCGAAAACTCCGAAAACGCGCCGGAACGGTATATTCTGTTCAGATTTTGAATGTCAATGACGTCATCCGAAAACGATCTGTGGATGACTCGCTCTCTGATTGGTTTGATCTGCGAATAAGGGGCGGAGCTTGATCGATGGCTTGACATTCAAAACCTGACCAAACTATAGGCGGCGCGTCACGACGACGAAGCGTTTGCGCCCGACTAAAAACGACATTCGCGCTAGGATATTTGTCATTTTAGATTTTGAATGTCAAGCAGAAAACAACGCTCTGTGAATGGCTCGCTCTCTGATTGGTTTGATCTGCGAATAAGGGGCGGAGCTTGAACGACGACATTCGAAATGTGGTCAAACTATAGCGCATAAATAAACTTCAGTGCTGAAGAAACTGCAACATTTTTGAGAAATACGTTACAGTGGAAAATGTTCTATCATTTTTCGATATATCAGACCTTCTTGGTGAATTTCAAGGTCATTTGAAACACAGATCGGTTAATTTTATTTTGAGGTTCCTTAGCAAATCAGTTCACCTTAGCCTGAGTGCTGGCCATTCCACCGCCAACCATCGAGAAGCCTTCATCTTCTGTCGATGGGCGGGTCGTCTGTCGCGACACGTGGCGCGACATCGTCGTACTCGGATTCCTGGTGCTGGCCGTGTTGGAGCGATTCCTCAAGAGCGACATCGACGGCGGCGGCGGCTGTGGCGGTCTCGCTTGAGACATCTTCTTGGATCGCGTCGCAAAGGCTTCTTGCGCCACGACGACCGGCTCTTCTCGGATGTTTTCCGTGGGCAACGGAGGGTACATGAGGCCGGTTGAGCCGGCTCGGATCTGGAAGAAGTGTCGAAATTGAAAATCCGTGAGTGCTCCAACAGGAAATAATAAATGCGTGAAGTTTTATTGGCCACTTAAGGGTTCTGACGTTTCAGTGGCCACATTAATGGTCGAATTAGTGGTAACTTAAGTGACTAAATTTCAGTGACCTCTTTGGAAGTCTTAGTGGTACTACTAGATCAGTAAAACTATTATAGTAAATACTAAGACGCGAAATAAGTACTGAAACAATTTTTAGTGGCCACTTAAGGGTTTTGAAGTTTTAATGGCCACTTTAGTAGTCGAATTAGTGGTCACTTAAGTGGCTAAAGTTTAGTGACCTTTTTGGAAGTCTAAGTAAGACTCAGAGTAGTGGCTTCTAAAAAGGTGGTTTCAGTGGCAACTTTAGTGACCTCTCCGAAAACAGGAACCGCTTAAGTGGTCACTATAGTTATTCACAGATGTACCATACAAACTACTGAAGTGACCACTAATAAGCGAAATAGTGGCTTTTATAGAGGGGTGTTTTAATGACCACTTGAGTGTCCTCTCCAAGTAGTCTTGTAAGATCACTTAAGAGGCCACTATAGTCTTTCCAAGTTTTTTTTTCCCGATCACATTTCGACCCAAAACTCGACCTCGGCGATTTTCTTCCTCCAACTCGGGAAGAACAAGACCGGCGTGTGTACGTAGTGTACAAGTTGGGCCGCGTTCCGACTGACGCCGTCCAAGGCCACGCCCCTTTTGATCTTCTTCACCGGTCGCTCTCGTCGTCGCGGACCTCGATGCGGTTTCCGCCCTTCCTCCCCTTCGACGACGCTTCTCTCTTTTCGGCTGCCGAGCAATTGGAAGAACTCGGCTTCCTGAGTAGGGACGTTCTTGTTTATTTTTTTCTACAGTATTCTCTTACAGTAACATCCTTCTCGCCTTTAGAGAGCCGGTCATGTAGAAGAGTGACTTGGCGGACGCAATTCAGTCGGTTTTTGAGCTTCTCTCTGGAAATATGCAAACTTTCGCTACCTGCTGAAAGAAATGGTAAAAAATCGAGTTCTGGACGGTTTTGAATCAGTTAAAGTTATATTTTAGAGTTGGAAAAATATCGAAAAAAAGTCACAAAAATCTCATAAATTCGTACAATCTTCTTTATTTTTTTCAATGATTTCCAAATTTCCCTATAAAAAAATTTCGATTCTCTCAATTTTTTTCTCACACTTTTGCAGCTATGAAGGTTCTCAAACCACTTCAAACGTCAAATTTCACCTCAAAGAAAGCATTTGAGTGAAATTCTTCTTCATCAGACATTCTCCATCGGCTTGGAAGCGCTTCGGTAGACGACGGGCGACTGCTGAAAAAATTATCATCAATTTTCAAAATCAAAAAAGTTTCATTGGAAGACAGCGAAAGATAGCGGCAGTCTGAAGAGACTGTAGAGAAAAATATCTTTTCTTTTTCTCTAAACTCTCTTCATGCTTCTATAGATCTCTCATTCCAGCTAACTCCGTCCCCTGATTTCATAAGAAGGTAAAATATGAAGCAAAAGCGAGAGATCATGAAAGCTTGTAGAGACAAAAGAGAAAAATATTTTTACAGATCTCTCGTTCCAACTAACTCCATCCATTATAGAAAGAGGGCGGGAGATAGCGGCAGTTTGGAGAGACGTTAGAGAAAAACATCCCATTATTTTTCTCTGGACTCACTTTAGACTTCTACATATCTCTCGTTCCAACTAACTCCATCTATTATCGGAAGACAGTGGAAGATAGCAGCAGTCTGAAGAGACGCTAGAGAAAAACATCTCTTTGTTTTTCTCTGGACTCTCGTCAGGCTTCTCTGGATCTTTCATTCCAGCTAACTCCATCCCCTGATTTCATAAAAATGGAAAGAGATGAAGCGGAAGCGAGAGACTGAGCCGCCTTTTAGAGACGCCAGAGATAAAGGGTGTTCTCTGACCTCTCTGGCGTCTCTTCTCTGGCTGTTGATCTATGACTTTCTTCTGCTTTCCTTTTTTTTTTTTTTCTAAATAATATTTTAAAAAAATAACCATTTCTCCGACAATTCTTCGTTCGAATTTCATGCGGCTGTCTGTACATTCTGAACAGTAGTCTGGAATATTCCGGTGGGAGTTTGGCGAATTCAGGGATCGTCAAGTTGTCCGGAGGGAATTCCTGAAACCAGTCATTTCTGAAAAAGCGTACAAGTTCGTTTTGAACCTTTGAAACGAGTTGCGCCGGGTCGAACCAAACCAAAGTCTGGTAGGCGTTTTCGGGAGTCGGCTGAAAATCTGTTACTATCAAAAAAACATTTTTCAAGCTCAAAAAAAATGACCAAGACCGTTTTAATTAATAACATTCGACCAAATTTTTCTCATTCTGAAATCCCTATGGTCATAGCTTCTTTTCCCCTTCCTATAGTACTCAAAAACTACAGTAACTCAAGTTCATTGATAGAGAAATTTTTACAGTAAGGTCATAAAAAAGTCCTACAGTAACCCGAATTTATCAATAGAGTGTTCTAAACGCTACAAAAAGAGCCTAAACCAGCAAAAGTTGTAGAAGTCAGTCTAAAGGGTTATTTTCATGTTTGATCCTAGTTTCAATATCATTATGATGATTAAAAAAATTTACCCGACCTCTAAAGTTTAAAATTATCAACAGAGCATACTTGAGACCTTAAAAATAGCCAAGATTAGTTGAATGGAGAAAGCCTTGCTCGTTATAGACTTCGAACGCTATATTGAAGTTCATAGCTCAATTTTATCTTCCCTTTCATTCTCAAAAAATCCTACAGTACACGACCTAATTTTATCAATAGAGCACACTTGAGCCTCGAAAATAGCCAAGGTCAGTTTAATTAGAAAATTTTTGCTCGTTATAGACTTTGAAAGTTATTTTCAAGTTCACAGCCCAATTTTAACTTCTGTGTGATCTTCAAAAAATCCTACCGTGTTCTAAAACCTAAATTTATCAATGGGGCACACTTGCCACAACAAAACTACCTGAAGAGGTGACAAATGGGTAATTCCGGCTTTATGAAGCCCGATCTCTCGGAGAAGCCTGGCTCGTGTCGTGTGCCACAGTCCAGTGCTACAATTTCACAAGTTCTTGATCAAAGTTTGACGATTCCCACTAATTGAAGGCGCCTCGGACGAAATTGATAGCACTGGGGTGGAAATTGTAGAAATAGACGGTGAAGATGGTCCCTTGCAGGTAGCCGATCATGATCCGTTGCCGTGGGATGAACGAATTCTCTTCGGAATATGGCGCGAAACATGACGCTGAAAATATTAGCTTGTATTGACTTTTAAAGGCGCAGGGCAGAGTCTAAACTGGGCAAATTGAAAAAATCTTGCCTTGAATTCAAGTTTTGTCTGCGAAATGCATAAAATACCTCGAAATCAAACTAAAAATTAAATTTTTCATTTAAAAGTTTCTTCTAAAAGTTTTCACTATGGTCATCTTGTTGCAGAAAACGATAAAAGGTTCATTGAAATCAAAATTCAATTATTTTCAAACCAATACCAGTTTTTGGATCTTTTTTGTACCCATTTCTCAAAATATTCAGGATTTTCATGAAATTCTCTAAGACTTGACTAAAAAGATATCTCTTAAAAACATACATTTTTTTGTTATTCTTATTTTTCCTGAACTTTTTCTCTATCTTAATGTTGACATTTAAAGTTCCATTCCTCTGAAAAAAGAACCCAAAAATCACCTGAAGTATTATTAGCCAGCCTTTTGAGCATATCCGGCGCATGTCCGACCGGATCGAACCCAAACCTTTGAGTTTCCACAGCCACCTCCTTGATGAAGCTTATCATCACATAGTCAATGCTGGGCTCATCGGGAACTTCCACACCGAAATCTCCCTGAAACTCCAAAATTCCTTGAAGATCATGATAATATTCCATTCACTACGAGTTGAGAAAGTCTGACCAGTCTGCACTCTCTTATCTCTCCCGGTAAGAAAAAAGGAAGAAAGCACGTCGCCTTATGAGGAGGGTTCTTTCAATTTTGGTTGGGAATCTACTACAGGCAAGACCTGGAAGCCTTCTCAACTTCCTGATTTGGAAAAAAGTCTCAAAATAGCTTCTTTTAACCCTCTTTCGATGGCCTACTTCGACTATGAGGCGTCCTTTTTTAAAAACTAGGAAATTTTTCTTTCAGGACCTTTATACATCTGTGAATAACTCTAGGTGACCACTTAAGTAGTTCCTCTTTTTGGAGAGGTCACTGAAACCACCTCTATAGAAGCCACTATTCTGAGTCTTACTTAGTCTTCCTAAAAGGTCCTTGATTTCTAGCCACTTTAGTACCCTCTAATCCGACTACTACTGTGGCCACTAAAACGTTGAAACCCTAAAGTGGCCACTAAAAATTTCCCCAGTACTTATTTTGCGTCTTAGTGGCTACTATAGTAGTTTTAGTGGTCTAGCAGTACCACTTAGACTTCCAAAAAGACTATTAATTTTAACTTTTCACTTAAGTGGCCACTAATTCAACTACTATAGTGGCCACTAAAAAGTCAAAATCTTAGAGGGGCCACTCAGGTTTTTTTTCAGAAGTTTTTGGCCAGTTTTCAGCGAATTCCCAACCGCAAAGGGAAATTCTTTTCAGGAAAATCAGACTTTCCAAATTTTGTTTATCACTGATCCTACCAAAACGTTGGCGCGTGGATCGCCCTGAACGACTTCGAATTTGCCGCCGCCGAGGTCAGAAGACGTCGTCTGGACGACGGAAGGAGACGAATTCGTGGGGATGGAGATCGAGGCTCGGTGGTCCCTGACGTAGGAGCAGAGGAAAACGTCTTCTCGGAGCACGTCGGCCGTCCCGAAATGGCTTGCGATGCGGTCGCGAACCACGTGGAGAGGCTGAAAATAAGTTTTTTAGTGGGACAGGAAAGACAGGAAAAAATTTCCACAAGAAAGGTAACTTTTCTCAAAACTTCGGAATTCCCCAGAGGGAAACCCTAAGGGCCCCTAAGGTTGCCTCTATAAGGACCAGCTCTTCTGAAAAGTTAAAAGATATTGTGCCCAAAAAGTCCGGAATTTTCTTCAAGTGCCCTGCAAACTTGATCTAAATCTAACCATTTTCAATTAATTTGCTGAAAACTCTTCTTACAGCTACTGTAGTAACTACAGTACCCTTCCAATTTCCACAGTAACCCACCGTAGCCGGCGACAAGGGACAGTCCATTTCGAAGACGTCCTCATAGACTGACGTCGTGTCGCCGGGCATTTGAACCACGTATTGGAACCAGTCGACGAGTCGCTGGACGGTTCGTTGCGAGATGAAATCCGGCATTCTTTGCGACTCTCTTTAATAGGCAGCCTTTTATTTTCTTTTTTAAAGACGTGTCAAAACATCAGGTATGTGTTGAAAATGATATTTTCGATCGTTCACAGCTCTTGTAATCATTGGATTTGTAGAAAACTTACTAATTTTAAAAGTTCAAATTAGAATCAAGGAATCAAAAATGAAAGAAGAAAACTTGCTCTATGGATAGAAGAGTTATTTTTTTATTATTACTTTATTTTTTTCCCTGGGTTTTTTTTTTTTCTTATAAAAAGTATATCCTTCATGAAAGCTTCCCATTACAACAAAACTGTAAAATATTGGCAGTAAAATCCCATTTTTTTTAAAAAGAAGATTACGGTAAGCAACTTTGTGTACACCGATCCTGCACTAGCAGAATTAAAATCGAGTTTAAAAAAAAATCGACTTTTGTGTAATTTCGCGTACATGTATAAAAAATCCACAAGGTTCCTAAAAATCTCAAAAACCATGTTTTTCTGTTTAAAACCCTTCGAAACAACACCCAAAAAGTACCTAAAATCGTCGCGAATCGACAATTTATCCAAATCCGAGGCGTTCGACCCGCGTTTTCCGGCGTTCAACGACATGCCATTGTCGAATGAGAACATCTGAGTAAACTCTTCAATATATTTCAAAATCTACAGTAGCCCTACAGTATTCTTCCTAAAAAGCGAGGTATCACTCTGAGGCGTTGATGGCGGATGGATATGATGGTCATACGAGTCTCGTTTCCTCAAAAGTGACCGCTTTTCGGCCGGCGATCCAAGCTTATTTGAGATGGATTCTGTGAATTTGAATGAGTACTGTAGGAGGTACAGTAACCGCTTACTACTGTGCTGTACTGTAGTGAAAGCGCCAGGGCTCGACGGAATAACTGCGCCCGATTCGATGATAGCCGACGTGTTGAGGTATCCGAATTCGGTGACGATATCGCAAAGGGCCTGGAAAATATGACAGTCTTTTCAGAATGACTTGAAACATTCTGACCTTTCTGCGCTCTCTTTTCTTAAAAGGTCTTAAAACATGGAAAATAAGGAAAGGACAGAAAGATCAGAATTTTGATGGACATTCAAAAAATATTCAGGTTACTGTACTTAACAAAGTCCGCAATTTTGCGTGGGCACTTCTTACTGTTATATGAAAACCCATAGCATAGAAAATTTCAAGCCTTTTTCACGAGAAAATGAAAAAAAGATCACAAGAAATGTTTTCTACAAGTTCTCGAGTTTTAAATGAACTTATTGTCTCAAATATTGGCCGCATTTGGAATGGATTAGTTATCTAGAGGCGCGCCCGACCTCAAACTACTTGCGCGCCGTAGAGTCGGAAACCAAAGGATCTAATTTTATGATTCAACCGCGACGCGACCGCAACGCTCTCATCCATTCCGAGTGCAAGAGAGACTTTCCAACTAGGCGGAAATAAATAGAAAAGTTCAAAGGGATATTGAAAAATGAAAAAAATTATACTCTCCACAAAACTCTTTATCAAAAAAAAATTCAAGAAATGTTTATTTTGCCTTGATATTTCATGTAAATTACATTTTATCCGACTTGGACTAAGGAACATATAAGGTTTTTTTTTATATTAAGGCTCCATCCCTAAAAAGGGGCGGAGCCTACGAAAACCTCAAATAAAAGATCCAGATATATATTTAGGCTACAGTAACCTAAAAAAAGGGGCGGATTTTACCAAAAATCTCAACTGAAAGTTTCAGAGACTTGAATAGTTCTAGTGAAAAAGTATGAGCCCAAAAAAGGCAACATGAATTTTTTGCACCAACGATTATTTGCTGAGGAAACGTGTCAAAAAGAAAAACTCTTTCTCTGATTTTCAAAAAAAAAATAACCAAAAATTAAACCAACGCTCATTTTCACACTTTTTCTCAAGGTTTTCTCAAAACCAACCGAAGCCACTGCTCCTTGGACCTGCGACTGCAAATCCTCAATGGAGACCGACCCAGTTTTCCAGACAATCACTTGCAAATAGCCACAAACGTCTGAAAAATGGCAAAAATTGCTTCGTTTCTCAAGGGGATCCTAACCAGGGTCATCAGGATCCGGACAGTCGCATCTGACCGTCTTGGTAAGCTCGGCAAACTTGGCCAGCTTCTGTTGGCCTTCAAGGTATGGGGCGAAAGTCTGATGACTCGAGTTGTTATTTCTGCCTTCGATCAGGGGGCCAGCAACACTCCCGTCTTTGTTGACGATCCGAAGTTCAACGACAGCGATTCCTGAACAAATTAATGATGTAGAATGTGTGGCCTGTCTGTACTCTCCATCAACCAGGCACTATCTCGTTTATTTAAACCGTGTCAGGACCCTTTTTTCGATGGTACAAGCTAGCCTTGGTTCCGCTATAATGTAAATACTTTACTTGCTCAAGGTTATTCATCAATTAATTAACAAATTATGAAAAGTACAGGCTAAAATCTAACTTTCGAGCCTCAAAAATTAAATTTCAATGAACGAATTTTTCAGTTTTTCATCAAATAATTATCTTTTATGAACAGAAAGATGCATGCTATTAGCTAAAATAATTCTTAAGAACCTCAAAAATTGAGTTTTGATGGTTCCTACACAGCTTCAATGAACTACTTTTTCAAAAAATCAAAGCCCCCACCATCCTCCGTCGACCTGGCCTTGGGCGGTTTCAGACTCAGGTAGAACAATGGACTGTAGTTATGGGGAAGGTCGCCAGACAGCGGTGGATAGGGCTGGAAACGGTTCGAGGACGACGCCAGCGACGATGAGAATCCGCCGAAACTGACGGAGGAGACTGGAGCCGCCGACGCGGCGATTGATGGAGACCGCCCGATTTTCGCCGGAGCCGTCCGTTGCGAGAGGGCTTTGGAGATGAAGGTGAACCCGCTGGAAGAGTTGATCGTGTTCGCGCGTCGGGTCATGTGAATCGGCGCCATCGAGGCCGACGCTGAGGTGATGGCGATCGAGGGGGGCATGGTGCGGGAGACGGAGGCGTGTCGTGAGCTGGCGCCAGAAGCTTCATCCTGAGAAATGAATGTTTATGGAAGGAAAGGGAAAAAGACTCTGAAACTCTTTCAAATAAAATACAACAATGAAACATATCCTATTTACTGAAAAAGGTCCCAAAAATCGCTATTTCAACGGAACTTCTTACTAGTGGCTAGAGGTTCCTGAAAAGATAGCCCTACAAATTCTGAAAAAAAATCCGAGACCCCCCAAAAAAGAAAACTGGTTCCTCAAGTGAACCTTCGCTCCATATGAAAACCTCAAAACTTTTTTTACGTCTGTAAAAAACGCGCCCGTTCCGGACGTTCGTGAGCATCCTTACTGATGAATTCCAAAGTGGTCCCTACAGGGTCCTATAGGGGGCGAAAAAGTGGTCTTTATAGGGAAAATTTGAGTGGTGCTGTAGGGATTACAGGAAAAGGCAGCGGGGAAAAAAATTTTTTCTATAGGGGCCACCTAAACTTTACTCCTACAAGGACCCCTTTCGCGGGGTTTAGGGCCCTTAGAGGGGGTGGTAAAGTGGTCCCTAGAGGGGTCCTCTCATAAGTTCCCAAGTATTGCTCACTTCAGCGGCGTCAACCCCCTTAAGTGATCCCTAGAAATAGTCAGAAACGTCCGGGTTGCTTACTGAGCTAAGATACTTTAATGATTCAAAAATCAAAAAGGGTTCCAAAAATACCTCTTTTTCTGATTCTAGAACCTTATCAGAGCTTATTCACCTCATGTTCTCGCGAAAATTTATGATTTTCCCTATTTCTCACCCGGTACTTTGCTATGGACATCAGGGCCTGCATATGCTGGTTGACGTAATAGAAAAACGAAGCCAGATATCCTTGGCAAACGGCCGGCAGGGACATGAACTTGGTATCTGAGCAGTGAGGAGCGTCGCGTTGGAGGAACTTGAAATTTATCATAAATAACCATTCCAAATCTCTGCCGAACCTGCACATCATACGTTTCGAGTCTCATCGAGGGATTTTTGGCCAAAAGCTGGAGCAAAACTTGTAGAGAAGCGTGCTCGAGGCGTTTCGTGACAGCATCTCGGAGTTGTCCGACGATTTCTGGGGTCGGTGGCTCGACGCCAGAAATCGTCATCAGAATCTCCGAGTTCATACGATGGCCGGCTTCTCTGGAATATTCAGAGAACTGAAAAGTCTATGGAAATGGATTTTGGGAGCTGCAGGTTCCCTAGCTCAGTGGTCACTTAAGGGACTCTCCCGGTTTATACAATGGCCGGCTTCTCTGGAGTATTCAAAAAACTGAAAAACTCTAGGAAAATGGATTTTGAGGAGCTCAAACTGAAGCTTTCATAGCCAAGTGGTAACTCAAAGGACTCTCCCGGTTTATACGATGGCCGGCTTCTCTGGAGTGTTTAAAAAACTATAGGAAAATGAATTTTGAGGAGCTCAAACTGAAGCTTCCATAGCTCAGTGGTCACTTTAGGGACTTGTAAAAAGAAATAGAGACTTCACTGTAGGTCACAAGAGACTTTACTGTAGGTCACACCATACTGTAGGTCACAAGTTCTAGTTAGAAAACCTCTAAAGTGGTCTCTTTGGTTTGAAATTATCGTCAAAAACGAGCTAATCGAGTTATTGAATTGAAGTGACCGCTCAAGGGGCAGTTGAAAATTCCTGAAATTGACCTCTTTCATCCAGTTATGAACAGTACCGTCAGAAAAGATTAGAAAATACTTTTTGCCGATAACTTCTTTGTATGGAGCTCAATCTCTCTGAAACTTTCGGAGCTGCATTTTTTCCTCTGCAATTTGAAGCATGGTGTTACAAATGTTCGTGATCACAGCTACAGAAGATTCCAGTAAGATCGAAAACCATACAAGAAAGTTGTGATAAAAAATCCGTCAACTGTAGAATTTTTACAATTTTTTCTTCAAAAAGACAAAATATTACTGCATTTTCCTCTTCTTCGGCTCTCGATCCTGGATCCGCAAAAGTCCATAAGTTTCCGTGGATATATGGATCTGCATGTAGACGACGTTGCCGTTGAGGTCTCTGAAAAATAAAAAAATAATTTCAATATAATTTGAGAAGCAAAATGGAGGAGTTTCTTTGGGAAAAATCGACGAAAAAAAGTTTTTTTAAAAAAAGGAAAAAAATTTGAAAATGTCGATTAATTTCAGAAAAATTGACTTTTTAAAATTGAAATTTTTCAAGGAAAGCGCCAGAAAAAAAGCCTAAATATTTTCAAAACTTCTAAAAATTTTTTTTGAAAAACTTCTGGTCGCGTCCGGAAATTCTCTACGCGCTGTGATTACAGATATAACTTCAAATTTTGCGCCGAAACTGAGTTTTTTGTTACCTATGTGCGCGAGTCGTTTTGGGTCGGGCGCAACCTTAAAAAAAAACGACAGCTACGCGTTGAGACTGCCTCTGTAGGTCATCAATGTACAAAACTTCTTTCTTTATTCGAAAAAACTTTTTTTTTCCCATTTACCCCACCCATACTTCAAAACGTAGGTATTCTTGCGATTCCGGACTGCAAACTGGACCATCGCTGGTTTCAAGGCCTGGTAGGCCGATAACAGGGCGGACTGTTGCGAGGAGCTCAACAATCGGACGGGCACTTTGAACCTGAAACAAATTCGCCATGGAGCACTTTTTCTGTGAAAAAACAGCCCAACCACATCTCATTCATGACATTGCAGGCGAAATAACCAGGCGGGAATGTGAATCTGGCCTCGTCCATGATCGGCGGATCGGTTTGGCTTCCTTCGTTTCCACTGAAAACTTTTCCAGTTCTAATTTATAGAGGAGCTTCATTCGACACGACTTGGAGCAGTCTGATCTGTCTGCGCCCTCTTTTCTCTCATAATACCGTCGAGAAAAAAAACATAGTTTTACTGGTGAATATTTCAAGACACTCCCAGGAATCTTGATTCAAAATGCTTCATAATTACTGGGGAAATTTTTAGAGACCACTTTAGGGTTTTGACGTTCAAGTGATCACTATAGTAGTAGAGTTAGTGACCACTTGAGTGGCTAAAAATTAGTAGCCTCTTCAGAAGTGTAAGTGGCACTTCTACACCACTAAAAATACTACCATGAGGGCTTTGTCCAATTCTGTGCCAAAGTTATAAACTGTTGAAATTTCTAGTGGCCCCTTTAGGGTTCTGACGTTTTACTGGCCACTAAAGGAGTCGGGCTAGTACCTAAGCAGCTGTAAAGTTAGTGGCCACTTTAGAAGTCAAAGTGGTCACTTTAGTGTTCTCTTCAAGTAGCCCTCAAGGAACCACTTAAGTGACCATTAAGGTTTTTGTCAGTCTCAACAAACTTTCACAAGACTTCTGTGCTCTCCAGAAGCCGGAAAAGGCTGATGAAAAAAGACATTATTCATTTTTAGAGCCAATTTTTGAGCTTTACCTATCATTATCCTGCTTGAACGGATCATCAGTGGCCAGCAAAAGTGAGTCGCACTCCCTGGTCTCCAGCATCCGTTCCAGCAGCAATTCCTAGCAGAAAAATCTGTAGTTTCCCTAAAATTTTCAGAATTTCACTTGATTGATCCGTCTCAGGGTGTGACGACACTCGCGCCAGGCCAACTCCGGGATCCTCGAGTGCCTTTCTTTGTACCTGAACCCCAGGAATCTCATTCAGAGGGACTTTTTTCGGGTTCTACCGCTGACAAAACTGCAGAATGAAGCTCTTGTCAACAGTGAGGATGAGCCAAAAGTCGAAGAGATGGTCGCGACGGCTCAGTTCGGAGAAGTCGAAAGAATCGTCGACAGCCAGGGTGGAACGACAGCTTCTGGCGTCGCTTCCGAAGCGATTCCTCGGCGAATCCGCCATTTCTGAGTGAAGTCCTACGAAATTGGAGGCGCTGATGCCGGCTGGGAGGTCGTCGTGAGCCTCGCCGTCGTGCTGGCACTTAAAAAATGCAAATTTCCATGAAATTGGCCAAAAAAAAATCGTGTTGCACTCCATTAAGCTTAAAATCCGCTCAAGAATAGTGAAATTCGATCTTTTCGGAATATTCAAGTTTTCTTCAGTCTACATGAGATACATTGACTTTCTCAAAAAGACCAAAAAAAAATTATTTCTTGAGGAGATGCTTCCTCCAAGCTTCGTACAAGAAAGGTACATCTTAGAACTTGGAATTTGAATAATAATGCTTCTGATTAACAAACGCTTTTTTTGGCCTTTTTCAAACTTATTAAAAATCTCTTGATAATCGTACTGAAACATAAAAAAAGATATTATTTGAGCTATAAAATCGGGTTCAAACTCTGTGACGCTTGAAAAAAGAGCTGGATTCCCTTATTTTCTTGAAAACCACTCATTATCAATGGAGCAACTCATACCAACCCAAAAAAAGCCACTTATCACCAAATTTGTCTTCGAGTGAAAAAAATGATGATTTTTTAAAACAAAAAGGATATTTTCGTTGACTAGTGTGTTGATTACTGTGTAAACTTCAGTAAGATGTTGATAAAAAGATCAAAAATCACATGGAAACTGTTGATCCGACTATATTCATTTTCTAGAGAGTTTTGAAGAGGCTAAAGCTTCCGAAAGGCAAAAAGTGATCCTCCTTTTCAAATTCATCCGTTTTCTACAATATTAACTTCTTTTTTTTGATTATCAATGGAGCAACCTTTAAACTCCCAAAAAAGCAACCTGTGCCTGGCACTGCATCAAGGACATTGCCGAGTTCTTGCGGCTCATTTCCTCCAGTTGGATTTTTTCGAAGGCGGCTTTGTCATCAACCTGTGTTGAGAGTTCCGGTTTTCCTTCTGAGTAGAGTATATTTTAACCTTGCAGCAATAAAAAACATTCGATTGGCCGCACCGTACCAACGTGGCATACTGTAGGCTCAAGCCATCGAGTCTTTCCTAAAGGGGACAAAAGTTGATGAAAAAATAATATTTCAAGCTTATTTCTTCCGAAAATTCCCGATTTTCGATTTAAATGATATAGTTCGTTCACCGCGTCTTGAAAGTTTTCGAGTGTCTGCGTCTCTCTGATCCCTCAACTTGTGAGAGACGTCGAGAGACGAGGAGGGCGCAGAGAAAAATAGCAGCTTCATATCGCAAAAAAACGGGCTAAATTTTCCGTAGTACATTCCTCCATTAAGCCCCCCTCCCCCCATCGGAAAATACAAAAATCCACCATCAATCTTTTCAGCGCCAGGTCGCTCTGGATCACCAACGAGACGCTTTTCGTTTTCTCCTCCATTTGGCCGACTTGACGGTTCAAAATGCACTGAAATCCTCAATAACCCTCCAGAAAACACTAGATTTTCCTGTACCTCTTTGGAAATGAACCTCGAGATCATTTTGAGCTTCTCAACCGTGACGTCACCTTTCCGGCTAGCCGTCAGGATTCTCTCCAATTCCAGGACTCCGTTCATGTTTTTGATCAGATGACGTAGGGCTTCTCGTTCCTACAGAAAGAAGTTAAGGTTTTTTGTGTAAATCGTAATGAATCATAATCCATTCACCACGTGGTCGCGTTTGGAATGGCTAAAGTTAAAAAAAAAAGTCGCGCCCGACTACAAAACTAATTAAACGCTGTTCCATTAAACAGCATTCAGAGTAACTAAACTATTAAAGGAAATACTGAAATCGTAGCGCCATTTATTGATTATTTTGCTTGAATTGACAAAAACTTGAAAAGAAAATAATTTCAAACCACGAAACAAACGACTTACGCGCAGCGTCACCTGATAGCATTAGATCAACTAAATGAAGCTTATAAGATGCGAAAAAACCTTAATTTTTACCGCAATGCTAACCGCAACGCGTTTATTGAAACCAAGCCAATTTTTTTAAAAGTGGGCTTTCATGAATGCTAAGGGTAACACATGAAAACAACGATATATCGTCACAAAATCGAGTTCTAAAAACAACTATCAATTCAAAAGTGAAAAATCCAGAATTTAAGATCAACTGCGACCATCCCTCCCTCAAACCAACCCTCATCGGCAGGAGCTGATAAAACGCTTTTGCTCGACTGTCCGCACTTTCGATATCTTCGCTGTCCCTGATCCGTCTCCTTTGGGCAAACTTGACCTTCTTCTTCTTTTTCTGGAAAAGAAAAACTAAATTTTCATAAATTTGGGGAGGAAAACCTTGGGAGCATCATCCGATGGAATATTGGCAATGGCGACAATTTCCAAGCAGACATCGACCTTTTTGAGGTCTGGAAATAAAAACTCTGGTCAGAAAACTTTTATACCATTTTGTATTCCAAAAAATAAAAATACTAACTTTTTTAAGAATGAGAAATGCAAACTAGGCAAGCCAATCAAAATTTGAAACTGAATCTTCATTTATAACCATTTTATTTCGAAAAATTCCCGAGTTTTGAATAAATCTAAGCGCTGTGACTTCTGAATAAGGCTTCTGGACGGCTGAACAAAATTTCCAATTTTTATCTTCCAAAACCAAAACCCAACTTACTTCTGAACACCTTTCAACTACTTTCCTAACCACTTCCTCGAATTTTCATGACTAGGGAATGTTCCCTGGTCGCAGTGGAACTTCTTAACGAGAGCCTATTTTTTTTTTTCAATCGAAGACATTGCATTTTTTTGACTTTTGAAGGTCCATAACTTTTCTCACAACACCCTCCGGCCGTTTTCAAGACCATATTTGGAATCAGGGTTAAAAACTACCTCTCAAACACATTCGGAAGACCCACCGTGACCGGAGACCACCCCCTAGTGAAAATGACCCTATTTGGAGTCCTTTAATGTGTTTGAACTTTTCGTGAACTTCACAGCTTCATCTTAAAACCCCTTACTTTAGATTTCTTGACTTTTGAGCGTTCATAACTTCTTTTCACAGATCTCAGCGGCAGTTTTTGAGACCAGATTTGGGACCAGTGTCAAGAGCTACATCTAGAACACTCAATCTCATCCAGAAGCCTCACAGCGACCGTTGACAATTCCCTGGTGAGAATGACCCTATTTTGTACTCTTATGCTTTTCAATTTTTCATGGGCCACACAGCTTCATACTTTGACAAATTCTGGGAAGGCGATTGGAAGCTAGAAGGTCTTGAGAAGGCCTCGGAAAGGTGTTCCGAAGGTCTTTGAAAGGTAAAAACTGAAAATGTCAGCCAGAACCCTTCCAGCAGGCTTCTAGAAGGTCAGTACTTGCTGGAAAGCTTCTAGAAGGTCACAGGTCACTTGCACGCCTTCCAAGGAACCGAAAGCAGAAGCTTCCCAACTTTCCCCAGATTTCTTACAAGACTCCTTACCGTAGTCCCCAGTCGGCTTGACAGTGCTCTTATTGAGTAACTGATGGACGCAGACAGGCATGAACTCGATACAGAACGAATCTGTCGTCGCATCTTTGTCCGGATAGAGCAAGGTACATTGGAACTGTAGGAATAACGGCGCCCTTCCGACCATGTCCTGTGAATCGAAAAATATCTTTGTCTCTTGAATTCTTCTGAAACCGAAAGATCACAGGGATCAGCTTCAGAAGCTTCATCGAGAGCAAGTTCCTCATCGATATTCGAGCCATCACTTTGAGAAATCGAATGTCGTTTTGTCTTGTCTTCGACGGCCAATGGTCTCACCATCAGGGGCTTGTCTTCTTCATCGAAAACTGGAATAAAAAGTTGATTCATGAAGGTTTGAGAAAATTTGTCCGCGCGGAGAATGGCTCAACGCTAAGCGAATACAAAGCGGTTTTTATTTAAGTGCAACCGACCACAATGCGACTTGCGCTTCTGGGCATTTGAATTCTTGAAACCTCTTTCAAAACATTTCGCAACGTGTTGAGCCATTCTTTATAAGGTCAGAGATTCAAACTGCTGTCAAATTGATTGATGGGATCAAAGGAAAAATGAAAACTCTAAAAAAAGTTGGCCGCATGGGGAATGTCTGCAAAGCGGTCCCTATGAAAGTGCAACCGACCACAAAACGGTTTGCGCATTTGAACTATTGAAACTTCGTTCGAAATGCACTATAAGCTTTTCCTGATTTGATCAGAAATATAAACTGCTGTCAAACTAAAGAATCGGGTCAAGGGGGACAAAAAAGCGTTGAAAAAATTGGTCGCACGGAGAATGGCCTGACGCTAAGCTCTTGCGATCGTCAAGATAAATTTTTTCGAAAGGATCTTTCAAACACGCAATACAACTAAAGCCTTAGAGCTATACCCATTGCGACCAGGGCTTATCAAGAAGTTCTTGCGTTATTATAAACTTTTTTAGTGAAAAAAAGACATGTTTAGTCCTTCTTTTACTTCTATGGGTTCAGGTAAGTTTGAGTTGTCCGCACGAAGAATGGCTCGACGCGTTGCGGCTGCGAAGCGGTTTCCGCCAGAGCACGGCTTGGTAAAATGAGAACTTGAAAGTTCCATATGGAACCACAGGGCGACCGCCACGCGTTGAGCCATTCCAAATGCGACCAGGAGCTTTGACGTTTCAAAAAATTAAATATTACCCAAATCCGCGGCCTGAGCTCTTTTGGCATTTTCCGCCGCCAACGACTTCTTTGTTCGGATGTCTTGGCTGGAAGGGAATAAACTTTTCGTGATAAAAATGAGACAAAAACGTTTCGAAATCGCAAAAGTACAGTCCGCCAATACCAGGGACCGCTTTGAAGGTCTCGTAAAGGACAGATTCGAAGACGTCGTTGAGATTCGACTCGTCGTTGCAGCAGTCTTTGGCGTCGGCGTCTGGCTCGCCTTTCTGGAAAAATTGCTTTCCAATCTTCTCTTTTTTGAAGTTGGTATACAGTCCTTGTTTTTAGAATACCTCAATGTCCTATTTTTTTTTTAAATCTCATGAAAAGTTATGAACCTTCCGTCTTAAAGAAATTTCAAGCTTGAGGTACAAAGATTAGCATAAAATCGATATTTATCTATTTAATTGACGCGTTGATTTTTTAAAACATCTCTCATAAGTGTAACGGTAAATTTTCTTTGAAAAGCCTTGGAAAAAAAGTTGAAAAGGCTCTTCTAAAAGCTCCATTAAAGATTGAAATACGATTTTCAGCTTTTTGAATTCTCTGGAATCTTGTTGGCTGCTGTCTAGTCACTTTTTGATGAAGGACCTGTTGGGAACCCCCCTTTAAGGTCTTGAGATCAATCTAGAATGGTGTAGAAAAATAGCCCACCCCCGGGAGTTCGTAAACTAATTTGGTCACGGGTCTCGGAACGATTTGAAGGCAGGCCACGTTTTTGATCAGGTCCTGGAATTTTCTGGAGGTATTTTTTTTAAATGTTGAGCTTCTACCGAGCTGTTCAATTCCTAACCCTTCTTTCTCGAATATTTTCAAACCTGATGATGCAAATGACGGCAGAAAGTCTTCAAGGCGTCTGGCACCGATTCCATTTCCAATTCGATCGAGATGCCTTCCTCTTGAAGACATTCCATGGCTGTACTAGATAGTTCCACGCCTAGAGCCATTTTTTCCACTTTATTCATATTTTAAGAGGTTCAGGACCTTTGCGAGCCGTTCTAAAGACTGACAAGAGTCGAACTCTCGCCAGAATCTTCTCCTCGAAGTAACTGCTGAATGTTCGCATCACCGGCTCTTGGACAGAAATGTAACGGAGGTTGTCCGAAGGAAGGTTCGTTTTCATCATCCATTCGTTGGGGAAAACTGAACAGACTTTTTCTCAAAAAAATCAGGAACGTCTGAATTTCGATAAATGAGTTATTTTTTTCTGTCTTTTCTCAATATTTTTTTTATTTTTTTAAAAGATTCAATTTTGATTTCATATACATTAGAAATCAGAACAACAGAGCTCCGACGTTGCTAGTGCGAATCGGACGTGTCGGTGTCGTTCTAGTGACCACTTTAGTAGCCAGTACTCTTAAGTGATCCCTAGAATCGCTCAGAAATGTCCGGAGCGCGTTCAAATTTCGTTACCGAGTTCTTTGGAACTCGGACCTTGGTAACGCGAACGGGACGCGAATCGGACGTGTCGGGGCCGTTCTAGTGACCACTTTAGTAGCTTCATCTCTCTTAAGTGATCCCTAGAATTGCTCAGAAACGTCCGGAGCGCGTCCGTTTCGCGTTACCAATGTCCGAGAAGTCCATGGAGGTTGAAAAGTGTTCCATGGAGAGCAAATGCCTCAATAGAAGAAAAAACGCAAGAGATTCAATTTTTTAAAAACTTTTTGGGAACAACGAAGAATTTTTTCTGAATTATATGATTTTATGAAATATGCGACCCCTTAAATTTAACAACAGAGCAGATTTGACCCGCCCTAATTCAATTTTTCTGAGAGAGACTCAAGAAAAGATTACGAATATTCAAAACAGCCCATTTTCTGAGACTTCTGCTAAAGTGAAACTGATCCCATTTCCTTTAAAACTCATCGTTGCAAGAACCTTCCCCCAAACCTTTCAAAGGACCCTGCATCAACTTCTTGCTGAAATGATTCAGTCCGATGGAGTAAGCAAGTGGAGGCATCGCACAGACGCCGACGATCACTGGCAAGGTCCCGATGTCGTGAAGTTGGGACATGTCGTCCGGGAGGATGACCACGCCCACCGACCACGGAGACGTCCTTCTCAGGTAGACTCGGCACGTCATTGGGCGGCCTGGAAGGTGTTCATCTTTTTCTTACATGCATTTTTGACAGGAGAAAATAAATTTTCAAAATATTTAGGTTTTTGGAGGAGTTTGAGATTTTTAAGAAAGAACAGCTATGCTTAGGAACTCTAAAAAGTTAGTAAAATTTGAATGGGAGCATTTGGAGAAGAGTTGTGAATTCGCAAAGTTTTTCGACTTGAGCAAGTAAAAATTCAATCGGTTTCAACAAAATTTAAGGCTTGAGGTTCACTTTCTCAGAAAAAAGGGTCGGGCTCAGAAACGTAAAAAAAAATTTGGTCAGATCTGAATGTTTTGTAGAGAGGTAGAAATTTTCAAAGTTTCCCGGCCTAGAAGTAAAAGTTTCGAAACTTCTAGGCTTCAAGAGCATTTTGAGCTTGAGGTTTTTTTTTAAAAGAAGGTGTTCATGCTCAAAAAATTTTGGTAAAAGTTGAATCGAAGTTCTTTGTTGGCCACTTGCAAAGTTTTCTATTTCTGAGCAGGTAAAATGTCCAAATTCCCAGGTTCCAACAGCATTTTAGACTTCAGGTGAGCATGGACAGGTCATCACCAAAAACATAAAGAAGTTAATTAAACTTGAACCTTATCTTTTTGAAGTTATGAATTTGCAAAATCTTCAGGCCTGGAAAGTTGAAGTTTTTAGATTTTTCGAGTTCCAAGAGCATTTTGAGCTAAATATTGGAACTTATAGGGAAAAGGTCATGCTCAGAAATTTGCACTAGTTGTTTTGGCTCACAATTTTTTTTAAAGTTATTGATTTACCAACTATTTTTTTGACCTGCAAATGGAGAAAAAAGAGAGAATCTTGATATTTCATGTTTTTTTTTCGTCATCATTCGAAAAAATATGTCTTGTCTGCGCCCTCTTTCCTCTCGTCATCACATCCTATTTTCATATTCCTCCAAGCTGGAGAGAGAAAAGAGAGAGGACAGATCATTTCAAACACCTATAACATACAAAATTCATCCGGGTGATCCGTAATTTTTTCGACGGCTTTGGCCGTGTCGGCCCAAAACTTCTTGCTGACAACGTTGAAGGAGACGTCGGAGAGCATCTCCAGCTCGATGGTCAACGGCGCCAGAAGCATGTCTGTGCAGTGGGTCGTGTTCAGGACATCTGAAGACGTTTTTTTTTTATGAAGAATTTTTTCTGATTGAACTATACACTACTATAAGAGTTTGATTAGGACATGAAGGTCCTATTTTTTTTAAAGAGGCAGATTTTCAAGAGCTTCTGAGCTTTTTCACAGGAATCAAGCTTTAAAAAAAAGTCCGTTTCAATATTTATTTCGCACCCTGTAGTTCATTCACCGCTGGATCAAAGTATCATTATCGAAAGTCAGAAAAGCAAAATAACATGCAAAAAGAAGAGATTTAGACGCTTCTACAGTCTTTATTTTTCATCAAGGTAAAGACGAATAGAGTATGGACAGAGATCTGTCATTTTTGGGAAGGAAAAAGCCTTTTTGAATTTTTTTTTTCTTTGTCTTTCTGATACGTACAGTAAGATCTTCGTAAATAAAAAAAGACTGTTCAGCAATATTTTCAAGATCATTGCCTTTTTCAAGACTTTTTATATTTAAAAATTATTAAATTCGGATTTTTATTGATAAAAACCAATGCTGAATTTACTGCAAAAACCAATGCTGAATTTATAACTTCCGACGTCACCAAAAAAATATAAGCTTGTTTTTTTGGACCTTATGTGATTGAAGTCACCACTGTTTTCTTATTTTTCCAACTTTCCTACAGAAATTCCCACACCCCCGCTAATTATAGTATCGAAAACGCCCCCGCACCTCGTTCCATACGTCATTTTCGGAGATAAACAGCTTTGCAAACAGAAAAAGAAGGCGCCCCGAACGTTGTCCCCATAAATAACATATTCTGAACAGAATGAACAAGAATATTTAGTTTCTAAAAATTATAATTTAACTCTAAAGCCTAGTTAAACCCCTCAGTTCATCAAAAATAATTTTTTATGCGTTCTATGACATGTATAGCTTCCATATAAAAGTTCTCTTGGGCCTGTAAAAACAAAAAAAAAACTTTCCAAGCAGTTCTTGTTCACCACCTGGTTTATTCCATTTACGACGAAAATTTAAAAAATGATTAAAGCCCCGCCCTGCGCCTTTAAACTTTATCAAGATGTAACAGTAAATTTTTTAAGATTTAGAGCCGTAATAGAATTATTAGCCGCTTCACGGTTATCGTCAAATTTTTTTTAGTTCTGGCGGAAATCGATTTATTTTTAAGCGTAATTTCAAGTACAGAAGGAAGAAAATGCTTAGGAATTTCAGAGTGATCCCTATAGGGCTTAGAGGGGAAACAACCCCAATAGAGGCCGAAAAAGTGGCCCATATAGGGGTTTAAAGTACGAATAATGAGCCCTTTACTTCTTACTAATGACAGGGTGGCCCCTATGGGGATTAAGAGAAAAACAGCGTCTATAGGGGACAAAAAAGTGCTCATTATAGGGGTAAAGGGGTTAGGCGGTCGCTATAGGGGTTTAGCGCTTTTGCTATCTTTAGTGGCCCCTATAGGGGTTGGTAAGGTGAAGGGCCCCCAAGGGACCACTCTGGAGTTCCTAACATGGAAGGTCATTTTTGCGTAGGGTTTGGAATTTTCTGAATATCTGCTCAAACAGTCTTTGATGGACTGGGAATCGATTCCCCATAGCCGCTAACTGCGCAAACGAAATTTTCAAAAATAAAATTTTGTGAAAAAAAAGCTTTTTTTTGGCAGAAAATGGCCATCGAACGGTTTTGGAATGTCTTCAATCATGATATTTCAACATTTTCATCATAATCCTTCAAAACAAATAATGGCGAAGAACGATAGCCGCAAAAGAGTCGAACCTTCATCATAGGCTTCGCAGGCTACCGCGCTAGCCACTGCACCACGCTCCTAGCTGCCATGCAATGACTTGTGCTGCGGATACATTCCTTCCGAACATTGTCACGTGGTTAAGGACAAAAACTTTAAAAAATCATATCTTCAAAACGAAAAGTTTGCGCAGATAGCGGCTATAGGGAATCGATTCCCAGTCCATCAAAGATTGTTTGAGCAAATTTTCAAAAAATTCCAAACCCTACGCAAAAATGACCTTCCATGTAAGCAGCTCATTTTCTGATTTGCCCATGATAGTCTTTTTTGAGATTCAAATAAATTGTATATAATAATAATATTGGTCCTAATTTGAAAATTACATGTGTTTTAGGGGCAAAACGCAGCGCAACCGCGACGCTTTGGGCCATTTAAAATTGACTATGTCCCGAAAAAATTTTCCAATATTGTTCTCCGGAGTGTGAAGAAGCATTGTGATTTCATATTTTCAAAAAAACTCATTCAAAAACATCTTATTCTTTTCAAAATCATCATAAAATGTTCCAAAAAGGCCCCTCAATCGATAGCGGAACGTACGATTTCTCTCTGCACAACACAAATTTCTTTCTTTTTTCAATATTCTCACCATTCGCCGCCGTACGTGTATAAACATGGGAACGGCGGTTCGATTGAGCAAGGAAAAAAGAGAATGGGAAACTCGTATCAATTCCGTTCTTCATTTGAATAGTATACATTTACTCCGTTTGGCGTTCGCTTGGGACAAAAATGACTGTAGAAATGTCTACATCTCTTCTCTTTGCGCACTATTCCGCTGCGAGAAGCGAAAAGTGTCTCAATTTGGCGAATAATGAAGCAGAGCCTCGAAGTTGATCTTTTTCCAAAAAAGAACCTGTTTTTCAAAAACTTAACCCACAGAAAGAGAGAAAAGGTCCACTCTGGAATCAAAGTAACACAGAGAATAGAACACAATTTTATTCAATATTTTTTTTCCAGAAAAAACATTTTTTTCAAATTGTTCTCTTATATTCTCTTTCTGAGCTTGTACAAACTTTCGATTCAAAACCTCTTTTTCAACGGGATGTCTCGAAGCAGTTTTTATCTTTTCAAAGTGTTTTTGAGCTCGTTTAAAGCTACAGTACCGTTTCTCCGATACGCGTGATATTTCCCTCTACATGCGTCTTTAATTCTGTCTCAAAAGTGTTATTTCATTAAAGGCGCATGCATTTTTCCAGTAGAGACTTATGTTGTATTAAAGGCGCATACACTTTTTTCTTCAAAGCTACAGTACCCCTTCTCCGAAGCGCGCGTGTCATCTTTGTTCATGCGCCTTTAATTCAGCCTTAAATTTTTCGTTATATTAAAGGCGCATGCGTTTTTCCTCTCAGAGTTAGAGTACCCTATTCCTCGATGTACACGATTTGTCTCTGTTCATAAGCCTTTATTTCAGCCGAAAAAGTTTTGTGTTATTAAAGGCGCATGCATTTTTTTTTCCTTCAAAGCTACTTTCTCGAATGCGCGTGAGGTGTCTCTGGGCATGCGCCTTTAACTCCGCCTCAAAATGTTTGTGTTACTAAAGGCGCATGCACAGGGTCAAGGAAGAGATCCTGTAGCTCGCAGAAAAAAATCACGTCGAGCTGGCGCCTACACCTCAGAAAAAAACGTTTCTGAGAAACTATCAAATTCCATTACGTTTCGAATCTATCAAATCTCGAATTCCCTTCTTTCAATCCAAAAAAGCTTCTTTCTCTAAACCCTCCGCACCTTTGGCAAACGGCCCGATCGCATAAATCTCTTTCGGAGCGTGCTTCATCGCATTGGTGACGCAGAAGAGGTGCTGGTAAACGGTGACGAACGGCGACTTGCCGCTCTTGGTCGGGACACACGATCGGGGGGCTCCGTGCTCGTCGGGCGTGTCCCAGCGGACGATTTGCTCGAGGATCTGGGTGACGACGGTGTTCTCCTCCTTCTGCGAGTCTGTCGGGTTCTCCGGAATGCAACGTGCGTGGAAGTTGTGCGGTTTCCGGTTGAAATGAAGGCCGGTGGTGGAGAGCCGAGGTCGGGGGTTGTTGCAGCCGCCGCAGACGCGAATTAATCGGTCGACGGTGTAGAGGACCGACGCCAGGTACACGTCTTCCGTCACTGGTGCCGCCTGGAAAAACTGTTATTGTTCTTTTTTCTGGTTATTTTTCGGGGCGTCCAAAGTTTTACTGAGCTAAAAAACCCCCATATTTTCATTGCGTGTCCTTCTAACAAAGTTTGAAAAATTCTTGAAACTTTTTTCAAATTCTCGGGTCTTCCAGTGAGATTTACATCAGGGAAAAACCTCTTATAAGCACTATATTCATTGTCTAATTATCTTTATCCATTAAAAGAAGTATTTATAGTCGATCCCCAGACAGTTTGGGACCCGAAAATGTGCAACCTGTCTGCACTCTCCACTAACCAGGCACTATCTCTTCAATCAATCGTTTCAGGACCTTTTTTTCGTCAGCTTGTACGCTTCAACTTTTCAGAAACGTCTTTAAGGTCCCAATTTCCTCTTCAAACCCATCAGATTTCAAAAATTCGAAAAAATCTTCGTCTAACCGGTTTACTTCAAACCACAAGAACAATGGTTACAGATTCGATTTCACAACGGATTTTTGCCCTTTTTATTCGGAAAAAATCGAAAATTCATCACAATTCTAAAGGAACAATTTTAGTCCCATTGCACCTGAAAAACCATAAAAAAACACAAAAAAAACTCGGCCAAGCTCGGTTCGAGGCAAAAATGAGAATCTCACCAGCAACACCGTGGCGGTGAGATTAGCACTTGAGCCTCAGCCCGATGGGCCTTAGATAGATGGGAAAAAAGAGGGAAAAAGAGTACGTTTCCCGTAGCACCCAATGAGTGGTATTGATAAAAATCCAATGCTGCTTCTGCTAGCCACTGATAAACGTTTTGCAATCAATATAGGAGCCTTTATTTATTTTCAAAGTGATCGTAAATTGGAGGGGGATGGGGCTACGATTTGGTCATGATTTTGAGAGAATCAAAGGATTTTCTGTACAAGTTTTGATCTAAAATATGAAAAATCTGACAGGTCAAAAAATTTTCAAAGCCCTTGAATTTTTTCTTATCTGTAGGAGGTGAACTATCATACTATTCTAACTCAGAAAATGAACTGATAAACCCAAAAATTCAATTTTTTAGATGATAACCATCTAAAAGAAAGTTCAAAAAAGTGATTTCCAAAAATATAGGCTCAAGTAATCACAAAATCAGGCTTGCAGCAACAAATTTTCGAAAGGAATCAAGAAAAAGAAAGAATCAGGGCCAGACGACGTCCGTTGAAAATATTAGATCTGGCAAGAACAATTGCGAGACCCAAACTTCCAACGGACGTCGGCGGCGGCGGCGATGGCGGAAAGGGGGCGTGGCCAAACAATCGAAATGGGTGGAGCCAATCATGTCGATTCGATTCGGAACGGAAAAGAATCGATGTTGAATATTTGTCAGAGTTTTTTTCGGAGCCGGAAAGAACATATAGGTCTGGAGGCGATTCCAACTAGGAAATTCACTATGAACTCTTATAACTCTTCTAAAATCACTAAATCATCTAAAAGCATTTTTTACGCTGATTACGAACTTTTGCTCAAAAACCGGGCTGGCCCGATAGCCTATTGGTGCCCCGGCCATAACAGAAGCTATGAATTAAGTGAAGAATTTTATGGTGAAAATTTCTATTAGATTAGAATAGAAATCATTTTTGAAGCTTGGCTTGGGGGCTTTTTGGCGAAAAATAAGTTCCGGGAAAGACCCGCTTGGCGCACAAGCATGTTGAAAACTACCAAAAAGGTCTATGAGAAAAGCCATGACAACTCGAAGTTGAAAAAGGAGCTAGATTGATCCAGTTAAGACTTATCAGAAGGCTCCTCTCTAAACTGGGATGCCTAAAGGCCCTTCCACATATTTCTCTGCCGCATGTTATTTTGTCGTTCTCTCGCAATCAGAGAGTGAAGAAACAGAATGCGGCTGAGAAGAACTAGAGCGCGCCTTGAGGCGCCACAGTTCAGAGATCTCTGGTACTCTTTTAAGATAGGAGCACATTCAAAAATTCAGCTCAATTTTTTTACTAGCTATATCTACCATCCAAAATGAGCTCACTGGTAGATACCTTGATTTTTTTTTTTCAACCTCAGATATCATAACTTTTTTCACAGGCTTCCGAATACGGAATATAATGAAAAATCAGCATTTTGAGCACTATTCGAAGGCTTCTAGAAACTCGCAGAATTTTCGAAATTTTTGCCAAATTTTTCGTGTGATAACATGCTTTTCTAATTTTCGAAAAAAAAATTTCGTTTTTTCTGGTGACTCAAAAAACTTTTTAAGGATTTCAAAACCTTAGAAAACAATCCAAAATCGTTCTCAGGCTTCTAAAAAAACTTTAAAAAGCTTTCTGAAATTTTTGAAATAAATTTTTTTCTTTTCTGGAAAGCATCAAAAAAAGCTCAATGAGCGCTCAAGAAACGAAAAACAGTTTTTGAATTTCCGAAAAACTTCCAAAAAAATGAAAAAAATTCAATCTGAAAACTTTCTCGGACTCCTAGGGGTCACTAAAGTCTGTTTCAATGAATCAATATATTGAAAAAGAAGAATTTTATCGCTACTCTGCACCAAAAAACTTCACAAATACTTGAAATTCTTGGGAACCCTACAAAATTTCAAAAGTTCAAGATCAATTCAAAATTAGAAAACGTTTCAAAAACTTCATCAGTCCTTTCAAACAGTTCTAAATACATCATGAAGCTTCTTTGTGCCTTTAATTATATTTTTTAAGGAATTGATCAAATTTCTGAAGTTTTGTCTCTAATCATGAACCTCCAGAGCACTACGGAGCCAATCCAAAAACATTTATCAGCTTTCTAAGCCATTTTAGATACCTTATGAAGCTTTTAAGATTTCAAAGCTTCTTCAAAAGGATCCTAAGTAGACCTAAGACTGACTAAGAGCCTCCAGAATCCTAAGGGGGGAAGGGGGAAGGAAAGTCGGAATAGGAGAGCCGAGGCGACCAGTCCGAACGCAGCACAGTGTGTGTGTCTGTTCTGCCGCAAATTCAACGAGACGATTCCAATACGTGTGGGCGTGGCTTCGGCGTCCATTTTAGGAACAATTGCAGAGAGCATGGAAAAGGCGGAGAGCTGCCAGAGATGATACGAAATGGTTTTGCGATTTCGCCGCAGGCGGATCAACACGAGTTTTTAGGCATTCGATGTGTTGCAATTCGGATCTCATATAGTCATTTCAATAGGTTTGGATCGATATCAAGTGCAAAAAGGTGTCAGAGATTCAGAAAATTTGCTCAAAATGCGACATTTTTGATTCAAACTTAAAAAACTATGACTCACTCATCGTGGGCTTAAAAATTACTGCAGGGTCACATTTTCTCAAATTTTTAACATATTTCTTTAAAATCTTAAAATCTAAAAAAATATTTAAAATATTTCGAAATCTCAAAAAATTTAAAAAATCCTACCTTCAGAAATTAAAAAAAACCTTTTTTAAAACATAAATAGGCTTAGCATCCGTTGCTAGAAATGATCAGAAAGTTCATTTTTTGAATATTTTCATCGTTTCCACGTGAAATTCCGTTTTAAAGTACCTTTTCAAACTCCCCTAAATCGAAATCATTTTCAGAACTGGAGGGAAAAAGCAGCCTCGAAAATCAAGAACTTTCATGAATTCGAAAAACGTGGCTGTAATGTCTAGATTATCACTCACTTTATAAATTATCACAAGCCTTTTACTGGAAACTAATACAGTATATTTAAAGATTACTGTATTACAGTTTTTCCCATACAGTACTACTAAGCAATACTGTACTCTTCATACCAGAAGGCTCACCATAAAAAAAAAATAAATAGGATATACATATCATAAGAAACCAAAATTAATAATTTTCTTGAAAGTCTTACCAAAATTTTGATCAGAATGACTTATTTCCTCATAAATTTCCTCAAAAATTGTTATGAATATTCGGTCAAAATGATTCATTTCCTTATATTTTCACGTATTCGACGGTACTACTGCCTGATATGAAGAGCTCTTCTGTGAAAGTAGCACTGCTGAATTGGACTGTAATAATAATACATAGAAAAATTTTAATATTCTGTTTAAAAAATCACAGTACTGGATCTCGAAAAAGCTAGCTATAAACTAACTGTTGTATAAATGATGAATTGGATCACACTACCGACGATCCCGCCAAAATTACCTCACATCAAGCCATTCCAAACGCGACCATCAACTCTCCCACTCAGTAGGGAACTACTCGGGCTCGTGTACATGTATCAAGTTGAAAATAGGCTTATAAAAAGGGGGGGGGCTTACCTAAAGCTTATACTTAGGTAAGAGCTCTGACCATGAACTCTCAAACTCATTCGGCAACTGTTCGGGCTTGGGGAAGCGTATCAAGTTGAAACCAGGCTTATAGATGAGGTGAGGGGGGCTTACTTAAAGCTTACACTTAGGTAAGAGCCCTGACCATGGACTCTCCAACTCATTCGGGACCTACTTGGACTTGGAGAAGCGTATCAAGTTGAAACTACGGTGGGTTATGGACTTAGGTAAGATACCTTAGAAACAAGAGAGATGATCTGCTGAACCACAGAGGCTTCTGAGAAAAAGCTTCTTGAAGAAATCGAGGAGAGTGTTGTACGCGCCTGAACCTTTCTCCCGATACAGCTTGGAGCAGTGGTTATAGGGTCAATATCATGATTGACTTTCTTGAGTAGGTTCGAATCCTGCCCAGAACAAATATTTTTTGCCGAGGCACGTACATGACTCTTCCTAGGCTTCTTTAAAAAAGCTTTTTCTCAGAATCCTATGTGGTTTTGCAATCTTTCTTGTTTCTAAGAGCTCTTCCCTAGGTCCACAAGCCACCGTAGTTCCAACTTATTACGCGTATCCGAGCCCGAACAGTTCCCTAGTGAGTTGAAGAGTTCATGGTCGCGTTTGGAATGGCTTGATGTGTGGTAATTTAAGCGCGATCGTCGGTAGTGTGTTTCCATTTACTTATGTCTCATTCAGAAATCTCTACCGTAATCTCCTCCGAGCTCAACGAAGATAAGCTCAAAATTACAGTATCCTTCAAGGAAACGTTTTTCAACGAAATTTCCATTTGTTTGCTCGCGAAAAACGAATCCCGTTGTTCCCAAAAAACAATTTCAGATCAATTTCTACCGTTTCCATCAATTATTTTTCCATTCGAAATGTAAAAAGGCAATCAAATCGTTCCTTGTCTTTCCCATAAAATCGTTACGAATCGACAAAAAAAAATCCCACGTTTTTTACGATTTACTGTACGATTTTTTCCCACGCTTTATGTCGAATGTTGAATTTTTAATGGGCTGATGGGATCCTTGACGGAATATTTCGACACGAATCGTAACGTTTTTTTTTATTGAGGCTTTTTGTTGGAATGGCGTCTATAGAAGGAGAAACGATTTTTGCAGAAGATTAAAGAAAATGAGAATTCATAATAAGATGTTGAATGGCTTTTACAGGATTTGGCACGGAAAGGTCGCATTTGAAATGGCTGAAAGAGTCGTGGTCGCATTAAAAATTGAGAAATTCAGTAAAAAACAGCTTTCCGTGCTAATTTTAGTTTCATCCAATTCACATTAAAAAGATCGAAATTAAACTTCCCAGCGACTTTCGAAAACTTTACACCTACAAAAATCTCACTTTTAAAACTCAATAATTACAACTATTGCCAAAAAAGTAGTTTTCAAATCAATTTACATAGCTAAAATCGGTCAAAATCATCAAATTTATTGTAATAATCAAACAACTTTGAAAAATATCAAATAAACGGGTTCAAAACTAAATTTTTTCACTTCCAATAAGAAGAACTTTCCAACTGAAACCAGCTAGAATCAAGTAAGAAAACTATTGTTCAGCGCCTTCTCCAATATTATATTCCATTCATTCCCAGTTTCTCTCAAACAAAAAAGGAAACAAAGCTTTTTTTCGATTACAACAACATAATTCGTCTAAAAAAAGCATAAACAGTTTCCTTTAAGCTGTAACCAAGTTTGATTTTTGAAAACCATTTTTCCTTTTCCTCTTTATTCTTAGGTGATTTTTACAATTTTCATAATTTACTTCAAAAATGGTAACCGTAGGACGACTATAACAACTCTGACATGAGGCGCCTACTGAGGTAAAAACTAGGAAGATCTGCTTTCAGTTCCTCGGCTCGGAAGGCGTTTGGAAGCTTTCCAGCAAGTGGTCAAACGCCTTCCACATAGCTTCCTAACACCTTCTAGTCAGAAAAAAGCCTTCCAGAAGCTCTCCAGTAGGCTTCTGGCAAGCGTTTTCCGTTTTCACCTTCCAAATATCTTCTATCTACCATCCGAACACGTCTCAAAGGCTTTTTAAGACATCCTACCCCTTCCATACACCTTCCAACCTTCTGCTGGTTACCTTCCTAACACCTGCCCAAGATTCGCCTGAGTAAAGATCGACACAACTCTTTCTCTGACCTACACTATTTCTTCGTTTTCTCCCAGCTGAATGACGACGAAATAGTGTGTGTCCGAGAAAGAGTTGTGACAATCTTTAGGAGTCCAATATCAGAGAAATTTAATGCATTGTAAAGAGTTTTGTGACATCATTGAAACGGTAAGTCACAGTTTCAGAAATATTGAAAAAAATAATTTTTCCTAAAAAAATCGTTTTTCCTCTTTTTTTGCACCATTTATCTTCGAACTTCACCAAAAATCCCTAATTTTCTTACAATAAATGATGAAAAAGAAGGATCTATTGGTCTTTTTTGCGCCATTTTTTTTAAAACTTTCTGCCCAAGTCACAAAAATTCCTATTTTTCTCACATTAAAATATAAAATTGAGAACCAGTTGGTCTTAATGCTCACTTTTTCCTTCAAACTTCCACCCAAGTCACAAAAATCCCTAATTTTCTTACATTAAAAGATGAAAAAAGGATCTGTTGGTCTTTTTGCCCCATTTTTCTTCAAACTCCTCCTAGTCACAAAAATCTCCACTTTTCCCCCATTAAATGAAAAATTGAAGAACCTGTTGGCCCGTGGCGTCGACAGCGTCAGGCTCAGTCCACAGTTCCGTCACAAGGGCCAAGGCTCGGCTTGATTCTCTCGACGGCATCGGATAAATCGTGCATTGTTTTCTGTAGTGAGAACAAATATTAAATTATAGGTATCTTAGGCGTTAAGGAGGAAAAGCGCATTGCTTTCTCTTACTAGTGAGCGTTTTTACCTCCCCCCTGATTGCAGAACAAGAAGGAATTTTCTCGCAGTAGATCTCGTTTTGTTATAAGCCTTCAGAAGCTTGAAATAGCACGTTCTTGTCATAACTTGCGTGATTTGCGGACTTTGGAGCTCCATAACTCGAAAACAAGATCTAATACGAGAAATTTTTTTCTTGTTCTGCAATCAGGAGGCCCTAAAGTACCCTTGAGCAAAGTTTGGGCAAAAGTTCAACCGGGGGGGTAAACAACGTTCTTGGTTAGGAAGAATATTGATTGATAAAGCCTAAATTCTAACAAGTCGTTCTATTCTGAAGTTTGGATTTTTTAAATAAATTTTCCAAACACCCAGAAAGTGGAGATATTAATTCCTTATAATGGCAACTTGGTGCTACGACAAGAGCGAGTTTTACATTTTTGAAGAGTACTGTATGCAAATGTGCGCATTGGGTGCATGCACTTTGTGTGTTTACAGTCTTGTTGCATGACGTCATCGCGTCGTACATCTGCACGTTTTTTTTTTCAAGAATCGCCTTTTTCTTGTTGATACTTGCGCGATAAAAAACAGTGTCCAAAAAAATTACAAAAAAAAAACCCGGATATTTACGATGCGGTGACGTCACACTACGATAGTGCAAGCACACAAAGTGCATGCACGCAATGCACATACAGTACTCTTCACAAATAGAAAAACCGCTCTTGATGTCACACATCAATTTTTAAAAATTTTAAAAGTTTATGCTCAGATATCGGTAACATGTCCCGGACGTCTATGCGAATTTCAGGTGACCTGAATATCCTTAAGTGACCCCTAGAAATTCTCAGAAGCGTCCTGTTCCCGTTACCAATGTCCGAGTAAAGTTGAGAAATTTCATAATTATCGCCAGAGCGCATTTTCTCAAAAAAAAAAAGTGTAATCCTTTTTTTCAAATCCTTGTTTGCCTTTTTCGGAATCATGAACACTTCTTCTTACATTTAAATTGTAGATCAAAGTAAACTCGTTGGGGTTCACACTGATCTGTGAATAAATTATTATTATTAAATACTACGCAGAATAAAAAAACCCCTTCAAATATTTTTTTTAATTCTAAAAGTTCCAGGAATTTCAGGGCAGACTTCTCCGTCAAAATCAACCTTTACCCCCTTTTCACAGCTTTATTTGGGTAGATTATCATCGGAGCGAATCTAGGTCAAGTCTGCGATGAGCAAACTACATTCAATTAATAAAACAGACAGGGTAAAAATTCAGGTATCTATATTTTCTAGGGTAATGGAAAAGGTGTATAATCTTATCCGCAAGCCTAAAAATAGGTTGGAAAGCTCGTTTTTTGAGGCTTTCTGACTTTTCTTTCACAGTTTAAACTTGGCTTCATCTATCAATCATGACTCATTCTGAAGTTGTAAGCGATTTTCCCTTTCATCCCGTCATTTTCAACTCTCGAAGAAAAAGTAACCTCTTGAAACTGAACAAGGTTTTTCGGATAGGCACGCGGCGTGTCAGCGATGCCTATCTCCGAGTGAATGGACGGGAGAACCAACCAAATGATCGACACAAAAGATACGATTGCTACATGCAAAGCAGCCGGGGGGCAATAAATAGACATTGGATTGTTGCGAAAAAGTTTGATGATGAAGAAAAAAGGACTTTTTTGAAAATTGTAACGAAAGGTTATTCGTAACCGTCCCATATTCATATAAGCCTATGCTCATATTTTTCAAGAAAAATTGCTGTTCAAGCAAAAAATTTCTCTCGCAACTCAAAAATAATGTTAATAAAAGCATGAGGATGAAATTAAGTTGTTTTTCTGAATGAAATGCATTTAAAATTAAAGTCTTAAAAGCTTGATACACAAGATACGATTGCTACATGCAAAGCAGCCGGGGGGCAATAAATAGACATTGGATTTTTGCGAAAAAGTTCGATGATGAAGAAAAAAAGGACTTTTTTGTTAATTGTAACGAAAGGTTATTCGTAGCCTTCCCATATTCATAAAATCCTTGGTCCATACTTTTTTTTTTCTAACAATTGCTGTGGAGGAAATGTGTCTCTTAACTCAGCTTTTTTGACCTCAATACTCTTAAGTGATCCCTAGAAATGTTCAGAAACGTCCGGGGAGCGTCCTGTGAAAGGTAGGAGCTTTCATATGGTCTGCCTGTACTTAGAAATCGCAGATGTGGTCTAAAATTTTGTGGTAGATAGTTGCAGGTATGAGTACCGTCTGCTGATCGCCATAGGACGCTAAGAAATAGCGCGTCGAAAATGTACAGGCCAAAAAAAAAATTGACTTTCTTTAGATTTTCAACTTCTAAAATGACTACTGCAACTCACTCAATGATAAGAAACACGAGAAAAATAAAAATATATTGGTAAATTTTCTATTTTTTGAAGAGCCTCTTATAGCATCTAATATTCCAGAGTATTTTAGTACTGTTTATAGGGATTACACAACCTTTGTAACTTATATGTAGTTTGCTCACCCCTGGCTTCCCCTAGACGGTAATTTGTGCTCAATCGTCAATTTAAAAATTAAGCAGCTAGCAGCTAAAACTCGGATCTCGGTAACGTAACCCGAACGCACCCGGGACGTTTATGAGCTTTCCAAGTGATCACTTAAGCGGCGTAAGCCTTAGAAACGCAACTCATATGTAGTTTGCTCACCCCTGGCTTCCCCTAGACGGTAATTCGTGCTCTATCGTCAATTTAAATAATAAACAGCTAAAACTCGGATCCCGGTAACGTAAACCGGACGCACCGAGGACGTTTATGAGAATTGCAAGTGATCACTTAAGCGGCGTGAACCTTAGAAATGCTCAGAAACGTTCGGATACCATTACCGAGCTCCGTGAAGGGATTTTCGATCAGACCTAGAGATCCCTAATTTCCCTCTTTTTTGCCGTATTACCTTCCCCTCTGGGCGTTTCCACGCCTCCGCATGAGAGGAATCGAAACAGTCGTAGCCGGGAACATGATGAACTGCTCGAGGACGTAGCTGCTTTGGGAGAAGACCTGAAACAAGCCATCAAAGCCTTCTAATAATGGGAAATTTCGGTTAAAGTGAATAAAGAGCAAGATGGACGAATTATAGAAGATTCAATAAATAATTTTACGGCCTCTTTACCGAATATTTCCTCGAAAACTGTACCTGTCGACACAAGGAGAAGATATTATTTTGAGTCCAGGCTGGCTTGAAATGCTCCCTGAGCCTTCTCTTCACCAAAACGTTGAGGATAAAGTCCGCCACTGGCCGAGCTTCAAAGGCACCTCCAGTCACGCCGTAATCCGTTAGGACTATCACTGTTCGTCTGGAACCCAAAAAGTGAAATGATCTTTTTTTTTTCTTTTTCCGGCAGCCATATTGCTCCGAATAACGTTCCCGCACCTTTCTAGGAGAGAAAATTCAACTTCAAAACTTTATTAAAGTTTCTAAAAGTCCTAGAAGTCCTATATGACCCTCACACGTTGCCCTTAAATAATTAACAAACAACTAAAACCCTTCCAAATATTTCCATGAACCTCTTAAAACACATAATATCTTTTAAAAATAGTGAACTATGAGAAAAAAATCGGACTCTAAAAAAATTGAAGATCAAACCTAAAAATTTCTGGGATCCTGTTCACAGCAAAAACTTTAAAAGTATCAGAATAACCTAAGGAATCTCCCTTTGTAATATTTTCTAAGGCCTCTGAAAATCATACATTTCTACAAACATGACTAAATTGCATAGTACTGAAGAAAAAAAAGCTCTCAGAACTTCTTAACTTAAAGTTAGGGTCCGAAAAGTCCTCTCAACAACGGGCAGTTCAAAAAATGTCTGAAAAGGTTTCTATAAATTCTTGGAACTTCAGAATTCTAAAAAAAAAATGGGAACCAGTGAAAATTTATGTGGAACTCTAGCCCAATGATTATTAAATCTAAAATATTTGATTCAATAAATTTGAAGCATTATTTTCTGTTTTACCAGCTGATTTCCGATCTACTAGATCAATCAATCAATAATTTTTTTGAAGTCCTTTAGTTCTAGATGTGCTTTTCATAACTTGAGGACAAGGTCCAAAAAATCCTCATTACAACTAAAAATCTAAAAAGTGATCGAAAAAGTCCTCATAGCTTCTTGGATCTTGAGGACCTTGAAAGTTTGAAAATTGATGTATCTTTATGCAAAATTTGAGCCAAAACCACAACTACGAGTAAAAGATTTGGTTCAGTAAGACTGGAATATATAATTTTCGTGACTAGGAGATTTAACTTCAGTTATCAACTCAATTCCAGATAACTTCGCCTATTTTCCCTCTTCCAACCTGCAAACCAGACACTTGGCTATGGCATTATGAAGCGTGATCAGCTTGATCTCATCCTCGTCAACCGTCTCCTCCTGCACCCTGACGATCTAAAAACATCCATTCCAGGGGGAAACGGCCCCATTAATCGAACCATTCTCAAGTCGGCGGGAACTTCTCGGTATCGGACCATGATCCTTTCCATCGGCCTTCTGATGACGTTCAGGACCGGAAGGCCGCCTCTGGCGCCTTCGCTTTCGCTGGGGACGTCACTGTCGTCGCTGTCGTCGTCGTCCTCGTCGGCTTGATCTTTTTTCTCCACCTCGAACTTGAGGCCGAGGAGTCGGACTCGGAATTCGTCGACGACGCGTCTGCGCACCGACGTGTTGATGCCGCCGAGGAAGGCCGTTTTCAGGACGACGCATGGCGGTTCCAGACAGATTCTCGTCATGTAGAAGTACTCGGGAGAGCCGTCTTTTCGACTGAATGATATATTTTTGTGAGGAATAATCAGGATCATAGAGGCACAATCATCCAAAAGACTAGCTTATCAAGATTTTTCTTCGCAGTTTTTGAGCCTCTCTGTAAACCAGAAAAGCAATAGAATCCTCCAAAACAGAAAAAAAAAATTTCTAATAACTTTCGTAAACTTCAAAAAAATATTTTATTGGGTAATATTGTGATCAGAATAGCTTAGGAACTCCAGAGCGGTTCCTATAAGGACAACCTTGGGCGCCCTTGAAGTCTCCCCTCTAAGGACCCCTTCCCCTCTCCCTATAGGGACCGCGACCCTAAACCCCATAGGGATCACCTTACCTTTAACCCTATAGGGACAACTCTGTCGTTGTCTATCTAAGAAGAATAACTTTTCGGAACACAAAACAAATCTGAATAACCTAGGAACTCGAGAGTGGTCCCTATAGGGACAATCCTAGGGCCCTTGAAGGCTCCCCTCTAAGGACTCCTTCCCCTCATCTCATAGAGTGGCCCCTACAGAGGACATGCCGCTTATTTTCATTAGAATATGACGTTAAAATCTTTTTTTTAAACTCCAAATCTGAACGAAATATTAGAAGACCCTATAGGGACCACTTGAGCTTTAGGGGGTTAAAAGTCAGCCCTACAGGTGCTGCTTTTCCCCCTGAACCCTACAGGGACATTTCTGCCGTTCCTAGAAAAACTAACGTTCCGCAAAACGTGACAAAAGTCGATCGATTGACCAAACAAAACGAGCTGTGCTTCTTGATGCACTCCAGTAGCACGGTGAAGGCTCGGAAACAAGGCAGCTGGAATTATATCCCTCAACTCTTTCATTTTGAAGCTTCGAAACCTGCAAAGTCCTGGTCGTGTTGAAAGCTTCAAAGGGAAGCCCGTCGACGGCTAAAACCACCCGTTCCGAGTGTGTATGTACCCATTTTTGCCTAGAAAATTGTCATTTATCGAGAAAAACGGTCATTTTTTTCATAATGCGTTAGTTTCGCTTGAAAATGAAGTTTCAAATGGTTGAAAAGTGAAGGAAAACGCCTAAAATCTTGCAGAAAAAGTCGGGTTTCCAACTTTTCAAAATTTTTTCCAACTATAAAGCTTTTTCAAAGGCCCCAAAATCTATCCAAATGCTCTGAACGAACCAAAAAAAAAATGAAGAGAAAAAAAGCTCTCAAACCATTCCAAACGGTCCGAAAAAATCAAAAAAGGGGGTAAAAAGTCTAAGATCTTGTAGAAAAATTCGTTTCCCACTTTAAAAAAAGGTTATTAGGTTCATTTCAACTCTAAAGCTCTTTAAAGGCCCTGAAACCATTCCAAATGCTCTGAACGAACCAAAAAAAATGAAGAGAAAAAAAAAGCTCTCAAACCATTCCAAACGGTCCGAAAAAACCAAAAACAGGAGAAAAAAGCCGAAAATCTTGCAGAAAAATTCGTTTTTCCACTTTTTAAAAAAACGTTATCAGGTTCATTTCAACTATAAATATTTTTAAAAGCCCTATAACCATTCCAAATGCTCCGGAAAACCAAAATTACCAAGTAGAATCGTTCAGCTCCAATAAAACTCTCCAGAAATCGATAAAACATCGCGTTTTCGCTTCTTCATGCGGTCTGGAACCTTTTTCATTTCTATGAACTCTAAATTTCGAGACGGACCCCAGACAAGTGTTCGGCTGTCGAATGACGGTCCTTTCGTGGACACTGAAAAGGGCATATTCTGTCGTGACGCCACGGGGAATCGTGTAGAAGGGCACGGCGGTGTTGAACGAGTGGATGTGGAGGAGTAGACGGTCCGCTTCGATGATGCTGACAAGGAAGACATTTTTACTACTTCATTGAAATTTGCTGAAACACTTCTGGGAAGTGCAAATGGCATTCCTCGTACATCCTGATCCGTGGCAGCTCATCAATTTCTTTTTCTTTAGAGAAGTACAATATCTCTTTCTTCGATGAACGCGACCTTTTCCTACGCAATTCCCGTTATATTAAAGGCGCATGAACAAAGGCTCGCCGCGTGTATCGAAGGAAAAAGCCGTGTAGCTCAAAGAAATAAGAAAAAAAACGAGAAAAGCTGGAGGGGAATGAACTATAGTCTGTTCGGATTTTGAATAACAATAAAATGAACTTCTGACTTTCAAGAGCTCGATACAATTTTTTTAATTCCAATTTTTCTTCATATCTAGCCTACTGGAATTAAAGAAAAACTTAATCAATGCTCCATGAACTGGGAATCGAAACCGCCATAGTTGCTTTCAATTTTAGGTCTAGAAATGTGCATTTTTAAAGTCACCAAATATGTGTTTCAGGCTTGACCGTAAATTTGAGATGTCCTTTCTTTAAAGGTAGAAATATCCGTAAAGAGCGACAATGTGGGTTCAAAATACGCTTCATTGAAGATTGTTTGAGAGAATTTATAGTCTGATCAGTTTTTAAATTTCAAGTACAACGACTTTATTTGAAAACGTTCTGTGGGTTGGTTTTTCATTAGGGGCGGAGCTTGACCGACGAAAATCTGAACAGGCTACATGTGAAAGGACTCCCACGTCATTGCTTCTAATATAGTCTGTTCAGATTTTGAATTTAAAATCTGAACAGACTATAATTTCCTTTCAAAGGCCTAGCACTTCTAAACTCATGATTTATTTTCATAGGCTCTAACTACATTTGGAAGTCTTCAACGTTCATTCTACCTGTCCACAACGGATTTGGTCAAATTGAGCCTCGCCGGGTCGAGATATTGTCCTTCCGTGAGCAAATCTTTCAGCTCGTTGTACGGCGCCTGGATCACCAGCTCCACTTTCACATCGTGTCTGATAATTTCTTTCTAAATCGATATTTGTCAGTCGACAAAACCGTTCACAACGTTCAGCGGGCCAGGGCGACCAAATGGAATATTCGAGGAACACCAGGGGTCGGAAAGGCAGGCAGAGGACGACGTGAATGAGATTTCCATCCTCGGAAACATGGGCTGAAGGAATTTTCATTTTCATTTCATTACTCGTACAATGACGCACCAGATTTCAAAGTGAACCCTTCCCGGAGTCTAACGTACAAAAGTTGATGGAGATTGCTTCTGTAGACCGTCGCCAGGCGACAATGACGCTCAACGCCCCTAAACTAGCAATTTTCGGACTGGTTGAACTAAACTGGAGAAAAAAAATTTGTAAGGTAGGAAATGACCAACTCTGAGTAGAAAAATATTTTTTTCAGCACAACAATGAAAAAGATCTGTTTTTTTGTTTTTTTAAAAACGCTTCAAAAAGTTTGAAATAGCGTTTTTTTGTCATAACTCCGTTTTTTGCACACTTTGAAGCTCTATAATTCGGAAACAAGATCTATGGCGAGAAAATGTTTTCTTGCTTTAAAATCAGGAGGTCCCAAAGTAGACTTCAGAAAATTTTCAACAAAAGTTCAACTTAAAAAAAATTTCCTGATGAGGACGTGAAAAGGAAAAACTTTTGAGAATCCGCAAAAAAAGGTGGTATGAAAAGAACACCAGCGAAAATCCAAACGGCGACTTTTCCGATTTTTTCATATCGCTAGGGAACTTTCCGACGGCCACCTTTCCGACGAATCTTTTTCCGACTTTTTTTCTCGATAAAATCTTCGTTTTAAATCTTCCTATATGAAGAAGGTAGTTGGTTCATGATTAAAACACAAAGAAATAGGAAAAATGTAAATAGACGTCTTATAAACCGAAAAACATAAGGGAAAAAAGTCGGAAAAAATTTCGTCGGAAAGGTGGCCGTCGGAAAGTTCCCTAGCGATATGAAAAAATCGGAAAAGTCGCCGTTTGAGTTTTCGCTGGTGTTTTTTTCATACCACCCAAAAAAAATTCGCGGAGAAGTACTTTGGAGGACTCCGAATCCAAATATTAAAAATTTTTCTATTGCCAATTGGTGGCCTCAAATATCGTGCGCCTCCATTGTAAGAACTAGGGTTTCCAGTGTCTTTGAGGCTCTATAACTCGGAAAAAAGGTAGTAAGACAAAAATCAAAAAAGATTTCAATTCAGGACCTTTTTAAGTACATCTGACCAGATTTGAATACTGTCAAAGCCAATTTCAAAGACCTCGGAAACGTGGAAAAAAAAACACTACTGTAATTTTTCGATTCGTCGACTATATTTCTGTACAACTACGTCAAATGAACATGGAAAAACTCTCAAATTACGGAAAATTGAATTTTCTCAATACTTCCAAATCGATAAGCCTGAGAAAAAAATTGGGAAGAATAAATACGTTAGTAGGAAGATAAAACAATGCAAGAAGTTTGTATGATCTGAAATTTTTTCCAGAGCTTTATGAACTTGGAAAACTTGCCAGAAAAAATTTTGATTGTTGAAAAGTTAGCATTGAAATCTTAGCAAAAAGTAATTTTGAGCATTTTTTAAACCTAGAGCTTTTCAAAACCCAACTGTTTATGAAGCTGGGCGAACTCCGGATTGATGGCCATGATGGTCTTGGTGATGTGTTCATTGTCGGCCAGGGCGTTCTGGAAGCACCAGCAGATCAGGGCGCGGTGGTAGGAGTTCAGCGAGACGTAGGCTTCTTCCTCGTACTGCGACGCCTCCAGCTTCTGCACCGTTTTCAGGCGAACTGCTAGGGGTTCTTCGACGTACTCGTCAGAGTCTTCTGGAACATTCCACCATGACTTGACCTTGTTCCAGTGAGTCTTTAGAAAGGCTCTTTACAAGGGAGGTCATTTCACTTTGGGGTTGGGAATTTCTTGAAATTTGGCCAGAACACTCCCAGGTGCACCTAATAAAGTTCCTGAAAGCCGTAATCTGAAAGGTGGGCTCAAAGACCTAAGATATCCTATTTTGACGGGTTTTGCGAGTCTTCCTCGACTGTAGGGCGTCCTCACAGAAAAAATAAGAATTTGTGCCGTTTGAGACTTTCAGAATCTCCATTCGGTACATTGAAAAATGTTCTGACCAATTTTCAAGAAAATCCTAGCCGCGAAGTAAAATAACCTTACTTTATAGGAAATAGCCGGTGCACAGCTTTGAAGTTTTAAAAAAATGTTCACAGGTTCATTTTTAATGATCAAATTTCTTCATTTTTCTTTTCAAAATCTGAAGAGTGATGAACTTTCTGAAAACTTTGAGCCGAAATAGTGAGCCTGAAACTAAGAGTTGTTACAAGTTCGAAGTTTCACTTTTATCCGGAAAACTTTAAAAATTCGATATACCAGTCAAGAACTCACTAAATTTTCTTTTATCGTGTCAGAACTTTTTTTTAAAAGGACAGCGGCGAATAAGCTATAGACGTTCAAAAAAAATTCCAAAATTCTACCAGAATTTCATGAAAAGGAATTTTTTGCAGTGTAACGCAAACTTCTATAATAATAAAAAAATAATTGAGAAAAACAAGATTCTCACCAAAAACAAAAAAAGTCAAAAAAATTCAAAAAGATAGGCCTTCTAGCTCATAATGCGCATTGAAAAAGTCTCCCAAAATTTTTCTTTTTCGATGATTTCCTTAAAATTTTTGCTTGGTATCCGATACAAGGTCGCGATAGCCGGTTTGAGTCGGGAGGGCCTAAAAAATAACCGCTTCGCAGTCGCACCGTTCTTTTCTCCATCAAACTCTTAACATAAATTCCTCACGGCTTTTTTTCCCAGGCTATATTTCTACAGCTTCTCTTTTTTCCTATGCTATTTTGCTCCAGCTTCAATATTTTTCTCTCAACCTTTTTTTTCTACTTAAGTAAATATCCACCTCCAGAATCATTATCCTTTTCGTAGTCCTCCTCCTCGACCACGTAATCCTCGCCGGAGACGCATTTGCAATTGGGCAAATATGTTCCGAAAGTGGCCATGGCCAGAAAATGGAACAGTTCGCAGGAGGCGACGTGGCCAAACACCGGCTCGCTTGAGGAATGACTTTGGAGCTAAAAAACTATTTGATAACTGTTTTTTGAAGTTTTTTTTTGTACTTGGATAAAAGAACAGGCGATGGTATAACTTCTCAATTGGGTCAGAACTTTCTGAAGAGCCGCCGCGTCAGGAATTCCACAGACGGCGTCGGTTATGAGGATCACGTCTGAATCAACTTTTGAAGCAACTTTCGATTATAGTTCATCCAGAGGATTTTCTTCACGGGCGAAGTCCAAAAGGTCTCAAACAGGACTTTTTCAAAAAAAAAAAAAGGCCTTCAGAATGCTTCAAAGGCGCCTTTTTTTTAGACCTATTTCTGAAAAGTACCTTTCAAGGAGGTTTAAAAAGCGGAAAAAGGTGGAAAAAAGGAGATTCCGCTAAACTTTCGACACCTTTTTAGGAGCTCCAAATGGAGCTTTATGCTTTTTCTTAAGGCCTTTTTGAGGTCGTTTGGACTTTGCCTGTGTTACGCTTGAAAGATTAAAATTTTTGAAAGTATTTTAAAAATTGACGCGTTATTCGTTCAAAACGGTTTTGAGAAACGAGCAAAATTGGACTTTCGCAAGCCGTTTGAAAAAATTTGGGTCCTGCAACGATATATCGCGAAAATCGGAGAGCTGACAGATTCGCCAATTTTTTGGAGTTAATGACGTGTTCAAAGTATTTAAAAATTGATGCGTTATTCGTTCAAAATGGTTTAGCAAAACGAGCGAAATTGGAATTTTCAGAAGCCGTTTGAAGAAATTGGGTCCTGCGACGATGGGTAAGCTTTACAGCGAACTGTCAAAAAATATCCAAACAGCTTCAAAATTGGGTTTTGCGCTTAAAAGTCGTTAAATCGTTGTAGGACCCAATTTTTCTAAAACCTGGAATTTTGCGGAATAATTTTTTTCCGTGTCGTTCTTAAAATTAATTTGAAAACAGCGTATCTCTTTTTTTTTTCTTTTTTTCGATTTTAGTTCTGTTCCTCACTAGATTGAGTATTCTCAGGAAGCATCTGCGTCGAAATGAGTCCAATCCGGAGCATGAAAATCAGCGACCACTCCGGCAGAATGTAGCCCTCGACGACGGCGCCAGCCGGGAACCCTTCTTGCCCTTCGTCGTACAAGTTCCTGACGAATAAAAAATATCAATAAAAAAGGAGAGAAGAAATACCAAGTTCCACGCGGATAACTCATGATATTTGGAGGTCGTGGGGGTTTTTCTTCTGGTCCGGGGTTCTTGACTGGGTTTAATTGCCGGAAGTCGTAGTCTTCGATCAGACTGTCGGTGTCGCCAATCGAAGTCTCGCACACCGAGTCGAATTTGTAGTTCTGAACATATAAAGGGTATGGAAGGAAACGGTGGTATGAAAAAAAGACCAACGAAAATTCAAACGGCGACTTTTCCGATTTTTTTCATATCGCTAGGAAACTTTCCGAGGGCCACCTTTCCGCCGAATCTTTTTCCGAATTTTTTCACGATAAAATCTTCGTTTTAAATCTTCCTATATAAAGTAGGTAGTTTGTTCATGATTAAAACACAAAGAAATAAGAAAAAAATGTTCATAGATGTTTTATAAACCGAAAAAAATAAAGGAGAAAAAGTCGGAAAGGGATCCGTCGGAAAGTTCCCTAGCGATATGAAAAAAATCGGAAAAAGTCGCCTTTTGAAATTTCGCTGGTGTTTTTCATAACACCAAGGAAACGAATAAAAAAATATTGATAAAATTTGGAAAAAAAGAAATGTATAAGAATCTTTCTTAAAAATTGGCAGCGCCTTCAATTGAAGAATCTAAAAATCGAAAACGGGCAACGGGGATTTTTTTCAGAATTTGGCAGCGCTTAGACTTACAAACCTTACATGGGTTTTACATTTCAGCGAAGAGCTCAGAATTTTCTACAAATTTGCTCAAAAGATTTTTGATGGACTGAAAATCCTACATAGTCCCTATCTGCGCAAACTTCTAGTTTTAGTGATACGATTTTTAAAAGTTTTAATCCTTAACCATGTGACGCAGCTGGCAAGCTGTCTCAAGGAATGTACCCATATTGACCCGAGTTTTTTAAGGCTTTTGAATTTCAGTTGTGCTGAAACAGTTGCAAAAAGAGGTGATCCAACCCCTTTTCAAAAAGAAAAATAAGATTCAACTGTCTTTTTTTTTCAAAATCAGAGCTCCTACAGTGCAAAAACAGTGCCTCAGCTGTGGTAAAAAAAATTGCCAAAAGTTCTACAAGTCGTGTTTTGGGCAAACCCGCTGAGACCCCGTTTTAACACGGCTGGTTAGCCTCATCAGCATGAGAGTAAGCTTTTTTTAAAAGTTTGGCAGCGCCTAAAATTGGAGAAGTTGATCTTTATTGATTTTTTTCTTTTGAGAAAATAACCTTATATCTTCTCTTCAGCCGTCCCCATCGGTTCAAAATCGGATGAGCGAACTCGTAGAGTCGCGTGAAGAGCACTTTGAACTTCTCAGTGACCGTGGAGATGATCTTATGGACGTTGGACTCAGTGAGGAGGACGCCTTGTATCAGGAACTGAACAGGGAAGTTATATTTTTTCCGATCAATGAATCGAAAATCACTGAATCATGTTCAAAAGTGAGGAAGGGTACGAAAACGCAGACAGAGATGTAGATCTGAGGCCGAAAAGTCCGTTTCGTGCCAGGTACAGTAAACTGAAAAAAAAATGACGTCATGATGCGTTGCGGCTGCGCGTCGCGGCTCTTTCACCTACCCCTTTCACCGCCGAAACCATACTCGTTCGCAAGCTCTTCATCAGCCGAGTACACAGACAACAGTCCGATTCTTCGTCCTGAAATCATTTTTCGGGGTTTCTGTAATTTTGTTCAAGTGTGACAAAAACTGACGGCAACGATGGTCGACGGGCTCAAGTCCAAGACGAACACATGGCGATAGTACCGTGAAATGTAGGTAATCTGAAAAAAAAAAGTTTTTTCAATCTGTTACCTGGTCAAAAACAGATTCCTGGCCATTTATAATGGCTCTGAATGAGAAAAAGAAAGTTTCGAATTTTTTTAAACCTTATGTAGAACGTATCTTGGCCTTTCTTCTTTAGAATAGTCAAGGTAGCTAGAAACAGCGAGTAAAATGGAGAGGTTTAGACACAAAATGTTTTTTCAAGCTGTCTGATCACCTCCACTTTCTCCATAATCTTTAACTTTGATGAATATCGCCTTATCTTTGAGGTAAATTGATCCGATCTTTTTATTTTTGACTAACTTTTGAAAAAACGAATTTAAGGGAATCAAAACCAACGTTAAAATTGGAGATAAATAGACAAATTTATTTCTTTCTCAGTTCTAATTCCCTCCTCTTTTTACATACCTTCTCCTCTTTTACTTATCACCTATTTTTCTCCTTCTCACGTCTCTTTCTCTCTATTTTTTCTACACTCTCTCCGCTTTTCTCTGTCACCTTTTTTTTCTTTCTCAGTTCTAATTCCCTCCACTTTTAGCATACTCTCTCCTCTTTTACTTATCACGTAATTTTTCTTTCTCAACTCTTATCCCCTCCACCTTTTCCGTACTCTCTCCGCTATTACCTATCACTTGTTTTTTTTTCTCTCACGTCTAGTTCTCTCCACCTTTTCCATACGCTCTCCTCTTTTATCTATCACTAACTTTTTCCTCTTCTCATGTCTAGTTCTCTCCACTTTTCCCATACTCTCTCAGCTTTTTTCTGTCACCTAATTTTTTATCTTTTTCAGTTATAATTCCCTCTTCTTTTTCCACACTCTCTCCTCTTCTACCTATCGCTTGATTTTTTTTTCTTTCACAACCTAGTTCTCTCTACTTTTCGCACACTCTCTCTTCTTTTAACTATCACCTAATTTTTCTTTCTCAATTCTCATTCTCTCCACGTCTTCCATACTCTCTCTCCTCTCTTACCTATCAACGTTTTTTTTTTTCTCTCAAATCTAGTTCCCTCCCTTTTTTCGACACTCACTCCTCTTCTACCTATCACAATTTTTTTTTCTCTAACGTCTAATTCTCTCCACTTTCTCCATACTCTCTCTCTCCTCTCTTACCTATCACCTGTTTTTTCTCTTTTCATGTCTAGTTCCCTCCTCTTTTTCCATACTGTCTCCTCTTCTACCTACCACTTCTTTTTTTTCCCTTCTCAACTCTAATTCTCTCCAATTTTTCCACACTCTCCTCTCTTACCTATCAATTTGAGCTAGTTCTCACCTTGGTATCAACGGTGACAAGAAAGTCTTCATCGCTGAGGTCATCATCAGTCGGGCCGCCCTTTGGAATAATCCCGTACACGCTCATTTCGTTGCAATACTTGTTGTCCTGCAAAAAATGTTTATTAACAAGAGTAGCTTTCAAAAAATATACATATAACTGACAACTTTGAATAGACTCATTATTGTTAGACTTGGCTGGTTGGTTATTTAGGACATTCTGATTTTAAATAAGTCAAAAAAAACTATGACTTTCGCCGCTTAATAGAAGAATCATGACGCCTTGAAGACGTCAAAAACCGTGTATTTTCCATTTTCATTTTCGAAAATGCTACCAATTGCTCATTTTTTGGCGATTCGATTTCAGAAAGGCTTTACAAAAACGGTTAAAGACGTCTCAATTCAACAAAAAAGGTTAATAAACTGATTTTTAAGAGATTCTCAGCCAAGCCAGCCATTCAGCCAAGCCAGCCATTTCATCAATTTCCCATTTCTTTTGAACTGTTTTTTGAAGAAAAATTAACCATCGTGGCGTCAGGATCAATGCGAACGGTCCTGTTAACATGATCGAATAGCCAGTGTGCTCTGATGTTCCTCGAGACACGGAAGTTTCTGAAAAACATTTTTTTTTTTTTCAAGTACTACGCCAACTCATGTTCGCGGATCGAGTTCAAACTTTAGTGGTTTATAGACGTAGACCAGAATAATTGAAAACAAAAGAGAATATATGCTGAACCCTATGAAAAAATTAGTAGAAAATGTGAAAATTAGACCTGAAAATGTTTAGAATACTACTTTTTATTTTATTTTATATTTTAATACAACTGCCTTGAATGATCCGGCTATGATAAACACTTAAAAAAAAACTTTTCCCAGCCAAAAAAGGAGAAAAGGAAAAATTTGTAAGTTCTGAAGCATGTTCATTTTCAAAAAGCTGTTTCTCGGTACCTTATTGAGTTTAGCAGCGAACGTTGCCTGTTTTAAAGTACCCTTACCTAGATTTTTAAACAACCAAAGTTTGAACTCGCCAAGTTCCATAGTAAGCACTCAATATTTCCTCCCGTGTGAGAAATTCGGTTGAACGGGATAAAAAAATAAGCGCTCCAAAGCTCGCGCGCGTTGATTTCGGTCTTTATACGGTTTCCCCTCGGTCAAATTCGGTAAATTCCGCAAAATGAGCGTTCCGAGTCACGTTTGAATCAGGAGTTTTGGCGTTATCGCGCTACTCCCGATGGAAGTTTCCATAGATATTTGAAGTCGCAAAAAAAAAACTATAGTTTTATCAAAAAATGGCAGTTCCTCAAAGACGAATATTTGAATAAATTGACGATTTTTTTCTCGACGTTAGAAGTCTGAAAAGGTTCAAAAAAATTGGTGTTTCTTGAAGGCGAATTTTTTTGAATAATTTTAAAAAAATTTTTCTCGACGTTAGAAGTCTGAAAAAAATGTTCAAACAGAGCAGTTCCTTGAAGGCAATTTTTTTAGAATAATTTTTTTATAATTTTTTTCTCGACATTTGAAGTCTGAAAGTCCTTAAAAAAATGGCAGTTCTGTTGAATATGTGAATTGATAGTGATCAAATAATAGATCACGTGAGAGATATCCCAACTAAGAGTATAAAAGAAGTCGGGAACTCAGATCTTGATTGCTCGTACCGCCCACCATTCGCCTCCAGCTCCTCCGTCGCTTCCAGCTACGGACTAATCGACAACTACCTCTCCAATCTCCACTCTCCATCTTTATTCACCACTGATAATAAATAAGTGGCGAGTACTCTTCTTTCTGACACGCACACAAAGATACATTAAAGTGGCGATCAGGAAGCGGACTAACTAAATAAAAAGAAAGAAATAATGACGGAAAAACCCTGTTGTGTCATCAAACTCATACCTGACGAAAGGACCCGGTGCCTACGTACCGGGCACGTCATGGGAAATATATGAGAAGATGTTCAACAATTTTTCTGAAGATGCGTAAAGTAACTGTTGATACGGAAAAAGCGTGCATATTAGTATGCGAAATAGGTGTCACAGTTTACGCAGAAATAGAATCCCTGTCTGATAAACCTATAGAAAATCTGTCGTACGACGAGTTGATAATTTTGCTCAGGAAGCGTTACATGCCAAAGAAATTGACGCTGGCAGAAAGAGTGAAGTTATTAAACATTGTCCAAACAGAGGGTCAAACAGCAGAGGAATTCTATACGGAATTAAGAAAGATCGCAACCCACTGCGAATTTGACAAAGTAACAAATGTATTAGATATGATGGTTACAATGTTATTCGTAAGAGGGTTGAGAGAGGAAAAGGTCAGAGCGCAGTTGTTGAACAAAGTTAAGCTTACGGGACCGGAAGCACTCGAAGAGGTGGCTGTGTTAGCAGCCGCGAAAAAAAGAGCCAAAAAGATGACTAAAAAAATAATGCCACAGTAAAACATTCACTTCTCACGGTTAGTCAACCGGTAAGACGAGATGGCCAATACAAAGATAAGGCTAAAATGAAGTGTTTTTACATGTGGAAAAATTAGGTCATATGTCCAGAGATTGCTATAGAAACAAAAAAAGTCAAGCAGTCAACATAGTAAATCACGTTCCAAAAATGCAAGGAAACCATAAAAGAAAACATTTCCAAAGTAAAAAATCACACTATGTCACTAATGATCGAGAATACGACAGTGAATCAGTGGATTTCGTAAATTTAGCGGAAATGGAAAATGTGGTTAATGCCATTTATCCGGCATGCATGGTACCTATAAAAGTAGACGGTACGAACGTTGATTTTTGAACTGCACACCGGCGCTTCCATGAGTATAATTGGTATCTCACAGTGGGAACTTCTGGGAAAAACCAAGACTCACACCCGTTGCGTATACCGCGAAGGCTTACGGGAACTCTCGAATTGAATTCAAAGGAAAGTTCAGTTCGTGGGTTGAGTTCGAGAATAAGAAAGCGCACGTAACACTGCATGTGTTTAAACACCAAGGCCGTTTCTCTCTGTGGCAGAGACCTAATATGCCAATTAGGGACTCGATGTCACAAAAACTGCTAAGAAATCTGGTAAATGAAATGCCTAAGATAAACTCTGTTCAAGAGGTTGAGGCAGTGTTAACTGATTACCAAGAGATTTTCGAAGACGGCCTGGGTACGTGCACAAAAGTCAAAGCAAAATTACATGTGAAACAGGGGGCAATGCCAAAATTTTGTAAAGCCCGACCAATCGCATTTGCTTTGAAACCACAGGTTGAGGCAAATATCGACGAAATGGTACAGAAAGGAATCTTAGTACCAGTCGAACATGCAGAATGGGCCTCAGCTGTGGTGGTGGTTCCGAAACCAGGGGGTAAAGTAAGAATCTGTGGAGATTTCAAACAGACAATAAACCCCTGGCTGGACGTGAACCAGTACCCGCTTCCGAAACCGGAAGAGTTATTTCATGCACTAAATGGTGGACAGAAATTCTCAAAGATCGATCTGAAAGATGCGTATCTGCAGTTGGAATTGGAGGAAGAATCTAAACAGTATCTGATATTGAATACATTGAAAGGACTGTTTAGATATGAAAGACTTCCTTTTGGCGTAGCATCGGCCCCCTGCAATATTCCAGAAAACAATGGAAACGATGTTGCAGGGGGTTCCCGGAGTTATAGTCTATCTGGACGATATCACTATAACCGCGCCATCCGACGAAGAGCACATAAAACGATTAAGAGAAGTGCTGAAGAGAATTAAGGACTATGGTTTTCGGGTGAAGAAAGAGAAATGCGAATTTCTCAAACCGGAAATAGAATACCTGGGACATATAGTAAACGCCGAAGGCGTAAAAACGTCCTCAAAAAAGGTAGAAGCCATAGTCAAGATGCCACCACCAAAGAACTTGAAGGAATTACAGTCGTTCTTAGGCATGATAACTTATTACGGGAAGTATATACCAAACCTGTCATCTGAAAGTGCACCGTTGAATCGGTTGCGACAAAATGATGCTGAGTGGGTTTGGGGAGAAAAGGAGCAGATGGCCATAGATAAAATAAAGAAAATACTGGTAGACAGTGGAACACTGGCACACTACGACCCTACAGAGCAGATAGTGCTCGCGACGGACGCGTCGGATTACGGGCTAGGTGCAGTGATATACCACAAGTACCGTGATGGTACAGAGAAAGTGATAGCGTACGCATCTAGAACTCTCACCGGATCCGAGAAGAATTATGCGCAAATTGAGAAAGAAGCGTTGGGCATTATCTATGGCATTGAAAAATTTAACCAGTATTTGTACGGAAGGAAGTTCCTCCTGTTGACCGATCATAAACCGCTCCTAAAGATTTTCGGTCCGAAGGAAGGATTGCCGGTGATTGCAGCAAAAAGACTGCAACGCTGGGCATTAAAGCTGATGACATACAGCTACGAAATAGAATACCGAAACACAGAGAAGTTCGGTAACGCTGACGGATTATCAAGGTTGCCCAACCCAGACGAGAGAGTGTCTGAAGATAGTCAGCAAGTAGAAGGCGAAATACTCGCTCTACACGAAGAAGCCATAGCAGGATTACCTGTAACGGCTGAAGAAATAGCTAAAGAAGTAGCTAAGGATTCTGCACTGCAGAAAATTTTGCCTTATGTGCAAGGTAGAAAACCGTGGCCAGAAAAGTGCACGGACGAAGCGCTAAAACCTTACTGGAGAGTAAAGGATTCGTTAACCTTGCACGAAGGATGTATGTTAAAAAGGTACGCGAGTGATTATTCCACAGACCTTGAGAGAAAGGGTATTAATGGATTTGCACAGTACACATGCAGGAATAGTGAGAATGAAAGGTCTTGCTAGGATGTACATGTGGTTTCCCGGGAAATTGATGAAAGAATAGAACGGGAAGCTAAAAACTTGTACACAATGTGCTGAAACCGGGAGAGAAGAAACCCGGGTACCATTAAAGATGTGGAGCGTACCAGAGTCACCGTGGCAACGAATTCACATAGATTTTTGTGGGCCAACGGCTGACTATATGTGGTTAATAGCGGTAGATGCAAAGACAAAGTGGCCCGAAGCATGGCCAATGAAAACTACCACTACGAAAAACACCACGGAATGCTTACGGAGAATGTTCGCAGTACACGGGTATCCGGGAGAAATAGTCTCAGATAACGGACCACAATTTACTTCAGAAGAATTTGAGAAGTTTTGTGAGATAAGGGGCATAAAACATACGTTAACCCCGCCGTATAACCCTCAATCTAATGGTGAAGCTGAAAGATTTGTGCAAACTTTTAAAAAAGGATTAGAAAAATGCATAAAATCAGGGCGAAAAGCCTTAGAAGCAGCACCCGATATACTATTAAAATATCGGATAACACCACACCCTGCCACCGGGAAGTCACCATGCATGATGCTCATGGGTCGACAATTACGATCGAGATTGGATTTAGTAGTGCCAAAAGGTAGCTCGGTAAAATTGAACCATACACAGGAAAATATGAAAGTGATGGAAAATTACCGTAGAAGAACTACCGAATACCATGACAGAAAGGCCAAATCGAAGGAGTTCCAAATAGGAGAAATAGTCTTTGCCCGAAACTACCGAGAAGGAGAGAAATGGGTAAAAGGGGCTATTATAGAAAAGAAAGGAACTCGATGGTTCGTAATTGCAGTACCGGGTTTAGGCAGGTGGAAGAGACACTTGAACCAAATGAAGAAGTTTGTGTCTAAAAGGGGAAGGAGACTCCGGAAATACCGAAATAGTAATAGAAAAAGCGTACAGTAGTACAGCAGAAGGAGCCGGTAATAAAAACCGACCTTACCAGTCAGAACGTCTATCAGGAAAAAGACAACCACCAGCCCATTTAAAAAGATTATGTGACTACGTTACCTCAAAGCGCGAAAGACAAAGTGAAAAAGAGTGCGTTTTTGAAAATGAGATGATCCACCACGTAAAAGGGATCTGGAATCATCGAAGTGGAAATGAGAGTAAAAAAAGTCGTAGTAAATCCGCGTGAAGATGGGAGGTGGATAAGAAAAGGGTATAAAAAGACATGATGGAAACAGATAGACACAAGAAGATGTCGGACAAACCATCTCGCAAGAAGAGCAAGCACCACGAAGGACGACCGCCGGCCGCGAAAAAACCTCGCGAACAAACGCCGCCGGAACAGCACCAAGAAGAGTTACCTTTCGTGCCTACATACTTAAGACTCCACCGGATCCAACAAAGTTTGAACAGCTTGAAAGATCAAATGGAGGTACGGTCATTTCCTAAGATAAAGATAAAAAAAAAAAATCTAAAAGGAAAGGAGTGTTGAATATGTGAATTGATAGTGATCAAATAATAGATCACGTGAGAGATATCCCAACTAAGAGTATAAAAGAAGTCGGGAACTCAGATCTTGATTGCTCGTACCGCCCACCATTCGCCTCCAGCTCCTCCGTCGCTTCCAGCTACGGACTAATCGACAACTACCTCTCCAATCTCCACTCTCCATCTTTATTCACCACTGATAATAAATAAGTGGCGAGTACTCTTCTTTCTGACACGCACACAAAGATACATTAAAAGTTCTCTGAAAGGAATTTTTTTTAATAATTCGAATAATTTTTCCTCGACGTTGGAAGTCTGAAAATTTTTAAAATGGCAGTTTCTTGAAGGCTGATTTTTTTGTATAATTCGAATATTTTTTTTACTCGAATTAGCAGTCCCTGATAGCTAACTTGGCAGTTCCTTATAGCTAATTTCTTGAATTATCAATTTTTTACCGATGCATGTAGATGAAGACCTCCTCGGCTTCCCGCGGGGCCATTTCGCAGCCGGGTTCTCCGCCCAAGGATGACGTCACGTCCGGACTTTCTGCTGTAAACGTTTTTTTCAATTTCAATCACTTTATTATTGCATTATCCGGATGATATTGATATATCAAGGGGGAAATATTGAAACCATCCTAATAAAAAACAAGGGATGAAAAATAATGATTTTATTCACCTTCTAATACATATAAATTCATTATGAGAGACTTTTGCGAAGATAATTTAAATTTTTATGGATGAATAAATTTTTTTATAAGTATACTTTCATTAGTATCAATTGACAAAAAAACCTGAATTATTATTTTTTTCCTGAAAAATTCTTCGATGCAAACAAAAAAATATCACGATCTTACAGGTCAAAAAAATACTTTTTATTCCCAAAAAAACTTCAGCAAAAATTTATTTCATCATTATTCAGCGATAAAGCGTAAATAATACTATAAATAACATGAAAAAAACTCTGTTTTTCTAGAAAAATCTTTCAAAGAAAAAAATTCGCTTCAAATTATTTTTTTCTAGAAAAATTTTCTGTAATAGACCCATTTCCATAATTAATATATTAACCATATGGTAATTCTGACCCTTTTTTTTGCTACCAGAAAAACATTTACGTTCAAATAAACATAAATACAACGTAAAAATCTCTAAAAATCCCAAACCTTGCGCGAAAGTGACGTTCCGCCGTGGCTCCATCTTCATTTTCCTTCATAAAGCTTTTCTTTCCAATAGAATCAAAATATCGGGTGACAAAAATTTTATCGTTTTTTTCGGACTTGAAGGATTTTAATCGGCCGTCATGGTATTCAACAGATTTTGTTGACAAAAAGCTGGTGAAATGGAGCCCACTCGATATTCTTCTCGATTTTTTTCTGACTGTAAATGGCTTTTTCGATTATTTTGAATATAACTGTGGATTTGACAAGAAGGAAAGGTTGTAAATTATTTCAAAATTAAGTATTTATATAAAAAGAGCCTTGAATACCTGAAAATGACCATTAAAAAAACGGCTCTTCGCCTCAGGACTTTCCTTAAATTTTTCTATGCGCCTTTAAACTTTTTTCAAACTAGTCATTTAAGGCATTCAACATGAAAAATGAACGGAATTGAAAAATTAGTGAGCCAATATCAACCAGACTTGTTGAAAATTTGAAAACAAAAACCTTGGAGAGAAATTAAAAATATTTTTTTTAAAGAAGAAAAAAAAATAATTTTCCCAGGAAAACTGTCCAAATTCAACAATTTCAGAATTTCAACCTTTTTTTAATTGAAAAATTCAACCTCGAATATTTCAAAAAAACACCAAAAAAATGAAGGATAAGAGTTCAAAATCGCTTGGAAAACCTAAAACATGAAAAAAACAGGTTCAAAATTCTAATTATATTTTTTTCTTTTCTGCTCAAAATAATCATTTTTCGTCTAAAAACATTGAAAAATCGAAAAAATTCAACAAAATACTCCATCACCAAGGGCCAAGGCGATAAAACACCGCATATTCTCAATGGAAATCGATATTTATTCATTAAAATTGAGCAGCACTTTTTGATAAGAGGGAAAAAAGAGTATCAATAGATCCAACAATCAGAAAACAATCGAAAAATAACAAAAAAGCCTAAAATCTAGCTGAAAAATCTAATAAACTCTGTTAAAAACAAGATAAAATCAAAAAAAACTAACAAAAAAAGAATAGATCAATAGCAAAAGGAGGTCGAAAAATCATTGATCAATGTGAAACGGAACACAACTTTTCTGATTTCAAACAAGATATTGGAGGGAAATTTCTCTTTTTTCAATTTCAGGCGTTCAAACGGCCGTTTCTCGTTTCAGGGTCGTACCGAATTTGACCTGAAATAGGGCCAAATTGCATTTTTTTTTTCATTTTCATTTTGAATAAGTATTAAAACTTGTACTTATATAGTCTTTTTTGACACCCAAAAAAAAACAATATTCGTTCTGAAGCTTAAAATCAACTTAAACTGAAAAAGGTCAAATAAAAGAAAAAATGAGCAGAAAGGAGTCCAAAAAAAGTATTTTCAACTAAAAAAAAAACTTATTACCAATCCCTTTTTTAACTTAGAATTTTACAAGGACTACAAAAATTCCTAAATAACAATGATATCGTCACTTTTATGATTTTATCTTAGAATATTCTACAAAATTGAAAAAAATAGCCGCTTTAAGGTCAGAAGAAACTATCAAGGTCAAGTTTTTTTGTCATTCCTACATAACTAGCCGCTTTTTTGTTACCCGAGTCTTGCCTTTCAGCTGGAAAAAGCTCTTTCAAAGATTCTACGATTCTAATTTGTGATACAATCTCTATCTTTTTTTTTTCCAACCAGGACCTTCTGATCCCTGGCAGCCAGCTGCTCCCGCTCGAGCCATTCCATTTTGTGCTGATGTTGTTTCATCGCATCAACCGTATTCTTCTCAATCATCGCCTCAGTCAGCAGACCATCTTCAGAAGCGTAGGCGGAGGCCTGGAAATTGAAAAAGGTACTGACTTTTACAACTTTAGTTAAAATAAGATCAATTTCAGGTTTTAAAACCTATCATCAGGTCCTAAAAAGTTCATTCAACTTTTGAATGTAGAAAAGTCACGTAATCTTATATTTTTTGCATGAAAATTGAGCTTTATGACCGGAGATTCATAGCATTTGGTAGCCTTTTTGATAATCGATTTCGTCAAAAAATCCTTGTTTTATTCCTGTTTGATTTACCTGCCATCCGATGACCAGTTTGCTCAATTCACGACCGCTCATGCCTTCCGTCGCGTCTGCAACATCCGCACACTTTTTGATCCAGTCGAATTTGGCCAGCTTCAGCCGCTGTCCGCGGGATCCTGAAAAACTCGATCTCAGAAAACAAAAAAGGTGCTAACATTATGAGAAAAATTCTATTTGTGATTTTATTTAAAATAAACGTTGAAAGATCTTCTCCTTACCGTAAAATGGTTGAACAGCATTTCTCTACACGAGAAAAAAAAACCTATAAATGATGGAAAGTGGGTGCATTTTTCAAGATTTTTTGTTGGAACGGCTCATTTTGCTCATGAAATTTGAAAATTTTCTATTATTCATCGCATTTCTAGCCGTATATCTGTAGATTCAAAGGTGTGCATCGTTTGAACTTTTCCTATTCACAGTCAAAGACTAAACGACCTCTAAAAGACTTTGAAAGAAAGAGCCAAAAGCTCGTTTTTGAACCCCTAAAAAGGTGTCAACAGTTTCTGGAAACCTCCTTTTTTCCGCCTCCTTCTTTTTTACAGCCTAAAAAGGTCTTCGTTTCAGAAAAAAAAGGCCTAAAAAGGCGCCTTTGAGGTCGTTTATCCAAACTTCTTTTTGAGACCTTTTTGGTCTTCTGGCCGAGCACGAGAAAAAATTCTAGAAAGAATGAAAAATGGTTCATTTTTGTGATTTTATTCACAGATTTTTCATTCTCACTTATAATTTTCTTCCTTCATTGCATTTCTAGTCACATTCTGGAACTTTTCATATTTTCACCGTTAAAATCTAACTGTTCCGTATCTTTGAAAATCCTCAGCGACATTTCCAAAAAAAAAAAATTCAAAAATCCTAATGAAACAGAAATAATGCGGACCACTGGTGGCCGGCTTTGCAATGTGCTCCTCAAAGTACTGCAACAAGATTCTTTCGCGTTCAGTCCTTCCAGGGAGGGCGAATTCGACCAGTTGATCCAACCTGAATCAATCCGATTCAACGACTCTTTCTGGAAGCTCTGAGCCAACCGATCATTGACAGCCCAATCGAACTGTTCGGGTTGATTCGAGGCGACGACCAGCATGAATCTTCTCGATTGTTCTCCGGTTCGGAACAAGAAGGCGTTCAGGGCGGCTCGGGTGTCTTCTGACATGGCTTCTTTGGATCTTTTTTGCAGGAATGCGTCAGCTTCGTCGATGAACACCACGAGACTGGAAATTAGGTTCTTATTCTTGGAATATTAGGTAATCCGCCAGTTCTGGCAAGATATTTTCAGAATTTTCGGAGTGAATTTCAATTTTTTTGTGGAAAAATCTTAAAAAAATCTGAATTTGTCATTCATGAACTCCTTTTTTTGACTTAAAAAAATTAAGACGCGAATTGCAATGAGAAATATAAGATAGAATCAGTATGCAAAGCTTTTTTTGAACTTAACAAAGTTGGTTTTTTTCTTCATTTTCAATATTCCTAGGCAAAAAGAAGGCTTTTTAAAAAAACCCGATCAAAGTCCCAAACAAGCTGAATTCAACCTCAATAACTTCACAGTGAGCAGTTTATTATTGTGGTAACGCAAAAAAAATTTAATTCATTCCATTTGATAATCTCTAGATCTCTAACTACCAGAATCAACAGAGATTTCGCAATAAAACAATTTTTGGCATAAATATTCTCTTGAGCTTACTGCAGTTTCACTGTAGAAACCAAACACGTTCAATTATAGTCAATGTTTCCCGACTTGAAAGGCGAGGGAGGCGAGGCAAGGGGCGGGACGCGTAGCGTGTGCGTTCGCGGTTCTTGGCACGAGTTCAATTCAATTGGCGCCGACTATTTAAAAAGCTCGGCAACCGCTCTTTTTCAATTTTTTCTAATATTTTTTGATGAAAACATGAACATAATCAATAAATAATAGAAAAAGGAATGAAAAGAGCAAAAAACGAGATTTTCAAAGAGTCAATGGCGGTTGAATTGAACACGTGCCAAGAAACGCGAACACACACGCTACGCGTCCCGCCCGCTGCCCCGCCTCCCTCGCCTTTCAAGTCGGGAAACATTGACTATATTTTCTAAGAACTTTTCTCTATTAAAAAAATTATTTTTTTATTTTTTTTCACGACCTGGAGCTACAGATAGGATACATCTAGCAAAGTTCGAAAATTTACTCATTTGTAAAATAAAATAACTTTTTCAATATCTTTTTAAGTACAGTCATAAATACCTTTCAGCAAAATAATTCAATCAAATCGAAAACTGAGCAGAAAACCTGTATAAAAAACTTGTTTCAAAATCATATTTCCCCCATTTTCCAGATAATTCTTCCTTTCAACCCCATTTTCTCAACAGCGCACCCTTTCCGACTGCTGTTGGCCCAATCGAAGACTTTATGAATCGCAGAGACGCCATCGCGGCCCATCGGCGCGATATCGCCACCCGTCAGAATCGCGTAGTCCAATCCGCTGTGCTGTGCCAAACTTTTGGCAAACAACGTTTTACCCGTTCCAGGCGGCCCGTAGAACAACACGTTTCGGAATAATCCCTGAGAAAAAAAAATGTAATTAACGACAATTTTAGATATTTTATTGAATTTACATTATTTCTTCGTGTGTTTGAAGTGGTGATGGCGATGTCACGAAGGCGACTTTCTAGTTCGGGCTGAAGGAAAAAAATATCAGTTACTTCGCTTATTGAAATGAAAATACGGACTTATATTATTTAAATAATTTTTTAACCTTAAAATTTTGAAAAAATCCCGTAAAAAAATTAAAGTTAAAAAAATACGTCGACTGATTTATTCAAGCTGTATATCTTCAAAAATATCATTTTTCGGTTAAAAATTTCTTCAAAAGTGGATTTTAAACGAAACACTGAATAAATTCGTAATTTTTTTTATCACTAGACAAAAACTCTATGTTTGAGATCATTTAGGATTTCGTATGAATGAAAAAAATAAATTTATTTAAATCATACACTTTTTTTGCAAAAAAATCTTGTTCGGTTTAGAGCACTTATAACTTTAACTTTAAAATATTTTTTTTTCAATTTTCGAAGTTTTTTTTTCACATTTTCTCAGCTTCTCGTGTGACTTTATCATCTTTTTATTGTATTTCCCTTCAATTTCAATCAGTCCTCCCTAGAAACTAACCGCCAAGACAACGCCTTTAAGAGGATCGTGTCGCTTGCGGAAATACATCGAAGCCGTCTTTATCGGATGTTTCAGCGTTTCCAAAGGCGTCACTCGCGAAGTTTCCCGGACCAAACTCGGCTTTCCAAGGCGCGCCTCGGCATACCGAGCGACAACGGCTAGAATCATTTAATTATCATATTTTTCGAGATCTATTTCTCACAAGTTCCTCGCTTGGCCGTATACCATCCAATGGCAAGTGCAGTGAGACCGCCGACCTAAAGAAAATGATAAATGAAAAAAATTCAATTACAAAAAAATATATTATTCATACTTTTATAGTGGTATTTTCTTCCTTACTTCGAATCAAAAAATTAAATGGAGTTAAAAATTTTTATGAGGATCTTTTTATAATCAAATCAGAAATCAAATTATCAGAAAAAATTTTTCGAAGCGTTTCCCTAGAATTCCTGTTGGGATTTGCTTATGTGACTGCTATTTTTGGAAGAATCTAGAATCTTCCTTTTAAGCGTTGCCAAATTTGAAGAAAGTTTAGGCGCTGCCAAATTTGAAGAGAGTTTAGGCGCTGCCAATTTTGAAGGAAGACTAGGCGCTGCCAAATTTGAAGAAAGTTTAGGCGCTGCCAAATTTGAAGAAAGTCTAGGCGCTGCAAAATTTGAAGAAAGTCTAGGCGCTGCCAAATTTGAAGAAAGTCTAGGCGCTGCCAAAATTTTGAAGAAAGTCTAGGCGCTGCCAAATTTGAAGAAAGTTTAGGCGCTGCCAAATTTTGAAGAAAGTCTAGGCGCTGCAAAAATTTGAAGAAAGTCTAGGCGCTGCCAAAATTTGAAGAAAGTCTAGGCGCTGCCAAAATTTGAAAGAAAGTTTTAGGCGCTGCCAAAATTTGAAGAAAGTTTAGGCGCTGCCAATTTTAAAGAAATTTTAAGCGTTGCCAAATTTGAAGAAAGTTTAGGCGCTGCCAAATTTGAAGAGAGTTTAGGCGCTGCCAATTTTGAAGGAAGACTAGGCGCTGCCAAATTTGAAGAAAGTTTAGGCGCTGCCAAATTTGAAGAAAGTCTAGGCGCTGCAAAATTTGAAGAAAGTCTAGGCGCTGCCAAATTTGAAGAAAGTCTAGGCGCTGCCAAAATTTGAAGAAAGTTTAGGCGCTGCCAAATTTGAAGAAAGTTTAGGCGCTGCCAATTTTAAAGAAATTTTAGGCGCTGCCAAAATTTGAAGAAAGTTTAGGCGCTGCCAAATTTAAAGAAAGTTTAGGCGCTGCCAATTTTGAAGAAAGTTCAGGCGCTGCCAAATTTGAAGAAAGTTTAGGCGCTGCCAATTTTGAAGAAAGTTCAGGCGCTGCCAAATTTGAAGAAAGTTTAGGCGCTGCCAATTTTGAAGAAATTTTAGGCGCTGCCAAAATTTGAAGAAAGTTTAGGCGCTGCCAATTTTGAAGAAATTTTAGGCGCTGCCAAAATTTGAAGAAAGTTTAGGCGCTGCCAAATTTGAAGAAAGTTTAGGCGCTGCCAAATTTGAAGAAAGTTCAAGCGCTGCCAAATTTGAAGAGAGTTTAGGCGCTGCCAAGTTTGAAGAAATTTTAGGCGCTGCCAAATTTGAAGGAACTTTAGGCGCTGCCAAATTTGAAGAAATTTTAGGCGCTGCCAAAATTTGAAGAAAGTTTAGGCGCTGCCAAATTTGAAGAAAGTTTAGGCGCTGCCAATTTTGAAGAAATTTTAGGCGCTGCCAAAATTTGAAGAAAGTTTAGGCGCTGCCAAATTTGAAGAAAGTTTAGGCGCTGCCAAATTTGAAGAGAGTTTAGGCGCTGCCAAGTTTGAAGAAATTTTAGGCGCTGCCAAATTTGAAGGAACTTTAGGCGCTGCCAAATTTAAATAAAGTTCAAGCGCTGCCAAATTTGAAGAGAGTTTAGGCGCTGCCAAGTTTGAAATTTTTGCTTTTAGGGGACTGCCATTTTCAGAAGAATCGAGAAGTTCATTTTTAAAGGTCTCCAATAAGCTAAACTCGTTTCTTTAGAAACAGAACTATTGTGAAAAATTTAAGCTTGACTCTTAATTTCCATTTCACTCAATCTTCAAAAGTTTAAAATTCTCAAAGCTCACCGCAGCAGTCATCTTCGCTTTATCATGCAGAAACTCGTTCAAACCGGCTCCAAGAAGTTCTCCGCTCGTTCTGAATTTCGATTTAATCCGGTGTCCATCCTAATCTCCTCACTTAATCTTTTCAATGACAGTTTTGCGGTTCTCCTCCTCGTGAAGTTTCATCTGCTCCAAGTTGACATCGCGATTCTCGCGAGCAGCTTTGGCACGAGCTCTGGTCTCTGCGTCGATCTTCTCCAGCTCATATTTGTGCTTTAGGGCAAGTTCGTGCTCAATTGTGGCTGAAAAATAAGATTTTTGTAGACATTTTAGCTCAAAAATACGCTTTAAAAGAGCTTAAATTTGAAATCCTTGTCAAGCTTTAAGTTTGAACAATAAGAAACATAATTTCCCCCTTCCTGGATTATACTTGCGTCAAAAAAATCTTGAAATTATAAAGCATTTTTTTAATTCTTCCCTTCCTTCTACACTACCTTTCCTTAAAGCCTCCTGCTTCTTAACCGACTCCTCCTGTTTCCTCAAACTCTCTTCCTGCATTTTGGCCTTCATCGCCAGCTCCTCTTCTTGTCGTTTCCTCGCCAATTGGTCTTGATAATCGGCTCTCTGAAAATCGTCTTTTTTCGATTTCAATTAGAAAATCCAACCGATCTGGCGTGTTTCGTCTCCTCGTTCAGCGTTTTCCTTCGCTCTTCTTCTGCGGTCCGGATATGGTCTGATTTCATCGATGCTAGTTGGGCTTCGATTTGCTGAAAGATAACTTTTTCAGCAATTTTCAACGGTTGAAAAATGGATTTTTGTGAGTTTTTAAATGGAATCCGGACATATGACCATGAGATCTGAACTTTTCTCCTTTCCTTTAATTCAGTTTAAAAAAAGTTTTAAAACTTACCTTGCCAAGAAGGAAAAGGCTTCGTAAAGAATATAAATCAACCTTTCATATTTTAATGATATAAGTCATGAAAAATTAAAAATATATGAAAATCGAAATTTTTTCGGATCGATCACTTCATTATTTCTCAACTTTTCAACAATTAAATTGGTATAAAGTTTTAAAGACCTAAAAAAAAAAGGTTCGAGGACTCTTAAGGACGGATTAAAAGCTTAGAAAAATACTGAAATTCCTAATTTCGATAAAACTCAACACGATTTTCAAAAATTACCTTATACTGTTTTTTTTTCAGAGTTAACTGCAAACGTTCTCCCCTAAAGGGGAAAAAAATACTCTGTCAATTTCAGTAAGACGCAACATAATTCAAAAAGCTTAATTATTGAACTATTACCATTAAAAAAACCAGGAAAACTATTCTGAACGAAACAAAGGATCAAATATTTTTTTATTATTTTTCTCAAAAAAATAACGATCGCTAACCTTCGTCTGCTGCTCGACTTCCTTTTTGCCGTGTAACTTCCTGCATTCTGGATAGTTCCAAGGCCTCCTTAGCATTCGGGAACCGTTCCAAATCCCTGGCCGCTTTGGCGGCCCGTTCCAAAGCCGTCGAATCGAAGGAATAGGCCATTTTACTGCCAGCTGGCTCATTTTTGCCTCAAAATTTCGGAAGAATAGGTAATTTTTCCTATTTTGAGGCACCTGGAGGTTGATTAGGACCGGCGCCAGGTTGTCCTCCGGCGGCGGGAGGGTGAAAATCGTCCGGAATCTGCGGCGGCGCGTTTTGCTTCACGCCAAACAACCAGGACATCTGTGATTGAATATTCGAATTTTTTCTTTTGTTTGAAATTTTAGAAAAACTAACTTCATTTAAAACGACTTTCTTATGATTTTTCAACTTCTGTGTGAAACTAGGCCTAGTCCTGTTGGGGATTTTTATGATTTTTCTTTTTCAATTATTTAACTATTTTTTTTCCAAAAAAACCGAGAAGAGATTTGGAATAATATGAATCAGAAGTATTAAAAAAATTATTATTAAATCAAAAAAATCTAGATTAATAAGTTTATACTTCAACGACAAAAAAAATTAATTTTTCACGAGCGCCCGACAACTGGATGTCACGCCAAACCTATTATCAATTTCGAGTCACGTGATTGAAAATAAAAAAAAGAGAACTGAAACAGTAAAAACACATAAAACCTAATTCTGGACATCTATAAAAAAGAGTTAGTTTTACGAAAAAAAAAAATTCAATAAATCAGAAATATTTTTAAAAAAATTGCTTTTAAATCAGGAACCATCTTCAAATAAAGTATTATCTCCGCAAACATAAGCGTTTAATCAACAAAAATCAACCAAATTAAAAATTAAAAATATTTATCAAGACCGTAAAGCAATCATATTATGATAATTAATCACCAAATGAGAATAAATGTACAATTCTTAAATTAAAAATCACAGGAAAAATTGAGTTAAGTGAGGTTTTTGATAACGGCGAGGAGATATTCCTTATCGGGGGCGATCATAATCTCGTTTTTCTTAGTCCGGAGTTGCAGAAAAGTGAGATCGTTGGTCGGGTCGAGCTCTCGGATCAGACTTTTCGACTTTTCGCAAAGTTGTTGAAGAAGGGCCGAGTGTTGGGCTGTCGCTTCTTCGTCCAGTGTTGAGCGGATCGCTCGGCCTGGAAAAAAACAATATTTTTTTTTTGTAATACTTTTTTTTGACCTTTTTTGTTGAAAAATATAAAACATATTCGAAGAAAAAAACTTATAACATTATTTCTACTTTCTTTATTAAAAAAATGGAATCAAACATCGAATTTCCATAAAATGGCAACTTATCCTATTGCAAACCCAAAAATATCAATATTATAGAGATAACCGTTAAAAAAACCTCAGCATTATAATATTTTTGAAAAAATAAAACACGGAAAATCTAAACGAAATAGCTTAAAAACTCCCTTCTCTAAGTTTTTAAGTCATGAAAAATTGTTTGCATAAAACTCAAACTTTTTCCAAAAAGACACCTTCAAACAATTGGAATAAAAGTTCGATTCATCAAGTTAACGAATAAAAATCAAGTCCAAAAAACGGAGCTTTTATCTCACCTACACTATCCATCACAACGACACCCTGAACGCCTTTTTGTGATTGGATTCTTCGTATCGTTTCTTCAACGTCTGTCATCCTGAAACATCGAAATTTTTGAAGTTGAATGTTATATGGTTTGCATCATTTTATTATTGCGATTTTATATAATACCAATTAACGATGAAAATTCGAATTTTGAGATTATGAATAAAATTATTTATTCCTCAGGAAGCGTTTAAAGTCGAGAAATGAATAAATAATATGAAAAATGAGGTAAAAAGAGAAAAAAGGGAACAAAATTTCGTGAGGCAATTTCAAACTTGCAAAGACCGCTGGAGTGGCTACTTGGAAAGGTGAAACCCCTTGAGAGCTCCCTTTGGAGCGAAAAAGTGCAACGAAGCGCGTTTGCGTTGCATTCTCAAAAAATTGTTATCAATTCGAAATTTTTTATTTTTATTTTTTTCAAATGGCTATTCAAAACGTTTCTAATCGTATTATCGGTTGCAGGAAGTTATTTTCAAGTTTGATTGAGTTTCTTATGACCCCAATTTCGAGGGATTATCTTAAATTTCTGTTCATTTCTTTTTTTGTTGCTTAAACGAAATAATTTTTACAGGTGAAGATGCCACCGATAACAGCACCCGTAGTCTCAAACCGAGAAGAAGATTCCATGAACAATGAGCCTTCGCTCAGTGGCAAAACTATAATAGGCCTCATCTATCCACCACCAGATATTCGAAGTATTTCTCTATAAACTTGAAATTCTTAATTTTTGTTTTTTTTTAGCAATCGTTGACAAAACCGCGTCGTTCGTGGCCAGAAATGGAATAGATTTTGAGAATAAAATTCGAGAAAAGGAATCGAATAATTCGAGGTTCAACTTCTTGAGCAATACTGATCCCTACCATGCTTACTACCGCAAAAAGGTTTGTTTTTAATACAAAAATTATTGTTTTAATAGATATTTTTTTAGGTCATAGAGTTTGCTGAAGGAAAGGTAGAAACGTCGAAGGTGCAAGTGCCAGACGCAGTGAAGGAAGTTGTGAAAAAAGCCGAATTTATTCCTCACAAGCCTCCGCCGGCCTTTGAATTTTCTCATGACCCTTCCACTATCAATAGCTATGAATTGTGAGTTCTTAGGGACTGATTGACGCAAATAAAATTAATTATTAAGAGATCTGATCCGAATGACGGCCCTTTTCGTCGCCAGGAACGGCCGTCAGTTCTTGACTCAGTTGATGACCAGAGAGGCCAGAAACTATCAGTTCGATTTCCTGAAACCCGCTCACGCCAGCTTCACCTACTTCACCAAGCTCGTCGAGCAGTACACCAAGGTTTTTCGTTTTGAAAAATGACGAAAAAAAAAATTATTCTAGGTCGTTGTGCCTCCCAATAACATTGTCAAGCAACTGCAAGAAGAAGCGACGAATCGAAAAAAGCTCGTGGAAGATATAAAATATCGAGTCGCCTGGGAAAAGCATCAGAAAGGCCTGAGGGACAAGGAGGAGGCTGAGGCTGAAAAAGTATGAAAAAAAAAATTGATGTATTGGAATATTTTTTTAAGGAACGTCAAGCTTACGCTCAAATCGATTGGCACGACTTTGTGGTCGTTCAGACTGTTGATTTTCAGCCGGGAGATTCTTGTAAGTAATTTTATGAATTTATTATCTTTTTATTACGAGTTTTTTAATGAATTTGTATCGGTCTATGTAGAGAGTTATGTGTAAAATCATCCTTTTTCATAGTTTCCTTATAGAATTTCCAAAAAGATCGGTTTTCCTGATTGAAAAACCTTCAAAATTCGTTTTGAAACATATTTTATAGATAATTTGCAACTTCTAGGCTTCCCTGAAGGTTTCAAAAACTTTGAAAAGGATGTAATTTAGACCAAGAAACTGATTTTTTCCAGCCAACCTTCCCCCTCTCTGTACACCGAAAGACGTTGGAGCCAGGATTTTACTGGAAGCTCGAGCCGAACAACAAAAAGCTTCGGCAGAAGCTGTCGAAATGGACATGGAAGAGTCCGACAGTGATGAGGAGCGCGATATTGAGGTAGATTTTTGGGAAAATCAGGGATTTTTCTTTTTTGATCGTCTTTTCTCGTTGATTTTTCAGTTGAATTTTAAAGTTTTTAAATTTTTAGACTAAAAATATCGCTATTATAACTTTTTCAAGATATGTTAATGGTTCAAAACCTCCTAGGGGCCACTAGGAATTTCTCTAGCATTTCATAATGTGAAAATACATTGGGATCGCAAACCGAGCCTTTATGAGCCATTTAGTGATCACTTAAGTGCATTTACGGCGTAAAAATGAGTATGGAATGGCTCAGAAACGTCTCGCTGATTGTTCAGTTGAATTTTAAAGTTTTCAACTTTTGTTTACTAAAAATATCGCTGTTATAACTTTTTTTGAACATAAGCTACTGGTTCAAAACCTTCTAGGTACCACAAAAAATCCTTCTAGCGTTTCATGATCCCAAAATACACGGGCATCGCCCCCCTTTAAGAGTCATTTAGTAATCACTTAAGCATTTTCCCGCTTCTAAAATAGATACTGGATGGTTCAGAAAAGAAGCTAGTGGCTCAAAACTTTCTAGGGTCCAATAGAAATTTTTCCAGCATTTTATAAGGGGAAATTACATTGGTATCGCAAACGGAGCCTTTAAGAGCCATTTAGTGATAACTTAAGCATTTTTACGCCTTTAAAATAGATACTGGATGCTTCAGAAAAGAAGCTAGTGGCTCAAAACCTTCTAGGGACTACTAGAAATTTCTCTAACCTTTATAAGGAGATGATACATTTGCATCGCAAACCGAGCCTTTATGAGTCATTTAGTGATCACTTAAGTGTATTCACGGCGATAAGTACTGAATGACTCAGAAACGGCCAGGAGACTTTCGGTTTACATTGGCCTTTTCATATTTTAGGAACTGCTTAACTTTCCCTTTTTCCAGAACGAAGCAGTGCCTCAACCGACCTTTGCCGCGCCTCTGCCGCCTACCAAAGACAAGAACGTTATTGTCAGGGATTACGATCCAAAGAAAGGTAAAAATGACTCAATTCGCTCTGAAAAATGACCTTGATTTTTCAGCCAGTGGCGGAAAGCTCAAACCCTCGGAAAAATGGCTCATTTCGCCACTTACCGGCGAAAGAATCCCCTCGGATAAGCTTGATGAACATGTCCGGTTGGTTTTTTACTTTGCAAATGTATTATTATTATTTTTTCTTGGATTTCTCAATTTGTTTACTTTCAGCTTGTTCTCTTTAAATCACGACCATGGCGATTTTTTTTCTCTGAATCTTGAAATCTGTCCATTTTTAGCTTGTTTTCTTCAAAAATCTGTTCATTTTTCAGCTTTTTCTCTTCAAATCACGACCATTTCGATTTTTTTTTACATTGTTCACCTGAACCTTGAAATCTCTGGGAAAATTTTAAGGGGCCACTATAGTAGTCAAAATAGTGACCACTTAAGGGGTTAAAAATTAGTGGCCTCTATAGAGGTCTAAGTGCTACTACTAGACCACAAAAAGCTTTAGTGGCCACTTTAGGGGTCAATAGATCAACATAACTGGTCCAATCTGTTTGTTTTTTAAATTAACAGAGTTACTGGAAGGACTACTGGATGAAAAACTACTGAAGTGGCCACTAAATCGGAAAATAATGGCCACTATAGAGGTGGGTTTAATGGCCACTTTAATGTCCTCTCCAAGAAGTCCTTGGCGAGCCTCTAGAGTGGCCACTAAAGACTTTCCCAGCTGTTCATTTTTAGCTTATTATCTTTAAATCACGACAATTTTTATCTTTTTCAGGTACAACACAGTCGCATCGCAGTACAAAGAAGACCGTGAACGACATTTGGGCGAGAGAAGTACTGAGGAGCCGGTTTTGGCTCTTGGAGCTGATATCAGCAAGAACTTGGGACAGTTAGTGTTGAGAATATTGGGCGTACTTTTTAGGAAAAGCTCCGTTTTTCGTAAAGTTGAGTTGTGTATTAAGAAAATCAGAACTTAGATTCGGTTGAATATAAAGATACATAAGTTGTTTGAAGATTCGCCGAGCGTCGTACGGATATCTTCGGTGTCGGCTCTCAAGGTGCTGAACAAACTGTGATCGGACGGAAACTCGGCGAAGACGATGAAGCCCAGCAGGCCAACCACAAGCTGATCTGGGACGGAACTGAGGAAACCAGAGAGGCCATCACGAAGGCCGTTCAGAATAATATTACCATTGGTTAGTTTTGGGTCACCTAAATCTTCTAGGAAGCTCATTTTATAGCCCATTCCGTCAAGATTTTTCTTCTCTCTAGAGCTAAAGAATCCTTTTCTGCAATGGCCTATGCGTCTTTAAATCAGCCTTCAATTTCCGTCTTATTAAAGGCGCATGCCCAGATAATACCCGCGTAGAAAGAGGTCCTAAAGCTTGGATAACTAAGAAAAGTTTAGGGGGGACAAATTTGGACTCTTTTAGGGGCTCATCCCAGGGCCCTAACTCAACCATTGTCGGAGCCCCGAAAAGCTGGTTTAGGGCCCCCCCCCCTATAGGGGTTTTTATTGAAGGGGCCCCTATAGGGTTTAGGATCAAATTTTCACTGAAATTTCTCGGAGCTACTTTTTTTCGATCTCTGCGCCTTTAAACCAGTATCTAATTTTCGTCTTGTTGAAGGCGCATACCAGCGAAAAAGGGAGAGCTTTGACAAAGAAATCGCGACAAACTGGCGCTTGAAATTTTTTCAAAAATCGGCCTGAATGTTCCTAGATGGAGCAGATAAGGTTCTAGAAGTCCCAAGCTTCACAAGTTTTCGAAAAAGCTCAAAGATGATGAATGTTGAAATTGTCATTTCCAGACCAGCAAATCCACGACCTCCACCGCGCCCACGGCTATTTGCCGGACCCAAACAAGGAGAAAATCGGCGCCAAACCGCCGGCCGTCCTGATCACTCAAGGGGTCGCTGGATCTTCCGCCCCGCCCAGAATGCCCATCCCGCCGCCGCCCATGGCTCGCCCTAGCACTACGGTTTGTATTGGGATCTGAAAAATAGCGAATTCCGCGTGAAATTGTCACGTTTAAGGGCATGATAGGGAAAACCACAGTATATAGAGCTTTTTTGCACTCTCGCTTTGAGACCTGAAGTTTAAAGGTTTACGGTATTTTGGTCATAAGAAAGTGTTTTTGTAAGGAAAACGGGAAGGAATCGAAATTTTTTCTGCTCAAAAAAGGAATTTGTCTTTTTCAGATGATGCCGCTCAACGTCCCAGAACCTGGAGGACCTCCATCGAAAAGGGCCAGAACTGAAGAAGATCTTGAACCTGAAGATGTCTGGCTTCAGAAGGTTTTTCTGAAATCGAAAATTATGTTATTTGAAATTTTTCAGATCCACGGCCAAGTGGAGATCCTGCTGCAGCTGCCGGTGGCTCAGGAATTTGGATTGGATGGATCGATTGTCGGATTTCAGGCTGATCCGGCTGCTCCGGTTAGTTGAGGAAAAATGAAGGCATTTTGAAGAACTTTTTTGCTTTTTTTGAAGTTTCTAGGTTCAAAATCGTCATTTCCGGAAAAAGTTATCGATTTTTAGGTCGGAGATTTGAAGCAGAAGATCCAGGAGCGCTTCAATTTCCCGTCCTCGAAGCAGAAGCTGATGTATGATGTGAGTTTTGGCGGAGAAACAAGTTTTTGGTCGCTTTTGGAATGTTTTGACATTTGCGTCCGACCCAAGACGGCTTGTGAGTGAAAAAAATGTTAGTGTATGTACTCGGACATTGATAACGCGAAACGGACCTGCTCCGGACGTTTCTGTCAATTCTAGGGATCACTCAAGAGGTCCGAGTAAGGTATCGATTTTTAAAATATTAGAGTCAACTTGAACCGCAACGCGACCGCGCCGCTCTGACCCATTCTCAGTGCGACCAGGGATTTTTCCTCGAACGACTACGAATTTGAGAAAAATATTAAACTTCCAGGGCTTCTTCCTGAAAGACAACTGCTCGCCGGCCTTCTACAACATGACCAAGCAGTCCTTGGTCATCCTCCAAGTCAAAGAACGTGGTGGAAAGAAGAAATAATTCCCCAATTGTGGATCTTTAAACTATATTTTTTGCTCTCATTGTTCCTCTGTATCAATCCATTAATCTATTCCAATTTGGAGAATAAATTGAGTTAATCAGGAAGTTTTACGCTTTTTTGGCAGATTGTTGCTCCAATTTATATATTTTTCGGCTTGAAACGGGATTCTCACTGTGTTTTATAATGCTCCAGAGCGCAAGTAGTTTCTGGTCGGGCGCGTTTTCTAGAAACTGCGAAAATCCTGATGATTCTATAGATTTTGATGGCTCTCCTCCTTACTTGATAGTCCGTTTTTCGCGACTTGAAAGGGCGGGACTTCTCTGTGCCCTCCTTATCTCTCGACGACCCTCTCTTATTGACGCGCTATTTTCGCGTTTCTCTGACCTCGCCGGTGAGAAAACAGAGAGACGCAGACACGCGAAAACTGTCAAGTCTCGGCGAATGGAAAAAATGACGCAAATACTTCTAAACCTCTCATTTTTGCGTGCTCTCTCGTTAATCATGTCAAGAGCCTGATTTTTCTAAGGCCGTGATGAATAGACTATGGATCTTTGTGATAATTTTTTCTCAAATGTGTTCAAAAATCCCTATTTTGAGCCTTTTTTCAAGCCAAAAAGCCTTCATTTATTCTTTTTTTCAAGATTTATGCTGGTTGGTCGGTGCCTGGCCTTAAATAGAACTGGCCGATTGGCTTTTGAAGCGGCCCGTCGATGGAATTCTTCCAACAAAAAGGGGTTTTTCGATGAAAATGACTATTCTGAAGAAGTATTTTCCATTTTTAGGACCGGCGATTTGGAGAGCGAGCTCCAGAAAGACCTGAAGAAGATCAATGAGCTGTTGAAAACCAATTTGAGCGAGGTTTTTTTTTGCTTATAATTCCTGTTTCAACTAGTAAATCCGAAAAATATTCTTGATTTTTTCCAAAAATAATATTATAATCGTTTTGAACTGTTAAGTAAGGTTTATTAACTGAAATTTCTCTTCTTAGAGATTTTTTTAACTTCCAGGCCGAGAAAGCGCCGAAAGAGAAGCAGCCGGAAACCGACCCCAATTTTATGAACTTCAGAAAAGCGGCCGAGGTTTGAAATATGTCAATTTTAAGGTGCAAGTAAAAACTGTATGAGGACTAAGGAACTCCAGAGTGGTCCCTATAGGGGCAACCTTAAGGATTCGGGACCTCTAGGGACCACTTTACCTCTCCCAATAGGTGTTTTTAATTAGTGGCCCCTGTAGGGGACTTGCTAATCAATTGCTGTAAAAGCAGCCTTTCTATGCGAGAAACTCAATGAATTAGCGTTTTTTTAATGAAAAAAATATTTAATTTTTTTGAAACGTAACAAAAAAATTTAAAAAGACCCTATAGTGATCACTTAAGATTGCGGGGTCAGACTTCAAGCCCTTGCAAGAACCACCTAAATTCTATCACTACAGTGGTCACTTTTTTGACCCCATGTAGGGACTATTTTTTTTCTTACCCCTTCAGGGACAACTTTGGCCTTTTTAGGAACTTCTGGCTGAAAATTAAAATCAATCAAATTGAAAAAAAGCCGTTAATTTTCAAGTCACGTAACAGTAAAGTCATTCAGAGAGAGGCCCATCAGCGCGGCGGCCGGATCTTCAACTGGAAAACCGTGGCGGTCACTTTTGCCATCGGCGGAAGTTGTTTGGCTGCTCTGTTTTATATCAGAAAAATTGTGGGTGATTTTCAAGATTTTTTCGGACGTGGGCAGCCAAAAGATCGCAACTGCTCTTTCTCTGACGCTGCAGCTTGATGTAGCTGCGAGAAAACGACGAAATAGTGTGTGCCAGAGAAAAAATTGTGTCGGTCTTCTGGCCGCCCATGTTAGAGTTGGAATGGCTAAAAAGGCGCTGCTCAAATCTGCGCCCGACTTTAGGCGAGATTTCGCAGAGGCGGTGCTTAAACCTGCGGCCGACCTTGAGCGACTTCCAACAAATGCGCTGCTTAAATCTGCGCCCGACTTTTAGCGACTTTCAGCAAAGGCGCTGCTAGTATCTGCGCCCGACCTGAAGCTACTTTCCTTTTCCTCATGCTTGGAGATACCTGAAGGCATAATTAGTTCATTTTGAAACACGTTTCGCTGTATTAGGAAGTTTTGATTTGTGAAAAAGTATCTTTCAAACGTTTTCAAGAGTCAATACCCATTTTAAAGATCTAATCGTGAATATTAGAGTTCACCAAACCGATCATTCAATCATTTCAATTGATCAAACTATTGACATGTCACTGTTCAACCAAATTTTAACATGTCATTTTTTGAGAGATCGTTTATTAGATCAGTTTTTGATCTCTTACATTAATGATCAATCATTGGATTTCAACGTTTTGATATATCGATATTTCGACCAATATTTTCAAAACAACATTTCGATCAATCATTTTTTTGACCAATATTTTCAAAACAACATTTCGATCAATCATTATTTCGACCAATATTTTCAAAACAACATTTCGATCAATCATTTTTTCGACCAATATTTTCAAAACAACATTTCGATCAATCGAAAACTGAACGATCGATTCAAAATGATCTCTCATTTAAATGAAATGTTGACATGTCGAAAAAACGAGAGATCATAATCATGAGACATGTTAATCGTTCGGCAGCAAGAAATGTTAATCAATCATATTTTTGGTAACATGTCATGAAAATATTGGTTGAACGTTTGGTCGAGCGATCGGTTTGGTGAACTCTAGTGAATATATTTATCTCCAGAGGCTCGATGAACGAGAAAAACATCGGAAAATCACGGCCGGAAAAGCGAGAATCGGCGGCGAATGGGAGCTCGTCAATACCCAAGGTCTCAAAATCTTCGAAAATTCCAAAAATTCCCAAAAAATTCCAGGAAAATTGGAAGGTTCTGAACAATTACGAGGCAACTGGCTGTTGATGTACTTCGGCTTCACGAATTGTCCCGATATTTGTCCGGATGAGATTGAAAAGATGATCAAGGTGAATATAGTTTTCTCAGTTTTTGAATGTCGATGACGTCATTTGAAAATGGTCTCTGATTGGTTTATTGGGCCGTTTGGGGCGGAGCTTGAGCGAAGACTTGAAATTCGAAATTTGAATGGAGGACATTTTTTTTTAGAAAAATTCATGTGTTCTAATTATCTTGAAATTGTCTTATTACATTTCTTTTCCTCAGTTTTTCAGGTTAAACATTGTATTTTTTTTATTTTTGCTTTTTCTGATCAGATAGATAATTTCAAGGAATTTTTTTAATTTTTTTTTAAACCAATCTGCAGCTTTCTCCGTTCTTATTAGCGATTTTTGAAAATTTCTCTTTTTTTCCGAAAAATCTTCTCAGTACTGTGACTTCATTTTCTGACAAAGATCTCTGATCCTTCACATTTCAAAAAAAAAAGCTTCTTCTCTGTTTTTGAACATTTCTTTGTATAGACATTGAACTTCCAGTTAATTTTTTCAGGTGATCGATCTCCTCGACGCCGACAAGAATGAAAATATTCCGGTCGTCCCAGTTTTCATCAGTGTCGATCCGGCGAGAGACACCGTCGCCCGGGTCAAAGAATACTGCTCCGAATTCTCACCGAAATTGAAGGGTTTCACGGGTTCTGTTGATCAGGTGAATAGATGAACTCTTAAAAAATTTTTATTTTCTGAAAATTGGTCAGAATCCCCCTTGAAGTACCGAGTTGGGGACCTGAAAGTTTCAACCTGCTCAACCTCCTAGTTTTTGAGAAATAGGGGCTCCAAAATGGCTTATTTTACCAGGTTCTGACGATTTTCTTTGACCTTCTGCGAAAAATTATAGAGGTCCCTTAAGAGGATTACTTGGAGAGGACACTAAAGTGGCCACTAAAACTACCTCTCCTTAGAAGCCCTTATTCCGCGTCTTAGTGGTCACTTTAGTAGTTTCAGTGTTTCAGTGGTCTAGTAGTACCGCTTAGACTTCTAAACTTCAGCCACTTAGGTGGCCACTAAATGAACTACTACAGGGGCCACTGAAACTTCAAAATCCTTAAGTGACCACTAAACATTTTCTCTGTTGATAATTTTTTCCGTTGAAACTAATTTCAGGGGTCTAGTATTACCACAGACTTCCAAAAAGGCTGCTGAATTCTAGCCACTTGAGAGGCCACTAATTTGACTATTATAGTGGTCACTTTAACTTCAAACCCCTTAAGTGACCACTAAGCATTTCCCCATTTTAATACTTTTTTTTTCGTTGAAACTAATTTTAGTACCACATCAAACGTTAAACCCCTTAAGTGGCCACTGACCATTTTTCCACTCGAGATCTTTTTTTCAAAACTAGGAGTTGGAGACCTTCAGGCACCCCAATTTCTGACCAATTTTCAGGGCCTCAAAAAAAAATGCCTTGGCTTGAAAGAGCGAAAAATAAATGACAGAATTGAAGGTGAACAAGGTGGCGAAGACGTTCCGCGTCTACCACAGCCAAGGGCCCAAAACTGAAAATAATCCCGACGATTATATTGTTGATCATACGGTTATTATGTATCTTATTGGTGAGTTTTTGGTTTTTTTTCAATATTTATATCTTTACTTTGTTTTTCAGTTGATATTTTGTCGATTTTCAGTTTTTAGAAGGTTCTAGAGCAGTTTTTGATCGATCTTCATTAGAAATATTCTAAGAAATTGAAGACTTGCCACAAAAATGGCCAATTTTCATGTTTTTGCTTACCTTTCCGACATCTTACGAACTCCAGAGTGATCCCTATAGGGCAACTTGAGGGCCCCTTTAAGGTTCCACTCTAGGGACCACTTTACTTCCTCCTGTAGGGACCATTCAAGCTTTAGAGCCTTAGGCATCAGATTCCAAAACCTTATAGGGACCACCTAAACTTTACCCCTATAGTGAGCGCTTTTTTGTCACCTTTGTCAAGGACTGTTTCTTTTTCTCACACCTATAGGGACCACTCTGCCCTCCCTAAGACAGTTTGTCAAATTTTTTTAGATCAATAATTTATTCGAATATACAAAAGAATACTGAAAATGAACTGAAAATCTTCGAAAAAAACCCTAATTTCTACTCATTTTTTTGACGATTTTTTTTCAGACCCTGAAGGCAATTTCCACGATTATTACGGGCAGAATCGAAAAGCGGAAGAAATTGCGAATATTATCAAAATGAAGGTTTGAAAAACACTTTCTCAAAAAAACGAAATTTTATTTTTTTCCAGGTGCTAAAGTTCGAGGCGCAGAACCGGAAAAGGATTGCTCAATATTTTCTAAATTAATATTTTTTTCTGTTGTTTTGATTATATATTTAAAAATTATAACGCTTCTTCTTTTTAAAATTGAAAGATTAGGATCATTTTTAGAGCTTCCAAGGTTGTTTTTTGTTGATTTTTTGAACTGAACCGTTGCGAGTTTGTCATAAAAATTCGATTTTTTTGGGTTTCTTTTTTTTTTTCGTGGTGGAATACCCATTTTTTTAATATTTTACGTGTATGCTTGATTTTGAAGGAGGATAGAAATTTTTTAGGATGGCTGGGGCACAGAACGAGTTCAACGTCCGGGTACCGAAGTTGGTTTTTAGAAATTATTTTTTGGTTTTAGTTCATTTTTTAAAGTTACAAAGATTTTTTAAACTTTCTAAACTTTTTAGTTCAAGCTTTCCGGATAGTTAGGAACTCCAGAGTGGTCCCTTAAGGGGCAACCTTAGGGGCCCTTGGAAAGCCCCCTTTAGGGATCACTTTACCAACTCATATAGGGTCAACTAAAGCTTTAGGGGCTAAGACATTGAACCTTAAACCCAAAAAAAAAAGCCAAGACTCCTTTAGGGACCACCTTGAATTTACCCCTTTAGGAACCACTTTTTCGGCCCCTGTAAGCTCCACCTAAATCCTAAAGGGACCACTCTTGAATTCCTAAATTATCTTTAAAAAGACCGTTTTTGATAAATTAGACGTTGAATTTTCCGATTTTTGAACTTTTTCGAAATTTGGTAACTTCCAGTCATTCAGTTCTATTTGGGTACATTTAAATGAATTCGTTCTTATTTATTTTGAAGAATAAAAAAATTTCCTTAGAGACAGTTTTTTTCCTAAAAAAACAGGTCCTTCAGGGCTTTTGACATTTATAAGGTTTGCAGAATCTCCTTTATCTTGAAAATTATAGCCCAAGCTTCAATTAGAGCTACCGTAACCCATTATTTTATTCCAGACGAGATGAAAGGTTACGGTACTCGGTTTTGAAGTTCAATGGGATGGACAAAGTCGACACGAGCAAATGGGCGACCGAAAGTCAGTTGACTTTGGAAAGGGAAGATAACAAAGGCGTCGTTTTGGCCTCGCAGACTGTCCAGGTACTGTAGGGGTACTGTATATTTTTTGATGAAGTTTTAAGGATTACGGTGAGGGTTCGGAGTACGGTAAAGCGGCGAGAGAGGAGGCGAGACGGAAGAAATTTGGTCGACAAGCCAAACACTACCTCATCGACAATCAGCCGTGGAACTTGTCGTTTAGGGAGCAGGGTATGGTGACAGTAAGCTTTGGAAAATGATAGGGAGATTCGGAGGTTACTGTAGGTTATCTATTGAAATACAGTTTTTGAGGGTTACTGTAGGTTATCTATTGAAATACAGTTTTTGAGGGTTACTGTAGGTCATCAATTGAAAAACAGTTTTCGAAGGTTACTGTAGGCTATCAGTTGAAATACAATTTTCGAAGGTTACTGTAGGCTATCAGTTGAAATACAGTTTGATTGGTACTCAAAGCTAATTTTGTCGTATAGGGGAAAGAGTACGGTTACAGTAAGATTTGGAAGACGATAGTAAGGTTTATAGATTACTTTAGGTTACAAATTGAGGTACAGTAGATTTTTCTTGAATATTTAAAAACCTTGCAAGTTGCTACAGTAAGAAAAATCTCTAAGATCTGGTTTTTTTAAGAATTTCAGAGCTGATAAAAATAATTTTAAGAGTACTCAAAGCTAAGATTGTCGTTTAGGGGAGAGAGTACGGTTACAGTGAGATTTGGAGAATGATAGGGAAGTTTATAGATTACTGTAGGTTTTTAAAATGAAGCTGTTTAAATTTTTTCGAGTTTTGGATGGTGCTACACCAAGAAAGCTGTGTAAGCTTTCGTTTCTGAGATTTTTAGAAGAGTTAAAATCTTTCAATGTTTATTATGAGCTATTTTTATCTTTTAGGGAATGGAGTACGGTTACAGTAATCGTTGGGAAAGGTAGGAAGATTCATAGGGTACTGTAGGTTTTAAAATGAAGCTGTTCAAATTTTTTCGAGTTTTGAAAGTGCTACATTGAGAAAAGTCTGTACGCTTTGGTTTCTGAGATTTTTGAAGCGAGTAAAAAATTATTCAATGTTTATTTTAAGCTATACAATAATGGATACTGTATGAAGGAAGTACTGTATTTTTTTCGAGGAATTTATGATCCAAATAATCTATTTCTTGACTGTGATTGCTTCGAAAGCCAGTATGAAAATGTAGGATTTTTGAAAAAAAATATTTCTGAAAGTACCTTTGAAAAAATTCTTCTATGAGTGTTTCAAGTTTTCTACAAAACAAGCTCTCATTTGAAATTTTCCATTTTTAGACGGCCGTCATAGGAAAATGCGCGGAATCCGGGAAGGTGGCGCCGTGGAACATGCCGATTATTGGATCTTCCTGAAATCGTCGAACAACGAGTTCCAAGCTTATAAGGTGTCAAAAAAGGAAATATTCCAAGAAATTGGAATTTTTCAAGGTCGACGATTGGCACAAGTTCCTGCCGGCAATCACCCACAAAACACTGGATTGCGATCAGGCCGAGGAGAAATATTCACAGTATGATTGAAATCTTTTCTGAAGGGTCTTGAAGCGAAAAGACGGTCACAGTGTGATTTTGAGCCCCGGGAAGGGATTTCAAAGATAAGAATATTCAAAAAAAGCAATGAAATATAAAAAAATAATCGATTGAAGCAGATAATTAGGAGAACATTTTTCAAAAATTATGTCACTTTTTTTAAAGTCGTATTTAGTGTTTTTTTAGTTCCTGGCTAGGATTTTCCAACGGCAATTGATGAAAAAAATAGTTCATTAATGATTTTTTTGAGTCGGTTATAAACTGATCCAATAGGAATAAATACAAGAAATTCCACAATATGATTAAAATTTGTTCGAAAAATCCTTGCTGGGTCTCGAGGCGAAAAGAAGTTCCCAGAGTTATTTTGAGCCCCGGGAAGGGTTTTTTAAACAAGAAAATCATGTAATAACAAGAAATATAAAATTTTCAAGCCGACTGAACCAAAAGATGAGTAGAAATAATCATATTTCGTGCAAAAATCTGTGGTTAAAGGCTAATAAAAAAATTTTCAGTATAATTCTTGGTCCTAGTCAGAATTTTCTAGTCGGAAAAAAATAAAGTAAACTCATAAGTAATTATTTTTGAGGCGAACCAAGGTTATGAACTGATGACAAGAAAGAATATTCACAAAATGATGTTTTTCAAAAATTCTTGTTTGAAGGCTTATAAAGACGTTTTGAGTATGTTCAGGACCTAGTGGGGATTTTCTAACCGGAAAAAAATGGGGAAAAATAATAGTTAATGATTTTTGAGGCGAAAAAAGGTTATGAACGGTTTTAGTGGACCAAATGACGGAGAGAAATATTCAGTGTGATATTTTTCAAAAATCTGTGAATAAAATCTTATAAGGACGTTTTCAATATGATTTTAGGTCCTAGCTACGATTTTCTAACCGTAAATGAATGAAAAATTCTTGATCAACGATTTCTGAGGCAAATTACGGTTATTCACTGATCCAGTGAGACAAATAGAGAAGAGAAATATTCACAAAAGGACATTTTCTTTGGAATTCTGTGAATATAGGCTTATAAAGACGTTTTCAGTATGATTTCAGGTCTTAGTGGGGATTTCCTAACCGCAAAAAAATGGGGAAAAATGATAGTTAATGATTTTTGAGGCGAAAAAAGGTTATGAACTGATCCAGTGAGTCAAATGACGAGAAGAAATATTCAGTTTGTTCAAAATTCTGTGATTAAAGGCTTATAAGGACGTTTCAGTAAGATTTTAGGCTCTAGCTAGGATTTTCTGACAGGAAAAAATTAATAGTTAATAAGTGATTTTTGAGGCGAAACAAAGTCATGAACCAATTCGCCCTGAAAGCCGCCATCCAGAAGCAGTTGAACGATGGGGAAGACGGAGAAGCTGTTGAGAAGCTCAATAGATCTCTGGTAAGAGAAAGATATGGAAATTATTGAGTAATGTGCCTCAGAAAATCAAAGACGAAGCCTCTTCGGACGAGGATGATGAGGAGGAGGAGAAGAACGAGGAGGAGACCGAGAAGAAGAACAAGAAGAAGAAAAACAAGAAGGTCGTCAATGAGAAACCGAAAAAGGACAAAAGACAACGGGTGGAGAATGCGGATGATGTGGCGAGTGAGTGGGAAAAATGAGATTTTCAGATTTCATAGGGTTTTCCATGTTTTCAAAAATTAAGTGATCGAAAATAGTTTTTTTTATGAAGTTTTCGAGATTTTGAAACCATTTGATATCAAAAAACTGAACTGTCATTGTTGTTTTGCTTTGTCAAAATGTTTCATAACAATTCAAAATCAAGGAAATTTAAGAAGAGAAATCTTTTTCCCACATTTAAAAAGTATGGCGATGTTTATTTGATTGAAAATTTGTTTTTCACAAAATTATCAAGAAGCATTTTCAAAAATAAATTTTTTTTTGAAAGATGTAAATTTTTTTAATGTTTCATTCCTTCTGAACTATCAATAATTTGGCTCTTTACGGTAATTTTGAGAAATCGGATAATACAACATAAATGTCAATATTTTGACCCTTGCCTGAGTTTTTCAATGTTTGTATCATAAAAGCAGGACTATCAATATTCGGACTTTTTCTGAATTTTCGAGTTATTTTAATATAAAACGAAATTTTCCATACAAATTCAGGCAAACATAAGAAAAAGTTATCAATATTTCAACTTTTGTTTGAGTTTTCGAATTTTCGAATCACAGAACTGGATCAGACACTTCGGCTATTTTCTCTAGTTTTTCAATTTTTTGAGTTGTAGAGTAGAACCACCAATATTTCGGGTTTCTCCTGATTTTTCGAAATGTAGAATATAGAATAGAATTATCAATCAATATTTATGATTTCGCCTGAACTTCTGAATCATTGGAATATTCAGGATATGAATCGTCAGATGGTGAAGACGAAGGTCGGGAGTACGACTACATGTCGGACAGTGGATCCGATTCGGAGTAAGTGAAAGTAGAATTATATACGCTTTTTATTATTCCTAGAAATTCTATTACTTTATTCGAAACAAAAAATAATTTAAATAATTAAAAAAAATATTCAGGCGATTTTCTGTTTTGGTCGAAATGATGTCGCTCTTGAAGTACGGTTTCAAGAGTAGAATGTAGAAGAAATACTTTTGAAACGTACTTTTTGTTGGGTGGTTTTAGAAATGAGATTTTTGACTCACGTAGCTTTGTGACCCTGACAAGGGAGGTCATTTTACTTTGCTTCCTTGAAAATTGGCTAGAACACTTCTTGATGTACCAGAAGAATATCCTGAAAGTCTCAACCTGCACAACTTCCTCGTTTTCGAGAAAAGAAGTTTCGAAGTCAAAGAAAATCTAAGAAATACATTTAAAAAATAGCCTTATGAGGATTTTAAGCCCTTATTCCTCGAAAATTAAGGAGTTGTGCAGGTTGAGACTTTCAGGATCTTCATCTGGTACATCTAGAAGTGTTCTGGCCAATTTTCAGGTAATTCCCAACCGCAAAGTAAAATGACATCCCTTGTCGGGGTCAAAAATCTCATTTCTGAAAACAACCCAACAAAAAGTACGTTTCAAAAGTGTTTTTTATACATTTGAAACTTAAAACCGTACTACCAGAAAATAGCCTGATAATTATTCTTGTGAGTTTTTAACTGATTTTATTTTTTCAGTCGTGAAGTTGTCCCGTCGGACGAAAAAGTTGAAAAGGAGCTGACCGGCGTCGACGATGAGGCCGGAATGAGGAAAATGTTGGAATCGGATGAAAGCGACAGCGACGAGGAGGATCTCAGTGCGTTTTTATGCGGGAAAATAGGGCCTTAGGGTGTTTTTATGCGGGAAAATAGGGCCTTTGGGTGTTTTTATGCGGGAAAATAGGGCCTTTGGGTGTTTTTATAGGGGGAAAATAGGGCCTTAGGGCGTTTTTATTAGAGAAAATAGGGCCTTAGGGCGTTTTTATTGGGGAAAATATGATCTTAGGCCGTTTTTATTGGGAAAAAGGATCTTATAGCGTTTTGAATAATAGAAAAAAAGGCGGAAACGAACCCATTTTCATCGAAAAGTATAGGGGTCTGAAGATTATTTTAACGCCTCTCGATTGAATGAAAAAAAAGAATATTAGTTTTTTTCTATCGTTTAAAAATTTTTTGGTGTGTTTTCTATTAGAAAAAAGTTCTTGGGGCGTTTTTCGAGGACCTTAGCGGGATTTATTTTTTAAAAAGCGTTTTATTTACTGGATGAAGTAGGATCATGGTTCGGAAAATATTCGGCGAATAAAAATTCACTGGAAATGAAAAATACTATTTTTGTATTATCCGCTTATAAAAGGAAAATAAATAAGTAAGTTTAGTTTTTTTGGGGGGCTTTCAGGGGATTTTTTGAACCTTTTTTTTAGAAACCTTTTTTTCAAAAAAGTTTTAAAAACTTGGAGTTTTTTTAATTTTTTTCAGAAACCTTCTTTGAAGTCAGTAGAAAGCCTTTTTCGAATATTAAAAAATGTTCGCCATTTTCTTCCTAAAAACTTACAGTTTTCAGCCAAAAAGCTGCTGAAAACGGACAGATCGCAGAAGAAAGACACGATGGACGTCGAGGAACGAGATTCTTCCGGATCTGACACCGACGATCCGGATTCCAACGTCAATTCTGTTGTCTTCCTGCCGGTGAAGATGATTTTGTCGAAGAAATGAATGTATGATTTTTTTCAGAAAAAGGAAGAGAAAGAAGAGACGGCGAATGGGGGTGGGGCGAAAAAACGGCCGGCCGAGGATATGCCGTCGATTTCCGGAGCGTCTGACGCCAAGAAAGTCAAAGTCGAGGAGAAACCGAAGTTTGTGCTTGGAAAAACATCGAAATTCGGCTTTAAGATGGCCAAAATGATCTATTGTCCTTAATGGAGTTTGGGAAAGTGGCCATTTAAGCGAAATTCAAAATTGAGAGAGAAAAAATCATTTTTAGCAGTCGGATTTTCCAGATTTTATCTACTCTTAACAACTTGACATTTAAATGTCAAGTTGTTAAGAATGACGTCATTTAAAAACGCTCTGCGGATGGCTCGCTCTCTGATTGGGTTATCGAGCCATTAGGGGCGGAGCTTGAGCGACGACTTGACATTCAAAATCTGAGCAGACTAGCCGAGGCTAGCTTGGGGCATTTAGGGTGCGTGGCCTGTCTGTACTCTCCACCCTAGCAACTATCTCTTCCATTATCGTGTCAGGACCGTGTTTTCGATGACTCAAGCCAGTCGTATCGTTATCCACTGATTTATTATGCTTACGGACATTGATGACGCGAAACGGACGTTTCTGAGCGATCCTAGGGATCATTTAAGGGGGCTGACGCTACTAAAGTGGTCCCTAAAAATGCCCCGACACGTCCATTTCGCGTTACTAACTTCTGAGCGATTCTAGGGATCCCTTAGGAGTTCTGGTCCCTAGAAATGCTCTGACGGGGGACATCCGGTTTGCGTTACCAACGCACAATCAGTTTCTTATTCAAAAATTGTTGTCCGTGGAGCAAACTTGCCTGCCTCACCCTTGTAACTGTAAAAAATCAATATTCACTTCTACAGTACCCCATCGGTGGAGGACTTCTCCTGTGACCTAATTTTCGCTTACGAAAATAAACTAGAATGATAGAATTCGCTCTACTGATAACTTCCAGGTTCGTGGAAGGGCTCAACGAGGAAACGGTCCGGAAGTATCTTCGCCGCAAGCCGCACACAACCAAGGAGCTTCTCCACAAAATGAAGGCCAAGTGTGGCGACATGACCAAGGCGGAGATCGTCACGAGGCTGGCCGCTATCTTGAAGGTTCGCGAAATTTGAACTTCTATTGTACGAACATTTGAATATGATTTTTTTTTGTACTTTTTGCATTTTTTGACAAGGAACCTTCATCGAAGGCAAGTTCAAACATTCAACCCTCTAGGGATCACTTACACGGCATTCCTAATGGGGTGAGGGAAGGTAAACGAAGCGTCAAAGTTTCTGAATTAAAAAAAAAAGTAAGTGCGCCCTCCGGATAAAAGGACTGTGACGTCACAGCTCCCTATACTTTGCAAATTAAACTGAATATTCAACGGCATGAAGAATATCGTACTCCCCATTTGGCTGCGTATTTGAGATTTCAAATTTCGCGCCAAAATTTTTTTGACGTCTCCCCACCCCGTTTGGGAACGCCGTGCTTAACCTGCCCTGTGATCATTTCAAAAAATCCCTAAAGTGAACATTTTTCCAGGCTATCGATCCTCATCAGTTCAAACAGCAACTCGGCAAACGCGAGGTGCTCTTCTTCTCGTTGACCAATACTGTAGCATAAATTTCGAGTTTTTTTGTACCCATTCCCCTGTGATCCTCTAGCTCATTCGAAACCACTTGAAAATGTCTGGCTTGTCTGCGTTCTCTCGTTCTTTTCCCCTCTATGACGTCACAACGCAGAGAAGACAGACGATTTCAAGTCGTGCCGGATGAAATGTGTCCAGAGCATTTCTATCTAACTTATTATCAGTATTTTCACGATTTCCATTTATTTTACGAATTTTCAAGTGTGTACACAATTAGTGAAATTGGTTTTCTTCTGTTGAATAAAATAAGTGAGACCCAACCTCGGGGGAAATGAATACAATATTATGCAGTAAATGTAGAGATTGGAGCGTAGAAAATGATTTTGAGGGGCCAAAAATTGAAAGTTTTAGGTACATGGAAATAGTCTAAAAACCTTCAGTAAAATTAAATGTTCATTAAAATTTCTAATGAATTTAAGGTCGCATTTGATATGGATGAAATAGAAAAATGACGTCACTTTTTAAAAACGACCCTATCGTTTTCTAGGCACACTTCTGTTAGAATTACTGGAAAGAAATCGCCTCTATTCAGTAAAAACAGACTTTGATTCGCCTAAACAGCTTCACTCACATTAAGATGTGCAGGTTCACATGAGCCATTCCAAACCTCGAAGCCAAAATTAATACATTTTTCACAGAGAACCCTCAAAAATCCTTTCTCAACGCTCAAAAATCACATGATTGGCATTTTGCCAGTTTCGAGGAGCATCTCGATGAGCTGCTTGGCCTGAGCTCGGGCCGGTTCGGGCAGGGTCCTCAGGTCGGAGACGATCGAAGCGGAGAAGGCCGAGTCGCCGTCGAGCATGACGTCACCGCCGGAGGCTACGCGCTTCGGCACGTCGTACACTGGAAAGTGCGGACGTTTTGGTCTTTTCTAACTTATCTTTTTTCGTTTCTGATCAAATTGCCAAAATTTGAAAAATTCCCTAGTAATACAAGAGTCCATTTTTCGCGATTTTTTCTCTGCGCCCTCCTCGTCTCTCGGCGACCCTCTAATTTTTACGTGTTCAATATTTACGACAACCTCTTTATCGATTTTTCTTCAAAGGTACATTTTAAACTAATAAAATTTACCTGTATTTCCCCCTCGTTTATCGCCACCCATCATCATGTAGTTGAGACTGAAAATTTTGATATTTTTTTTTAACAAGAATATTTTTTAATCGTTCTAATCATAACAGTGTCAAGTCAAAAATTCATCACGCTACAAAATTTCAAAAAAACCATTTTCATCAAATTTGGCTTTTTATCATGTTTTTCTTTTCATTTTGGAAAAAAAAACGCACTCATCATCGAGTTCAAAATCAGAAAGGTCGTCCTGGGTCGCCAGTCGCTTCATAGTCCTCGAACACCTGCAAAATAATCAATAAATCGATAAAATCTAACTTTTCGACAAACTGCGCTCTATCGTCCAAATACGGGTCCATCCACTGCATTGCTCCATAAAGTTCCCATGTCGATTCCTCGTGGATTCCAGCGTCAGCCTTTAATTTTCAATAATTTCTTTCATTTTTTCAGCAAATTAATTTCTAAATCCTCTTTTTACCGACCTGCAACTTCAATCGTCGTTTCTCCCTGACATAGCGATCCCTGAGCTTTTTCCATTGCTTGTAGATCGAGCTGATGTTACCTGAAAACATAGGTAACATGAGCAACACTAGTTGAGATGAAAATCTTCGAAAAAAAAAGAACGTTTTTGAAATTTGAACTTCGCGCCAATTTTTTTTTTTTAACCGGAAAGTTTTATTTAGGCGCTGCCAATTTCTGAAAAAACTCAAGTTCTGATCTTTCTGAAGATATTTAGGAAACTGTCAAGTTTGAAAATATATATTAAACCTTTGGAGCTTGGATAGTACGATCGTGAGATTAGGGAATTTTCCAAAAGCCACTTTTTCCCCTTTTTGCTAGGAATCTTTCCGTTACTGACTTTTCTCCTTTAATTATTACTGTTTCATATATTACTTCGAGATTATTACCTTCATTTTTGTGTTTTCATTAGGATATACACAATTTGAATGAGAAATTCAAGGAAAAGAGAAATATCAAAAAAAAAATTGGTTGACTGGAATTATGTAAAAAGCGGATGATACACTAATATTTTTTCTCCTACTATCAGAACATGACTTCTGTTTAGTCAGACGCTGATCAAGGAATTGCCAAGTTTAGGAGGATCATGAAAGCTTTTTATTTAGGCGCTGCCAATCTTTGAGAAAGGTCGAGTTCTGTTCTTCCAGGAGCCGTAAAAGACGCTGACAATTATGGGAAAACTTTGAAATTTTCTTTTCTTAGGCGCTGTCAATTTTCGGATTTGAAAGTGCTCAAGTAGAAAGCTTCAGGGACGCTGGTTAGAAAACTCAAAAAAAAAATCTGACTTTTTTTTTGAAAATAATATCGGCTCGGAAAAAGTAATTTTTAAAAATCACTGGTCCCATATTCAAAAAAGTACTAGGATAGCGCAGGTTCTGGATAGTAGGGAGATTGGAAAAGCCAAGTAAAAAATCTTCTTCCAGAATTTTATACCAGCTCGGAAAAGAAATATTGTTAGAAGACCCTGGTTCGATTACATACTTGGATATCGCAAGTTCTGAATGATTTGGTTCCAGGCCTGGTGACGGCAGTCCGAATGGCGATATTTGGGGTCTCGAATGTCGAAAAGACACGGCTGGAGGTGGACTTCGTCGATGAGTCGGCCCGGGAAAGACGGGTCCGTCACCACCAATTGCTGTAAAATTATCGTCCCAGTTCATTTTTTTCAATAAAATGATGCCCTAAACAAAATCAAAATCTGATTGAAATTTCATTTTTTTGAAAAAAAACTTCAATATTTCATGGGATCTACTAACGTTTAAAAAGTCATATTAATCCAAATTCTTTTTATTTTTTTATTTAAAAATTTTTTTGTGAAATTGAAAAAAATCACGTAACCTTCAAAAACTGTGAAACAGCTTTTTTTCTGTTCAAAATTATAAGTACAAACATTTTAAAAACTCATCTTTTTTTATTTGAAAAACTCCGAGATCTTGATGGTTTTTACATTTTTCATTTTTTTCTATGATCTCCCAACTCACAACGTCATGATTTTCCTTCCTCGAGGGCGAAACGTCGGTTCGATCCGTCATATGAGGGTCAAGGAATTGGAGGTGCTGAAAAAAAACTACCATAACAAGAAAATTATGAAAAGTTTCAAACAAAGTGGAAAATAGTAATGATAAAAATAAGAAAGAGTCAATTTGAGGGGAAAAAAACCTTGTAATATTGCCAAACGGACGGCTCAGCGCTGTACTTGGCCTTTCGTTTCTCCTTTCCATATCTGAATGAAAAATTATTTTTTAACGATTTCAAAGCGTCTTGTAGATTGCTTCAAAAATAAATATTCAAAACTACATTATTTCTAATTTATGAGAAAAGACCAACTTATCACGGAGCTGCTTCCAACGAGAAGCCAAGGCCCTCGGATCTCCCTCGAAGCTCAAAACGCTCACCAACCGGTTCCAGACCTTAAAATCATGTTATTAATGCTGTAAAATAGTCAGAAAAACGCAGGATTTCGACTGGAAAATTAATTTTCAAGATACATAGACAGAGGGTGGAAAAAAGTCTCTACAGAAATGTTACTTTTAGGGTGACGAAGGATCCTAATCTGGCAAAATTATCAAACGAAAAAAATAATAAACAGTCGCGTCCTAAAAATACCAAATAATCACTTTTTTAATAATTTTGCCTGATTTATAAGCGCAAAAATTAAAACTTTTCGAGAACTCAGCCGAAATTTCTGTTATCCTGCATTTTTTTTCCTCGTTTTGACACTTATTTAACGAAATTTATTGCCTCACCTTATTTTTATATTCCGTATTCCTATACTGCCGATCTCCCGAGTCGAAAATGCATCGGCTGTGTTTAACAGCTTCAATGAGCCGCAAATTGAAGGTAGGTTCGATGAGTTCTTCCGTCAGACGACCAAAAGCCGGCGACATCATGTAATCATCCTTCCGGCATATATATTCGTCTTTTCTAAATAAAATCCACGTTTGAAACTTTTAAAACATTTTTCACTGTATAAATGACCAATTACACGTTCAAAACATTGGGAAAACCTTTTTTGGCGTCGGTCGGTTCGGTCACTTTTCTGGGACGCCTATTTTCAAGTTTTCAAAATTTGAGTAGTTTTTTGGGCTTCATAAAGGTGCTAACGGTTTAAAGTACTTTTTTCTTAATTGTATGAACTTTTTTTCGAAAATTCTGGTCATTATATTTACAAAGTCACTTATTTTCTGAATTTTTTAAATTTCGCCAAAAAAAAACATGGCCTTGAATCTTAATGAACACTATTTCGCACTTTACGCCAAATTATAAAGATTTACACGAAATTTATTGAAAAAAACAAAATTTTCTTTTGTGAGCCGCCAATAATTAATTTTTCGAAGTCTAAAATCTGACCACGATCGAGAACTCTACGCATTTTGGACACTTGAAAAATTAAAGTTTTTTTTCTCGTTCTGGAATTACTGGGAAAAGCTGAAGTGGGTCCCGTAGGGAGTTTGAGATTCAGGGGTCCTTTAGTATACCTCCATAAGGGGTTTTTCCCTATAGGACCCACTTTCGCTTTTTCCCATAGGAGGCCATGAAGTTTCTTTCAACCAAGCTTTATCAAAAGTTCAACCAGGGGCCAAAAAATGTTCCAGCAACAGGAAAAACGGATTCCTAGCGTCTAAATTTTCAAAAAGAGAGCCTATTTTTCAAATCCGTCCATGCTTTTTGCTTTGAAAAACATTTTTCGGAGAGAAATTCGAAAAAATCGAGTGTAAAACTGTTCTGAAAAATTTTAAAAAAACTTTAAAAAAATTGTTCTAACATATATAATAACAAACATTCTATTGTAAAAATCGCAAAAAAATCTTACAAAAATTATTTAGTAAAAAAACCAACTTATTTTTTTGAAGCTAAATCAGCGAAAAATGAAAAAAACTCACATCATCATTACATTGGAGTTCATCATTTTGGCGCCTTCAAAGAAAAATAAATATTTCAAAGAGAATAATATTTTTTTCGAAGAGAAGATACAAAACGGAGTAGAGCCATGACAAAAACGAACAAAAATCAAATTTCCAACACTTTATAACCAGTAAAACGATCGAAACTCAACAAGCAATAACAAAAAAACAATGAAAAACTCATTTTTCTACTTTTTTCTTGGGTTTCTTCGCTTCCCGCTCTTCAACCTTATCAATTTTCCCTTTCAGGGCATCGATTTTCCTTTTGGAATTCGTGAGCCGTCGATTTTTCATCTCGTCCATGTACTTGTCGACCTTGGAAAGTTTTTTTTTTGAAAGAATATTCACTTTTTTTTTTCGAAAACCTCTTCCTCGGTCATTCCTGACATTAGAAGGTCCTTCCGCTTGTTGGTCTCCTTTCTCTCGCCGAATTTCTGCTGCTCCAGCTTCAGTTCGGCCTCCCGTTTTGCCACCAACACTTTCGTCACGTATTTTGTGACGTGCTTGTCGTTGACCTCAAATTACTCCAGTAAAACAGTAAAAACGCCGTAAAGAACGTTTCTGCGAATTTATTTAGATTTTGTACGATAATATATATATTTTTTGCTTATATTTCACCCACTAAAGAACGTTTTTTTGTTCTGAAATCTGGAGGTCCTAAAGTATAGGCCATTCCGCGCTAGCTTGTCACGTTTTTCTTTCCGCCAAAAGGCCAGTTCAAATTTAACCAACTTTCGCTTCAAGACCTTAGTTTCTTGCCGTTATAAAAGCAGAAACTTGATCTAATTTGGTATACGGTCTTTTTGGCGGAAAGAATAACATGACAAGCTCGCGCGGAATAGGCTATACACTGCAGCGCAAAATTTAAACCGGGGGGTAAAAACGTTCTTTAGTCAGAAAACTTTTTATTTAAAGGTTGAAATTTTGGTACAGCACCAATATGACAATACAGCACTCGAATTTCTTCAGAAACAATTTTTTTGAAATTATTGCTCGAAATTATTCCAAAAACTTCCCTAGCCTCTCCTATTCTCAGAGAATAGGCAATTTTTTTCGTAGATTCAAGCTGATAATTTCTCTTTTTTCTTCAAAACTGTCCTTTTCTCTTTTCTTTATTCAATCTAAGATCAAACTTATTCATTTTTCTGTTTGTAATAAAGGATATTGATTAATACTCTAACCCTGAATAGTTCGTTTCAAAATTAACAAATTTCAAGTATTTACAAGCACTATTCCCTTCGATAAAGCTTTCAAAACACTAACTTTAGTTCTTTTTTAATTTTCTCAGAAGAATTAACTCTTCCTTTTTCCATAATGACCCTTTTGTAAACTATATAAAAGACCATAAAAATTCTATTCTGAGCTTCACCTTGAGCTCCTCCAACTTCTTGCCGACCATGGCCTCAACAGCTTGTAGTAGAACAACATCATATTGAGTGACAAAGGTCAAGGCGGATCCGTATCGTCCAGCTCTTGCAGACCTTCCAACTCGATGAACATACGTCTTGGGACATTGAGGGACGTTGTGATTGACGACGAGGTCGATCTGAATATCCAATGGGTTTTAGAAGAAGCTTTCCAGCAATATAATAAAAATATCAATCTATGTGTTCACAATATGCATAGCTATTAGATTTTGAAAAAAACGAAAACTTGAATTTTGAAAAAAACTTGTTTTTTTCAGTTTCTGTTTCATACAGGTTTTCGAGAAAAATATTCGATAAAAAAATAGTGTGCAAAACAGAGAGGTTTAGACACCCTTATGATGGTTTTTTCCAAGCCAACCTTGAACAGAACAAAAAATTAAAGTTGTTTCAAAATAAATTTCAAGAAAGATCTTTCAGAAGCTAACTTGTAATGTCTTCTTTCAACATTACGTAATTTTTAGCGCCAAATAAAATTGTTTAAATCATTATTTTCGCTTCCCCCTACGTTGTAAACTCATAACCGTCTTGGAAAAATGATTTTTTTTATGAATTCAATTAATTTTTTTCGATGCGATTCACACCACGGTGCCTAGTTTACATATACTATACTTTCTCAACTAATTTTCTCTTTTTTTTCAGTCTGATGAAATTTTTATTTATTTTATTCCCACTGACATGAGGAATGTCCAATCCTCTCGCGGCAACGTCGGTGCAAATGATGACCCTCAAAGTTTTCGTTCTGAAAGCCGCCAAGGAGGCCAATCTCGCTTTTTGGGAGATTTGCGAGTGCAGGGAGCCGACCTGAAATTGTGCTATTATGAACCATTTCTGCTGCCTCTCCCATTTTTCACCACTTTAAAATCGCAGAAAAATGGAAGGCTCGGTAAAGGGATTCTTTTGGCTGCATTTCTGCGGCTTATTTTGAGCCTCTCCCTTTTAGCCGCCTTTATTTTAGCCGCCTATAAAAAAAGAACTGAATAAGTTCATTTTCAAGCGCCTTCCACGAGACTTCTGGAGTTACAGAAGAAAGATTACGGTAACTTCTATTAAAAATTTTGAAGCGATTTTTTTCTACATTAATTTCTCCTGAAAATCATTATTAAGACTCAAAAAAACCGGCGCATTTTGTAAGATTTTTGAGCAGGGATGCTCATTTTTCAACAGAAAAACTCATAGAAAAACCATGTTTTGAACTTAAAATTCATTTTTTTGAGTTCATTTTTTTTCAATTTTTATACAACGGAATCATTACAGAAGGACGTGAAAAAAATTTTACTTTAAGCTCAAAAAAATCGCTTAGTTTATTATGACCCTGGAAAACTTATATATTAAATACATTTTTCCCTTAAAACCAACCTTAAATCCTAACCCATCGAACATGAAAGCGAGCGCCTGACATTCCCTACAAGTTTGGGCGAAAATAATCACGGAACTTTTCTCGTTCTTCTCGCAATAGTTTTTGACGACGTAAACCTGCAAACTCCAGTTTTGGGATCATTTTTTTTTTCTCATACTGCCTACCAAATAAGCATCTTTCACAGCCACCGGACAAACGACATATTTCTGTTCCAGGCGTTCAACCGTCGCCACTTCTCCTTTGTCTTCGAAAAAGTAGGGCTTTTGGACGGAGATCTGGAGTAGAGGAATTATTCGAAAAAATGAAAATGTTCCATTTTTGCACTTAAGATCTTGACGGGATAAATTAAGGCCCTTAGGATAGCCAGAGTGGTCCCTAGAGGGGCAACTAAAGCTTCGGATTCATATTCTATCAAAACTTGAATAGGAAAAAAAATAAACGAAAGTTTTTTCTAATCATTTTTTGCTTCAAAAACTTTCAATTCTTGATTTTTTATCATATGTATCGGCAGAGTGGTCCCTAGAGAGGTTAGAAAAACAATAGCCCAATAAATTGTCCAATGTAGAAATAAAATTTAGGGGTTCTTTATAGAGGTTCAGGGTGCGACTCCTAAGTCCTGAAAGCTTAAGTGAACCCTATAGTGATCTTTTAACTTTTTGTCCTGATTTGAAAGTTAAAAAGACGTCAGCCTGCCCCTCTAAAGTGGCCCCTTGTGCAAGCTTCAGAGAGAAGGCAATATGATCCCTAGAGGGAAACCTTCTAGAGTCCCTAAAGTCGCCCTTATAGAGACCAGAATAACAGAAACTTCTTTTTATCTTTTTTTGGCTCCGAAAACTTGAGATTCCTAATTTTTATCTTATTCTAAGGATCGCCAGAGTGTTCCCTAGAGGAATTAGGGGGAGAACAGCCCTTATAAGAAGAAAAACCTGCACAATTTAAGGATAAATTTGAAGAGGTCCCTATAGGGTTTCAGAGTCTAACCGCTGAGCTCCTAGAGCTTGAGTGATTCTTTAATTTTTTATACTGAAAAAAGACATTGAAAATACTTTATCATGCTAACCTAGAGTGATCCCTTGAGTAAAAATAAGTGCTACCTAAAGGGGAAGTGAGGTGGTCCCTAGAGAGGACTCTTCATGGGCTCCTAATGATACCCCTATAGGGGTCACTCTGGTTATTTTTACACGATTTCGTCACTGACATTTTAAAAATTTTTTTATTTTCACTCTTTTTTTCTTTTTTTCTTTATATTTTCTAACTTTCAATAATCTGCAAAAAAACGGATGAAGTATTAAAATTTAGTTGGAAAGGTCTAAATTGAATAACCTTATCTCGTCAAGAATATTTTTTTAATATTCATTTATTTTTCTCTATTTTACCTTGTGCAGTTGATTGATCGCATTCGTAATGGTCGCCGAGAAAAGTAACGTCTGTCTTTGTTTCGGCAAGGCTTGGAAAATCGATTTGAGCTGAAAAAATCATATTTCGAACGTTCTATCAAAATGATAGAACCTGGTCATTATACTGTCCCTCGAGCATTCGATCCGCCTCGTCGAGGACGAAGATTTTGACTTTTCTGTAGAAATATTGTTGTTATAGCTTCACATAGTTACTGTGAACTTGAAAATCTTGGCGATTTGTTCGGGATCGCTATCAATATGATCGGATAAGCGTCCGGGAGTCGCCACAACGATATGGGGTCTGGCCGTCAGCTCATTCGCTTGTTCGATCTGAAAAAAATATTTCCAGATAAAAATTATACAGAACTTTAGTGGTTCGTATACGGAAAAAAAACCACAAAAATCGGAGAAAAGTTTACGTTTTCTCTTATTTGAACATTTATAGTCAATTCTGGCTCGAATAATCTAGAAAAGGGTCCTGACACGATAAATAATATAGACAGTGTTCAGATGACGGAGAGCGCAGACCAATCTAACTGGTACTCAGGCCTCGATAATGAAAACCGGACATGTTCCGGACGTTTTCGCGCAATTCTAGGGATCACTTAAGAGTTCTGACGCTACTAAAGGGATCACTAGAAGTGCCCCAACAGTCCGATTTGCGTTACCAATCTCCGAGTATACATCAAGATATGTTCAAACCAAACTTAAGAACTCCAGAGTGGTCCCTAGAGGGGTTAGGGGACAAAATACAGCTCCCTTAAGTGTTACAATTGAGGTAGTCACTATAGGGCGACGTGGTCTTTTCGAGAACTAAAGGCGCTCCCTAAGAGGTAATTTTACCCTGGAGGGGAACCTTCAAGGGCCCCAAAAATAGCATTTACAGGGACCACTCTAGAGATCCTATGAATAAGAAATGGAAAAAGAGCACTTTTTTTTTTTTGAATTTTCCTACTAGCAACTTACCAAACTCCTGCCTCCAACGACAACCGAACATTTCAGAGAAATCGGTTTACCCAAAGCGATAAATTGATCGGCGATTTGATAGGCTAATTCACGGGTCGGTGTTAGAACCAATCCAAAAACGCCATATGGATCCACGGCCAACTGAAGATAAATCATTCATTTCCAATTTTCCCCCACATTTTTTTCACCACACAAAATCAACGCCATGCTAACCATATCGGCGGAGAATAAAATGTTTAGTCCGCAGTGCACACGATACACATAAAGCGACGCGCAAAAAGCGAAATTGATTGTTTATTATGAATAAAATCATTTTCTAGCTGTTATTCATACAGGAATCAATGTAATAAACTTCTACAATATTAATATTCTAAAAAAATAATAACTAGAACTCAAATGCCAAATTTTTTTCAAAAAAAGCGAAAAAAATAGCAAGCGCGCCCAATGGGCCACGAGATTCAAAACTATCTCTGACTCTCCAAAATTTAGTTCTATTTCTCGATTTTTGACTATTTTGAACTTTGCGGAATCGCTTCCAACGCCGCATTATAATTTGTATGAAAAATAACAAGAATACATATTTCATCAGAAAATTTGGCTTCTGAATTAATTTTACCAGGTAAATGATTGAAAATGGCACGATAATTAATGTTTTCTTACCTTCTGAAGTATGGGAAGAGCGAAAGCCAACGTTTTTCCAGTACCCGTTCTCGCACAACCCAAAACGTCACAGTCCGCTAGAACTTTCGGTATACAAGCTGCCTGAAAAGTCGAAATTTTTCGATTTATCTTTATGAATAAACACAAAAGTCCAAGAGGTCTCAAAAAGGAAAAAAGCCTTTCAAAGGCCTCAAAGGCGCCTTTTTTTTCTGGACCTTTTTCTTTAAAAGGACCTTTTGAGGATGTGTAAAAAAATAAGGCGGAAAAGAGGTAGAAAAATGGAGAGTTCGAGAAACTTTTGCCACCTTTTTAGGAACTCAAAAAGAATCTTTTGGCTCTTTTTAAAGCCTTTTTTGAGATCGTTTTGACTTTGTCTGTGTATAGCCGATTCACGGTTATCTTGGGACTCAAAGATATTTGGCCGCCTGGGCTCTCCACCAAACATTCCCTGTCTGTTTTCTTATCGTTTCAGGACCCTTTTTTCGATGGCGAGAGGTTTTTTTCGGGACATTTTTGAGCAACTGAGTGTTTCGAAACATTGAAAAGTTGCGTTCAAATAAGAAATATCGAGATTTTTTGGTGCCTACCGGGGAGTAAATTTGAAAAAACCTGAATAATTTGTCAATGAGTGTCTTTTAGATCTATCTTCCCGTCAGCAAGTATATTGTTCAAAAAAGAAAATTATAGGCTTTTTTTTTGATTTTCCTGCATTTCTTCTGCACCACAAGCACGATGGGCACGAAAAAAATATCATAAAAACAGCTAAAAATAAGAATTAACATTTTTTTGAATACTCAATTTTATAATAATGTTATGTTCCTTGGTCGTGATGAAATTATGTAATGGAAAAAAATTAAAAACCTGAACTGGAGTCGCCGTTTTGAGTTGTAGAATGTTGAGTTGATCTGTGAGCCAAGAATGAACGCCGAGTGACGCGAAAGTTTGTTTTGTCATTGTTTCGGAGGAGATCTGGAAGAAATATCGATTGAAACGATGAAAAAAACATTGAAAAAAAGTAATTAAAAAAATGTCTAAGGAAACGCTTAAATTTCAATTCAAAAAAACTCCAAACATCTAGAATATATAAGTTTAGAAAAAAATGTTCAAAAGACATATTGACTTAGAAAAAAAAAAATGAAAAAGCTACAAAATCCGTAGTTTTTGTCGATTGAAAACTGGAATCACAGCTTCGACATGAATCCAAAAAAAAGTTAAAATGATTTCCAAGACTTTAAAAAATTCAAAATACGCTTGATAGCTTTGAAGGCACCGAAATCAGCATCCAAATCTTATTTCAGCTTATTGAAGAACAAAAATAAATTTAACGGTTAAAATATACATAAATTGAATCTTAAAAACGCCTCAAAAGGATAGAAAAAATCTGAATTTCTGGAAATAACGCTCAAAATGCCGGAAATTACAGGAAAAACCATTTTCATAGCAACTACCTCACCTGTTCAGGCTTTTCGGATTCTTCAAATTCAGCCCCTTCTTCCTCCTCTTCTTCACTGCTTGTCTCAGCTTCATCTTCCTGAAAAACTTCATTTTTTAGAAACATTGAGCCTCGAAAAATGTACATTTTCTTCTTCTTCAACGTCTTTTGAAGTCGTTGGCTCTTCTTCAACTTCGTCGTCTTCAGAATCTGACAGAAGAGCGTCACAAATTGTCGACATCTTCTTCTTCTTCTTTTTTAAAATCGAAAAGAAAAAATTGAAGATAATAAACGGCTTCAAACCGTATGAACAGTCAGAAAAAAATTTTAAAAGCAATAAGATTCATTTCGAAAAAAGAAAAACAAGCAAATGTATAACAATTGGCTGTGAAAGTAGAAAAAATTGCAAAGTTCATAGGAAATATCAAGACTGAAGAGCCATGCCGGCCCGGAGTTCCTGTGACTCTTTCTCCGATAAAATACGAATATTATGCTTTTCCTTGTGTGCATTCAGCGTCTTTCCCTTCTCGATCAATTGGTCGTTGAGCTGTTTCGAAAGCTGAGTGAGCTGAAAAAACATCCAAATTAATCATTTAAGCCCTAAAATTCTCTTCAAACATTGTTCAAATTATTCGTGAGGTCGGGAATAACGTCGCGGACCGTGTACTCGACCAAAGTGTCGCTGATCAATCGGAAGCACTTCTGATCAGGGTCCACATCTTTTAGAATATCGATCACACGACTGTAACCAACAATTTAAGGAAGACTAAATCAAGAACGGATACCCATGCTCTCGTTTTTCCTCCTCGATCTTCGTCACTTCTTGCGCGATTTCCTGCTGTTGCTCCCGAAGTTTTTGGAATGTCTCGACAACTTTCCGCTGTTCTTCTTGCTCGGCGGCCGTCGCTGGTGCAGACATCTGTGAGAATATGTTACAGTATAAAACAAAAAACTTAAAAAGAAGTAAAACAAGAAAAATCGGAAAAAAGCTTTTTATGAAAACGAACTTGCGTGAGAGTGTATGCAGAAAGCCACCACTCACCGTAATCAAAAATTCTCAAAAAAATTTTTTTCAAGAGAAATTTTTTTGTTTTCTATGTGGCACATCGACTATATATATTATATGTATGATATTTGTTTCAGATTTAACTAATACGACTTTGACAAATTAATAAAATTGTTGAAAAATCTGAAAAAAAGGAATACTTATTTCATTTGAAAAGTTTAGGTTATTAAAATTTGAGCTTTGATTTGAAATACAGAATCTTGTTTCGAAACTAAAATCCAAGTTCCAAGTTCTTTCGAGTTTTTTCGATTATCTTCCTTCAGATACTGATTTACCAGTTCAAACAAATATTTTCAGGTATGACCGAAATCGGAGACGCGCAGGTGTCGATCCGATTTGTCGGAGAAGATGGGAAAAAGGTCGGAGGAGCTGGAATCCTCGTCCCAGTCAACACAACCACCAATCAGTTGCAAATTCTATGTAATCAACTTCTAGAGAATAGGTTAAACAGTTTTAGCATTTCAGATCATGAATAGCAATTTTTTAGTGATGATCCCGTGCCAATTTCATTTTTCACCAGCGAAGGAACTGAAATCAGAGACTCAATTTCACAAAGTTTGGATAAGATCGACACCGAAAAGGTGATGATTTCCATATTTCCTATAATAATTGTGTGTATTCTAGACTTTGGAACTGATTTATCAACCACAAGCAGTTTTTCGAATCCGACCGGTTACGAGATGTTCGGCGAGTATGCCAGGCCATGGCGAACCAGTCATTTCGGCCCAATTCAGTCCTGATGGGCGGTTTTTCTAAATTTCCATCAAATTTAGAAGTTTTTATTGATTTTCAGAGGTCTGGCCAGTGGGTCCGGAGACACGACAGTCAGAATTTGGGACATTGAGTTGGAATTGCCAAAATTCACTTGCAAAGCGCACAAAAACTGGGTTTTGTGTATTGCCTGGTCTCCAGATGCGACCAAAATTGCGTCGGCTTGTAAAAATGGCCAGGTTTGTGTAGTTCGCATATATTTCTTGTTCCTAATCAATCTTAAAAAAAGCTAACACTTCATGAATTTCATTGAAAAAAAGAATGAAATTTAAAAAAATCACCAAAAAAATACTAGAATTATTCTTATTCATTTGTCTTTTTTTGTTCAATACTTGAAAGTTACTTCATGAATATTTTCTGGAATTTTTTTCTGTTTCCCAAAAATGATTTTTTTAAAGTTTTTTTCCTTATCATTTCAATCGATAGTGAACAAATTTTATTAGCAATTTTCATCCGAAAAAAATCATAAAAATATTTTTTTATTTCTTGGAATATTTACAAACCTTGTTTTTCTTCATGTTCGAGTGGGAATCTTATGGCTTATTTTTTTCCAATAAAAAAATCTGAATTTCCTAAAAAAATTTATTATAATGAAATTTTAACTCCATCATGTTCCAGATAATAATCTGGGACGCAAAAAAACGGGAACTCAAATTGGAAAAAAACTTTGATCCGACACAAACAATGGGTTACTCACCTGGCCTGGCAACCAATGCACAAGGATCCTGAATCCAGGTTTTTTTTTCTCTCTTTCATGGGATGTTTAAAGACATAAAAATCGATTTTAAAGCAATTTTGGAAGCCAAGAGCGGTTTTATGATGTTATTTCATACCTTTAGGACCTTAGTAAAGATTTTTATAACGATTTTCTATCGTTTTGTTAGAAAAAATCTTTAAAAGTTGAATTTCCAGATACTTGGCTAGTGCTGGAAAGGATGGAAATATCCATATTTGGGACACCGTCAAAGGAAACGTTGTCAGATCATTGACAGGTATTAAAAATGGAAAGAGATAATAAAAGTAAATTTAAGGGCACACGGCCTCAGTAACAAGCATCCGTTGGGGAGGAGAAGGCTTGATTTATTCTGGGTCTCAGGTAAAAGTTCAAATTTTCGAGTTTTTCTGTTTTGATTTTGAGCTTGAAGAGCTGGTTCATAAGGCTTTCCTTAAAATTTTTATTGGAATCGAGAAAATCGTATTTTTTTTCCAACGCATCCTTGCACCTGATTTTTCTTGGCTCTATTTTCGAATACTATAAGGTTACATTGTAAATAAATTTCCTCATTTATTATTTTTTAATTTTCGAGCCTGCAACATCGAGACCTAAGTTTCTTCAAAATTGAAAACGCTTGAATTAAAGTTTAGGCAGCCGCTGCCAAATTTTCATAAATTTAACCGTTGAACTCATTAAAATTTGGCAGCGCCTGGAATTCTATTTTCATTAGCTCTTAGGGGATCGAGAATCCTTCTTTAAAAAAAAAAAAAGAAAATAATGTTTAAACCTCTAGAAATAATTCTTAGAGGATTTTTTTCTATGTCTCAAATTTGAAACTTCAATGCCATCTTTAAAAAAAGTTTTCTTTGATAAGTTTTTGTTCTTAATTTTCGGCCCCGGGCTCAATTTACTTGAAATTTGACAACGCTTGGATTAAAGTTGGGGTAGGACCAATTTTTCGTAATTTCATCGGTTAATCTTGGGAAAGTTTGTTAGCGCCTGGAATGCATCTTCCACTAGCTTATTGGGAATCGATAATCCTTCTTTAAAAAGAGAAAAAAAAAACAATTACACTGTTCGAATTTCTGGAAGTTATTTTTTAAGGTTTGCGGGCTCAACTTTTCAAATATGCATGATCTCATAGGCAAAATTAGGAAAGGTAGAAAAATGCTCTATAGAAGTTTTCTTTTTTTGCTCCGTTTTTTTCCACTTTTTCTTGAGCTTGAAAGTCCCATAAGAACGTAAGGCTCGATAAAGGGGCTCTCTTTGCTGCCTTTTTGCGGCCTTTTTTGAGCCTTTCGCTTTTAGCGGCTATTATCCATCATTCCGACTTTGCACGAGCTTTTAAATAAATCGAGATATTTTTATAAACCTCAAGGACACAGTATTCTTAAGAAGAAGTTTACTTCCTTTTTCCTAGGACCGAACAGTGAAAGTTTGGCGAGCTGAGGACGGTGTCATGTGCCGGACCTTGACTGGTCATGCTCATTGGATCAATACTCTGGCCCTCAACACTGATTTTGCTCTTCGGACCGCCTGTTTCGACCCCAGTAATCGATGTCTAAAGCCGGAAACTAGCGAGGAGGTTTCGGATCAGAAGTCACAGAAAAATATAGAAAAAATGTGCTCTAGTGTCAAAAAGTGGCTGAGAAACGGTATAAGGCGGCTTTGAAAACGACTGGCGGCGAGAGATTGGTCGGTTTTTGAGGAGGATTTTCGGAAAAAAAACTTTTTTTTTTTCAAGGTCAGCGGCTCTGACGATTTCACCATGTTCATGTGGAATCCGAGCGAATCCAAGGCGGCGATCGCAAGGATGACTGGTCATCAACAACTCGTTAATCAGGTTCAATTATTTTTAAAGAATCGTGGGAAACAAAAATGAAAGTTGGAAATATTTTTTCACTCACAAATTTTGCTATTTATTTGGGAAAAATCCAAAAAAATAAATCGAAACTGAAATTCATCAACGGAGCGCAGATTAGTGTATTTTTTTGAGCTGATTTCTAGAAAAAAATGAGAATTTTTCTCATTTTAATTTTTCAGCGTTTCTGAAGCTATTTTTAGGAGTTTCAGAGTAGTCACTATTGGGGAAAACCTTAGGGGCCCTTAAAGGTCCCTTTTGCTAATTTTTAAAAAAACTGAAAAAAACGGGAATATATGTCCATGGGGCGCAGATTAGTGTATTTTTAGAGCTGATTTTTAAAAAATAAGAATTTTCTTATTTTAACTGCATTTCTGAAGCTATTCTCTGGCATTCCAGAGTGGTCACTGTAGGGGAAACCTCCCTAAATACCACTTTACGAACCCCTATAGGGACCACTCTGGAATTCCTAAGTTTAACTTTTTTTTTTCTCAAATTTAGAAAGAGCAATTTTTTTTTTCAATTCTGATTTTTTGTCCATTTCAGCTAGGTATATAAAGTTTTAAACGCTTTTTTTCTCAAGTTAACTTTTTTTCTGTGATATGTTTCCTGATAAAACTTTTAAATTTTTCAACTCTTCACCTCAAAAAATTTATTAATATTCCAAATTTTAATTTTTCATTGTTCAATTATCATTTTTTTAAAAACCTCTCCCTTCTATTTTTTTCCTTTTTGAATTAATATTTTTTTCCATTTCCAATTCTTAATATTTTTTTCTATAATTCCAGGTCGTCTTCTCGCCGGACACTCGTTACATTGCCTCGGCGTCTTTCGACAAATCGGTCAAGCTTTGGTGTGGCCGAACCGGGAAATATATAGCCTCCCTGAGGTTTTTATCGATCTTTCCTGTCAAAAAAGTCAATAAATCGATTAAAGAGGTCACGTCGGACCCGTCTATCAAGTGGCTTGGTCGGCCGACAGTCGATTGCTCGTTTCCGGTTCCGCTGATTCTACCTTGAAGGTGATTTTTTAGCCTTTGAGGGGTTTTTCAGACTTATTTCTGAACAAATTTGCTTTGATGTAACCTAGTTTTTTAGTTTTTTCAGCTGAAAATCGATATTTTTCGAAAATAATCACTTTATCATCAAATTTTAGTATGAAAGTTAAAAAAATTAAGATCCTTGAATCGTTCCTCGGAAAAAAATATTTCAGTGGAAATTTCAATTGGTACCAATTTGACTTTTATGTTACAAGTATTCTTGAAATTCAAATATTTTTCAAATCGCATGTTAGCAGCAGGTTAAAAAAGGTGGTGTGAAAAAGAACCAGCGAAAATTCAAACGGCGACTTTTCCGATTTTTTCATATCGCTAGGGAACTTTCCGACGGATTCCGTTCCGACTTTTTTCTTTTTTTTCGGTTTATAAAACATCTATAAACAATTTTTTTTCCTATTTCTTTGTGTTTTAATTATGAGCCAACTACCTACTTTATATAAGCAGGTTTAAAACGTAGATTTTATGGAGAAAAAAGTCGGAAAGTTCCCTAGCGATATGAAAAAATCGGAAAAGTTGCCGTTTGAATTTTCGCTGTTGTTCTTTTCATACCACCTTAAAGAAGGAATCCGAAATTCAGTTATTCGAAAAAATTATCACTGCTCTCTCGTTGATGGTAGGAAGGAATTTTGGGTCCCCGAATATTCGTGAGCGTTAATTGTGCATACACCAATCTTGGGGGCTTGAATCTTTGAAAATTTGAATCTTTGCAAACGATTCTTGGGAATATTCCCCTCTTTGTTGAATTTCCTTCTTTTTTTCCTACATTTTTTTTCCTTTGTCGTTTTATTGTGAAGATGCCGTGTTTCGACAAATAATGAAAACTGTATGATTTTTTTCAACTATTTTTTATCAAATAATGCGTCTTTCTCGCATACACCTAGTCAAATATTCACTGCAGAACGGCTACCACATTTCCATTCGCTCTGTATATATTCTCCATCAATTTCCGTTTTCAAAAAAATTGGTAAAATTATAAAAAAATCAGAAAAAAAGGTGAATATTCCCAAGAATCGTTTGCAAAGATTCGAGCTTCCAAGATTGGTGTATGCACAATTAACGCTCACGAATATTCGGGAACCCAAAATTCCTTCCTATCATCAAAAAAAGTGCTGAACATTTTTAGGCGTTTTCGCCGTTTCTCTGATGGTATTTTTTGATCTTGAGAATTTAATAAATACTGTTGTTTTGAGAAAGTTATTTTCAAACTTCACACCGAAATGGTCGTTTTTTCATGAATTAAGAAAAACTCCTTTTGTTAAAACTAATGTTTATGCCTTAAATAAACTTTTTTTGGGACACTGAAAGCTTTTAAAATTTGATTTTCCAGTTTTGAGGTTTTTCTGATATTCGGATCTAACTTCATAGGAAAAAGACTGGGAATTTTTTTTCCCACTTCCAAAATGTTGTTAACTTTCATACCGGATAGAGCGATCCAAAAAAGTCAGCCAAAAGGGAGTAAAATTTTGAATTTCAATCATACGTCGGCTAATTCTCACCCTGGGGTGCCGCCAACCCCCCTCGAACTGCGGCCTACCCTTTTTTTGCGCGCAAAAAGGCTGGGGTGGGATTTAGCCGACATATGATTTCAATGGACGCTCCTCTGAGTTTTGGTTAAAAAAATCGTGCTTTTTAATAATAATATTAATAATAATAATATTAATAGGTTCATTCACTGCATACGGTAAGGAAATAAGTAGTTATAATAAAAAAAAGACAGAGGCGCAGTAGAATAACCAACAACGGGAACCAGTCCACCGTAACGAGTAGACTTTGGCCTGGATCAAGACAAGGATTAAAGTAATCGGGAAGAAGGCAGAATTTGGGAGATCATTAAGCGAATCAGTGGAGACGTTAAAAACTATTCAAGAGGTTAATTTATTCCGAATAGTTTTGGAAAAAAAAAGTCTTTAGAAAACTGACCGGAACTGACTTATTTGGAAAGTATCTTTCAAGGTCTGGGAAATGAGAACGAGAAGCCTTTACTACGACCTGCCGGGCCACGGCGACGACGTCTTCACCGTCGATTGGAGCCCCGAAGGGACGAAAGTCGTGAGTGGCGGCAAGGACAAGGTCCTGAAACTCTGGCGGCAATGAAAACTTCCGCTTTTTCTTGTTTTACATCATTCGCCACGACGTCTGTCTGCGCACTCTTTCTATTTCTACGACGTCACCGGTGAGAGAAAAGAGAGCGCAGACAGGTCAGCCTGTCCAAAAACGTGGCGAATGAAGTATATTGTTTTTTGTTATTTTTCCACTTGTTATTGTTGAATTTTGTTAAATTTTATCATTATACCGTTGTTTCAGATGTCATTTGAAAATGAAAAATTTTTTATTCGAAAATCTGGAAAAAAAGTTATTTTCTGAGCGCCTGTGCCTCTGGCTCCGATTGATTTGTGATCATCATCCAGCTGATCTGATATTGAGTGGAATGGCTCTGAAATTTATCGATTAGAAAAGATCAACCAGAAATCATCTTTACCCGGAAAAAATTGGCCGAAAACCAATGTTTCTCGCCGTTTATGTAGACCAAGTTGTTTTCGATCCCCGTGTACCGGAGGTCGACCGTTTCTTTGAACTTTCTATCCAGGTGGAACTGAAGTTGATACAAAGGGGCGTGGCTAACCAATCGAAAAAAGTTATAAAAGCTTACATTCATACTTGCATTTCCAGGCCCATAGGTTTTCTCGATATCGTCGACAAACTCATACAGGAAGCCTGGAAAACGTTTTTATGGTGGCATTTGGAATGGATCGATGTTTGAAATTCTTTTTCATAAAAAAATCCGAAGCGTTCCCTACAGGGGCAACCTTAATGTCCCTTGGAGGGTCCCCTCTAGCGACTAATTTACCAACCCCTAAAGGGGCCACTAAAGCTTGCAAAAAGGATTAAAATTTAAAGAAGAGTACATTATTTGATGAGTCTGGGCTTCTAAATTTGGCTTTGATGATAAAGTTCGAACTTTTTTGAAAAGCGGTTAATTTTTTTCGAAGAAATAGCCATTCCCAACGCGACCATAGGCTTCTAACTTGCGATAAATCCATTTTATCAAGCTTTTAATGTTTTAAGCCCACAATTTTAAGCCTTTAAAGTTGTTTGAAACGTTAAAAGTTCAAAAATAACCCAGAGAAATTGTCCTAATTGGCTATTTTTGGACTTCGCCTTTTTTCAAGCCTAAATCATTAGAACTGATAATGAATGTACTTTTTGAAAATTGGAAAATCCCTATAGGGTCCACTTGAGCTTTAGAGGCTGAGGGATCAGGCTCTGAACCCCTACAGGCAGCACCTTCATTTGACCCCTGTAGGGACCACTCTGGAGATTTCATGGTCGCATTTGGAATGGATCGAAGCGTAGCGGCTGCGTCGCGGTTTAGATTATTGTGCATATGGCGTAACGGCTTAGCATTCATTTTGAATCTTTTTAGAATTGATTTTTGAATATTAGCTCATAAAATTTCAACTCTGAGTTGTCTACATAAAAAAGAAAAAGTACATTTTTCTGCTAACTTTTCATGAAAGTCTTCAAAAAAAGCTGGAAAATAATAAAACAAACCAATTCCCGCGTACTCCTTGTTGAAAAACATTAGAGAAGAAAACTGCGTGAAAAGTTTGTCCAATTTCGTCGCATTTTGCTCCCTCACCCCTTGCGCAAATAAAAATAACACCATGATTGCTTGGGCTTCATGATCATCCTTGATTTTTTATTGATTTTTTGAAATTATAAATGACTGACCAATTCGAAGAAGCGATCCTTGAAGAGGGGTGTGTCCTGAAAACTTGCAATTTTTCAAAACCCATTTTTTCACCACATCTTTCAAAATTCTCATTGCTCTTTGATCCTGTTTGAAACGATTGAGTTTATGTCTTCGTCTTTTTTTTTCTTTATCACAAATTTGAACCTCGAAGCAGCAAACGGCTAGCAGAAACCCCAGCAAAGCCCACCGGAGCAACATTTATGAAATGATCTCTCTATCAAGTTATTTTTCACGTTTTTCTTGTCTCTAATCATTTTTTGAACCATTTCTTGTTATTTCCAATCCCATCAAGACTGCATATGTGCTGACTTCGTCCGATTATTATCAATCTTATTTTTTTAAACATTTATACCAATTTTACAATGAAAGAGTTGCTTCTGATCATTTTGCACAACGCCGTTGTCGTCCTTGTTTTTAGTGAGTTTTTTTTTGAAGTTCTGATAGGACGCGTTGCGGTCGCGTCGCGGTTCTAGTGAGAGCATGAAAAAGGAATTTTTCTTCCTTTTTTGTCGCTGATTTTTCCATAACAACGTTCCAAAACGAAAAAAAAACTTTCAATTAATTTCGTAGCTAAATATATCACACTATAAATAGATTTCTAGAAATAATTCTTAGACTCTTTTTCGCAATATCTTCCTAGCTACCTGCCTAAATACCTGTGAGAATTCCTAGTGACCACTATAGAGGTTGTCTATTTAGTGGCCACTTCAGTAGTCCTTCCAGTAACTCTGATAATTTTAAAACGAACAGATTGGACCAGTTATGTTGATCCATTGACCCCTAAAGTGGCCACTAAAATTTTTCAGTGGTCTAGATCTCTATAGTGGCCACTAATTTTTAACCCCTTGAGTGGCCATTAGTTTGACTACTATAGTGGCCACTTCCCAGACGTGCCAGTAGTGAATTAACAATACGTCACTCCAGATTACGTTTCAGTTGTCTGCGCCAAGAAACGGCCGAACAATTCGACGCCGACCGAAGCACAATCAACGAACAAGCAAACTTCAGAAGGCCTGAAGCCCTTTTCGACGACGCCGACGGCATCCAGAAATGTATCCCCGGCTGTGTGTCAACCTAGTACACCCCAGGCTGCGCGGAATCCTTTCGGCAGGTCCTTCCGGAAGGAGAAGAAAGAGGACACTAGCATCTTGACGGCGCAGACACATGTAAGTTCAACGAGAAAAAGATGTGACAGGCAGCGAAATCTGAGACACTTACTTTTTTCAACTTTGAGCTCTCTAGACTCATTTCACAAAGCTACTCGGCAATTTTCAAGCTCAGATTCACTAGAATAAGCGTAAATTACTACAATTGATGACCCCACTCACGGCGTTTTTTTTTATTACCCAAGTTCAAGACCTCTCGTAAATTATGATGCTTAGGGTGTAAGCACACCGAGACGCACTATCGCATACTCGAAATTGTTTTTTTCAATTTTAGAATTTGCAATTTTAGGATAATAACTCCTTGTAATTGAGATCTTTTTCTAATCAGTAATAAGAAAAAGAAGTTGGCTTTTCCAGAAAAAGCTCGATCCTCACCAGAGGTCTCGTCAGAGGCAAGTTAAGCAGAGTAGCTGTGGGGTCAAAGGCAGCTTCGACGTCACTCAAAGGAATACCGAGGAAACGCCTATGGAGCCTTCGCATGTGGTTGGTTGACTTTTTTCCCTGCTCTCCCATGAAATCTCTTCTCAGAATAACAAAAAAAAGACGAGGACTGCATCGAAAAAACAGCCGGATTCAAATCCGTAAGTTTTGTTGTGGCTTGACTACATTATATGTTATGTTAGCAATAAAAACGCAATGGAAGACGACGAAGACGACGACACGATGAAGTTTGTTAAGAGCATCGATGATTGACGTCCCCATCTTATTCTGAAGCAGCCGGTTCTAATTTGAATTTCGTTCTTTTTTCTCACTTTTGCCTTCAACACATGCTTTTTTCATAAATGAGCTCAGTGACTTTTGATTTTCTGATATAGCTGATTCACTTGAGCCAGCGGTAAATGGGTCCTGGAACGATTCAACGAGATAGTGCTTGGATGGTGGAGAGCGCAGACAGGCCACGTCTTTTTTGCGTCCCAAGTGAATCGGCTATATACTCCCTTCCATTGGAGGTTCCCATGAGGTTGGGCCAAGAAAAGCTGAACTCGGGACTTTCTCAAAATCGGCAGCGCCTTAGAATTAGAGGGCTTCAAAAAGGAAAACTTGCGTTTTTTTTTTCTAACCTTGGCAGTTGTCTATATCCGACTGAATCAGAAATTAAAAAAATATCAGAAAAACTCCAAAAATTCCTTTTTTTCAGTTTTAAATTCAACTTTTTTTCAAATTAGTACCTATTTACACTGAAACTTTAAAAATTCTACCTAGACCAAAAAAAAACTCGAAGAAACCCAGTATTTGAGCGAATTATTACGTTTTACAAATATGAATTCCCCTTCATTGCGCTCCCTCCTTTTGTTTGCTCCGAGTATGACCCACCATCCGAATCGATTTGATCATCAGCACACCATTTTTGGCCTGAAAAGGGTTTTTGTAGTGTTTCTACTTGCTCTGAATAAGGATGCTCTTTTTAATTGGCTGAAATTGCTTCTAAATTGGTTCAATTTGTAAATTCTAACTTGAAAATTTTTTTGAAGAGTCTTTTCAGTTATAATTCATGAAATCCAGGTTAAAAAAAGGTTTGTCTCCAATATAAAAGACAACAGAATGTACCTTCTTTCATGGTTTTTCCTTTGAAAAATTCTCTCACTTTCCTTTTAATTCATTTTCAATTCGAAAAACTTGAAGAACCACTTAAAAATAACTGGTCTTCGACATTTTTTTTGCTCGCTTTTTACCTCGGATGTTCGCCTGTTTGCAAACGTTCCGCCATCGGGTGACGAATGGCTCTGTCAAATGTTATCACTTTTTGTTTTTTTCGTTTAAAAAGAGGTTCATTTCGCAGTTAAAATTTGTCTTCTAGATGTAAGAAATTGATTTAAAAAAAGTCGTATAACGAAAAATTTTTCCTGCTTTTTTTACGGTATTTTAAAATTGTGCATTCATCAACTTGCACCGAATGCATTTTAACTTTCGCGCAAGTTTAATAATTTTCCTTTTATTTTATTTTTTACGAATTATATTTTTATTACTTTGCTTTTTTGAACTCCCACCGGCCACGCATGCCTCACTTTTTGGTCACACTCTCGTTGGAAAAAGAAAACTTTTGTCCCTTGTGTTCGACGTTCGCCGATAGGTAGATTACACTCTTATGTATTATCTTTGGTTCCCCTTTTGCAGTTTTTTGTTCGCATGTTTCACATGATAAGAGATTATTGTATGTGACATGCGGTAGGATGGTAGTCGAAAGGTTTTGTTCTGAAAGTTCAAAAAGAAGTTAGGCAGAAGGTTGATATCACTCAAATAAAAACTGAGAAAAGCTTTTCGCTTCGAAATATCCAAAAATTTTCTCTGCACGTCTTTAAACGCTCCAGGAAGTAGTTTTTTGAAAAGGCTTTTTCAAAGTAGTTTCTCGGAAAGGGATGAGTTCAAATTTATTTTTGTTTCCGCTTTATTAACTGTCTTCAAACTTGATAATGAGTTTATTTTTTCAAAAAGTAACCTATAACTGTACCAAATCTTACTCTTTGTTCACGAAACTAGGTTTTACAATAAAATTGGCGAAGATTTATTGCGCGCGCGCGTTGTTCCGCCGAACCGGCGGCCGACGACGACGAAAAAGACAAATTTTTACATGACAGACGTCTCTTTCTCTCTCTGAAGGGATCCGTTGCTTTCCATTTCCATCTTTTTCGGTGATTTTTGATTTGGTTTTTGGTTATCATTGGATTGTTTTCGAGTCTAGCTCTTCCGCTTGTTTTTGAGCTTTGTTGAGGATTCTTTTTTTTTTGAATTTTTTCTTTTTAATAAATCTTTTTTTGATATCCTATTGGTTTGTATTGGTAATAATGTTAATTGGGCCGAATGGTATCGGTTTTTTTTTCTAATTTTTCAATTGAATTATATTATTCCATACTTTAAATTTTAATGTGGAGTCTGGAGGCCGTATGCATGAACTTTTACGGCCCGTAAACGGATATACGGCCAGAAAAAATGGAACTTTCCTGCGAATAGCCGGCTGCTGAGTAAGAGCAGAAATCTCACAATTGTAATCTCTTTTTTTACATTTTTCAAAATTTCATGCAAACGGCCTCTGGTTTCTCTTCTAATTAGATTTTTAAATGGTTTTTTTTAAATAAATTTTTCTTGCTTGAAACTCAAAAAAACTGATTTTTTTAGAACATCCGTAGTTTGATCAAAATTTTCCCGAAATAGTTTCAAAGATTTTAGTTTTTTAAATCTAGAACGTTTCAGTTATGAAATCTGTAATTCTTGAGTTGTTATGGGTTGGAGTTGAACTACTTTTTTTAAATTTGAATGGCAAAAAAATTATTAAAAGCGTAAAAAAACTTTCCCTTTTTACGAAGTTTGAAGGTCAAGTTAGTATTTAATGATAAAAAATCAAAATTATTGCCGATCAAAAAGCTCAAAGGCCTTACGGAGGACAAACGCGTTTGAAAAATGTATCTCTCTTTTTTCAAAATGGTTTATTATGATCTTTTTTCAAAATAATCCATGTAAATTCAGCTCTATTGATGATAAAGAAAAGAAAAGTGGGATTAGGTTCTTCTTGAAAATAAGCTGAACATGTGGTTTTTTTGCGATAATTTCTTCGGAACTCTCTTTCTTTCGCTCGCTGTAAGCCACGTGCTGTCTCACTCCCGTTCAGTTTTTTTTTTCAACGCAAAAGCTGGTTTTTTCGCACCCGCAGTGAAACATTGATTTTTTACCAAGAGTTTCTCATGATTTTCGACTTTTATATCAGAAATTCCGATCTCAACGAGGTCATCTATCATTCGTGTGTGACTTTTGTTGCGTTGAGTGTAAAGTGCGTGTGATTCGCAGTCTTTTTCAAATTCTTTTCATTTTTTTGAAGAAGTAAATGTTGATTTTCTTTGTAAATATCGATGTTGAAATTAGAAATTATCGTTTTTTCAGCTCTTGGCTATTTTCCGGGGGATTTTTGAATCTTTTATGATTTTTTTTATGATGGAAATTCACTTTATATTTAGGTTTTTTCTTAAAAAATAGGGCCAATCTTGTAATTTTTTCAAAACTTATAGATCAATACCAATAATTTCTATTTTTAAAGCTACTATTTTCAATTTCTATATAATATTTCCAGTCGGAAACGCTGAATTTTTTGCTTTCTACGCTAACGATCTATTGAAAAATTGATAAGAATGGTATAAATATCACCTTAAGCCATAAAAATGCAGTTTTTCCTTCATAATTTGGCTTTTCCGTGATAGTTTAAAATCTTAAAAACTCTCTCCTTGAATTTGATTTATGACGCCGCTTTTTCGAATGTCAACTATGAATATTTGGTAAAACTCTGATTTTTTTTTAATCGAAAATCCCGGATAAAATTCTGATTTTCCCGATTTTTCGGTGACTATGTCTCCATTTTCGGCTTCCCAACCGTCAACCTTGATATTCCAACCATTCTCAATGAAATATAAGCGACACCCTGTCAAAAGCCGAAAAGAAAAAGACACGTGGTCTTTTTTCTCCTTTTGTTCCGCAGTCGCAATTCATTTCGCTGTCAATTTCGAGGGTGACGACGATTTTTGCCCCTTCTCCAATAGATGTAAGCTCCCTCTTATCACCACTTTTTTCCGCTTTTTAATGCGCCAGTTGCAAAACTTTTGACATGGTTCCGGGCTTTCAAGACGCGTTTCTAGACACTTGGAGGAGACTTTTTGGGCGATTTTTCGCTTTTTCGGTCCATTTTTTAATTGGTTTTTGATCCAGTGGTTCAAATTTTTGAAACTTATGCCGTGTTCAAAGTGATTTCGCGAAATCCAAAATTGCCGCTAGAGAAAGAAAAATATAACTAAATTTTGGAGAGTCAGAGATCATTTTGCATTTTGCGGAAATTACTTTGAACACGGCATTATGAGGGGAAGATTTTTGAGATAGTTCTCGTTCGAAATTTGAAAGTTTTCCGGAATATTTCATTGACCCAAGTTTTTGAGATTTGAACTTTTTTTGAAAACATTGAAGGTTTTTAAGGTCACGCGATTTTTTTCTATTCGTTTTTTTCATGAAAAATTTTAAAATTTTTTTCGTTTAGATTTATTTTATACCGATTTTTTTGAATAACGGAGCTTTTTTTAAATTTTGAAGATGTTCAGAAAATGGTTTTTGATCGCCTTTTTGAAGTGTCTCGTAGATTTATGGTTTTTCGAAGAAAAAAATATTTTTTTCTTTTTTTGAAACTCTTTCTATAAATCCAACTTTGTTTTTCATAATTTATTCATTTTGAAAGATGTTCATTTTCTCAGTTCTTCTCAATCATTTGATGAGGAGTATAGCCCAATTTTTCCATAAAAAAATCGGAAATTTTTTTTTTCACTGGTTTTAACTACTTTAAGTTTAGAGAAGTATCATTTTTCGTCGTTTATGTCTTTGTATTCTTTATCTTCGTTTCCTCAAGTTCCAGAGTTTTACGAGCTTCCCAGAAGTTATTTCTCTAGTATTTCTCTAGTATAGTTTAGTCAGTGGGAATTTTTTGGAATTTGGTATCCTTTTAGACGAAAAAAGAAACTTTCTTTTTAAAAGTATAGCTGAGCTTATTTTTTTAAAGTTGAGCTTATTTGGTTTTTTCCGATTCGTCTGATTTTTTTCATTATTTAATAATATTTTTTTGAAGTTATTGAAAATTTTGGTTGTATGAGTAGTTGAAAAAGTTATTTTGGCTATCATAGAGCATTTTTAAAAAAACCGGTCAATTATCGGTGAATTTTTGATAATTATATTAAAAATTTTTGAACGTGAAGCTTATTTTTTTCAATAACAGGACAAGGCTTGAAAAGCAACTAGCAATGAGATTTTTGAGGATAATCCTTTGATGTCGCCAATTTTCTACAGCTTTCCATATGTTGAATAACGGGCTTGAGGATAAGAAAGATTTATTGAAGGGAAGAATGATAAGATCTTAAAGGAGAAGCGGACTCTGTTTCGAAATTGGAAGGACGTACTTTTTTCGTTTCATCGCGTTATTGCCTTTTTTAAAACAAATTTCTTGTTTTTTGAATGGGTCTGTAAGGATTGACACAGTCTCAAGGTGAAAAGCCATCTTCAGTGTGATTTTAAGTCATTTTTTGTCTCTGAAACGTGTTTAAAGTAATTCCGCAGGATCCATACCAGCCGTCAGAGAAATAAAAAGATAGCTAAATTTTGGAGAACTTTGCGGAAATCACTTTGAACAAGGCATTGGAACTTTGACATTGATATTCTATTGAAAAATATAATTTTGATCATTTTCTGTTCATTGGATATTTCCACATTTTACGAAGTGTTATCGATTCGAAATGAGTAACATGAAATAAATAAAGAATTGAACGTTTTCCCCCAGATGAAGCAACTCGTGTTCATGTTCGCGGTCTCCGTGGCCCTGCGACTGGAGTATCTGTTCGCGGCGGCGGTCGTCGCGCACAAGCAACGCGACTGGTCCAACAACAAACGGCGGCTTTTCACCGTTCGCGTCGTTTCCTTCACTCATGCCTTGATTTCGGCCTTGGGTTGTCTTACTAGGTGGGGCCATCTTATATTGTAGTCAGAAATCATAAAAGTTCATGCAATCTGTTATAGTCTGTGTGCCACGACTAGAAATTTCACCGAACGACATTCCGCTGTTCCGCTGCATGCGTTCGCGAAGCGTCTTTCGAATCTAGGTCACGCTTTCAATTGATTGTTATTGCTGTGGGAGCACATGAAAGTAGAGTACCTTAAAAAAAAACAAAAAAATTAAAAGCGTGACCAAGGTGCGCAAAGGCGCGCAGCGGCACAGCGGAGTGTCGTTTGGTGAAATTTCAAGTCGTGATACACAGACTATATCTAGCGAGTTTTTTTTTCGAGTTGTACCTTTGAATTTTTTTTACGAACACCAATCAGTATCAACCATATATGTTCGTCTTTAATTGGTTGCGTGTATTTTTCTTTTTTTTTCTTCGAATTAACTTTTGCGTTTGACAAGGACAAATTTCATGAAAAGAAAAAAAAACAGAATCGTTCCAGATTATGGTCCAAGTCTAGGTTTACGAAAATTCGCAAAAAGTGAGCAGTTTCTAAAAAAAAAGAGCAGCTATTGGTTCTTTTATTCCGTTTTTTGATTTATATTTCTTGCTTTAGGGACGACTTTAGGGGATTTTTAGGTGCTGCCAAAATTAATGACGTTAAAAGTTATAATTTTTCAATTTTTCAAAAGTTTGTATAAAACTTTCTAAAAAAATAATTTTTAATTCAATTTCTATTCAGTCTTTAGAGTAAGGTGTAGAAAAATCTCTGCTGAATCGTGGTATAAAAAAAGTTCTTAAAAATATTATTTTTTTGCGAGTTTATTTCTTTTTCTACCATATTTTTTTAATTTGAAGAACTTTCTGACACTTTTTTTCGAAAAAAATATGTCGAACGGTTTTTATCACTTGATGTAAGCTTCTGAGAGTTCTTATCGGAAACTCATACATTTTTACGATCATGAAAGTTAAATTGACTTTTCTTTTAATAGAAACAGACCAAAAATCCTTTTTTTTCGTCTCAAAATCTTCGATTTTTTTCAGTCTTTTACTGGATTTCAACTACGTTCGGGAACCGTACGATTATCACACCAAATCGGCCCAATATGTATTTTTATTCTCGATGGGTGAGTATCATAAAGATTTCATGCTTAAAAATTGATTTTTTCAGGTTATTTCATCTACGACCTTGTTGATATGTATATTCACGATGAGGCGAAAAGCTCAAAGGAATATTTGATCCACCATTCTTTGGTACTGGTTCTTTTGAACATTTCAAAAATTTTTAAACATTTTTCCAGGTTATTGTAGCTTTTTCGATTATTTTGACGAGCGGAAAGTTGTTCGGCCTAGCGATGATTGGACTGCTTGTTGAGGTTTGTTAGGAGAGCTTGAAAAAAAAAAACGGCATTTTTCCAGGTACAAACAATCTTCCTACACCTGAGAACGATGATTAGACTAGCCTACGGATCGAAAAAGCAGTCGCCGGCGATTGATTTATTAATTAATGCCAATATGACTTGCCTTTTCTTGTTCAGGTTAATGGGGTTACTGTAGCACTACTTTGGCTGTGTTTTTGTAGATAATTTGATTTTTTTTTGTTGATAGATGGCTTGGGTCAGCCTGTAACTTGAAGCTTTTCGTAAAGCTGATTCACGGCTGGCTTGAGCCACCGAAAAAATGGTCCTGACACGATAATGCGCAGACAGGACACGCCCCCTTAGCGTCCCAAGCTGGCCGTGAATCAGCTATAACCAAAATTCAACTTTTTATCTATTAGTTGTATAAATTTGGCTTGATTTTGGTAGCTACTTCTTTAAAAATATTTTTTGAGACGTTTCACAAATTTCCATTTTTTTTTTCCAGACATCTTCCTGTCTGCTACTTGCTTTCCTTCTTATTGTTCCAAGATGATAAGGTTTGAAGTTAATTTGGAAGATTTCCTATTAATCTCCGCTCATTTCAGGTCCCGTTTTTGTTGAAAACGTTCCTCGTCGGAGGATTAACCTTCCTGGAATACCATAATACGCATTTGACCGTGAGTTTTGGGGTGTATAACTAATTTTTTTTGCGATATTATCTTTTTCCTGTTCTCTTAGTTATTCTTGAAAGAGCTGTTCTGATTATAAACTCTAGAGGGGCTACTTGAGCAGGAAACCAAGGGATGATTTTTTAGGGTCTTTTCTCAGGTACCTTCCCTAGGAATCAGTCGATTTTTTGAAGTTTTGAGCTATATTATTGCGTCGTAACTGCACTAAATTTTATTGCAAGTCCAAAAAAAGTTTCAAAAAAACCAGTTGTTATGTGATTAATTTAGGCATTCATGAATTATGGACCAACCCATTTCAAAAAAAAAATTTTTTTACAAATAAAAATTTTAATAAAACAGCAAGATTTTCCAGGTCGCGATGGCCAAAGCGGACGGATTTTTCGGAAACGAACGACAAATCCTCGACGAAGACAGCTGCGATCCCCTCGGATCCCTCAAAAAAGAAAAGGCTCAATAAAAATAGAAACAATCCATTTTCCCCTTTTTCTGCATGCAACCTACCACTTGTCATACTTGTATCCACAGAGAGAAGATTCGAGATTTTTATACATTTCGATTTGAATTAATATCCCGCAACACTTGTACAGCCCGATTCAAATGTATACTGGTAATTGATTGACTTTTTCATCCCTTCATGTACTAGCATTATAAATTTTTGATTTTGAACCCGAATTTATGAGCCATGAATACAATTTTTTTTCTCTTTTTAGATTACTTCCGAGTGTTTGAACTAAAATAAGAAAATCACAAAAATCTCGGAAAAAACTACCACGGAAGACTGAAAGGTTTGGAAAAAATATAAACTTGATGAAACTCTGAATCAATTATGATGAATTTTCAAAACTTTCAAAGCGCTCAAAATTTTCAAACTTTCAGGAAAGTTTTTAAAAAATTGAACAGCCTCCAATGAAAATTCTCCAAACGATAACAAAGATAAATTTAATTCGAAACTGCAAAATTAACTGGAAATTGAATAAAAATCGCACGTGAAACTGACATGAGAAACAGCTCATTTTTATCATTATGCCGACGTTTCGTTGGCTTCTCTTTTTCTTTTTCTTCGAGTTCAAATCGGGATCCGCTGACCTTCCGATTTTCAAGGTAAACTTCTCAAATCGTCATGCTTAGAGAGTGTAGGACAAGGCCGTCAATTTCAAGATCGCTTTCAAATTTTGCACTGGTCCGCAATATGCCGTCGCGTGTAAGCGATGTGTATGCAGACGCCGTTCTCTTTTGAGCCATTTCCGTTTGCTTGAGCTTCTACTTTTTGCGACGGCGCATTATGGACCGACTCTAGTCAAAGATCGGTTCAGCTCTGCAATGACGTCACCCAGAACATGACGTCACTTCGGCCGTCAGCAGTGCTTATGAGCCAAGCCCCGGACGACGATCCGACCATCCGCGACTTGGCGTGCGCCGTCACCAAGGTTGAACCGCGACGCGGCCGCCTCCCGTCTGAAAATCCTCATCTTTAGAGATACAAAGTCACGAAGCGATTTCCTTTGGACCCCGGCACAGACTTGTGCTATCAACTTGCGATGGTACTCTAATTTCCCACTGGAGGAGCATATTTTAAAGTTATTTCAGGCTGAAATCAAAGTGGGACAAATTTTGGTGGTGGTCCATCGGAATGTCAAAGAATTGACGCGCGAGAAATGCGGCTTGACCGTTTATGGGCCTTATCCGGACGTTCTTTTTGTTGGTTTTTAATTTTTTCTTGTCAAAAGCTCGATTTTGTAAAACGTTCAAGAACTGAATAAGAAGAATGCAAAGTGAAAAATGAAGATTTAAAAAAATTGATATTTTTTTATATTTTTTTGTGAAACTATTTTCCGGGGCAATTGGTAATTTTTTTGAAATTTTGGAAGAATTGGTGTAAGTGTCCGTAGCTGTGTTTGCGTCAAACACACCGATGCGCCCTTTTAAATGTTGCAGGAGCCGTTATTCGAAATCAAATTGCACTTTTTCCTGTTTTATTTCGAAATAACATTATTTTTCATTTTTTCTTTTTTCCAAATCAAATGATAATAAATTTTTTGATTAGAAAAAAGAAAAATAAGCTAAAAATTGCCTTTGACCTTATTTCTAGGTAGTTTTTCGATATTTTATCAAAAATTCTTATGAGGATTGTACAAAAGATTCATACCAAAACATTAAGCTCAGTTTTGACAACCTCTCAGAACAGAAAAGCAACTCGAAAACGGTTCAGAAATGCGCAAAAACATTTAAAAAGAAAGCGTGCGGCAGCGGGTAAACCGTGAGATTTTGCCTCCAGTTGTACGCCGCGCGCGCTAGTTTTTTGGCCATAACTTTTTTCTTAGTGGACCTTTTTTCAAAAACTAAACGGATTATGAAAATTGACAGTCTTTTCTATCGAATAGTGTGAAAAACATATTTTTTGAATCGTTTACTTGCTACCTTTTTTTGGAGAAAAAAAAGCTTCAAAAGCTCTCCTTACTTGATAAAATAACAGTAAGACTAGAAATAGAAAAAATAGAAGATTTTCAAAAAAAATTTCTCATTTTTCCCTTTTGGATGCAATCTATACAGCGGTTTTTTTGAATATTCGAACCGTTTTTTATGATTTTTCCGAGAACTTTTTGCCATTAATATCTCTATAAAACTGTATATTACTATAATTTCCAGCTTTCCCTTGACGAAAGGAAGAAAAAATCGGGCAGCACTTATTTTATGGACAAAGTTGTGAATGTCTACTACGTCACCAACGGAGGCCGTTTTTCGTGAGTTTCATATAAAATATTATCACAACATTAAAACTGAAGGATCGACGTTGATTACAACAACAAAAAGGCGCTCAATTCTTGGATCGTCGTTTTGAATCATATCGCCGCGTTGCACGACATCATGCCAGAGTACAAACATGGGGTTTGAATCATTTTGAATAGCTCATGATTTTGAAAAAATGAGACAGATTGAACGTTTCAATCGCAGCTCTCTGCTTCATATCCCATCAGCCTACTTCACAGAGCTCTACATTCGGCAGCTGTACGCCAAGCTTTTGGAGGTTCATTTTTGAAATAAGGCCTAACTCACAAGGGGGGCACTAAAGCGCTGCCAATTTTAACTTACAGGGGGGGCTCTAAGGCGCTGCCAAATTTCACTCCCAGGGGGCTGCCAAGTTTAACTCACAAGGGGGATTTCAAGGCGCTGTCAAAAAAACTCGCCAGTGGGGGCTTTAGGGCGCTGCCAAATTTCACTCCCAAAGGGGGCTTCAAGGCGCTGCCAAGTTTCACTCCCAGGGGGCTGCCAAGTTTAACTCACAAGGGGGGCTCTATTTTTTTCTCAAATTTCACTCCCAAGGGGGGCTCTAGGGCGCTGCCAAATTTCACTCCCAAGGGGGAGCTCTAAGGCGCTGCCGAGTTTAACTCACAAGGGGGATTTCAAGGCGCTGTCAAAAAAACTCGCCAGTGGGGGGCTTTAGGGCGCTGCCAAATTTCACTCCCAAAGGGGGCTTCAAAGGGCGCTGCCAAGTTTCACTCCCAGGGGGCTGCCAAGTTTAACTCACAAAAGACCGTTCTTTGGCCCCCGGTTCTTTCAATGAAGCTCGGCTGAAATGCACTTCTGATTCCAGACAAAAAATGTTTCTTGCAATTAGAATTTTTTTTTCGAGTATTGAGCTTTTAAAACTCACAAATTACACAAATAATAGGAAAATCACCGTTTTTCAAAATTTTGAAGGGTCTAAAATAAGATCTACTGTGAGAAATTTTTTTCTTATTCTCAAATCAGGAGGCCCTGAAGTACAAATCTGCCAATTTCCTTCGAAACTGCAACCAAGGGCCAAAAAAACGTTCCCTTGTTAAACCAAAGGCGATGAAGAAACTTTAAAATCATTCTCCAGTTTCCTCAGCCGCGACGCAGCACGCAACGCTTCACTAATATCTTTTTTGCAGACAAGCTACCCGATATCGATCATCATGATTATTTCGAGCCTTCCTTGGATTTTACTTGCAACTGGCGTTTCGGGATACCTCGTTTTTCGAGCCGGTGATTTATTTTCCGACAGGATTTCGAAATCTTATATAAAAATTTAAAAAAATTCATTGTTTTTCTAAAAATATTTTTCAGCGAGGTGGTTTTGAAACACGTCAGCGACCGAGTACAGTGCACGTTGCTGGAAGTTGATGAGGAGATGGTTATTTTTTTTTATTTTATGAATTATCAAAGTAACTTTCTCGGATTGAGGATGAACCCGGTGATGAGTCGGATCAAGGAAAAACGACGACGACTAAGACTTTATCGAAGGAATCGACCAAGTCTAAAGAGGAAGAGTCCAAGAAAGCTAAAGATCCGAACGCGTTGAAGCAGCCGAAGAAGAAGAGTCGGAAGGAGCTTGATCTGTCGGTTTTTTTAAATGTTCCTTTTAAGGTGGCAAAGGCTCCTTTTTTTGCCGTCTTTTTGTGCCATTTCACCGGCTTTTATGCACCAATTTTGCTGCCTTTCCCTTTCTCCACCATTTCTCGAGCCTTTAAAATCCCAGAACAATGGAAGGCTTAATAAAGGGACCCTTTTTGCTGCCTTTCCCTTCCTCCACCATTTCTCGAGCCTTTAAAATCCCAGAACAATGGAAGGCTTAATAAAGGGACCCTTTTTGCTCCCTTTTTGCAGCCTTTTTTGAGCCTCTTCTTTTTAGCGGCCACTATCCACCATTCCGACTTTGCCCGAGTTGTTTGTTTTTGATGTTTCCTTTCTCAAAAGCCAAAAAAAATTTGGAGGTTGATACTTTCAGGATCCTTTTCAGGTGCACCGATTAGTCTTTTTTAGCGGACTTTCAAGTAATTTTCCAACCGCTAAGAAAAATAAGCTTTTTTCAAATGTACCTTTAACGCTAAACTTTAAACTTTTTTCTACTAAATTTTTGCACCGAAATTGAACTTTTTTCTCAACTTTGAACTTCTTCCAGAGGTGTTGATGCGACGCAAAAGTCGGCTAGAAATTTGACACCAATTAGCGATGTTCATACTGCCGAGGAGAGCCATGATGATGTTACGAAGCATGGGTCCGTTGAGGTTCTTTTTTTGAATTTTTTTGGGTTTGGTCGGAAATAAAAATGAGAGGAAAAGAATGACAACGGTATTTCTTTTATGCTGCAACTGAATTGAAAAATTATTTTGAAATATTTTTCATTAATTTTTAATTCTTCATAGAGGAAATTGCAGGTGAATAGCTAAAATCTGACGGTTATTTATTATGATTAAAATTTTTTTTCTGTCGAATTCTTCAAGGTGGGATGTGGCTGAACAAATTTTAGGTTATAATAAGCCAAAGGTAAGGTAAATTTTTTTAGGCTATTTGAACAATAGAAGGTTTTAAAGTTTATCATATCATTTTTTTGATTTATTTTCCCCCCGTTTTTAGTACTTATTTTTCAGAACTATACTGTTTCCAATCAAAAAAATGGCCTCATTATTGCATTTAAAAGTGCGACCACGTGTCATAGTTGTTTTGTTTGCGCGGCTTTGGCCGAAAAATGGGCGCCGAAACGGCGGCGAAATGATAAAATATCTATTTCCCGCCACCACGTGGTTGATGTGATCGCAAACCGAAGATTTTTCCCGTCTTGTTGCTTGAAATTCCTGACAGATCATACGAACAAACGTTTTTTTTTCCTGTTTTTCTCTCCTAATTTTTGGAGTTTGAAGCTTCGAGATAGTACTTGCGGGGTGTTTACAGGCCCGAAAAGCTAGACTCAAAGCGGTCGAAAACAGTTTTGGTTTCAAAAGAAGACAGAGATTTATTGGATAACCTCAGGATCCGTGAAAAATGACATACTTTCAGGAGAAAAAATAAGAAGAAAAGGTCGATCGAAGAGTTTTCAATACGTGGTGCTGCTATACCGTCTTCATCAGCCCCAATATCCAATGCGGACGGAGATTTGAAAAACAGCGAGCACTCTTATTAAGTGAATGAAATTTTGGTTTAATGTTGATTTTTTGACAACTTGACATGCCAATTAAAATCAAGAAAGCTTGAAAAACCTTTTAGGCGTACCTTGGATTTGACTTTTTTGAGAAAATTGGAAAACCCGAGCTTTTTACAAATTTGGCAGCGCCTTACAAATTTGGCAGCGCCTTATGAATTTGGCAGCGCCTTACGAATTTGGCAGCGCCTTACGAATTTGGCAGCGCCTAACAAATTTGGCAGCGCCTTACGAATTTGGCAGCGCCTAACAAATTTGGCAGCGCCTTACGAATTTGGCAGCGCCTTATGAATTTGGCAGGCATAGGGGCAGTAAAAAATGGGGTTTCAGGTGAAAGCAGTATCTTATATAGTTTTTCTTTGCGAATCGAATGGTGTACTCAAAAAAATTAAAGATGTGACAACTTTAGAAGAAAAAAGCGATTTTACTTTCCCGCTTTTATTTTTGAAAAAAGCTTTGGATCGGTGCTCAGACAACTGATTACAGTAGCCGTGCACGGGATGTTGCGGACGTCTCATTAGACTCGCATTTTGTGAGAAATAACCGGATATCTGCTTCAAATTAAAGGTTTCTTCTCTGAAAAAACATTTAATCAAACAAAAAACACACATTGATAATAAAGAAAACACAAAGTATCGCTATCCCAATCGAAACCTGTGTAAAATCATCATTTTTCACCAAAGAAGCATTTTTGCGATCAAAGTTTGCAAATTATACATTGATAGAAAGTTTTTGTGACGAAAAGAACTTTGGTGTTAACAGAAAAAATTGAGATTTGAAAGAAACGAAGAAAAAAGCGAAAATCCGGAAGATGGCGAAGCCTGTTGTCCATAGAGCAACTTTACTGCAAAGCGCCCTTTTCGCGGGAACTCAAGATTTCCTTTCTCCGACTTTGAATTATTTTTTCTCCGAAATTAAGAAATTCGGTACGTTTTCAAGTTTACCGTTCGATTCGCAATGAAAAGCTCTACAAAGTACTGCTTTGAACTGAAACACCGTTTTTTACTGCCCCTATGCCTTTATAAAATTGGCAGCGCCTTACGAATTTGGCAGCGCCTTACGAATTTGGCAGCGCCTTACGAATTTGGCAGCGCCTAACAAATTGGCAGCGCCTTACGAATTTGGCAGCGCCTTATGAATTTGGCAGCGCCTTATAAAATTGGCAGCGCCTTACGAATTTGGGAGCGCCTTATGAATTTGGCAGCGCCTTATAAAATTGGCAGCGCCTTACGAATTTGGCAGCGCCTTATAAATTTGGAAGCGCCTTATAAAATTGGCAGCGCCTTACAAATTTGGCAGCGCCTTACAAATTTTGGCAGCGCCTTAAAAAATTGGCAGCGCCTCATTCGCGAATCATTTCAAAACCGCTACTGATACCATCATAATACAAAAAGTCTATAGACATTTCAAAAAAAAAATCCCTTTACAATAATTTCTACAGACCGCCATATTTTTAGTCCTCTCTCCCTGAAGCTTCTCCATTCTTTTTGCCTTTAAGACCAAAAAATCAAACGTTCATTTATCCTTTCAAATGTTTCCGTTCAATGTCAACCCATGTTAAATTTTGTTCTTGTCGATCTCGGACGGTAATTTGAAGAAAAAACAGAAAAAAAATGACACTGGCGGCTGATCAAACCACGATCTGATTTGATTAGTGCTGATTGGGGTTGATTTGTCTAGGTTCCACCGTGGGTGGCTATTTTCAACGAAATGCTTTTTCTGTGTCTTCTCGGATTGATTCGATGAAGGTACAGTTTTACAGAAAAAGAAAAAATTTCCGGGGCTGATGTAAGTTTTGCTGGCGTGTTATCAATCTGATGATTTTTGCAGAGAAAAAAATGATTGGTTTGTTGATCAACAAGTTTACAAGCCGGGAAAAATAGCCTTTTTATTGAAAAAGCTTATGCGCTCCTTGGATAAAATTGGCAGAATTTGAATATCAAGAATCTAAGTGATTTCTTTTATTAAAAAATTGCACGTAAATGACTCTACAGCCATTTTCTACAATAGTTAGCGATGGAGCGCATTTACTTTTAATATTTTTACGGCCATTTATTCAACATTCTGCGCCTCCAAATTTCCTTTTTCCATAATGAACACTGCAGTTTGTTATCTTGAAAATCAAACGACTAATTTATCAAACGTTTTTTTTCCTGTCTATGCGGACGTCCGTGTTACTCGTGATATACCGCCTGATTCGCCGGTTTTTTTTCCTACCGGACAACATTTTCCTTGGATTTATTGTGAGAACAATCACGTACCTACAGAATTCCTCCATGATAAGGTCCTGATTGGCGAAGAGGAAAGACCGAAAGTTAACCTGGTAATTTTTTTTTCCTAGAAACACTGGTTTTGAATTTAATGCGAGAATTACTGCGGAAATGGAGAGAGAAAAAAATTACTCCCAAAAATCACTGCCACCAAGGCTTTGGATTGAACTAAAGCGACAAAAATTGATCCCAAGAGACCAATGACGTCGTCGGAGATATTAATAAAATACATTTTCCAAAGGTAATTATCAAAAAGAAAAAGAAGCTTACAACTTCTTCTGAATGATCTTATGAAAACAGGGACGTCATAAAGTCTGCTGAAAATCACTAAGATTGATTAAAAATAGTCCCGGATTGACCGGTGATTTTATTTTTGTGGTCAAATGTGATCTGCAAATGATCTTGGCCCGACCAATGACGTCGGAAGAGAACGTTTTGAGTGACTCAATATTGCTTCAAGCATTTTGAATTTATGAAAAAAAGAAAAAAAGTGTTTGAAAATTAGAAGTTGGAGCTTTTTGAAAAAAATAATAAAAAGTCAATAATTCAAAAAAATTGGCAGCGCCTGAATTATCTAAATTATCAAAAAGCTTCAAAAAAGGGAAGAAATTTTTTTATGGAAAGGAAATATCAGTAATCAAAAGAGCTAAATTTGAAGGTGCTTAAATTAAACAATGACCAGCAAGCCTATTTGAAATTTTTTTCTAAACATTTTTTTCAAGAATTCTTCATCGCGATTGATTTTAGAGCCAGAGAAGTTCGCTTACTAAACACATTCTTCAAGCTTTTAATAAATTAAATTAGTAATTTTTGCTGAATAAAAAAATGTGGCTACCTATTTATTCATTTTTTTCTAAGTTTTCTGAACTATTTGGAAAAAAATTCCAGTTTTGAGAGCGGCTTCAAACTGGCAAGGTTGATTCAACTGCTTGAATATCACATAATCTTCTAAGTTCATTTTTTTAATTTTTTTTTTCTTTCTCCGCAAACTTGCAGCTACTCACTTCTTCCGCACCGCGACCGCAACACCTACACCGCTCGCAAGACCTCGTGACCGCATCCATCAACTCCCATGCTTCTTGGTGCGCAAGGCCGTCGATCAAAGCGTTGGCGTGGCGCCAGCGTGGTCGCGCCGCCGATCCGACGACGTCAACGCGTCCGTTCTCCGTCGGCGGGTGTCGTTGAAACGCACGAACGCAGCCTGCAACAACAACACGCTTTTCTCCGCGTTTTTGTTTCTTTTCGGCTGCGTTTCTCTTCTGCGCTCGGTTCAAGGTCCTTGTACCGGCCACCGAGGCCGGTGCGGACATGGAGAATGTGTTCATACTAGGTACAGCTTGATCATGGAAGCTTGCTCGGTTCTTGAAAAATTATAGTACAAGAAGATCGTTCAGAATAATTTCCCATTATAGTCTGTGTGCCACGACTTGAAAGTTCACCGAACGACGTTTCGCTGCGTACGGCCGCGAAGCGTCTTTGCCTTTGCGGATCTAGGTCACCCTTTCAGACTATTTTTATTGCTGATAGATGGATCGTTCCACAGCGAGTTTTTAAATGAAAGAAAAATTGAAAGCGCGACCGAGATTCGCAAAGGCGCCCGGCGGAACAGCGGAATGTCGTTCGGTGAAATTCCAAGCCGTGGTACTATACCGTAGCTTGAAGCTGAGAAATGGAACTTTTTCTGATACCGGTTTCTCAAAAAGTATGGGTCGAAAGCTTCAAATACAATAAATTTATAAATTCGGACTTAATTTATCTCACATATCCAGGAAAAAATCTTTACGACAAAATAAATGATGACATCACTAACCGATCTCACTACGTCATTATCAACCAAAGCTGAAATTCGCCAAAAAAAAGAGACAGCTCGTAAATTTTATTGGCAAACAACCGCTGGGTCCAAAATAACAATTAATTCTCAGGTAGGAAAATAAAAGACTACATAGCACCCTAAAAAGTCAAAAATCACTCTATTTTATTTCGGAAATTGGCTAAATTTAGCGAAGTCAACCAAACTTCTTGGATAAAAAAAAATTGAGAAAGCATCAATTTTTTCGCTCATTTTTTTAAAGAGCCCACCTTACGGATTAAAACACTTTTCATAATGATTCTATTTTTAAAAGCATACGAAAATTAAAAACTATTCTTAGAGCTAAATTGGCCCGTTCCGCTTGAAATATACTTTACAACAATTTCGCTCAACGGAAAAAAATACTCTTTAACTTTTATAACTCAGATTTTGGTAACGCTAACCGGACCCGCCATGGAGATTACCAATCATTTCAAGGGACCACTTTAGTGGAGTCAGCACTTAAGTGATCTCTAGAACTGCTCAGGTCCACGTAAGGCAGAACTTTTTTTTAAAAAATACAAAAACCCTCCAAAGTGCGCAACTGTGTGGGAAATTAAATATACTCTTGGAATCACAATTGAAACCCCTATAAGGTTGAATATTCAACTAAATCTTTATTTTTTACAACACCTAAAATTAGTCCCTCTCCAATCATCAGTATTTTTGATTCGACGGCCAATATCACTGCGTCGACCGCGAAGCTCCGCCCATTTCGTCGCCGTTTCTCACGGTGAAGACGTCTTTCACATCAAACGCTCACGCTCTCTCCGAAGCAGGCAAGCTCACGACTGGCGCACCTGGCGCACCTCGAAGAATACCTGTTTTCGGCACAGAGGACTCATTTGTCGTCGACAGATGAAACACTAACACAAACACGATAATAACGATATTCAATCACTATATGACCCCCGACACCATAAATAGTTTTGGTTTGATCCCCTACTTCTCTAGTTTCTCTTTTTCTAGTCTTTGAAAGAGAGAAATAAAAAATGGAACATTTCTTCGAAAACACGGAACTTCAAGCAAGACTGAAATAGCTAGTGTAAAAATTGTCTTTCTTGGCAAATTTAGTTCCTGAATCGGAAATTTTTGGTGAGTAGCGACGACGGAAAATGAAAAAATTGAAAAATTAGCCTGGGCTTCTGTCGAATTTGGCAGCGCCTGGCTTATGTCAAATTTGGCAGCGCCTGAACTTTTCGAATTTGGCAGCGCCTAAACTTTCTTCAAACTTGGCAGCGCCTAAACTCTTCAAATTTGGCAGCGCCTAAACTTTCTTTAAATTTGGCAGCGCCTAAACTTTCTTCAAATTTGGCAGCGCCTAAACTTTCTTCAAATTTGGCAGCGCCTAAACTTTCTTCAAATTTGGCAGCGCCTGGCTTTTTTCAAATTTGGCAGCGCCTAAACTTTCTTCAAATTTGGCACCGCCTAAACTTTCTTCAAATTTGGCAGCGCCCGGCTTTTTTCAAATTTGGCAGCGCCTAAACTTCTTTCAAATTTGGCAGCGCCTGGAGTTTTTAACCTAGGTTTTTTGAAAAATGGAAGCTTTGGTACGAAAAACTTTGAGCGGAACTACTACATTCAAAATAATAATTAACGGCTAATTAAACTTTTAACAAAACTCAAGAGCTTTAAAAAACCTATTTTACTCGAGAGGATAATTTATCGTAGTAGAAACTTCCAAAATCGAAAAAGTAGTATCTAATCTGGTAGGCGACTAAAAATCAATGCTTATTTTGAATTTTCCTAACACCAATTCTTTTCGTTGATTGGAATTTATCAAGTTTTTTTCAAAAATTCATTAAAAAAAGTATCCCTCAAAAACTTATTTTCACATTGAATGTCTGGGGTCTTTCCTTGTTTCATCGCGAACGTGAAATTATTCCTTTGCTCTAACAAAAAATGAAAGATAAATGACAAATTGGCGCCTTTTTGGTTATCGTTTCATTCACTTTACCACTTTTTTTTGGTGAAATAATCGGGTGCTTCAATATCTTGAACGTTTGAGCCTTGCAAAGGGGACACAAACAAGCTTATAATTGATAACCCATCATAGGCCTCCAAGAATCTGCACATATCAATTGATAACCGAAACCGCTTATCAATCAACCTACGAATTTTCTGACCCTTTTCAGTCATAGGAGAACAGATATAAAGGTTGGAAAATATTGGAATAAATTGCTTCGCGTATTAATGAATCGACCGTAAATCTCACTTGTCTTGAAGCCCAATTTCAATGAAAAGAAAAAGAAAAAGAAGTATTTTATTATCAATTTGATTGGCGCGACTGGTGTCGACGAAATCGGCGTCGCCGCAGTTTCGGTGACAAATACTGTCGTTTCGATGTTGCCCTTTGTGCTTCAAGGACTTTTTTGCAGCTCGAAAAGAAATGGAAAAAAAGTAGTTGGAAAGAAAGTATCATTGTCTTCTTTGGTCTTCGGGTACAGTCCAAATTGATCTTTTTTGACCTAACATGTTATTCTGGTTGATACCTTCGAATTCTCAGTTTTCGAATATTAAAAAATATTCTAAACAAAGATCTCAAAAAAATTTCCACGTGCTGTTACCCAAATTTCTATTAAAAACATATAGATAACAAGGTGATTTTTTTATTATGAAAGTAGGAATCAATGTTGGTTGGTCGCGTTGGAAGACCAAAAAAAGTGGTTCGTCGTGTTGGGTGCAAAAACAAGAAAAATATTTATTTCTGCACCCAAAGATTTGGAAATGACGTCAGCTCACTTTTCAATGAGGTCGAGCTTTCATCTTTTCCGTGATTAATGATATTTTATGGAAAAATCAAAAATTTTTTTCATTTTTTTATTTTTTTACTTTGAGCTTTTTTTAGTATCGGCATCATCAAAGCTTAGGCGCTGCCTAACCAGGGAACGTTTTTTTACCCCCGGTTGAACTTTTGCTGAAACTTTGCTGAAGTGTTCTTTAGGACCTCCTGATTTCAGAACAAGAAGAAAATTTCTCGCAATAGATCTTGTTTCCGAATTATGGAGCTTCAAAGTGTGCAAAATACGCAAATTAAGCCAAAAAAGCGTTATTTCGGGTTTTTGAAGTGTCCTAACTCAAAAAGGAGATCTATTGCGAGGAATGTTCTTTTTGTTCTGGAATCAGGAGTTCCTGAAGTACACTTCAAGAAAGTTTCAGCAAAATTTCAACCAGGGGGTAAAAAAACGTTCCCTTTTTGTTTAGTAAGCTAAGCCAAAAAAATGGCAGCGCCTAAATTAAAAAAAGCCCCAAAAAAGCATGAACTTTCAAAGCACATGAAATCCTCTTTCTCAGCTTATAAACTGAAATTTTTCCGGTGTTTTCCTTATTTTTTTTCAAAACCAATTCTTCCATCAGATCTCGCCTCGTACCGTGGAAGCCATTTTCCCAATTAATTCTGAGTTTTCAAAATAAATAGCCTCATTTTACAGAAAAAAAAACGCTTTGAAGCTTTTCTACTACAATTTCCGTGCCTCTTTCAAACTAGCCGTAGATTCCGAACTATTTGAACTTGGACCCTTCAAATGACAGAAAAAAAAAGATGAAACCCCTAAATTTTCCAATCTGACCATTAACCCAGAAAAGGAGTTTCGTTTCAAAGGACCGTGTCGTAAAATGTCAATTGTCGGAGAATGATAAGGGACAGTTGTTCTGAGAGAAAATCAGCTGCAAAAGAGCTCGTTGCAAAACTGTAGTTGGAGAAAAGATCATCAATCGGCGGCCAGTGTTTCTCACGCCATTTACCGCTTTCGGGGCACAAACACACATGGAGATGGATTTCGTCGCCGTGTCTAATCAGTTTTCGGAATGGAGAATCAAGAACTGAACAGAATGTTCGATCCATCACCGAACAATATTTGTTTGTTTCGGTAGTCTGAACAGAGTATGAAACTTGAACAGAGAAAGAGAAAAAGAGAATGTGCGCCAAGTTTCGGTTCTTAAATGAAAAAAGTTGTTTTCGGAGTAAAAATAATGGATGATTAAATTTTCAAGAATCTGATTCTAATCCAGGTCATTATCTGAAACTGATAGAGCTCGCTATTTATCATATACTCGAAGAAGAATGAAAAGTATTGGTTGTAAGTGGCTAATTTTCAGTCCCAATAAATTCCGTGGTCTTCGTGTTCAACGCGTTGCGGTCACGCTACGGTTAAGTTCAAAAATTCAAAGCGTTCCATCGAAATTTTTCAATCGCGCTTCATGAGAACTACCGCGACGCCACTGTTCAACGTCGAGCCATTCCAAGTGCGACCATATTTTTTTATGAAATGAGATTTTTCAAGTTTGAGTAGTAGTATTAAAAAAATCATTTTTCAATTGATACGCTTTTAAAAAAATTTTTTTGAGCAACTACCTCGAAAAAAATAGATATTCTATTAAAAAAATTTACTATGCCTGAAAAATGGAATAACGATAGAAGTTTGTACAAATCCTCAATTCTAATTTGAAAATTTTCGATAAACCCTGCTAACATCT